ATATTATTCTTAAAGTAGAACTCTAATACCTCGAGGGTCTTATACGTTCTAAAGCTATCGTATATTAGTATACGTAGTTTGTAATTAGCTCGTTCCTTAGTCTAGGGGTTAAATATGAGCTTTAGCTACTATAGACTAATATATAAGTCGGTGTAGCCGCTGTCGGAGTATATATAGTACTATCCCGGGGTAGGATATATAGTCTAGTTTAATCGATACGTAGATATAGGCTATATTATTATAGGATTTAAATACCTACCGTCGGCGCTTACGTATTCGATCGAGGTAATAGTCGTCCGCTTAATACGTACACCTCTATAACCGCGCTCGCTATCCCTACTTACGAGGACTTTAGCGGAGCCTAGCTTAGAAAGTATAATACTAGTCTCGTCTATATTATAAACATTTTCCTCTAGGATAACCGGGTCCTAGAAAAGGTCTCCGGTAACCTTAAACTAGTATACTACCTTATTATAGATATCGTAACGATTCTAGTCTAGAGCGCTAGTCGTACTCGCTTTAAGCTCTAGGTACCGTTTGTAGAACAGTTAAGCCTAATTCTTACTAGGAGGACTACTTAGCCTATCCGCCGGAACCCGCCGGCGTACAAGACTAAAAGCTATCGAACCTATGTACTTTACTAGTACGCTAGGAACTTTATAATAGCTCTCTCTTCCTACGGGTATAGATATTATTAGCTTTAAGCTTTCTCTTAAATCGACCGTCGACCGCGTACTCGATACTAGAGGGTAGTTCGGGGTATATTACTACGATCTACGTATATACGAAATAAGATAGGCTAATCGGGGGAATAGTGTTCTACTAGTGCCTAACTAGCTCTATCTATATTAGCCGACGATATTAGAGTATTAGAGGAGTAGAAGGGGGTTAAGAAGGTAGGGTAGCTATAGGTACCTACGAAATGTACCTAAGAATAGATTAGGGATAATAAAACGCCCTATAGACACTTCTAGAATCCGACTTATTACGTCTAAAAGAAATCTAAAGAGATCTAAAAGAAAGAAAGCGTCTGAAAATAATATCTATTATTTCGTATATTACTAGTAGCGAGCTAAGACACCCTAAGCGATAATACGCCCTTAAGATACTCCTCTATCGGAGAAACTCTCGGATCGGACATTCTATATCGAAAAAAGACTTTAGACTTCGTAAGTACTTCTATTAGTAGCTGAAGTTTCGTCTTAGTACGCCGATATCTAATAATAAGCCTCTACCTATAACCGATAAGGGGTAGAGCGAATAATAAACGATTAGTAGGGGTAACGGATTAATCGATAGTAAAGTAAGGACTACTACTATTATATAACGCGACAATCTATAGATATAGAAATAGTTAAAGACTATTACGGTAGTAGAGATATACTTATATACACACCTAGGAGAATATAAGGGGTTTTAGAACGAGAACGTAGCTCGCTATAGCGGGTAGCTCGTAATATAGGGATAGACGTTAGTAGCCCTAAAATATTATATAACTTATAGCTATATATATTATTACGTAATATACTCGCTCCTCTTCGATTAGTAGAACTTAACGTACGTACTATTACGAAACGCTTTTATATAAAATAGGCTTAGCGGAATAGCTCGCTAAAGAATTATATACTCTTTAGAAACGATATATATATTATACTATAGAAACTTAATATATATATAGTATAATTAATAAAGTGTATACGAAAAGGACACTACAATCGCCGCTTACTATAACAGTAGCTTTACGACACAGTAGTAGGCTGAAACATTACATCGCATCTAGTATCGGAACTTCGACCGTAAGTATCGTAATAGTCTACAATAGCGGTTACCACATGTCAAGCCACGACAACTGAGGCTGAAGGCCAGTGTCTCTAGCCACAGTGGCTTTGCCGTCCCGCGACACAGTGCGTCCCTCGACGAAGGGACAGACGTTAATGGCAAAGGCGAGGCTTGGGTGTGCGATGAGATTGTGCATGGTTTCTTCTTTGATGTGATTTTGATGATTGTGCGCGTGGTGCGTGATGATGTGATTGTGTGATATGATGGAGGAGGTGAATGACCTTGCCACCCCGTACTACTCGTACAGTATCGCCCCGCCCCATAACGTTACCCATCGTAGAATATCCCAACAAACAACACCAATCCTGAAAAAGTATCATCTACAACCTCCACCAAACCCCCCTCCCCAACCCAACCACATCCCGCAGTATCTTCCCCGCGCTCGGCTGCTCCGGCTGCACATACTCATGATGAACATCCCTCTTCCTCGAAGCCCTCGCACGATGAGGGCCCCTCGGCACAGTAGATCCCGCCCGGATAGCGGAGTGGAGAGACGCAGCGGCGCCTGCGGCAGCGGCTGCGTTGGAGAGCGGTGCGCGGGGTCTGGTTGCGACTTGGGATTCGAGGGCGGCGAGGCGGGTTTCGAGGAGGGTGAGGCGGCCGGCTGATGGTGGTGCTGTGGGAGGCAGAGTCGGCAGAGGTTTGTGGACATCGGGTTTCTTCTGCGAGGGTTGCTTGGCGACGGGTTTGCGAGTGATGGTGATGGGTGGAGGACGGGGGGCTGCGACAGGGTCTGGGTTTGGCTCCAGGGGAGATTCAGAACTTCCATCAGCGCTCGAGCCTTGCATGCTGACCGAAGCTGGAGTCACAACAACGCCGTGGTCAAGCATCTCCGAGAGCCGCTTGTGCTTCTTATCAACCTCCTCGCGCGCCTTCTCAAGATTCTCCCGAACCCTCGCATCGGCAGGCTGCTTGCCCCGCGACGACCGCGGAGGCGTGTTTGGAGTCGTGGTCCTTGATCGGCCCATGGTAGCTATCGGTACCGGCTTCGGTTTTTGTACCTTGCCTTTCTGGAAGGGCTCGTACTTGGAGGTGCGATAGGCTCCCTGTCCTGGGTAGCCGCGAGCGTGGTTTGCGTTCATCGCCGAGTCGACTTCACGATCGGTGATCTGGGAAGGCTCCCGGACGATGGGGCGTTTACCCTCAAGAGCGGCCAAGGTATCGATGTGTGCGTCGGGCTGTGCTTTCGGCACTGTATTACCGACATCATAGAGACTGTCTCTCAAGTCACCCATCGTTGAGTCAGGGTATGGGATATGTGGTAGCTCCGGGCCGTGCTTGAAACCGCTACGATCGGGACTGCTAAAAGCACTCTCTTGCACTGGAGAGAGCTCTGAGCCCCCGAAACGGACCGTGCTAAGACGTGCTGCAGTCTTGAACGGGCGCTTGCCTTCCAAAGCATCTAGAGCTTCATCCCGACCACAAGAGTGCTGATTCTCTAGAGGATGACCAGCGATGTCGTAGATGCTTTTCCTCAAGCCCTCCATCGTCGTCCCAGGGAATGCAACAGGTGGGATCTCTGGCCCTTGTTCGAAGCCGTTGCGATCAGGGCTGCTGAAAGCACTCTCTTGTACTGGAGAAAGCTTTGGAGGTGTAAAGTGCATGGTCGCAGGCCGAGATGCTCCCCTGCCAGGCTTCAGCACAGAAGGCGTCTGGGGTGGTATCGATGCCCGCCGAAGAGGCAAGGTCACCTCAACAGCGGTATGTTCTCCTTGGCTGGAGAGACGCTGTCGATCAGACCGAGGATGGCCATCCAGTATGTCATTAGAGTCGCGCCTGGTCTCCTTAGACTTTCTCTTCTTAGCCACCTCATTGGGATTGACCTGGCCGGGAAAGTTCTCCGTGTCTGGCGTGGGACTGCCGGAGCTGAAGCCACTCAAGCTCCATCTCGAGCGTGGAGACATTCTGGAAGACCACTGCTTAGAGCTAACATCTGAGTTTGTCGCGGTGTTACTCGAAGTACGTGCTGTGGTAGGAGAGCTTGGTGCTTCACCAATCATCGATGCTGGAGGTTGAGCAATGGATACGGATTCAGGGCGAGGGCGAAGACGTCCAGTGAACAGGGGAGACGGCTCGTCAGGGTTGTGGACGATGTATTGAGACTGCCGCTTCCCCTGGTCTCGTTGCGAATTCGACGGGCTTGGTGTGGTCACGGTAACAGAGACAGCGGAGGTTCGGTTGCTCTCACCGCCAGGTGGAAATGGGGATTGCTCTGGTGTGAAGTCTTGATAAAGCTGGGAGAAGTCGTGTTGGATCGGCCTGGAGGTTCGACCCACAGGGTAGATCGAGTCAAACGTGCTTTCCCTCTTCGTGCTCCGCTTGTGTTTTCGAACTTTACCCCATTGTTGACGAGCTTTTTCGAGACCGTTTTTCCAGATGCCCTTTGCTTTCGTGGCGCGGAATACACGTTGGGAGCGAGCGCTGATGGTGTTGGAGCCGCTTTGGCGTTTAAAGATGGCACGCCCGAGCTCAACGAGTCTCTGCTTCTTGCTCTGTGCCTGCAGAGTGGAGTTCGACATGTTGAATGATTTGTGTTTGCGTACCTAACAATATGAGTTCTTCTTCTTGTGTCTGTTGTGAGCTTGTGATTTGTGTAATTGCGTCTAGGCCAGCTAGCGATACACTGTGTAATGTCTGGCAAGTGCAAATGTAGAAATAGATCTGGAGTAAAGGAAGAGGCGGCATTTTGTGGGGCATATCGATGGTTAATATCGCCTTTGAAGAAAGGTGAATCCTCAAAGGAAAAGACTTGCAGGACAAAGGATGAAGACATGCAGCTTTGCCAACAAAGCCAAGCATACTCAAGAATAGTGTGCTCGGGCAAAAGACAATGCAAGTCTTTCCTTCTTGGTGCTTTTGTCCATTGTAGGTAGTTCGAATGACGCTGCCGTGGGCATTGTCTTCTTGTTGAGCGTGACGCGGATGCCATCATCGTCCACCCGTCATCGCCCATCCGTTGTTCTTTGGGATCGCGTTGATCTACAGCCTCGGTATACCGGGCTATCTCTTCCTGTGCTTCCGCTTGCGAGCTTGCATATCGAAGTGTGTCCTCTGAACATGCGTATGCCAGGTCCCCCATTCTCGAGCAGCACTGTAGATTGGACCCAAACAATGCACCACGTGCAGCTCATTGGTCGACAACTCCTGCCGTTTCATGCTCTTAGCAGACCGTATGGCTGTCTCTCGTGCTGATCACGTCCTGATTCCAATCCCATCACGTCCCCATCTCTTCACCTCCCCACCCAAATCCCTTGCCCCAACCCCCCAACTCCACCCCTCCCCTCATTAACCGGCCGTTTCGCAACCCTCCCCTGCGTCTTGACCCCCTCAACAACCCTCTCCAACCCCGTCTCCACCACCACCCCGCCCACAATCATCTCCCCCAACACCGCATGCAAAGTCTCAAAATTGAAAATCAGATCCAACTCGCACACGTTCTCGAACAGCCGATCCAGCGCTTCGACGAAGACTTGGATGAGGTCGAGGAGGGCGAGCGGCGATTCGGTGGAGGTCGAGATGACGATGAAGTAGAGGGTTGCGTAGTGCCGGTAGGTGACGAGGGAGGGGGCGTCGTTGTGTTGCTCGCCGGGTTTGGTGCTGGTGGAGGGGGCGAGGAGGGGTGGGAGGGGCAGGAAGTTGCAGGAGCTGGAGGGCCGGGTGGAGACGAGGGTGAAGATTTCGGAGAGGAGGCGTTGTTGGACGGAGGTGTCCTGGGTTGGGTTAGCTGTCTGTGGTATGGGTTGAGATGGTAGGTGGTTGATTACGAGTTGGGTGTAGAACTTGGTCAGTCGTGGCTGGCCATTGTTGTTGAAGACCAGTACTGCGTTGATCATCTTGGTGGCCTAGACAGTGTTCTAGTGCCCATAGGTTGTCGTCACTCAATCGAAGGTGGGATGTGAAGTCGAAGTCGGCCCGGTGGTGAGTTGAAGAAGCCGACGGCTGCACGCGAGCTCGCTTCGGCACTTGATAGACCAATGAAACGACATAGCCTGGAGGGAAGCGACGAGGTTCAACATTCACCAACAAGCCATTTCTTTTCATTCATCGTTTACTTCTACAGTAGACTGACCACCTATGAGCCGGCCACGTTCTCGAAGAAGAACGTCGGCTGACCAGGCACCGCATTCTCGGCGGCTTGTGGCAGCTCGCTTCTCTCTTCCCCTACCTTGACACCGGCGGTGCCTCCCACTACCTTGCCTTTCTTCCCCTCCTCTTCAACAGCGATGACCTCAATCACGGCGCACTTTTGAATCGTTTGCTGCAGTCCGGGTACCATCTCCCTCAGCACATCAACTTCATCGAATGCCAACTTCCGCTCGAACACGGTGCTGGGCTCGATGCCACCTTCCAGGCTCTTCTTGAGCACTTGCACGAATGGCATCGCGCGCTTGCTCTCAGCCTTGGGGATAGACTTCGAGACTGCGCCAACGTCCAGCTTCATGTCCGCGAACTTCTGACGCACAATGTCGATAACGCTGTCTTGCCATGCTGGGTACTTCAGCGCGCAGAACACGGTCAATTTCTTGTCCTGTTTCGGATCGTACGACGTCTGCTTGCCCTTCTGCATCTTCTTGAGCTGAGCACCTTCTGCACTTGTTATATTGCTGCTTGTGCCACGCACATACTCGCGGGCGGCAGTAAGGTTGGGCTTCTGGTCGGGCACGCTTGGGAAGCGGGCGTTCTGCACTGTCTCTGTCTTGCCCAAGACTTCGAGCCAAATGTACTCTGACCAGTGGGGTGCGACCACAGTGAGCATGAGAGCTTGCAACTCGACGTAGCGTCGGACGAGATCCTGATGCATGCCAACACCGGCAGCCTTGGTTGCCTCGCGGTAGAAGTCTCGTGACGAGGTGAAGTCGTACAGTCCGCTCTTGAGGGCTGCTTTGTAGTTGGTGAGATCGTACTGCTTCTCGGTCTCCCTGACGAGCCCATTGAGTTCGTTCTCGAAGAGTTCATCCCAGAATATGTTCTCGCCTGTCCGGAGAATGGAGTCATTGTTTTTGTGCCTCTCGTTCTCCTTCACCTGTGCATATGTCTCGCCATCTTTGAGCAAGCGTGCGTCGCGAATGACGCTTTCGCACCATTGCCGCAGCTCGTACAGACGCAGAATGTTGCTGTTCGCAACGGTCTCGTCAAAGTTGGCGTCTTCGATCGTGTCTCCGGCATCAGCGAAGGCGATTCGCGTGGCATCTGCACCAAATTTGCTGATGGACTCCGCCAGCGTCATGAAGTTTCCTGTCGACTTTGACATCTTCTCACCGTTCAACAGCAAATGCCCGTTCACTCGGATCGCTCGCGGCCAGTACTCTGGTGGAAACATGGCGATGTGGACGTACAAGAAGAAGGTCAAGTGGTTCTGGACCAAGTCTTTGGCAGAGACTCGAAGATCGAGTGGGTACCAGTACTCGAACTCGCGGCGCATGCGATGAAGGGTCTCCTCTTTGATCGATGTCTGAGGAATCTTCTCCGTCCGGCAGAAGAGCCAGTCCCAAATCTCGTCCGTGAGCTCTTCCGGTGCCACGTTGGCCTCGCCCTTCTCCTTTCCGTAGATATCCCTGTGTAGCAAATGGGCGATGGTGTAGTACGACATGTAGATGGTCGAATCAGACAAGCTCTCAACGAGCTGGCTCTGGTCCCATGGCAGTTTCGTACCCAAGCCGTAGCTTCTGGCACACGCCCACTGTGCTAACCAGTCCAAGACTTGAACGAATGCGTTCTTGGTCTCTGTCGTGAAAGTGTTCAAGCCTTCGTCGTCCTCATTCTGCACGTGCTTCAGGACTTTAGGCTGCCACTCCTCATCACCTGACTTCTCTGGCATGCCGTAATTCATGAACCACTGGTCCAGATGCCCGGCAACACACTCATCGCCGGATCTTGAAATGACCAAGCCGTCCGGCTCTGCATATGCGAAGGCATCACCAGCGTCCAAGAGCTGCTGTCGTACCAATGGCTTGGCTTCCTCGACAGTCTTGCCCTTGAAGTCGCCATAGATCATCTTGCCCTTGTAAAATCCTTCCTTGTACGCAAGGTCTTTCGCTTCAGCCAACTGCTTGGCATCCTTGGGCGAGTTGATCTTCATGGCCTCGACCAGATGCTTTGCGGTGAGATTGCCGTACGTCGGGGTTTCGATGATGGGGAGCAGATCAAGGTCAACCCATTCTTTCTTGATCTTGTAGTATTCGGCTTTCTTGGCAAGGTCGAGGCATGTCGCATAGTCGTCTGGGGAGTCTGATGGCACGCTCGTTACGACGCCGGTACCCTTTGTCGACTTAACCGTGTCCATGGGAAGAATTCGGACGCCGTCTTTCTTGAATGACAGTGGTGCATCTACCAGAGTGCCGATCACATCAGATCCTTGCAGTTCAGCGACCTTTGGGAACACACCCCATTGCGGGAAGATGTTTTGGAAGGCCATATTCCTCGCTGCACGATCCGAGATGAAGTAGTACTCCTTGCCTTTCTCCACCTCGTAGATACCGTACGTAATGCTGGGTCCGACAAAGCAGCAATTCTGGCCGTACATGGTCTCTGGTCGGAGAGTCGCAGGTACGAAGTAGACGTTTCCACCTTCTGGAATCTTGCCCTCGACTTGACTCTTAGCTGCATCTGCCCACTCCTTGACTCGCAGTTTCAGTGCAGTGTACTCTTGAACACCAACACCTTCACCACTTTGCCTGTCGTGGTCCATACAGGCTTGTCCGTCCTTGGGCGAGTAGACTGTGTACCGCTTGCCGAACTTGATCTTCCCCATCTCTTTCAGGCGGTTGACTTGCCATCGCACGAAAGCGTCGTAGTAAGGATTGGCGTCGGTAGTGACGAATGACCGTCTCCAGTCAACACGGCAGCCCATGTTGTTCAGATCGCGCTTCCAGAGTGGGGGAAAGTATTGCAGCCAGTGCTGAGGGTCGGAGAAATTGTGGATCTCCTCGATTGGGATGCCCAGGGCCAGCATGATCTGGAACTGGTACTTCAAGGCCACGTTGACCTTCGCATTGGCCTTGCTCTTCTTTGCCGAGAACTTCGTTACGTCCTCCTTTGTCGTTGATTGCGTGGGTGCTGGAGGCGCGCCGTTGGGCTCTGCATTCTCTTTCACCTCGTCGATCGGGCATCGCTCGAAGTTCTGGCCAAACATCTCGATCTCGCGCACGAGCTTGTCTGCACAGGCCTTAATGGGCATACCTGTGCAGTGGAATCCTTGAGGGTATAGAGCTCTCTTGCCTTGCATTCTCGCCCAACCGACCGAGAACTCGAGCTTACTCGCGGTGAATGCATGTCCTGCGTGTGCCGTGCCGTTGACATACGGGTATGCCATAGTGACCATATACTTGGGGTTCTTCTTTCTGAGTTCGGCAGGTGCAATTGCATGGAATGGCACCTCTTCCAGACTGGGCGCATCCTCCTCGAACACCTTCTCCTGCTGCCATTTTTGCTGGTACTTCTTCTCGCTGGCGATCAAGGTATCTCGCTTTTCGGTGTTTTCGATCTTCAGAGTGCCTTTGGGTTGTTGTACGGGGGCCAGAGCCTCTTTGGTAGCCTGAACGGCTGCCATGGTCGCGTATGTGTTGGACTGAATGCGCAAACCACGCAGCCGTGGCAAATATATGTATCGAAAGAGCGACGTGGTGAGTCACGGGGTCATTGACTGAATTTCGAGCTGTTGCTCGTGAGTCGAAGTTCTCCCATGCAGCTCGAAAAGCATCGCGGCTTGCGGGGGCGGCGGGGGCTCCGAGCGTCTTTGCTTTGGGAGTCTCGAACGTCAACACCACCTCCATCTTCGACTCCACGCTTACACATTGACGGGACCCCCCAATCGCAAGGACTGGACAAGCTTCAGTCATATCTCTAACAGCGGCCTCGGGAGTCATCGTCCCGGAAGTATCAACATGACGAGCCTCTTTGCAGGCTTGTTCCGCAGAGCACCTCAGGTGCCAGAGTTCGCACCAAAGTTTCCCTTTACCATCGAGACGAACCCATATCGAAGCAAGAAGACTTGGCCGCCGGACTTCACAAAACTCTCGCAAAAGCATCAGTTCCGACTTGAGCGTCGTTACAGGAGGAGGACAAAGCTCAAGTGGGCAAGGCCAAACTGGACAAAAGGAGTGAAGCTTGTACAATGGGGCAGCATATTCTTCGTTCTCACGTATGGAGTACTGTTCTTGGAGGTTGATGAGGGGAGAACACCTTTCGACGGAGTGAGAACAACCATCTGCTATGCTTTAACGGACAAGGGGCTAATGCTAGTTGACACAGATACGTAAATGGTACAATGAGCAGGTGGGAACGGTGGCCCCTGTGAGAGATCGTGGAGATACGAACGACAACAGCCCAGTCGCCTCGAAGCAACCATCTTGAAAGGTGTCGCAACGCATTGCCAACATCGTCGAGCCGGTCTCCATTTAGAGACGACATACGCATCCGTCCCCTACGACTCCACTCAGACTCTGAGCTCGATACCAATATGAGTAACTCAAAATCCAATTGGCCTGGTGAATGATCATGACACCATGAAACCTGTCAAGAAGGTCGATGCCTTGCTCGCGATCTTTCTGAGAGGGACAGGCAGTCGCCATGCCCAGCAGCGTGGTAGATCCAGACTGGAATAACTCACACCAAGACGCCCAAGCTTGGGCAAGTGTGCATGTGAGCCCTTCGGACACCTTACCGCATCGTGTCTGCAAAACGGCACAGCGACTACTATGGCACAAAGGACCCCGGGTCATGCGAACACCGTCCACGAGATTCGAGGGCTTGGAGGCGGGTAGAGTACCCGGGAACTCATGTGTCCAGTATACCAGGCTGTAAACGATGCTCGGAGTATCGCGAAGGATGGAACGAGAAGTCTTAGAGAAACGTTAGTGTGCTGTCCTGTGAATGAGGGCACTAGTTACGAAAAGGAGTAGTTGTTCAAGAACCACCAGACACCTACACAATTGCTGTAGGGTCCAATTCAAGTGCTTGATCTCTCGCTATAAAATCGCAGTTGAGCTTTTCTCAATCTTCTCCCTGTCGTGATCTGTGTTGATACAGCTCCTGAATTTGTAGTTGCCTGAGGCATCCAAATTCTTCAGGGTCCATGCTATGACCTACCCGCAACCGCTACCACCTGGCCTCAATGGCTCTGGAACTCTAAGCCCAACCTCGCTGCACGACGATATCTGGAACGATAAAATGGCCGACGAGGAGAAAGAGAAAGCAGAGAAGCTCGCTGCGGCGAAGAAAAGAGTATTTCTCACCACTACGCAACATTTTACCGGTGACTGTAGCTGACATGTGAGCAGTTCGAGCAACTGAAAAAGGAGCAGCAGAAGAAGGGAAAGAAAGGCGGGAAGAAGAAGGCTGCCGACAGAGCTGAAGAGACGAGACAAGAAGAGGAAGCAGAAGATACCACAGAAGCAGCTGCAGCAGACCAGGCAGTGGATGAAGATACCAAAGTCGAGGACGCCGAGACAGGAGACGCTACAGAAGCAACATCCGAGTCGCAGAAGTCGAAGCATCGTTCAGAGTCCTTCCGGCAAGGCTCTGGTCCTCAGGCTGAAGTTCAAGAGCTGTATCGTAAGCAGGCTTCTCGGATTGAAGAGTTGGAGAGGGAGAACCAGACACTCAAGGAGCAACACGAGCAGGGCACTACTCACCTTGCAAAGGCTGAGGAGGAGCTGGAGAGTCTTCGCGAAGGGAGCAGCGATGTAGCCGAACTACGCGCAAAGGCCAAAGAAGCAGATCGCCTGACCACAGAGCTGGCGTCTGTCCAACGCCAACTCTCCCAAGCACAACAAGCCGCCAAAGGCCCAGCGCGCAGACAATCAGGCACGTCCCCGGACGTCAGCGAGCAACTCGCCAGCAAAACCTCCGCCATCGAGTCCCTCGAACTCGACATCAGCAACCTCCGCAACCAAATCTCCACCCTCGAAACCACCCTCTCGGAACGCGACGCCTCCTTCAAAGACCTCACCGAACGCGCCCAAACCGCCGAAACAGCGACCGAGTCCGTCCAAAAAGAACTCGACGCCCTCAAAGTCTCCATCGCCTTCCCCTCCGACGAAACCAAAGCCGCGGCCGAAGACCCCGAAGCCCTCACCAAACGCATCGTGGTCCTCGAATCCGACCTGCGCACCGCCAACACCAACCTCGACGCCGCCGCCTCCCGCGCAACCAGCCTAGAGCAGAAAATCGAGACCCTGACGAAACTCCACAAAGAAGCCACCACAACCTCCCAACACAAAGATAAAGAGCTATCGGACCTCCGCGCGCAACTGAAGAAGCGAGACCGCCCCTCCCACGTCCGCGACGCCTCGGAATTCGAGCTGGGCGAAGAAGAAACCGAGTCCGGACACCTGCAGACGCGGATCCGCGCCTTGGAAGCGGAGAATTTCGATCTGCGACGAGGGGTCTGGAGGGATAAGAGAGCGGAATTGCAGCCTGGTATGGACGATGGCCCGCAACCAGGCTACGAAGACGTCGATCTCAACGGTCCCTATAGTCCCGGTCTCGGACGAGGCGGTGCAGGTGGTGGGGGGCACATGCCCGGTCGCCAGACGAGTACGTTCCAGGACGTTATCACGAGTGGAATATCGGCTTTTACGGGTCGGACGAGGGAGACGCCTCACGGTGGGAAGCCTGCCGGGGGAAGGGATCGGGCGGAGTCGGTTGGTCTTATGAGTGATGATGGAGGGTTCGATGAGGAGGCTCTCAGGCTGGCGCAGGAAGAGGAGCAGAAGCGGAGGATCGAGAGGGTGAAGGAAGTGAAACGAGGTTTAGATCAGTGGAAGGGGTGGAGAGTAGATATCGCGGATTTGAGAAGGAATGGATTAGGTCCGGGCAAGGAGACGGGTCCCGTGTTCGAGATCTAGAGAGATACCATGAAGGAAAGAAAAGAGTCTGTGACTTTTTACTTTTTTGGAGACCATTGCATCGTAACATTTCTTATCTATCGACTTGCTTTCAACAAACACGAGAGAATCTTTCATCTCCAGGGTATGCACTCTTGTTTCCCTTGATAACACCCAACAATCCGTCTCTAATACCCAACATGGCGGTTTAGATGAGCTGCTGGAAAGCACGGTTGAGTGGGGAACGGAGAGGCTTGACGTCCTTGTAGAAGTCGATGGTGGCGACGGCACGCTTGGCGACGCCCTCTGGGGTGAATTCGAATTTCTGTACAAACAAGTTAGCAGCCGTAATGAGAAGTGTGTAGTGGTGACTAGACAAACCTTGTAGACCTCGGTGTATGGACCGGAAGCACCGAATCTGTTGAGACCGAATTGCTCGTGCGAGTACTTCTCCCAGCCGAGTGTGCTCATGACCTCGATACTGAGGGCTGGGATCCCGTCTGGGATGACCGACAGCTTGTAGTCCTTTGGCTGGGCGTCGAAGACCTCCACGCAAGGCATCGAGACGACACGAGCCGCGATGTTGTGGTTGTCCTTGAGGTACTTGACAGCCTCCAGAGAGAGACCAACTTCCGAACCGGTAGAGACGAGGGTGATCTTGGCTGCGGAGTCCTCAAGGGCGACGTAACCACCCTTGATGGCCTTCTCGATGGTGGAACCCTCGAGCTGGGGCAGGTTCTGACGGGTGAGGGCGAAGATGGAAGGAGTGCTCTGCGAGGTGAGAGCGACGTAGTAGGCGGCAGAGGTCTCGTTGCCATCAGCTGGACGCCACACCATCATGTTTGGCAGGGCGCGGAAGTGGGCAAGGGTCTCGATAGGCTGATGAGTTGGGCCATCCTCACCAAGACCGATAGAGTCGTGAGTAGCGATGTAGATGACACGCTGGTGAGAGAGCGAGGAGAGACGGACGGCACCGGCGGCGTAGGAGACGAAGTTGAGGAAAGTGCCACCGGCTGGGATGAGGGTGCCGTACGCAGAGAGACCGTTCATGATACCAGCCATGGCATGCTCACGCACACCATAGCGGATATAGCGACCGCTCCACTCACCAATGCCGAGGCTTGGTGGCTGGAAGTCGACGGCGTTCTTCCAGCGAGTGTTGTTGGAGCCAGTCAAATCGGCAGAGCCAGAAAGGAGCTCTGGAACGGCCTCGTGGATGGCCTCGAGGACAGTCTCAGACAGCTTACGGGAAGCAACAGCCTTATCACTTGGCTTGTAGACTGGGAGCTTGTTCTGCCAGCCGTCTGGAAGCTTGCCAGTGAGACGACGCTTGAGGTCGGCGCCAAGCTCCTTGTGTTCGTTGGTGTACTTGTCCAGCAGCTGGTTCCACTCCTGCTCAGCAGCAGCGCCCTCCGAGGCGTGCTTGTTGTAGAGATCATACACCTCTTGCGGGACGACGAAGGTCTTTGATGGATCGAAGCCGAACTTCTCCTTGACCTGCTTGACGTCGTCCTCCTTGAGTGGGTTGCCGTGGACACCACCAGTGCCCTGGAGCTTGGAGCCGAAGCCGATGGTGGTTGTCAATCGGATCATGGAAGGCTTGTCCTTGACCTCCTTAGCCTTGGCGATGGCGGCCTCGATGCCGGCGTAGTCGCTGTCACCGTCCTTGACCCACTGGACGTGCCAGCCGTAGGCCTCGAAGCGCTTGGTGACATCCTCAGTGAAGGCGCACTTGGTGTCGCCGTCTTGTGAAAGTCAGCTTTCCATCATTTCAACTGTATTTATGTGACTCACCAATGGAGATGTGGTTGTCGTCGTAGATGGCGATCAAGTTGCCAAGCTGCAAGTGACCGGCGGTCGAGGCGGCCTCACTGGCAACACCCTCCATAGCACAGCCATCGCCGAAGAAGACGTAGGTGTGGTTGTTGACGAGGTCGAAACCTGGCTTGTTGAAGACACCGGCAGTGTGTGCCTGAGCAATGGCAAGACCAACGGCGTTGGTGAAGCCCTGGCCCAGAGGACCGGTGGTCACCTCAATGCCGGGTGTGTCGTGGCTCTCAGGGTGGCCTGGAGTGATGCTGTCGACCTGGCGGAAGTTCTTGAGGTCGTCGAGCGAGACGCCGTAGCCGAACAGGTGCAGCAGGGCGTACTGCAGCATGCAGCCGTGGCCGTTGGAGAGGACGAAACGGTCGCGGTTCAACCACTTGGGGTTCTTGGGGTTGAAGGTCATGAACTTGTTGAACAGGACGTGGGCGACGGGAGCCATGCCCATTGGCGCACCGGGATGGCCAGAGTTGGCCTTGAACGTGGCATCGACCTGGATGGCGATGCTAGGTCAGCTGTGATGCGTGGTGGTGCTGCTGTTGCGCCTCAGGTGAAGGGTTGAGGGGCGGTATGCGGCATGGCGGGGTGAGTCGACAGTCGCTGGGAGCAGCAGCTGGGCATTGGGAGACTTACGGCCAGCGTCCGGATGGTGTTGATAGCCAACTCGTCAGTCTTATCGTAGCCCATCTTTGCGGTTGTGTGATGGAGAGAGGAGGTGTGTGGGAGGAAGAAACGGAAGAAGATTGGAGCTTGTCGAGTGTCACTCAGTCTTTTTCCAACGACGTCAAGCAGCCGCCCCACAGCGAGCCTTCTTCGGCGTCTGATCGGCTCACTCTCACCTCTCAACTCTCTGAGGCCACCACGGCGGTGAAGTGATGGACGGTGATTATTCAAGGCGGTGATGTGTGATGGCTTATACAAATCAAATCGACTCCATTCTCTCCCTCAATCCCCCCTCTCTCCCACGCGGCACCTTCGGAGACGAGACACGCTGCTGCTGGCCATTATTACCAAAAGCTGACACAGATGCTCACAAGCTCCCTCGCAGCTTTGTCGGCGCACGCCTTGTTCGCCGCCTCAGGTACGGTACGTAGCCTCAGACTTCCGGCTCTACTGCTGCAGGGTCGTTCAACGGGCCATGTCCACGCCGGACGGAAGAACTGGACCTGCCATCTCGTACACGCTACTAGTGAGGGTAGAGATCTGCCGTCCACATGGAGTGGTGGCTGTTTTGAAGAGACTTTGATGACACAAAGGCTAGTTTGGCAACAGATGGCGTTGGTTCACGTCGACGGACACTCCTCAACGTTTGAAGATACTCCAGCGCTGGATTGCCCATTCGAGCCTGCCGATATTCTATAGCCTAAATGCCTGCCACGTTCACCAACATGGGACACGGATATTTCTCCGACACTACACTACCAAAAAGTGTCTTGTGAGATATACAGAATTGCACCAATGGATAGCATTGCATTTCTACATGATGGATTGCTCTCACAGTGACTTCCATTCCCACACAAAAGAGACATGCTGTTCGCTATGCTACGCTATGCTCGCTAATGCCGCAGCGTGTAAGTAAAAAAACAATTTGATCCGATGAGTGTGACTGGTTGCTTGCGAAAAAGCCTTGAACAATACCACTTTTTTCCCCTATACACCTTGCCCTTGAATGGCCTCCTACTCCACCTCACAACACGATCGTGTCATCGTCGCCGTTCGCCAGGCCAATGCCGCTGTCCATCACACGCTTCTTGCGTCCGCGAGTCGTCTTGGCCTGGACCACCTGCATGCTGGTGACCGTCGTTGATGCTCGCTCTTCAAACGATTCAAGCTCTTGAAGCACATCCTCGTCGTCCGCCGCCATCTTGTCTGCTGATGCGTCCACCTGAGCCTTAAGCTGCTTGATTTCGGCAGACTTCTCCAGTACGTACTCTCTGAACCGACCTCGAAGCGTGTTCAGATCAGATGTCAGAGTAGTGACCGTCTCACTCGTCTCTTCTGTTGTCTCGCGCAGTGTGGCAATTTCAGCGTCTCGCGCATCGAGCACCTCTTGCCAGCTCTGGTCCGCCTGCACCGCCTTCTCTTCCACCGTGAGGATCTTTTCTTGCTTGTCAAGGATGATCTTTTTGAGGTTCTCGATTTCGTCCGCCTTGTCGTTCTGGAGCTGCAACATTTGCTGGGCTTCGCTCTCGACTCTTCCCTCCAGGCCAAGCTTCTCTGCCTCCAGTTCGGCGACTTGCTCTTTCAGTTCGGCGACATCGTGGTTGAGCTCGGCAATCGTTGCGTTGCGATCCTCAATCTTGCCATTGTGCAGGTCTGCTGTCACGATGGCTTCGTCTTGAAGTTGCGTAATGAGGGTTTCGCGTTCGGCAAGGGTGGCTTTGATTGTGGTGATGCTGTCGGTGAGTCGCTCTTCCTCTTTCGTCTTTTGGGCGAGGTCAGTGCTGTAGCGCTGTTCGGCAGCTTCGAGGTCGCTCTGAAGCGTTTCGATGGTGGCCTCCTTCTCAGCAACCTCATCTTCAAGGTCAGCTAGTTGCTCGTCACGTTCAGCCACCGACTGCTCGATCTCCTGAATGCGCGATTCCGCTTCCAAAATCGTGGCAGCACGCTGCTGGGCGAGCTCTTCGGAGGCCTCTCTACGCTCAACTTCCTTGGCAATGTCCTGCTGGTACTGTTCATCGCGTTCGGAAGCCAGCTGCTCGAGTTCCTTGACCTTCTTCTCGTTCGCCTGCTGCACCTCGAACAGCTTTTGACGGAGCTCGTTGCCCTGTTTGCCCTGCTCAAGAAGCTTGGCGTTGAGGTCCTCGATTTCATCCCTCGCCGCATCGTGCTGGACACGCTCGTCTTCGTTGATCGAACGAAGCTCCTCGAGCTCTGTTCGAAGTGCAGTGAGCTCTTCGTCCAACCGATCAACACGAGTCTCCAAATCTTCAACTTGGGTGTCCTTCTCCTGAATCTCTGCGGCGTCGGCCTCGCGTTGAGCAGTCAACTCTTCAATCTCGTCGCGCAGGGCTTCCAATTCCTCGTCCTTCTTCTCAATCTGCAGTTCAAGTCCGGTGATCATGGACTGGCGCTCTTCGTTCGTCTGCTCAGCTTCGGCACGGGCTTGATTCTCTTCATCCAAACGATCTTCCAGCTCGCGTACAGTCTGCTCGCGCTCTTCGTTCATCTTGGACACTGTGGTCTTGTGCTCCTCTTCCATCTGGGCGATGAGCTGCGTGAGGCGACTCTCCTCATCTTGGTAGTCTTTCAAAGATGCCTTCAAGCGCTCGAGGTTGGTTGCATGATCGTCGTTCTCTTCAGTGAGAGTCTCTGCCTCCTTCGTCTTCGCTTCCAGCTCCTCGTCGAGGCTATCCCGCTCATTGATGATACCTTGGAGTTCTTCTTGCAGATTCTCAATCTGGCGAGTCTTCTCGTCGCTCTTCTTGTCTATCTCGTCCCAACGGTCCTGGAGTTGCTTGATACGGTAATCACGCTCCGCAAGATGCTCAATGAGTCCTTGAATCTGTCGACCAAGCTCAGCCGCGAAGTCGTCCTGGTCCTCAAGCTGCTTATGTTGGGTCTTCAGACGGTCGGCAAAGTCCGTCACGTTTGACATTATCACATCAAGCATCTCCTCGTTGGACAAGTCTTCAGTTGAGGGGTGGAGAAAGCCATGGAGGCTCTCGCGAATCTTGATGAGCTTCTCTCTGATGTTCACCACAACCATACCCGCGTCCTCACCCGCAAATCCAAGACCTTGAAGCTCGATCTGTATGACTTGAAGCGATGTCTTCGCCTCGTTGGCCTCATGGCTCAGCAAAAGGATGGCATCCTGAAGTCGCTTGCGTTCCACAGACCACTCACTCTCATATGAGCGTCTCTGGGACTGGCTGAGCGACTGCTGTTCGTTGGCCATGTACTCAGAGTCTTCTCCCAAGTCCTTTGCTGGTTCGGACTTCCACACTTGTTGTTGGCTTGCAAGGACCAGCATCTGCTCGTCCAAGTTGCCGAAACCTGTGTTGGCATCCTCCTCTTGTAATTCGGCAAGCTCATTCTCGATATCCTCAATCTTGGCCTTCGACTTTAGCTTCCTCTGTTGCTCGAGCTGAATTTGAAGCTTATGGATGCGAGCCCGGCGCTGCACACGCTCCTCCAAGATCTCGTCCAAGGGAGCAAGCTCGGCATGCTCTTCCAAGACCTGGTCGGACTCCTCCTGAGAAAGCGCTGCGGGAAGAGAGTGACGGACGGATATGCGTCTGAAGCGCTTGGATGGTCGCCCGTGGTCGGCACCTTCGGTGGGTGACTCTGTCATTCGGCGCTTGCCAGCCATCTTGCGCGGGTGTGGTGTGATATGAGTCGCAGTTGTCTGTAGTTCTTCGTCTGGAGCTGTATCACTACCGAAGCGCACGTGCTTGTCGGAAAACTGGGAGGCGCCTGCGAGCTCGTCTTCCTCTTCTTCAATCACTTCTTGGACCTCATCGAGCATCTCGTGTTCCTCGTCGACAGTGGATCGCAGCGTCCGCTTTGTGCGCTTGCCTGCTGCTGTCTGGCTCTGGACGGAAGGAGCTTCTGATATGCTTGAGGCATCGCTGGCCTTTCTGCGGCCGCGGGTCTTGCTCTTCTTTGGAGGCATGTCTCAAACGTCGTGATACTGTCTAATTTGCTGTATGATTTGGGATTGGGATTTTGAAGAGGTGCGTCGGAAAAGGAGTCGCGGCGATGATGCGTAGAGCAGGCGGGGAAGGTGGGAATGAGCAGGATCAAGATGGCAGGTGTGTGCATCGTCCTGCCTCCAAAAATTAACACCCGGCGACGTCACGCGTCCGTACAAGGAAACCGCGTTTTCGGCCACCAATCACGGGCTGCGGAGTGGGGCATTCACATGTCCAGAAGTGACTGTTTGAGACCTCACTATTTTCAATGACACTGTCTAATGCATGAACGAGAGTCGACACCATCACTCATCGCGTTGAACGTGCACTTCATAGACAGGAGTTTGGTCCGTCTTCCTACTGTCCTGCGCGAACATGAGCTAGATATCTCAAGTCGGGACACATTCGATCCAAATGTCCTGAGACGACTAAGGTCCATCCACATGGCCATGATTGGGCCAGATGCCATTTCTTCGCGATCGTCTCATCCAACCTCGCGCACGCTGCACCACGTCTCATAGACTTGCTAAGAAGGCGCTTTCACTGGCTTCCAGGTCTTACTTCGCTAGCAGAGTGAAGACAGTGTGCCGCACCATGCACGCCGACATGTAGAGGTAGCATGGAATACATGCTGCCGTCGTTGCTTGTTGTCACGATGCGTCGTTCGACTGTGCGTCAAATGAGGCAAGGGCAAGTAACTCCTCGAGCAGCAGTCTCCGTCTGTGAATGGGAGGTAGTCTTTCTTCCTTCATGCCTTCATGCTTGCGCAAGAGAGGGACGTCTTCTCGACCCATGAAGTTTCTGCATCGTGAAGGATACCAATTCAGGTTAAGTCGCGACAGGAAGCTGGCTCATTCTTGATCGATATTCAGGACCGCAGTTGAATGCTTCACAGAGTCCTCGAACATCTGCAAGGTGGCAAGGCCATTATTGAAAATTTGGGTCGTTTCCATTATGTTGATGAGGCGACTGCTGGCCCCAGGCTTCAAGTAGATGAGCCATCCCAGTCCTCCTCTCTTGGCAAATTGTTCCGTTATCGATGCTGTCCCGGCTTGCAGTCAGCAGTGTAACTTGACGTGCCACGGTATGATGCTGTTGTGCTGCGACCCATGCAGAGGACGTGTACGAGATTCCGCCTGTGACCATTGTGAGCGCTGCATCTAGACTCTTCACGATAGCATCTTGCGACGCATGTCCGTGTCGGGCGTCGTCATCCTCGAAGGAGAGAACGTCGAGTTTGAGAAAACAAGGAGGTCGGTCAGCCTCAATTTGTGATTGGGTGGAGAGCGGCCAGCCTTACTGACTTGATTTAGCGCGAAAACACGAGCCGTTGAGGCTTGACGACGATGATGATGAACTCCGACCTCCACGCACGTCTTTCGTTTCATCGAGAGCGCAGCACCGCGATTCACTCGGAGGCTCACCAATCGATGAGCTCGGCGCACTCGTGAGGGTGCGTGGTTGTCGTGGGTTGTCGGGTCGAGAAATATCAATACGCGCCGTGGAGTTACCCCCTGGTCACCCGGTGATTGATGAAACGCTGAACGCAGGGAGACTCTGAGAGAACACGGCTTGGCCAAATCTCGCCCGCTGTCTGTCCCAGCATTCCTCTCCTCGCTCGCTCGATGCTCTCTCTGCAGGATTCAACACACCAAAGTCGGCCTTGACTGCCACTCATTCCCTCGACCATCCTTCGCGAAACCAATTGGGTCGGCAGGCTGGCCTCCTCATTCACTCGTTCCACCTGATAGCACTGCTATTGTCCACCGCCGTCGACGCCTTGAGCGACATCTCACTCTTTCACGATCCGACATCTCGATACACTTCGCAGTCGTGCTGGACACGACTCGCACAATCGCAACGACATCTCACGAACCCAAATCGACATTGACCGACCAAAATCACACGCATCGAGTCAGTAAAGCTGCGTTTGACACGTGAGCGAACGCTGTTTTCTACCTCGACATGGCTTCTTGGAAATGGGCGCTGCTAGCAGCAGCTATGCCGTATGCTTTGGCGGAGGAGGAGTCTGCAGCTGAGAAGGAGGCAAGCATTACCAACAACAAGATGGTGAAATACATTGGCTGGACATGGGCTGGAATCATTGGCATTGTCTTGATCTACCGATGGACCTTGCACCTGCTGCAACATGTCCGCCAACTCGCCAACCTCAACCATGGCACCTCTTCCGACGGCAGACAGCGCTACTTCAGCATCCCCGATGAGCGATGGGCTCGATTCAAGCGCCATTGGCTGTCGGCGCCATTGCTCAGGCGCAGACACAACAAAGAGTTCAGGCTCTCTGCTGCGATCAACGTCGGCACCTTACCTGGCCGTATGCAGTCGTTTTTCCTGGTTGGCTATTTCGCCCTGAACATCACCTTCACCGTCTGGAAGATCGACTGGAGCAGCTCTGAGTTCTACCATACCGGTCTGAGCCGTACTGGTATACTCGCGACTCTCAACATGGTTCCACTATTCCTCCTCGCTGGACGTAACAACCCCTTGATCTGGCTGCTCGGAATTAGCTTCAACGACTTCAACATGATCCACCGCTGGATTGGACGTATCTGTGTATTCGAGGCCGTCGCCCATGCTGGGTTCTGGTTCGGTGGCAAGGTCTTCACTAACGGTGCAGAGAAGGGCTACAAGATGATTGCAGCAGCCATGGCGAACTCTACCTTCATTCTCACGGGAACCATCGGCTTCTGTGCTTTCTGCGCTCTTCTTCTCCAGTCTCCGTCCATCATTCGACATGCCTTCTACGAGACGTTCCTGCACCTTCATATTGCGCTTGCGATCACTGCTGTTGTCGCAGTCTGGATGCATCTGGACGGCATGGCCGCCCAGCTCATCCTTCTCGGTGCATTAATCTGCTGGATCTTCGAGCGCCTCGTCAGAGTCTACCTGATCGTGCGAAACAACTTTGGCAGACGCGGCATGACCAAGGCTCAGATCGAAGCACTTCCTGGTGATGCCATCCGAGTTACTCTGCATACGGCAAAGAAGTGGAAGTTCAGGCCAGGCCAACACATCTACCTCTACATCCCCAGCATCGGCATGTGGACCAGCCACCCTTTCTCGCTCGCCTGGAGTGAAGAAAGCCCTGATCTTGCGAATGAGAAGTCACTTCCCATGTCGCGACAGGACATCTTCTCTGCGAAAACGACGTCGACCTCGCTTATTATTCGTCGTCGCACTGGTTTCACAGATGCGTTGTACAAGAAGGCAGAGGCCGCTGATAAGGTTGGACTGACCACCAATGCATGTGTCGAAGGACCATATGGGCATGAGAGCTTCCAGTCATATGGCACCGTCATGCTCTTTGCAGCCGGAGTTGGCATCACGCATCAAGTTCCACATGTGCGCGACCTCGTTGCAGCATATAGCAATGGTACATGTGCTACCCGGAAAGTTGTCCTTGTCTGGATCATCCAATCACCTGAGCACTTGGAATGGATTCGACCCTGGATGACTTCTATCCTCGGAATGGAGAAGCGTCGTGAGATCCTCAAGATCCTACTCTTCGTCACCAAGCCTCGCAGCACAAAGGAGATCCACTCACCCAGCGCCAGTGTCCAGATGTTGCCCGGTCGCCCGGAAGTCAGTGCACTCATCGCCAAAGAGCAGCAGTCTCAAATCGGAGCAATGGCCATCAGCGTCTGCGGTACGGGTGCCCTTAGCGATGATGTGAGACGAGCAATGCGTGATCGCTGCGAGTACACGGAGATGGACTTCTTCGAGGAGGCTTTCTCGTGGTAGTTCCTCGCTGGGACTTCCTCGTGGATGGCCTATAGAGCCGCAGCTGATGAGAGTGTTCGCCTTGGGCGTGCCAACGAAGAAAATAACGTGACAAGGAGTTTGGAGCCGTTTTCGTTTCGAGCAAGGACGTTGGATACTGTGGCATGGTTGAGCAGGAGCTTCGGTCTCTTTCCCTGGCCTCTTCATTTCTTTTCATTGCATGTATATTACCAGCATTCGAGCTTCTCCATTAGGGGCCGGCAAGCCAGCCTTGCACAGCATCGCAGGCGGCTACGGTAGTACACGAACTTGCAGAGACATATGGGACATCCTGCAAACAAAATGTTCATTTTGAACGATCGAAGTCCTTTAACAACCTTTCCTTCAAGTTCTCTGTAGAAGTCGCATGGTAAAGAGAGTCCTGGAGCACCGCAGCGGCTTGGCTTCCTGCAGACCTTTCGGACCTTCGCCGTCGCAAATGTGTTTGCTTTGAGGCTACATTCGAGTGACCATGTGTTTCTATTACATGTTTGGTCGCCGGCTGTTTCGACTTGCCACCGAATATTGATTAAGCTTGATTAAGCCGAGCGCTGAAAGGAAGCGGCAGCTTGCGCCGTGCGCACGGATCCTCCGTACGCATTCGCAGCTCGACATCATCTATACCACTTCCTCCCATTCACTGCACACACTTTGCTGCATTTGCGAGCCAATTCATACCGCCTTTTGGCCCAACCAGCTCACCAACCATCTCCGAACCGCAAAATCCCCACTCCACAGTCGCCCAACCTGTCCGAATACAACGTAGGCCGCAGTCTCCGGGCAAACATCCCCTCCGATCCATCCCAGATGAGTGACGGAGCAGGGGCTACGGCACCCAAGCCGAGCAGCAGTGTCAAGTTGGTTCTGCTCGGTGAAGCTGCAGTCGGAAAGGTAAAGACAGCGTGAAATGATGAGGGAATATAGGCGCTGACAACACCCAGTCCTCGCTCGTTCTGCGCTTCGTCAACAACGACTTTCAACCTAACAAGGAACCCACGATTGGCGCTGCTTTCCTCACACAAAAATGTCAACTACCGAACCGGACGATCAAGTTTGAGATATGGGATACCGCCGGTCAGGAACGATTCGCCAGCCTCGCGCCCATGTATTACCGCAACGCCCAATCTGCCCTCGTCGTCTACGATGTCACCAAGCCATCGAGTCTAGTCAAAGCGAAACACTGGGTCGCCGAACTGCAGCGACAAGCTTCGCCGGGGATTGTCATTGCTCTGGTTGGCAACAAGCTTGATCTCTGCGAAGATGACAATACGGAGAGTGAGCAGGCAGATGCTGAGAACGAGACAGAGGAAGAGCCGAGCACAGCACGGAAGGTCAGCACCAAAGAAGCAAAGTCATACGCCGATGAGGAGAACCTGCTCTTCTTCGAGACCAGCGCGAAGACTGGCCATAACGTGAGCGAGGTCTTCACCGCTATCGCCAATGCTATCCCCGAGACAAGCTTGAAAGGTCCACGGAGTGGCGCCAGTGGAGGCACGCAAGCTGCCATCAGTGCTGGCCAGGATAATAACAGAGTGAACCTGAATGCACGGGGTGATGCTGGACCTAAAGAGGGCTGCGCGTGTTGAGCGCGTCGTGTGTCGGCTCTCGAACACTCGCTTTTGTCTATGAGCGTGAAGCACGGCGTTCTGCTTACTACTATGGCAATAGGGTATGGGTTGCGACTATCAATGCAAAGAGCACTTCCAGCAAGAACCTGGTGACGTACCACCTGTTTCCTTATACAGCCAGTCGGCGTGTCAGCAGAACACGTAAAGTAGGAGCTCTCCCATGTCCTTCACGCAGCGTCAGTGTCAGCCTTGGGATCTTGTTCCAGCCGCGATTGACCGCCCCGGCAATCCGTTCACATATAATCTTCTTCATCATACGATCACATCTCATGTACTGACAACGAAACAACATATGTGACTGTACCGGCCTCTCCTCTTGTCAAACGATCGAAATCCACGCACCATATCAAGATGTCTGTGGCAAAGATTGACCTACCAAGTACCATCAACACCCGACTCAACTACTATCTCGATCTCGACCAAGGGGGCACCAGCGTAACGTACCCGGAACTGCCGGCGACAAGTTGAGGAAGTCCGATGTTTTGACCGATCTCAGGAGCTGCGAGGAGGACTTTACTTTGGATAGAAATGGCTTCCAGCTTGTGCAGCATGAAAGTCGGGAGAAGTCGTTTGATGATGACGCGAGGGTGAAGGATTTGGTGTATCGAGAGACGGTTGGGTTGCTTAAGGATGTGTACGCTTTCTGATGATTGTTAATGAGGCGTTGGCTGACCTTGAACAGCACCGGGGCGTCTTTGGTTGCGCCTTTCTCTCACATGTAAATTAAGCGAAGGTGTTGCCGGAGTGCCAATAAGTCTAATACTTCGACACCAGCATCCGACGGCAATCATACAAAGAGAGCATCGAAGCCGCCAAGAAGGCGAAGGAGATGGACATTGTAGATGAAAGGACTACGATCCTGGGTCTATCAACTGATGGATATGATCCAGATACGCTCTATGAACCCAGCCATATTCTGTCACGTCGACCAGAGCTATAACGGTGCTCTCCAAGTCCTGGAGGATAATATGTCTCCTCCAGAAGCAGAAAGATGGAAGCGGTCGCGATGGGGAATGTAAGAAGTGATAAGACTATTGCGAGGGCATGGCTGATACTCCAGCTCCAGTATCAACGTCTGGCGACCGATCGAACGGGCCGTCCTCCGCGAGCCGCTCGCCGTCTGTGATGCTCGAACGGTCGACGAGGCTGATCTTCGTCCGGTCATGGCTTTCTTGCCCCAGAAAGGCGCCGGAACGTTCGATCAAGTCTCGAAAGGCAAAGGCTTTGAGATCTGGAATCTTGCGAAGAATGAAGATCACAAGTGGTATTATGCCTCGAGGATGTAAGAATGCTCGGAGAAATCCGATAAGCATGCCTTTCTGACATGCCTCGTTTTGCTAGGATTCCTGAAGAAGTGCTCTTGATCAAATGCTTTGATTCGAAGAACGACAGGGCGAGACTGAGTCCTCATACTGCTTTTCAGTGCGAATTCGACGAAGGACCGCCAAGACAGAGTATTGAGGTGCGATGTTTGGTGTTTTGGGAAGATGATACTGCCGCAGTAGACTAGCCGTCAAATGTCAAAGCTTTGCATGTGACTGTAATGTCTGTGAGCCTGAGGCAGTGACTGTCCCACTACTTTTACTGTAGTGGCTGAGCTGCACGTCACCTTCCACCATCTCCCAGCTGCCTTGCTCTTCCTCAAGTTCAACTCTTGCACTGCCAGCCTTGCTGCACACATCAACTTCCATACTCAACAGTAACACCCGACGTCCAGTCACGAACAGAAACTTCAACTTCCGGCTGGAACGTGCACACGTGATCAAGTGATTCTTCAAGATAGCAAACAATCGCGTTAAGACCGGGAGCCGCTCGGGGAGCTGACAACATGGACGACAACACCTTCCAGCACGAGCTCACGCGACTGAAGCATCAAGTCTCTCAGATGGCGTCTACTTTCCAGCGCTCCCCTGTCGCTCCGCAGCCTCTGGGTCGTGCCGATACGTTCCATCATCAACTTTATGATCTCAAGTCTCAACTCGAGTGTATGCAGAACAGCCTCAGCTCACTGACTGGAACACCGACCCGAGCACCCTCAACTCAACTTTCCCAACCAGCAGACGTCTACTCGGCACTCTCGAACAATACTAATACTCTGCTTGAACCTCACAGTCAACTCAGTCTCCCTTCTGGGCCACTTTTCTGGCAACTATTCACATCTCTTCGGACCGACGTGCGTAGCCTGGACACTCGCGTGGCTGACATAGAACAGCACGTGTCGGATGTGGAAGATCGAATGCTACGGAATGTGTCTGATCTTGAGGATCGAATTGACAAACTTGATCCCAGCCAGCTCACGCCTGCTGCTAGTGAGAACACTACTCTAAACACATACGACTCTTATGCTCCGCCGACCTTTCAACAATCTGGCGATGAGTGGCCTTACACCTTATCAACTGCACCAGTGCAAGACCCTTGGTCCGCTTGGTACTCGTACTCCAATGACTGGGCAACACCAAACCCTCCAGCCGCTACCGATAACGTCGCTACAGAGCCCACGTCTGGTCCGGCGAATCCGTCTCATTCTCAATTTGAGAACTCTTCGCCAGGCTCTGAAGGCGTGGCGTTCAGAGACCGTGAGATCGCTCAGCTTGACGAGCTCATGCGGAAAGCGCAGGAAAGCATTCAGAACTCCGATACTGTGATCTCCGAGAAGGATGGACAGATTCAGCAGCTCGCATCAGAGCGAGATTATTCGAACGAGAAGATTGAAGAACTTGAGCGAGTGATCTTCCACCGGGAGAACACCATTCGAAAGTGCCGTGAGACCTTCGAAGAGCAGAATAACCAACTTGAGCTCTTGCAAGACAACTGCGAATCGAAGGATGCTGCCATTTACGGGTACAGTTCGAGGTATTACACTCTGCAACAGGCTTTCCTCGACAAGAAGACGCAGCTTTGCCACGCTGATCGACAAGTCCAACAGCTGCAGCACGCGCTTCACGATATGCGAACGAGCATGGCCGACGAGATAGCAGAGTTGAGGAACATCAAAGACGAAGAGATTGGGAAGCTCCGTGATTTCTGCGAGGCTCGAGAGGCCGTTGTGCAGCAGCAAGAGCAGATCATTGCGCGCGGTGCCAGTCTCCTGGAGGACCGCGATGCCGAGCTTGAGAAACTCGGCCAGCAAATGAAGGGCTTGGATGACGACTATCGGAACGAAACAAGGGAACGTGCAAGGTAAGTAATACAATGGACTACCGGTCTTCTGTTGCGTCGTCACTGACCACACCACCGTATGCAGATTTGCAAGATTGCTTGACGAGCGTGACGAGGAAATTGGTCAACTGAAGACTTCGCTTTCGAATGCCTTGACGCCTCATTCTAGGCAGGGCAAGCGTGAGGCGGACAAGACTCCCTCTGCGGTTGACCGCGATGAGAAGGTACTCTATCACCCTTCTCCCTTCGCGACTGCTGCAACACCAGGCCGCAGAACAACCTCCAACACAGGCCAGTGGACTCCAAAGGCGATTGACAACTACACACCGCTGCCTCATGAACAAAGACGAGCGTCGGTATGGAAAACAGGCCTGCAGCCTGCTGAGCAGCATCATAAATTCGGAGTTCCAGGGAAATTGGCATCGCCATCCCCGTCGGAGGAGAGGACACCGCCGGAAAACAAGAGTCGTGATCTTCGGCGTAGCGATAGCCTAAAGCTGTTGGAGCGACTTGCATTGGCTGAAGAAGGCGGCAGTCGCCCAGCCAGGTCTCATCATCATCATACCGGTTCTAAGCGCGTCACGAAGCGATCAAGACTTCCTCTGGACAACGACGACGACGACATAGCCTCTCGCCCGCCTTTGCCCGCGCGTGTACCGCCACGGAAGATGCTCTCCGTCAATGAACTTGGCAGTCGAGCAAAGAATGATGGCGAGACAGGTCATCAACGCCCAATATCCAGACATCAGTCCATACAAGAGTTCCCCAGACACAACAGACTACAGGCCTATGTAGAGGACGGTGCGAGTGGTGGTGACGTATAGACGAACAACGTCAGTTGAGCGGTCGCAGGTGGAATGTCGGGCCAGGAGCGGCAGCCTATGGCAGATGCAGTTGCAAATACATAAGCACCTCATGCGACAAGTGCGCTTGCCTCTCTCCAGCTGCTGCGGGATGGTGTCGGGTTGTTAGTGCTCACGGGATGATTTGGACCGGCATCGCACATCGCAGACGTGGCGCCTATGGCCAGACTGCTGGTGGTCCACAGCTCGGTCTATGTGGATATGGGTTGATGCCCACGGGCACGAATTTGTCCGAATCATGGTCCGCTCGACCACTGTGATCGAATGCATCTCTGGTAGGATCACAGCTCAATCAGCCGCTGGAAACGGACACTTAGCCGCATCTGCAGTAAGCCGCGTCTCACGCGTTCCGTGGTCACAATGGCTTTGTGGGCGAGAGTGGGCAGTCCACGGTGTCTTTGCAGCCCAACCTCTTCGCCCACACTTTACACTTCGTCGCCGACCGAGGCGCACGGGGCGGTGGTCCCCGGGCCTTGAAGCGTGACGTCTGCTTGCATGTGGGTTTAGTACTGACAGCGGTTCCCTACCATCTCGACCCTTTTATTTCCCTTGGGAGGTCCTGACCACCAGACAGCTATAGAGTACATAGCTGCTCGACCACTACTGCGTTTTCCCGCCGCACGACTGAAGCTTCATAGTTTTGTCAATCAGCATCCATCATGCCTGCCTACCCGGACGACTCACCACCCCGTGAGCGAAGGCCACGGGACAGACGGCCCCCGCCTCCTCGTGACTACGACGACGGGGATGACGACGATGACACTTACCGCCGCCCTCCACCGAAGCGTGACCCTCGCTACGAAGATCCAAGGGCGAACGGACGGCCGAGCAGAAGACGTGACACATACGATGCCAGTGACGAGGATGATTATCCGAGGAGACGTCGCCCCGAGCGTCGTGCCCCGAAGGATGAGGTGAACGGCGAGCCTGATATCCCTCCACCACCCATTGGAGAAGATCGTAAGGGCGGTGGTAAGCCTTCCACAGAAGAGAGGCTTCCACCTGGTGCTATCCCAGTCCCGGGCACTGAAGCTGCCACCAATGGTGGTTCCCCGCCCGGCCGCAGACCACCAAAAGCAAGCAGAAGCCCGAAGCGGCCAAAGGATACAGGACCATACGATGATGCAGAGGTCAAGCCCGATCCTCGCAAGTCTTCAAGACCAAGAGATGATTACGGCGACGCTGAGCCTCCACGTCGCTCGAAAGGCCGTGATCGGGACCGCGATCGGGAGAGATATGACTACGACGAACCTCCACGTCGGGCCAAGCCAGTAAAGGATCCACGAGATGCAAGGGATCCAAGAGATGGAAGAGATCCATATGACGAGCCACCTCGCCGCAAGCCATCCCGCAACGATGACGACCCACGACGCAGGCGACCTGTCTACCCAGACGAAGACACCGAGCCAGAATACGAGCGTCCTCGCAGACGCGAGAAACCCAGCAGATACGACGACGGCTACGGCACAGACAGACCCCGCCGCCAGCCGCGCGGGGACGATTACTACGACAGAGGCTACAGAACAGACGGCCGCGACTCCCGACGCTACCGAGACGACGACCGGCGAAGACGCGACGACCGCCACCGCGACGACTACGACGACTACGACCGCCGCCATCGCGACCGACCCTCTCGCAAGAGCGGTGGTGGTGGCGGCGGCGGCGCCGACCTCGACGGCATGCTCGAGAAGGGCCAGAAAAACTGGAAGAAGGTGGAGCCGATCGCGAAGCCATTGCTTCAACAGCTGGCGAAGCAGTACCTCGGAAACGCCGGGGGTAGGTAGATGGGCCAGATGCTCTTCTATCCGGTATTATGAATACGGCAGGTCACACACGATGTGGCAGCGCGAAACAGTGCCAGGCGAACCGGCGGTGTGATTTGATTGTGACTGTGATGGAATAAGATGATGTGTGTGATGTGTGAGATATGTATGGGGATGTGATCGTTTCGAGTGATATCTGGGATCTCTGGAGTTGAGGGCATGGAGTCGAGTTTGAGTGATGAGTTTGTATGAAGAACATGAACTTCTCTCTTTTTTTCTGGTCTACTTCAAGTATGTAGCTTTGCGAATGAGACCGGTATGTCCAGTGAAGTAACAAAACATCTTGTTGGTGAACTGAGTTGGTTGATAACGGGTTGCTTCATGCGTGGTAGTGAACTGTTGTTTGTTTAGCTTGCTCAAGGCTCATTGAAGAATGTGCTTGTAGAACCATGTGAGCTAACATGTATGTTCTCTTTGTCTGCTGTTTGGTAGTGCGGCCGCCCACGTCCGCCTGCTGACAACGAGCTTGAAGCTAGGCTGTTGAGTTCCCGCGGCTCTCTCAGCTACTACGTCTTCGAGCCATTGATGAGAGGGAGGCGTCAAGTAGCGCTAGTCTCTTCGAAGAGCCATTTCGAATGTCTATAAGAAGCTGCAGACTTGCATGGAACAACAGCAAGACCGATCCATCTATTTGTTTCTTCTCTGATTTCTGAGACTGCTTTCGACAACCACCATGCCCAAAATCATCTGCGGCCTCATGGGCACCTCCGTAGCCTCTGGTTCATCCTCCCTGTCCGGCTCCAATAACCTGAGACCCTTCCTTCAAATGCTCACTTCACACGGCGTCAAGGAACTGGACACAGCCCGGGTCTACAACTCCGGCAAAAGCGAAGAAGATCTAGGAACCATCCCTACAGCTCAAGAAAACTTCTTAATAGCGACAAAAGCCCCCGGATTCTCACTGGGTTCGCTGAGTTACGACAAGATCATCGAGAACTGCTCCAAGTCCCTGGCGGCGTTGAAGCAGGATCGCATAGGGTTGTATTATTTTCATGGACCGGATCGGGAGACGAAGGTGGAGGAGTCGTGTCGAGCGATTAACGATTTGTTCAAGGAGGGGAAGATTGAGCGGTTTGGGGTTTCGAATTGTAGTCGGGAGGAGGTTGAGGAGATTCATGGTGTTTGCAAAACGAATGGATGGCTTGTTCCGACCGTGTATCAGGGAGGGTATAATCCTTTGCTTAGGACGACCGAGACGGCGCTATTTCCTACGCTGAGGAGGTTGGGGATGGTGTTCTATGCGTACAGTCCGTTGGGTGGAGGGTACTTCTCGAGGCCCACCGAGCAACTGCGCACTCCTCCAGCCGGCGGTCGCATGGATCAGATGAAAGTCTTCAGCAGCATCTATGTCAACAACCTGTCGTTGAAACTGCACGAGATGTTGGAAGAAGCGTGCAAGAAGGAGGATCTGTCCTTGAAGACCGCGACTTTGCGATACTTGACGCATCATTCTGCACTAGGTAAAGATGATGGGATCATTCTTGGTGCGAGCAGCCTTGAGCAAATGGAGCAGAACCTCGAAGCTTGCGAGGGAGACCCGTTGCCTGACGTGGTGGTTTCTGCGTTCGAGACTCTGTGGGCAGAGTATCGGAAAGCGTACAACCCAGCGTATTGTGTATAGTACCAAGGTTAAGCACTTGAGGACCTGAATGACAATGTCAGTGATTAAGAAACATCTTCTATCATCAGTTTCTCCCATACCAGTCGAGAAGTCCGATTGTATTCATCCGGTAGCCATCTGATCACGGTCGAAACATGCATCGCCCGATGTCCTAACTTAGACAGATCGTGCAACGTTCTCAACCAAACTTGGCATCATATACTGATGCGGCAGTGTACGAACTTGTTGATGATAGTCGATGAGTTGTAATTGATGCATCATGCCTCCACGTCATCCTGCTACGTTGGGCAGGGCCATGTCATGCATAACAGCCGCTGCTTGGCGCACCTTGGTTTTGGCGGTTGCGATATCGTCAGGCGTGGGAGGTAGTCCACTCGATGAATCGGATGCCGGACGTTGCATTTGCTGGGCCAGGTAGAGCTCCTTGACCCTATGAGCGGCTGCCAGCGTGCTCGTAGCGAGGTCGATCAGCAGTTCAGCTTGCATGAGCTCTGCCGCATTGGTGACGACTTGGTCATTGGAATTGGACGCCGAAGCTGGGTCGACGTTCATCGTCATGAAAGAGTCTGTTCCTGCTGAATTCCCACGGAGCTGAGAATCATCCTCCACATTGATCGAGTCGTCGGTTTGCGTGGCCGTTCTGTTCGGAGCGATTCGCTTCTGTGGACCATGAGCACAGTTCGTGGGATAGTGCAGCACTTCTCCTGGATTCGGTGGCTCTCCAGAACCTTCTTGCTGGTCGCGAGGTGCTTTCGAACGAGGACCACGCCGCTTCTCAGGGGGCACTGGCCTCTTCTTGTTGTACATGCCCTTGCCACGGGCTCGGTCGGTGTCGTAGGGCACCAGTCCCCAATAAGTCTGGAGACGCCATACCGTCGAGGCACCTCCTTTAAAGTCGACGCCTTGAGCCTCCAGAGCGTTGGCGATTTCTTCAGCAGTCTGGCCTTGCTTCGTCCGCTCTGTGATATCGGCCTTTCTCTCCAACTGTGCCTTGGCTTTGGCGGCTTTGGTGAGCTCTCCCGGTGCGGTGGACTTGCGCTTTCGATCAGGATATTTCCTGCCGAGAGTGCCCGCCGCACGTTTCCTCAATCCCCAGCTAACTCGGTATCGACTGATAGTCTTGGCGGAGGTCTGGAAGCCGGAGGCGCGAAGAGCAGCGGCGATTTGCTCACAGCCGTCGCCATTTGCGGTTCGCGCCTCGATCTCAGCGCGATGCTGCTCCATCGCGGCGGCCTGCGAGTTCGACGTCATTTCGAAGGCTTGTGAACAGTCTCGATTCCGCAAGCAATGTGCCTAATGCGGCTGCGACCGGCCGACAAATCTGTGTTGTTGATTGACGTCCTGTTGTGTTGTTGACGAGGAGAAAGAGGGGCTGGGAAGGCTGAGACAACAAGTGCAAGAAGGCACAAGCGGCTCAAGCCGCACCTTCCCGATGGCACAGGGGCAACTTTTCCGATCCAACTTGACTGACCTTCCCCAGATCTCCACAAACAACGACGAGACTTCGACATGCATCGCCGTGTCAACTGCCATGGTAAGCGTGGGAGGCCCACATCATTGGCAGACTAGGTAGGCAAATACTGAGCTATAAAGGTCTGCTCTGGGACTGCTCCCAAGGTCAAGTACTTTTCCTCATATCTCCTTTTCGTTCACCATGTCTCTCGATACAGATGTTCTTATCATCGGGGCCGGGATGAGTGGCTGCGGCCTTGCGATCCAGCTCATTAGGAAATATGGCTTTCGTAAATTCAATATCATCGAGAAGTGTGGAGACGTAGGGGGCACATGGTGTGTATCAATGCAGACGATGCCAGTCTTCAGCTGCAACAGAGACTAACACATTCTCTTCTAGGCTTGTCAACACTTATCCCGGATGTGGCTGCGATGTAGCCTCACATTTCTACTCATACTCCTTCGCTCTCAACCCAGATTGGAGCCAGAAGTTCTCGATGCGGTCAGAAATCCAGGCCTACTTCCGAAATGTAGCTGAGCAGTGAGTATTGCGTCTAATTGGGGTAAAGGTGAGGCATCGCTGACAAGTGGTGTCTCTAGATATAACTTGATACCGCACACCAAGTTCTATTCCTCTGTAGAGACCGCCCGCTGGAACGAAGCTGACCAACTCTGGGAAGTCACCATCAAAGACGAGAAGACCAAGCAGACACGGCTATGGCGGTGTCGAGTTCTTGTATCCGCTGTAGGCTCACTGTCCATCCCTAAAAAATGCGAAATACTTGGTGCGGACACGTTCAAAGGACCGCTCTTCCACTCCGCTCAGTGGGACCACAAATTCGACTGGACAGACAAAGACGTAGTTGTACTTGGAAACGGCTGCTCTGCGACACAATTCGTCCCTGTGATGGCAGAGAAGGCTCGGAGTCTGACTCAGTTTGCCCGTCAACCGCATTTTCTAGCGGAGCGGCCAAATCCGGTCTATAGCTCAACATGGAAGGCGATCATGCGCTACGTACCTCTGGCCATGCGGCTGTATCGTTTCAAGCTCTACGCAGATATGGAGAAAGATTTTGCTGGGTTTGACATCGAAACTGGAGCCAGTATTCGACAAGGCCTGAAAGAAGAGAACGAAAAGTATGTAAAGCGCATGGCCCCTGAGAAGTACTGGGATGCTCTCATACCGAAGCACGAGATCGGATGCAAACGCAAAGTCATGGATACAGACTACCTCACCTGCCTCCATCGCAACAACGTGGAGCTTGTGCACGATGATCCGGTCGAGGGCATAGTCGAGGATGGAATACGGACGCGAAGTGGGAGGATATTGAAGGCAGACGCTATTATACTGGCCACCGGATTCGAGGTCTTCCGAATGTTGTTCCCCATGGAGATTTTTGGCGAGAACGGTGTCAGCTTGAATGACTACTGGGACAAGAACCACGAAGGCGCTGCCCAGGCATATCTAGGGACGTCGATACCCGGCTTCAAGAACTTCTTTACAATGGTTAGTGTTTCCTGAATAGCGGAGGGGCCATGATTATGCTGACAGTTCTTTTCCAGATGGGTCCCAACACGGTAACAGGCCACCTGTCTGTGATCTATACTGTCGAATGCCAGATCAACTTCGTCCTGCGTCTGATCGAGCCGATCCTGAAAACCACACACCAGAGCCGCAAGCTGCTACGATCCCCAGAGATCACCTCAGTCGATGTCAAGCAGCCTTCGGCTCTCAGAGACAGCAACTGGATGCAATCAAAGCTCAAAATGCTCGTGTGGTCATCAGGCTGTACTTCTTGGGCTCTCGATCCCAAGACTGGTGTGAATATCGCCATGTACCCCGAATACCAGTTTCTGTTCTGGCTGAGGAGCGTGTTCATTCCTTCCAAGGACTTCGAGTATGAGTACAGAGACGAGAATGGATTGTGGAAGACGAGCCTGACTATTGGGGGCTGGAAAGGAGTACGGCAGTTCATTGGGACCTTGGTTACCGTGGTTGCGTTGGCTGGTGGTGCTGTGGGAGTGCAGAGGGCCGGTGGGCCTTTTGAGGCGCTTGGTCTAGTGAGAAACTCACTCTCGAGCGTCTTCCATCAGGTCAAGCGGTCTTTGAAGGCATGATCAATATAGAGATAGAGTAGATTGTCATTCAGGAGTATCCATAATTTCGATGATTTGACAGAAGTCCTGACGCAGCCGCGACTTTCGGCATTGGGCTACTGATGCGCAATCCGAGTCCGAATGTCCTCTACACCTTCGTCAACCAATCTACGTTGTTTGGCCTTGCGAACCACAAATATGGCGCTGTTGGGATTTTCACTCTGGGGCACGCGATGAAAGCCGATGTCGTTGAGAAGAGGCTTGCCAGCAAGCTGGAGATTCAACCTCTTTTCACCGGTTCATGGCGTCATTAACTGTAGAGGAGCATTGAGCTCAATGAACAGGCCTGGAAGCATGGATGGTTTCCCTGGAGGAAATATGGAGGGTGAAAGAAACTACGAGGTGGGTCGATCATTCTTGAAAGATACATGTACAATATTTGGATCCCAGCTAATGAAATCTTAGGGCGCCATTCAGATCATCAATGCACGTAGACGGGCCAAGAGACCGCTGGAGACAAACGCAGGCTCTAATGGAATCAAATCGAAATCTGCTGCCAATCCTACGCCTGACGCAAGAGGCACGCCTGGTATCGAGGGAATGTCATCCTGGCTTCAAGCTCTTGGGCACTCAGTAGGTGACACAGCCACTGTGTTTTTGTACAATATGCTCACATATTCTAGCAAGAGGACATCAATCGCCTCAATGTCATCCACGTCGCAGGAACGAAGGGTAAGGGGAGTACGTGTGCCTTCACCGAGACATTTCTTCGAGCCCATGGCCAGCGGACAGGCTTTCCAAAGAAGACTGGGCTGTACACATCGCCTCACTTGATTGTGCCAGAAGAGAGGATACGCATTGATGCAAGACCTTTAGAAGCGACCTTGTTTGCCAAGTACTTCTTCGAGATGTGCGAGCGACTACCACAGATAAGGGATGAGTTCGACCCTTCTAAAGAGGTCGTCCAACGTGGGCCTCGATACCTGCAGCTGTTTGCTTTACTGGCCTTCCATACCTTCATACGTGAGGGTGTAGACGTCGCCATATTCGAGACCCACTGTGGCGGGGAATATGATGCCACGAACATCGGGCAGCGACCCGTTGTGACGGCTGTCACCACACTCGGGATGGACCACATAGACATGCTAGGTCCTACAATTAAGAACATAGCATGGCACAAGGGCGGCATATACAAAGCGGGTGCTGTGGCTCTCTCGGCGCCGCAAGATCCTCCTCCAGCCGAAGTGCTCAAGCAGAGGAGCGAAGAGAAAGGGGAACAGATTCGATTCGTGGAAATCGATCAGAGGCTTCCTCAAAACTCATTGACATTGAGACCTGAAGTCCAGATGATCAACGCTTCTGTAGCTGCAACGGCAGCTCAAGCCTTTCTCGATCGGTGTGCACCTGAACAGTGCAAACGCTTGACCGAAGCAGACCTTAAGGCTGGCGTAGAACAGTTCTCTTGGCCGGGCCGCTTCCAGATCCTGTCTGAGCAGCAATGGATGTGGTATCTCGATGCCGCTCACAACGATATGAGCGTGAAAATTGCAGCCAAATGGTTTGCAGAAATCTGCGGAGATGCGCGGTATGTTTGCTGGAAACGATAAAACTCCTTCTGCTAACGTCTAATCCATAGACAACCCGATCAACCGATCATACTCATATTCAGTCATATCAACGAGCTACGAGACTCAGCAGAGCTCTTGCAAAGCTTGGGTGAAGCATTAAAGGCTCACGGCGTGGACATAGACCATGTCATCTTCAGCACCTACGACGAGTCGGACGCTAAGAAGAGCCATCAGTCACCTGAGAGACCTGAGCTCTTTCGTGAGGCATGGCAGAAGATCAACCCTGACGGCAAAATCTGGAGCGAGCCTACCATCCAAGGAGCTGTCAAACTTGCGAGGCAGTTGGGTCCAGATGGCATGCACACGCTCATTACAGGCAGTCAGCATTTGGTTGGACCGTCACTGAGGATATTGAATTGGAGTTCAAAGATGTCGACATGAAAAGGACTGCAACTGTTGGCGTGTCGGCTCACATGCCCAATCCACCTACCGGCAGATCCGTTGAACTGCTTTATAAGTACGCTTTTCAAAAACGAGCACAAATACTTTCCAGAGGGCTCAGTAGACTATGTTCGTGAGCTGCTCGTGGAGAAAAGAACGACAACTCCCCATAGTAGCCAGCTCTTCCGGTCAAAGTGAAGTGAAAAGTGAGATATTAATGGAACGTTGAAGTGAGGTGTCGTTGGGAGCCGACTCTCATTACCCTACCCGGGATCTAAAGGGACGTCGGCTACGGCACGACTTCCCGCTCTAGCGTGTGGCAACATGTGCGAAGAGGCTGGCATTGAGGTGGTAGACAAGTGGCTGAATCGCGTTGACCGGCCGGCGCAGATGCAGTGCGTAGATCTAGAAGAGGTCGAACAGGGACGCGGCGGCAAGGCGATTGACGGCCGTTGCATGGGCTGGGAGAAGAAAAGGGAGAGTTCGTGGAACAGAAGAAGGAACCCGATCCCAGCCGAGGGAGACACGAAGAAGGGGACGCACGGGCCACGCTTCGCCGAAGTCCTCCAAAGTTCAAACAAATTCTCATCACCTCGATCCCTTCATCACCGACCTCCAACCCCATCACTGGTCATTCCATCCACTCCACTCTTCACACACCTCTCCTCTCCAGTTACTTTCGACAGATCAATACCGCCGCAATGGCCAAGGGAGATGTGGACGTAAGTCGCTCCGCCGCGAGCTTTTGGCGCCCGTCTATGGAACTCAGCTAATCATCATCTTCAACAGCAAGGCGCGAAGACCTTGTACGTATCGACTCTCCTCAGCGTCAGCTGGCCTCCGCCGACCGTCGAGCTCCACGTTCTGATCGCATTGGTTTCGTGGCATGGCGGCCGGCGGCGCGCTGGAGCTGGCAATGGGCGCGGTCCCCTTTTTCCGGCACCACAGCTGACATTTCATCCAGCATGGGCATGCCCGGCTTCGTCGTCGACTTCTTGAGTACGTTACATCTCACCCTCCACACCAGCGATGGAACTGTCCATGTTCCGTAATCGCCGAAGCTCCGCAGAGCTGGCGATAAGAGCTTGGATACAGCTGGTAGCACGAGGACAACAATGGCTAACTGGGCACTCAAAGTGGGTGGTGTTTCCGCTGCCGTCTCCAAGACCGCCGCCGCTCCCATCGAGCGTGTCAAGCTCCTCATCCAGAACCAGGTACGTCGCGCACAATGGCGGCCGTCGCAAGGATGGCTTGTGACCGCATCCTGCATGAAGCGCCGCCAAGACTTTCCGCAATGGTGAACAGACAGGCTGACGAGAAATGTGCTTGACAGGATGAGATGCTCAAGAGCGGTCGTCTCGACCGTCCATACACCGGCATTGGCGACTGCTTCCGCCGCACCATGGCCGATGAGGGTCTCGTTTCCCTCTGGCGTGGTAACACTGCCAACGTTATCCGTTACTTCCCAACCCAGGCCTTGAACTTCGCCTTCCGCGACACCTTCAAGTCGATGTTCGGCTACAAGAAGGATCGTGATGGATACTGGTGGTGGATGGCCGGTAACTTGGCATCCGGCGGTGTAAGTTTCGAGATTCATCTTCCACCACAATGGCTGTCGCTCACAAATGCTCTAGATGGCCGGTGCCACGTCCCTCCTCTTCGTCTACTCCCTCGACTACGCCCGTACCCGTCTCGCCAACGACGCCAAGTCTGCCTCCAAGGGTGGTGAGCGCCAGTTCAACGGTCTCGTCGACGTCTACAAGAAGACCCTCGCCTCTGACGGTATCCTTGGTCTCTACCGTGGTTTTGGTCCCTCTGTTGCTGGTATCGTCGTCTACCGTGGTCTCTACTTCGGTATGTACGACTCGCTCAAGCCTGTCGTCCTCGTCGGTGCCCTTGAGGGCAACTTCCTCGCTTCCTTCTTGCTCGGCTGGACTGTCACCACTGGTGCTGGTATCGCTTCCTACCCTCTCGACACTGTCCGCCGTCGTATGATGATGACTTCTGGTGAGGTAAGTAAAGATCGGAACTTATCACGCATAAAGCGACCAATCTGACCAACTTTTACAGGCCGTCAAGTACAAGTCTTCCCTCGATGCCGCCAGCCAGATCATCGCCAAGGAGGGTGTCAAGTCGCTCTTCAAGGGTGCCGGTGCCAACATCCTCCGTGGTGTCGCCGGTGCTGGTGTCCTGTCCATCTACGACCAGCTCCAGGTGCTCATGTTCGGCAAGAAGTTCAAGTAAACGACTCGCCCACGCAGCGGTCAAGTCACGTTTCAGGCAAAAGGAAACACAGGGGACGGTCTGCATGCCGATCACGATTGCGGACACGAAATACAGAAGACGTGGAGTGCATTGATGCTCTGGGATGCATGAGGAGTGGTTTGGGCAGGAAGCGACATGACCATGCGATGCGGATCCAGATGAGCGTATTCGCAAGTGTACCTTTATTCCTGGGCAACACTCTACTGTATTACCAATTGGTTGCTCTTAACTAAAGGCGTATAGAGTTCGTTTGTTTGGTACGTCTCGTTTCCGTCGTCTCGCCAACAACAATATTCCACGTTTTACTCTCGATCACGTGCGTGCTTAAGGTACGTCATATGCAAGGGCCCAGAGCTTCGATGCTGCCGACTGGACTTGAAGTTATTGACACGTTGTGTACTCGACAAATGGATCTCTCTTTCCAGCAAGCGATAGATCTGTTCACAAGCTCGAGCGACCACAACAACACATAACTAGCAGCGATTGAGACGTTCGCAGACGTTCGATAAGATGCCTCCCATCAAGGTCCACATCGACGACCGAATCACGCCGAAGAAGGGAGACGCGGTCACACCACAAACGTCGGACACTTCCAATCCACAGAATGCCGTGAATGCGACGACTACTGCGCAGCAGAATCCCCCATATCCGCCTGCCCAACCTGGTGCTGCCGCAGTACCAGCTGCAACGCCCTATGTACCAAATCCGCAACCACAACCAACTCCAACACGAACATCAGCATCTACGAACAACTATGGGCCTCCGGCGCCACAACCAGGTGCGGTACCAGTACCTCCTGGGCAGCAGGCGCCCGTGACAGCGGCAATACCACCACCTCCCAAAGCTGGAGAGACGCCTCAGCGAGCTCAGGCCCCGCCGACGACAATGCCTCCGCAGATGGGAGTTCCTCCCCCGCAAAGCAACTACACGCCAACGAAGGGAACGATGTACAGTCCTCCTGAGACAACAGGTCCTACCACGCTCAACTTCGGCGCTGTACCTGCGCCTGCCCCAATCACTGCTGGCTCTCACCCACCCGGCTATCAACAGAACACGAATGCTCAAGAGATGACTTCAGCGGCGAGGGCGAGCTTGGACGCAGAAGAGCGGAGAGGAAGCAACTTTGGGACAAACTTTGGTCTGGGTGGAGGTGATAGCACGAATGATACTGCCGGCAACGTCTGGAATGCCGTGAAGGGATGGGCGACAACCGCAGGCAAATCTCTGGCGGAGACGGAAAAGGAGGTTTGGAAGAGGATAAATGGGGACAAGTGATGATGGTCATGCTTGACGCAGATATGTTGTATGAGTATGCGGAGTGTTGGCGCTAAGATTATGAGGGATGAGGGATGGAGACATTCATCCCGCTGATAGAGGAATAAAGGACGTGCCTGAAATGGGTATACTATTTCGCCGGACGCTGCGACAAGTCTTCCTCCATGCGTTCACAAGACATAGGTTTTCGGTCCCGTCCATACCCCATACAGTAAGTCAAGAACCCGAGCCGAACGCGTGTCAGGTGTCAGCTTATCCTGCCCAGCCTTTGTCATGCACGGGATCTTACAAAACACCGCAACGCACTCGACAACGGGTAGCCTATGCGACCAACACCCTGTTGCGCAGTGCGCACCTCGCGTTAGTCAGAACAGTTGTACTAAGCCTGATTCCCTTGGCTGAACGCAGGCCATTGGATACCACCAACATGCCGATTTAGGGTTATTGATCCTTACGAAAGAGAGCTGAAAGGAGGGCTGAGATGGGGTAAGAAATCGTTTAGGATGCCGGATGTATACAAGTAGGAGCGGTGGGCCTGGACTGTCATCGTCGTCGTGGTCGTTGGGAAACAACAGCTCCTCGATTTTGATATTGCTTTCGTTGTCTCGATGGCTTCCTCCTCCCAGCAAGAACCTCCACCCCGAAGGCCGCTTGTCTGCGCGCCTGAGGGGTTTGCTAATGTCACGAATATTGATCGGAGGACGTGTAAGCGTGAGGTGCCGTTGAAGGTGATTGGGTTGGGGCCTTCGAGGACGGGGACATCGTGTAAGTTGGCTTCTTCAGCAACAATTCCAGACGACTGACGTTGAGGAATGGGTTTGTAGCTTTAAGACAAGCTCTGCTCGATTTGGGCTATGCGGACTGCTACCACTACACGGCCCTCGTGCAGGAGAACCCTCGGGATGCGGAGATGTGGGTCGAGGCGTTCCAGGCCAAGTTTGAGGGCAAGGGGAGGCCTTTTACGAGGGAGGATTGGGATCAGTTGTTGGGACATGTAAGTCATGGTCAGGATAGATGGGGAGTTTGAGTGATGATCGCTGATTGCTGATTGTGTGTTTTTAGTGCATGGTGAGTTCTCCGATACGGACGACGAGCACTGAGAGATGGGTGGCTAACATGCTGTAATCGACAAGGCCATCATGGACACGCCGTGTACAGTCTTCTACAAGGAACTACTAGAAGCCTACCCCGAAGCCAAAGTCATCGTCACGGTCCGAGACAGTCCCAAACAATGGTGGGAGAGCCAGATGCGGACAATGTAATTCACCACAACCCCTATCTTTCCCGCCTCTGACACATATCTCAGGATGCCCTTCTTCGACCTCCTCGTGCTCCCACCCACGACCTGGTCCTTGTGGCTGTGGAGGAAATTCCTCCCTCCCCCTACGGCTTTCGATCAGATGAACCAATTGCTGCCGAAGTACTATCCAGCCTACAATATCCTCTGCAAGGACTTGCGGGATGGGACGCAGGAGGGGATTAGGTGGTTTGAGGAGTACATCGAGGAGATTAAGCGGTAAACTTCACCCCTCGCAGTCCGTGTGGGAGAAATTTGATTGACTGACTGACTGACTACTGGAAAAGACTCGTGCCCCCAGAAAACCTCCTCATCATGAACATCAAATCCGGCTGGAAACCCCTCTGCACGTTCCTGGGCCACGACGTCCCACCGTGGGATTTCCCCGTGGCGAACACGAATGAGCAGTTCGAGGCGAATGTCGCGGGGCTGTATGCGGGGATCAATCAGGCTGTGTGGTTCAATGCGGCGAAGAGGCTGGCGCCGGTTGCGGTGGGGATTGTAGCGGTTGTTGGGTTCTTTGCGGTTAGGGGGAGGGGGTTTGGGTTGGGGTTGTGAAGGTGGAGGTGGAGGTGAGGTATTGATAGAGTGGTCGTTCTCTGGTACACGATGGGTAACTTTGGCACAGCAGGGAGATAGCATGATCTCAGGAAATCCGTTGCTTTGAGCAAAGGCTGTCTCAGTCTACGAAGACTGCAAGGTTTCTCTCTCCAACTCCACCCATCTCATCACACCCGTCCTGGGATCACAGTTCACGTACTCGAACGCCGCATCCCCTTCTCGAAGAATACTGACTTCATGCCAAGTCATGAATTTACGGTCCTCTCCAAACCTCTTCGCGTGTTTCATCGCCCCATTGAAAATCGCCAGATGAGACGGATGTCGAGACGACCATCTCTCCAAGTCCGCCCAGTTCCTGTGGAAACCCGCGCCGCAGGTCTCTTTGATGGGTGCACCATTCCCGTCGAGGTTTTGCAGGAATCGTAGACCTATCGTTCCCGTTTCTTCGGGGTGTTGCCAGAGGTAATTCATGCCTTGCATGAGTGTTGTTTGGAGGTTGTCTTCGTAGGCGAGGCGTTCTTCGTCGTCGCATTTCTCCCACCATTGTCCGGAGCGGATGTGGCACATGTTGGCGTAGTTGGTGCCTGTGAGTCGCTCGCCGACGCCGCGAGGGATGGTTGAGGGTGATTGGGCGTCTTTTGCGGTTGGGAAGAGGTCGTGGGCGGATGCTGGGATGCGGTCTCTTCCTGCGCCCCAGTAGGCTGTCGTCTCATGTGGTGGTTGAGTTGTGTTTGGGAATTGGGCGAGTCCTGGTTTGTGATCGAGACGAGAGTAGTTGGTTTCTAGTCTTTCAATGGGTGTGGTGAAATGCTCTGACCAGAGACCAACGTCTTGCTTGTTGCCGCCGAGTCCATTCCACAGTCGTTGCAGATCCAAAGCTTTAGTCGCAGTCTCAAGACCTTCCTTCGTAGTCCAGTACAGCACCCAGACTTTCGAGTCCTCGAGATCAAAGCCATTGGTAACCCTGAATGTATCCATGATCCGGCCATGTGAGCTGTTGTCGTCCAGTAGTGAATCGATGGCCCTCTCGGCCTTATTCCTGGCAACAGTGTTTCCTCGATGGCATTGCACACCCACGTAGAGCGTATAGATATGAGTGACACTATCAGGCAGTTTCAACGACCATCTCGGGACTGGCGGCTTATGGCCCTTCGGCTTCTTCAACGGATGAGTCCTTTTGCTTTGCTCGATTGATCCCATGGCTGCTGTATGCTGTGTTCGAACGTATGGGATTCTCTGTACAAGTCTGGCTCTCCTGGCAGATGTGCGAATTATGGTAAGTGTAGCGAAACTACATGTATGACACCTTAAAAACATGTCGAACGTTAGCTCTTACCTTACCCCTCGTGAAGGGCGTCGAAGAGGTGAAGTACTGAAGAGCTCGCTGATTTTTAGCCCGATGGAGCTCCGTCTGGAAGCCAATGCCATAGGTAAGTATTCGCTGGGGGACTATATTATATGTCGGAAGCATTAATAGCCATTGGTTTCGATTGCCATATGATCGTGTAGTTCGTGGTTAGAGGTGTGGTCCTAAACGCGATTGTCTTCGATGGTTTCCATAGCGACGAGAAGGTGCGAGTCTCTGGTGGTAAGGGTGGCCATCACGAAAGATTCTCAACACTACAGAAAGACCCTTTTCGAGGAACCGGGATCCGTTAAAGCATCTAGTGATTAAGCTCAATCATCGCCAGGCATGAAGGAATAGATGTTTCGTCAGTAGTCACATTTCATGCAAAGCCCGAGGATTGCGAAGATCGTGAGGGCTAGCCGCTGTCGTGTTCGAGCGGTGCCTTCCTTTCCAACACGGAATTCGGATTCGCAAGCATTCACTTACATAAGGACCGCAAAATTGCATGTGGGCAGGTGAAAATGTATGTGATGTTTCGTTGAAAAGTCGACTCACAGCCCCGTCTTCTCTCCCCAGAGTCGCCCCGGACGGACCCATAGCGACCACGCAATACGACACTTGGCAGTTGTGTTTCACTTCAACATCAACTCTTGGGAAGAGGAAACCCAATAGCACGACCAAATTAGAGGCTTTGAGCAGCAGAAAGAAAGAACGCCAAAATGCCAGTCAACGTCTTACCAGCAGAAGATGCCGACATGCCCAGGATCTTCGAGATCGCCGCTCTGGCCTTCGCCAGAAACGAGCCCATCTGGGATGCTCAATTCCCCAAGCACTGGACGCCGGAAGGACGTAAAGTCGGTGGCGAACGGATGGTGTGTAACTCCCATCCCACATCCCATCTCATCCGGAAACCAGTCGTTCCAATAACTAGTGTCTAGACATTAACCAAAAACTCCGATCCCTACACCACATACCTCAAAGCCGTGGACGTCGACTCAGGCGAGATTCTGGGTATGGCCAAGTGGAACGTCTACCAGAATACTCGTCCGGATCCGAGCAAGGTCAAAGGCTGGGGCAGTGAGTACTACGAGACGGAGGCGGAGAAGGCGTATATCAAGGCGATGGTGCCGGTGTTCCTTGCGAAGCGGAATGCGGCGATTGAGAGGACGGGTGGGAATTTGGTGTCGCTTGGTGAGTAACATATAATACCAGCGTTTCGTGAGGTAGGAGCTGATTTGTTTTTCTTTTTGCAGATATTCTGTCTATTGACCCGGCCCATCAGCGGAAGAAGGTTGGGGATGCGCTTGTCAAATGGGGGTTGAAGAGAGCGGATGAACTCGGTCTGCCCGCAGTAGTGGAAAGCAGTGTCTTCGGCAAGGGACTGTACCAGAAGAATGGCTTCGTCTTTCACGAGGATGTGCGTGTGATTGTTCCTGGGTTTGAGGACTGGCCTGTGGGAGAGTTTGCGTGGTTGGAGAGGCCGAAGACGGTGAACGCTGCATGATGAAGGAGAAGGTCGATCCTTTGGGAAGCGTTCCGTTGCATTTGCATTCGATGATAGAAGTCATACAGAATATACAGGCACTCATTGGCGACTCATTGATTCATGACCGTTGGAAAACGTTGCCAAGGCGTGTTTCATGGGCAACACGTGCCAAACTCTAAACAACGTAACCTCGACTACACATCTCATTCACAGCCGAACGTACAATGATGATAGATCAAGGTATTTTATCCAGGAGCATATCAGGTATTGAAGGAGAGGACAACGAGCAACCAACGATGTTAGTCTTACATCGTGCTGACGATTTGCCATGTCCTCACAATCTTGGTACTCAGCACGTTGCTCCTTGAAGGACACCGAATCCATATGAAGGTGGAAATGACCGGAGTGCAATGTCGATTCCAGATGGTCATCAGTCTATTAGAATTTCATGCACGTCATACCTGTCAAAGTCATCATCAGCCTTGCAATCACGTATCCGACTAGGAGGAAGCGCCGCCATGTGGACTTACGATGCCTTGCGTTAACCTTATGCACCTCATCACACATGGTCATTTCACAGCAAAAGCCGGTTGGAGTTCGAAGGGAAGGATGCTGATGAGAACAGCATATCCCAACTTCCACATCCTCGATCCCTCGGTCTTGCGAAGGACAGGGAGCTTCCTGTGAACTCGCCTCACGAAACATTCAATCTGCACATCTTCGATTGCCAACAAACTCACCTCTGGGCTTTCACTCACCTCTTGCACACCACCCTCTTCGGAGATGCTAGCTTCGCGGAGCAGGATCCTATTCGGTGCCTTGCGTGCTCGTCACGACGTCGACGCGGTGTGCACACCCTCGCCTTGAGCTACGTCTCAGTATCGAGCTCAACAGGATGTACGTCCTTCATTTTGAGCTTCGTGCAGCGACGTTGAGTTTGACGTTCAACGACCCTTGTCATCGGGAAGCGCCCCGGTGCTGTTGTACTTGCAGGGAGCTCGAGCGAGGCAATGAGATGGTGGCCCACTACTCCATCCCAAGATCACCTGACTAGCAATACATGCGGGAAGTCTGCTTGGCCGTCGAATCAATCTGTAGACGCGCGTGATAGCCCCGGCGCCTAATACGGACAAGATTCCTCTGACAGGCGGGCACCAGCGGGCAGCGGCACGGCTGTAGAGTAGGTGTTCGGCGGAATTGAGGATGTCAAAGTCCGAAAGTAGACAGGGCTGGACATTGCAACATGATGATGACAGCAGCAAGTCATGGGTCCGTGATCGAGTAGCCGCCGGCCTGGATCAGCGTGGTTGGGATTGCGTTCGAAGCCACGCTGTGGAGGGAGATTGAACTGCTGCATGCAACAGGAGACAGTTGATCCTGAACCGAGGGCGTCGAAGGCCGAATGCTTATGTCTGCCATCGCAATTCCACGTGAAGGCCCGGCGGGAGAGGATCTTGCTGTTCTAGACGTAGCAGCTGCCGGAAGGGGGCATGTGTCGAATTATGAAGCGGCCAATGAGGAGGCGAAGACGGGCATCTCATCTTCCAGCGTCGTCGCGGGCGGGGAGGTTGTCAAGGCCCGCGAGATGGAGCGGACCGTGGGACGCCGTTCGACGACGTTCCATCGTGTTGTTGCGTGTTGGGGGGCGCTCAGTGGCCGCGAGCAGTTCTCTTCTTCGCTGGCGGGCCGCAAGGAAGGCCTGACGGACGCCAAAAACGGTCGGCATCGGCTGACTGTCTCGAGAAGTGGCAGTTTGAGGCGGGCGTGTACGAGCGGGAAGGCTCTCTTGTCAGGCAGCCTTTTGCTGAGCGAAACACGCAGATGGATCGTCTGGTCGGGCGTGGCAGAGTCGATGGCAGCAGCGTGCTGTGCCGGCGTTGTTCCATCCTGCCGACGCTATGACCTGGCCCTGCTAGGCGTTGCATGCACGTCGCCGTCGAATAGAAGCCGGATTTGCCTCTCTCGACGCCTGAGTGGCCTCCGCGACCTGCACGCACGCCTATGGCCGTGCTCAACCCATCTTCCTCCGCCGCTGCTGTGCGCTCTGGCGGCGATGCATGGCGTCTGTCGCCGGCTGCTCGGCCACTCACCAACAACGACGACTCCTGGGGCAGGCTCAGCTCAGCGGCGTCGCGTGGGGACAAGAAACCAACACGATGCTGCTGCTACCACCACCTCCCCTCGCGCTCCCTCTCGCCGTGCTCTTCTCGCACAACACATCCATCAGTTCAGAAAGATGCGCACCGACGCCACATTCTCCCATTCATTTCACCACCAACATCCGCACGTTTAGCTTTGGCCAAGGACCGCCTCTCGGCCCAAGGATCTGATCTGCTGCAACCGCTGGGCCTGCCGTTCGCCTTCCCCACAGCCGCGTGAGAAGCGCCGCCTCTGGATGACTGAGACTGGCACTACTGCTCCGACTGCGCGGCGCCCATCAGGTATATACAGGCTCTGTATGTCACCGCGACGCACTGCTGCACCTCTCCGCCCAATGCTCGCCCGCCACGTCGCACCGCACCCCTCGTCGCCCTGATTGCCAGTGGCGTCTCAGCTTTGCGCAGGTCCAGCGTGCGTCAACGTCCACTCGGTAAGCCCGCTGTCCGTGGCGGTGCTGCGTCGACTACTGCACGCATCGAACGGCCGCCGCTGGCCAGTCGCCAGTGCCGAAATTCTATCTTGGGAACGACCTCCAACATCATACCAAAAGGTGCCTCTACTCTTGTCGCGTGCTCTTAGTCTCGTCCCTTCTCGGTTTATTCCTTTGGGCTCGAAAGCGCTGGCCGCTGACGACCGTCGTTGAACGTAGTAGCGCTTTTTGCCCCCATGCCCCGACACAAGACACGCCGTAATCGACACCGGATACGACCTCTCCGACTACCTCGTACATGGCCTCATGAGCTCCGTCGCCCCGTTCACGAACACCGCGCATAATCCAGGCTTGACGGGTGTGTTGCGCATGGTCGCGGCCACCCGCCATGTCATCCCTCCGAGCACACTTCAGAAACCACGCTCAGCAACAAGACGATCCGACCACATCCCAACCTCCGAAGCCTACCAGCCGCATCCCTACCAAGTCTGTCGCCCCCGACGGTGGCAAGCAGAAGAAGCCTGTACAGCATGTGTCCAAGCTGGCCAAGCGCTCCAGCAGGAGCATCAAATCCCCCGAGCCCAGCCTCAAGAGTAGCACGACGAGGACGGCGACACCGGTGACAGCAGTGGCGCAAACCCCCGTTGGCTCCAGCAGAGGAATCTCTGTGCCACCGTCGGGTTCCACGGTACCTGCTGCGCCGCCCAATATGCGCACTCCCTCTCTAGTCTCGGGATCTTCAGTGTCGACTTTTGATAGTCCACGGTCCGCTCTGCGCCGAAAGCCGTCTGGTGCTATTGACAAGTATGCCGCCCAAAAGCGGGCAGAGTCGACGGGGGCAATAGCAATGGACAGAGCAGCGATGCACAGTAGAAACGACTCGAGTCGCGAAGAGTTCGACGATACCGTGCTTGGCATCTCTATACCACCGACCTTCCCTTACGACGAGCAAGATCAGAATGCAGCGCTAGACTTCTACGACCAGAGCATTACCCGCGACTTCACACCGCCCATATACGGTGCTTATGCGCCGTCAGCTACACCATCGACACGGTACACCGACTCTCCCTTCAGCCATGTGCCAACGCCGAGCTCAGCTTCGTCATACTCTCCGGGTCTGGTTGTAACGACAGGTAATGCGCCAAGACCGCGACAGCCCAGCAGTCCTACGCACAGCAGACCCCCAGTCAGTGGACGACCTCCTACGAAGGATGAAGCATCTCGATTGGGCCTTCCTCCTGTTCGTGAATCCTCCACATCGTCTTCGAATTCTACTGTACGACCTGAGGTGAAGTTGGCGCATGCGAGGAAGGAGCAAGCACGACGAGCCCAGAATACGCTTTCGCCGACGACCTCAAACGATGAGCGAACGACATCACCAAATAGCCGACACCGAAAAGACGTCTCTACATCCTCAGCACGGCCATCAATCCAAGTACCACCAGAGCTTGCTCATCTCAATGTGGAGCCGCCGCCAAGGACTTCACTCCCAAGATCCCCGCCACCTTCCAGACCTAGTCGAGAAGGCACAGCCAATATTGCAGACATGAACAAACCTTCGCCAGTCGTGCAGAGCGATCTGCCGCGCCTTTACACGACTTACCACAAGCGAACGCCTTCTCAGGAAACTCCGACCTCTGCGAGCTCGCCAAGCTTCAAGTCGCGATTCGGATTCTCTTCACGTTCCTCGTCTAGGAATGAATCTCGCATAGATTCTGCAATCTCGCCACCACCTGGAGCTCGACAATTTCACAGAAGTGCCACTCCTGAAGTTCAGAGTAAAGATGGTGCCAAACTTCAACGGAAAGACTCGCCGGCTGTATCTGCCCCCAGCACTGCCAAGCCTCCTCGATTCGGCTTCTTCTCTCGCAAACCTAAAGCAGAATCCATCAAGACCACCGAGAAGCCGAAGCGTCAACCCAGCAAGGGACCTGCAGCGGGCACAGGCCACGAAGGCTATGGACGATTTGGCGTTCGTGGGCGAAGCGGGAGCATGTCAAGCAGTGCCGGGTTTCGATCACCAAGCACGGACAGTGGAAGGAGCAATGCGGCTCGACCACCTCCACCAACGGCGCGCAAAAGCAGCATCGGCAGTAAGAATGGGTCTGAGCTCGATGACTTTCTCAGAGAGCGTCTCACTCCTGTCATATTGCGTGGGAGTGGTAGTACGTTCAGCAATACGGCCTCCAGCTCCGACCTTCCGGGCACGAGCCTACATCCGGCATCTTCGAAGTCATCGTCCTTGGACAGTCTTCCGGCTCCGCAACTTCTGCCGTCCGTCATGTCTGAGTCCCGCGACCAATCACCAATGAAAAGGCCGCCGCTCGCAAGGCGCATGCCTTCTGACAGCTCTGAGGATGACATGTCGGCGAGATACCCCAGTCTTGCCACACGCCGTTCTCTGACACGAATGTCTTCTGCAGACAGTCGATCACCGGTGCGGGTGCCACCACCTATCAACACCAACTTATCGCATCACAATGCACCTTTGGACAGCTACGATGCAGAAACATCCGCGTGGCCACAGACAGACAGCTCTTTCCCTCCAACTGAAGATGCTTTCCATGGCAGAGAGGGACACTGGCTGGCCTCGCCCATCAGCGATTCTCCAGTCACGCCAAGTCGCAAATGGAACTTCTTTCAGCGTGTCACGGCCTCGCCTCGATCCAAGGGCAAGGAAAGGGCAGTTGAGAGACCCATTGAACCGGAAGTTGCTGCAAGGCAGCCGCCGCCTAGGAACGTGGTGCATTATGGGATGCTAGGGCCTGTTGAACCGATTGCTCTGGATGAGGTGGAGCGCATCGCTCAGGAGAATGAAACGTCCGCGGATGACTCAATGTCAGAGTCCAACGGACCGCACAAGATGGTGCCTTATGAGCGGAGACATACCAGCCTGTTGCCATCGCCACCAAGGGCTGACTACAGCAGCGACTCTGCCTTCAGAGCCAAACCCTTACCACCAAGGATCACGGTTGACCGACAAGACTCTTCAGAGTCGCCTGAGCTACTGCGTGCGCAGCCAGCATTCGCTCATCAGACTGCGAATGTGGTCAATATCTCTCGCTCGCCGCAGGAGTCGTTCAACCCTGTCTTTGCCGCACCTCCAACATTCGTCACTGACCGATCAGAGATTGTGAGTACTCCAGAGGCGCAGCAACGGCCGTTCGGGTCTCCTGAACCTCAAAATGGATCTCCACGACAACCGAGACTGTCACCAGTTGGTAGGATCCCTGCCGTGGTCTCTCGACGTGATCGCGATAGGAAACTTCCCGACAACTCGTTTTCGCGACCTTTCGCTCGCACCCAGCCAAGGCCAAGTGTCAAGCCTCCTGGGTCCGTGTACAGCCAGATTCGAGAGATGGCGAGCCCGATCGAGTCGAACTCGCAACCTGTGTCTTCCACCAGTACCCGCTCTGACGGCAACTCTCTCGATCCGAAGAGCAGCACATTCACCAACCCGCCAAGTACCTCGACGAACCGTACGAGCATGGACATCCACGCTCAAAGTGAGTTCTTCACTTTCCCTCCTAGGAAGAACTCCGAGCAGTCGTACTCAACAAGTTCCGGGCATCCCAGCTGGATGACCGCTCTGTACACGCAACCACCGCAGCAAGAGGATGTCTGGAACGAGTATAACGACTTCCTGGATGAAGTTATGCCGCTCAAGACGCCTACCACGGGATCATCTCTTGGCGCTCCGTTCCAATATTCTAGCATGCTGTTCGACGCTGCTTCCACTCCTACAGTTGTTGGCGTGCCGCCATCGTCGCAGCTGCCACCTCTTCCAGAGCCTCACGCCAACCAAGCTGTGCTGAGCGTACCGCAGCAGATCTCGCAATTCTTGCAGCCATCTTCTTCACCAATGACTCCGGATACGATCTATGGCTTCATCGGCGGTTATGGCAACCGAAGTACAAGCACTCTCTACTCTCAGGGTCGTAACAGCATTGTGGATCAGCGAGCCAGTACCTATCAACCTGCACGCATCACTCCGCCAGGCTCCAGAAATAGCGTTGCATCATCGGTGCATAGCAAAGGCTCGAGGCATTCTCGAGCAGCCTCTTTGCCGCAGGGCCATGCACCTAGCTCGCAGTCGGGCTTGGCTGCCACTAGACGGCCCGTACGTGATGCCCAGCTTGTAAACATCGCGGAGATACCTGGCCATGAGCAAGGTGCTTCGCCGAGCTTGCGAATTGGCGCATTGATGACCAGCAAGTGGTTGTCTTTTGGACGTGTGCTTTTCAGTCCTGCACACAACGAGACACACCTAGCTCATGAACCAAAGGTCCTGGTGGTTGATGGACTCAGCAGCGACTGGTCATACTATGTCGCTCTCTCTTATCCTGCGGCAGAGGTCTACAACCTCACGCCAAGCATGCCTGGATCGCCCTCCTTCTCCTGGCCTGACTCGAACGAGAAGCCGCCACGCAATCATCGCCAGATCCCTCTTGTCTCGATTTCGACACCGTTCCCATTTCCAAAAGGCTTCTTTACATCGGTTGTCTTCAGATTCCCCAAGGCAACTACCGAGCAAAACTATGCGGCTTGCATTTCAGAGTGCAAGCGTGTGTTGCGACCTGGCGGCTACTTGGAAGTGGCTATCTTGGACCTTGACCTCATGAACATGGGGACAAAGGCAAGGCGAGCAGTACGCGGGTTGAAGACCAGGATGCAGCAACGGGATCCGGAGGTGTGCTTGAGGAATCTCAGCGACATCTTGGTTTGTCAAATCGGCCGACGAGGGTTCGAAGCCGTTCAACGCTGCATTGTTGGCGTGCCTGCCGCTGGTAGGATTCCAAGAAGTCAAGACATTAGCAGTGTCAGCTCAGGCTCCTCTGGAAAGCCCGTCTGGCATCGAGAAGCTCGCAGCAGCAAGAGCCAAGAGTTCAGTCTCGCAGATTTGCTTGAAGACTCCCGCAACAACCAATTCGGATCTGGCAAAAGCAATGATGAGACCATCACCAAAATGGTTGCGAAAGTTGGTCGGTGGTGGTATTCCACCTGCTACGAAAAGGCCTTACTGCCCACCGATCAAAGTATTTGGGCCGACCCTACCTTACTCCGCGAATGTGAAAAGCAAGGCACCAGCTTCAGGCTGTTGATATGCCATGCACAGAAGCCGACACAGACACGCCGGCGAACGGTCAGTGTGTGACCGAGATTCAACACCCAGTATCCCTCCCCACTCAAACGAAACCTCTCGCTACGATATGATTCAACAGACGGCTGGACCTAATCTGCGACATAATTGGGATGATATGTTTTATTTCGATCGTTGTTTGTTTCTGGAGCGTTCGAGCAAGCGACGTGTTTGATTTTTGAATTTTTCGTATCTCATGGATCTAATGTCTCTCATCTCTCTATGTACGTGTGACTCGCTGCGGCGAAGGACGAACGATCTTGCTTGCATTGCATGGCGGCTTTGGGGGAAACGGGGATGATGGCAGACGCATATGGCCTCACGGCCAACGGGCTCACGCCTGGGAACGACTCACACCGCAATGATTCTTAGATGGCATCGCGAAATGGACTGGATGGGGAGCGATGACTTTGATGCATGCATGATACCTACAAGAGGCTTAGCTGGGATGTATAGTCGAATGAGTCAATGGGAACAGGTCTATCATTTTCACAGTGACATCTAGTCACCTTCCTCTTTGCGATTGTTCCTGATCATGCCCTGGACTGACTGGAATGGTGCTCGACTTTCAACGGCATTGGAGAGTGACTCATGGTGTATCATTGCCAGGATGCATCCCCTTGACGACAACCGCTGTAGTATAGCTCTGGAACCAGCTCCGACCTCACTTCACCTCTCCAATGCCGAGCTCCGTCGTGATATATAAAGCTTCAGGAAAGATCTCAACAATGGACATCCATCCAACGAGCCCACAGACGCCCTTTCCATGACCACCAACCTCACCATGTCTTCCTCCTCCTCCACCACCACCACCAACCAAAACCTCCGCATCCGCGACCTAGGCTACTCCCCCGGCATCCACTCCCCAGGCCCCTCCAACTCCATCCTCGATGTCCCCGGCGTTCACGTCTCCCAAATTACGGTCCCGACCTCCAACAACCTCCCCTCATGGTCCTCCGCCGTCAAAGGCGCCACGATCATCACCCCACGACCCCCAAAGGAGTTCTACAAGCCCTGCGCGGCGGGGATTTTCACGTTCAACGGCAATGGGGAGATGACGGGGGCGAATCAGATAAGGGATTGGGGGTTTGTTAATATGCCGATTGCTTGTATTACCAACCCCCCAAAAACATGGTTTGGATGGATGGACTGATTCGATGTGTGTAGTTACGAATAGTCTCTCCTGCGGCAGCCTCTTCAACGGCATCTGGGACTGGGTGCTCGATCAGCAGGACGCGATGAAGTGGAGTCCGTTGGATAAGGCTCGTCATTATGGGACTCCTGTCGTGGGCGAGACGTCGGATTGGCTGGTTAATAGTGTCATTCGGGAGAGTCGGCTCAGCGAGGCGGATATCAGGAAATGTTTTGAGGGGTTGAAGAGTAGGGAGGATGGGGAGCCGTGCAGGAGGGTCAGTTTGGGGGTGGGGCGGGGATGACTTGTGTGAGTTTCTTTCACTTCAATCTCACACATTGTTTTTAGGCTAAGCGATGACTGATTATGAATTTCTAGCACCACCACGCCGGCGGTACAGGCACCTCCTCGCGCCTCGTCGGGGGCGGCGAAGGCAGCGCGCGAGCCTACACCCTCGGCGTCCTGGTGCAGACCAACTACGGCCACCTGATCGACCTCACCGTCGGCGGCATCCCCGTGGGCAAAATCCTCCTCAAAGAACGCCAGACCGCCTCAGCGACCACAACAGACCAAGGCACAGACGTGCACGCCCCTGAGCCGGCGAAGCGCTGGGAAGATATGGGCGGCCGCACGCAAGACGGCTCCATCGTCATCCTCGTCGTCACCGACGCCCCCCTCGCCACACACCAACTACAGCGCCTTGCGCGGCACGTCACCGTCGGCCTCGGGCAGGTCGGCAGCTACGGCATCGGCCGCACGCACTCGGGGGATATCTTCGTCGCCATCTCGACGGCGGAGCAAGGGCCTGAGCAGTTGGAGGGGACGAAGATGAAGCATATGAACCCGACGCAGACGTATACGAACGAGGTGGTCAAGAACGAGAGTATTGATCCTTTCTTTTATGCGTGTGCTGAGGCGGTCGAGGAGGCGATTTTGAATAGTCTTGTTGGGGGACGGGAGGGGGTTGTGGGTATGGATGAGAAGACGAGGGTGGAGGGGTTTCCTGTTGAGAAGGTTAGGGAGATTTTGGAGAGGTATCTTGTTCAGGTTTGATAGGGAACAGATAGTAAGAAAGGAACATTCATTTGTGTGCACCACGCTTGTGTTTATACCGCATACTATTTGTCTCTCCAAACCCGTGCACCATCCTTTTTATGCCAATACAGAAAACAGTGAAGCGAAACCGTGGTTGTTCAAGCCGAGCGGGACCTGCATCATCTAACGTACACTTGATGTTTTCGCGATTTAAGCGGTGATGTCGGACTCAGAATAAATGCAGTACGAGCTGGGACCGGCGCTGCCCTTGGTCGGCTCGTCGCCGGTGTCGTTGCCCTCGAACTCCTGGCAGATGGTCTCGACGCCGGTGGCTTTGATGTTGGTGAAGGTTGCGGTGTCGCCGTAGTTGGAGTTGATGCCTGGGGAGTTGTTGTTAGCATAGGTCTTGGGAGAAAGACGTAGAAAGCTAGACTGAAAACTTACCGGCAAGGATGTCACCAGAGGAAGCATCTATGTCGTCGAAGACTACGTGTCTTTCGGTCATCGAGTCACAGTTGCCGCATGAACGGTACAGCTTGCCGAAGTCAGAGACGGTGAAGCCAGAGACAGAGAGGGTTCCACCCCCATTGTGCTGGAGAACCTTGTCCTCCTGTCAAAACATAAATCGTTGGCATCACTCAATGAGAACGCGTATGTGTTGAGTATAATAAACTTACAGCTGTGGAGGCACCGCCGCCAGTGATGGTAGTAGTCTCGCCGGCGGCCTGTTCCTTGATAGTGAAGGCATCCTCGCAGACCTTGCTCCACCAGACGTTGGTGAGAGTGCACGAACCGAAGCAGTGGACACCCTCGATCTGGTTGGGGCCAATGATGACGTTGCTCAGGGTTGCTCCGGCCTCGAGCTCGAAGACGGCGTCGCTGTCACCACCCTCGGATTGGCCAGTGCAGTCAACACCGCGGTCGAAGGAGACCATGCCTCCGTCGAACGTCTCGCCTGCAGCGATGGTCTGGACGGCAGAGAGGACAGAGGTGCCGGAGGAAGCTGGGATGGAGCCACCGGACGCGGCGCCACTGTCAGAGCCGCTGGCGGCAGAGGTAACGGGAGCTGAGGCAGCGGCGGAAGAGGCGGACTCAGTCTCATCAGAGCTGGAGGCGGATGAAGTCGCAGTTGCAGTCTCCTCGTCATCGCTGGAAGAAGACTCCTCCTCCTCAGAGCTCTCTTCTTCCTCGTCCGAAGAGGACGACTCCTCCTCTTCATCCTCATCGTCGTCTGCAGCAGCCCTGTCGATGACGCTGGAGGGTCCAGTGCTGGTTGGGAAGGCTATGGCAGAGGTAGCAGTGGCGAAGCCAACGCCAGTTCCAGGAATTGGCGCGACACCGGTACCTGGCGCACCCCAGCCACCCTCAGGGCCATTAGGGAAGGCCCAGTGAGGAGCGGCTTGGCCACCGATGGCCAAAGCCAGGAGAGTTGCGGTGAAAGCGTACTGCATGTTTGTTGTTGTGGGTTGTGTAAAGACCGGTGCGGACTCGAGAGATCCTGTCTCAAAGAGAGTGTGCTGTGGTAAAATGAAAGACTAGCGACCTGTCGCTATGCTGGAAAAGAAACGCTTGACTGGAGCTGGGAGTTGTGATTTGCTCTGGAGAAAAGAATCGTACTCACCTGGACGCGGACGTTGTCTTTATAGCCTTCTCTCTGCTCTTCAACCCCCGATGACCGCTTCTGATGGCCTGTCAATGTGACAGCCTTAGTCCAGCAGGCGTGGCACGATGGCAGTGCACGATAGGAGGCCCAACAATCTTCCGATGCATGGTTGCTACGCGCTCATTGAAACAGAACAGTGAGAGTCTGATGGACAGCCAAGAAGACCAAGACGACGGAAGGGCGGCCAAGACTGTTTAAAGTGAATCTGTCGTGTTGTGCAGTGCATTTCACACGCCACGTGCATGCAATAGGTATCCACTGCATAATATATTTCAAACAACGTCCAGATGCGGACGATGTACCTGAGACGGACGACGCCGTGCAAGCGAGGCTGGTGGAGCCTGCCGAACCCGTTTCATGTTTGCCGAACCGAGTCTAGAAAGAATTCGGTCTCGGGCCTGGGTCTTTAATCTGATGCTGGATAGACGCAGAATATCTGTTCACGGCTGCAGATTGATGATGTTGCGAGACCGGGCGGGTAGTTTTGCGCGTCCTGCTTTCTCGAGTAGAGGAGCAAAGACTTTGTCTCCACTGGAAGCTGGCCTATTCAGTCTAACCGAATCTTCGCCGGATATTGAAGCTGGACAGGTTTTCCTGCACGTGTGTGGGCCTGTCATTTCTGCAAACAGAAGGCGAGAGTTGTATCGAAAGATAGGGAGGCTGCCTCTGATCTGGTTGGTCTGTTTGACCCGGCACATGTTCTGCTGTACTGCACGTGGAGTCGGCTCCTGCCTTGGGGTTGCACTGAGTCTTTCGATCGAGACACCCACCGCTGGCAATCATACGGTGTCACCCTCAAACAATAAGTCGTTCGAATTTTTCCATTGTCCCGATGAGATGGCCGTAGCATGCACAACATTCGATGACGCGCTGCTGATGGCCTTCTGTCCATGTTCGTGGTCTGGCTTTCAATCTCTGGAGTTCCGAAGTTGACGACTTCTGTGTGCGATTGTGATTGAGGCTTGAGAACAACATCAAGTTCTTCCGCCGATGAGGTAGTACAGGTTGATGATGAGGATGAGGATGACGAGGGCGTGAAGTTGATGTCGTGGGCAAACAAGGTTTGCACTTCGGTCCAGTCCGTGTCTCACATTCTCGACCTCACTCCATCGAGACGCTTGACAAGGGCAACAATGTATCGAAGCACCACACCATCTTTAGTCATGGCGACGTTCAATCGCTCCCATCACCAGAACGGTAGTCCTTGCGAAGAGCTCGATCAATCCCTCCGTCGAGATCCGCCAGTGCAACTGATCCGGGGCAATGAGCGATGGCGGCCTCGCCTTCAAGAATGATGGGTGCCTTTGCGAAAAGTCCAAACTCGCTGAGATCATTTCCGAATCATACAGCTCTGATGTTCCTTGAGACATGGCGGAAATCCAGAATGGGCAGCACGAGTACAACGGGCCTCACAGGTAAGCATCCACAGCCGTTCAGTCCATCAGATCATCCCTCTCAGACACCGATAGCTCTGAGGAGAACACCCGCCTCGACTTCCAACACAATGCCCTCCGCACAGTGATGGGCAACAAGACCCTCCACGCCACCCTCCCCTCCCCACCCACCAAAATCCTCGACATAGGCTGCGGCACCGGCGTAGTCACCCTCGAACTAGCAGAGAAATTCCCCTCAGCAGAGATTATAGCCATCGACATAATCAAGCCAATCCACCCCATCGAAAAATTAAAAAACGTCCGTTTCCTTCAAGGGAAATTCGCAGACTTCATCGCCGACGGCACCCTCCAACCTGCCTCCTTCGACTACATCTTCTCCCGCCTCCTAATCCTCGGAATCACGGACTGGAAAGCGCAGACCTCCCGCGTCTTCAACCTCCTCAGGCCCGGCACGGGAATCTACGAAGCCCAAGACCTCTCCTGGAACATTTTCGACAAAGAAGGGCAGGTAGTCTTCGATCAATTCCCCATCTTCGTCCTCATGGTTGAAAACGCTGCGGCGAAAGGCTTGGATACTTTCTGTGGCGATCACCATCCGAAATATCTGGGAGATGCTGGGTTCGAGGATGTTCAGCACGAATCATTTCCCTGGACGTTGCAGTATTGGCCCGAGAGGCCGGAGACATATGCGCTCTCGTACATGTTTCAAGAAGGGGGATCGAAGGCTTTCCGCATGACGGTCCTGGACAAACTGCTGGGGGAGAGCGGCAGGTACACGTCCGAACAGATGGAGACGTATAAGGCGGGGTTTGAGAAGATGGCGCAAGATTTTCCAGAGGGGACGCATCAGCCTTTCTCCGTGACTTGGGGGCGGAAGCCAGCTTGATTGTGTGATGTGAAGAATCAATCGATCGATCATACTGGTTATGTAGTTAAAGACTTATGTCTGGGTATCTCACAAAAATCACAAAGAAGTTCCAATGCCATCGTTAGTCTTTCTCTCGTGTCATATCAACGCCGTTCTGTTGTTTAGACCTTGTAAATCTTCGCGGCAGCTGGTGCAATACTCTGCGAAGTCAGCGCCAAGATCTGAGCCCAAGGTCGTCTCTGTACGAGCGTTCTTGCCATCTTTCTTGCCAGTGTCTCGACGTCTTCGAACCATGCCTTCGATCTTGGCACACTTCTTCTCTTCAGAGCGTACCCAGTCTTCCCATTCAGCCAGAACGACGTCGCGCTCCACCCGGTTCACAACACGCAGAGCCACCAGTAAGTCGTGCCGATACCGTGCTAATGCGTCTCGAGACCGGTGGATTCGAGTGCGAGTTGGACTGGCAGTTGAGGACAAGGCGTCCGTGGACGAGAGAAGCTGTTCGCTAAACGTGGTCCTACACGTCTTTTCGCTGTCCTCGTGGGCTGGGATAAAAGGCGCAAGCGTATCATTCTGCATGGAGCTAGTATCGATGAGTTGTTCGATGTCGCTCAGATAGACCGCCTTGCTCAAGTTCGGGCTCGGCACGACCCCGATTTTGGCCATGAATTTTGCGGCGGAGCGGTCATGATACCACACCAGTCCGTCTCGATATCCGTGCCAGGTGTTGTAGAGGGCGGAAATAGCCAAGACTGTTACCAGGAGTCCGTGTGCAGTACAAAGGCCCAATATGCCCTTGCCAATAGCAACCAGTACATCGAACGTCATGCTGAAGAGACTGAGCACCTTTGCGAAGAGATCGTTCGACACAAGCCGGAATAGTGTAATCGGCTGGCTTTGTCCAACCTGTACTACAGGCAGCGTCTCTTTCGAGACTTGAGAACTGTCGAGCTTCGCGGATTGTGTGGAATGGCCAACGTTTCCGAAGATTTCTATGGCCTTGTTCGTCTTGCTGTGGTTGCCAAGCTTTGCGACTTGATCCATCGCCACCGTCGTGATATCGAGAGCATCTGCTTCCAATGAATTGAAGGCTTGTCGTTCAATCAGATGCTTGAGATAGCCGAATGGACCGGGCTTGCGCCAGACAAGATTCTGGAATATGGCAAGCTTGCAGCGTGATTTGGCGGAATGAGTAATGACATACTTCGTCAACAGCGTAAATGAGGTTGCGTATGGCAATCGCCATGGGTATTTTTCGTTCGTCACAACATAGCAAAGATGATCGTTGTAGATGTCGATCGCCTGAGTGTCCGCCATCGGTGTCCTGTGATCCTGGCTTGAGAACTTCCTTGACCAATGGCCGCCTTCTGTTTTGGTCCATGGGGTCTGTACAATTTTGTCGGCCCAGCGATTGCAGTAAAGCAGTTGGAATACTGCGCTCTTGTCGCCGAACATGACGTGAAACAATGCCTTGGCACTGACATTAAAATCGCGAGATATGCCTGCTTGCATGCCCTGAGGGGAGTAGACAACAGCCTGGTTTGGTAGCTTGAATTTTTGGATCTCCCTGCCAGTCCTTGCAGTCTCGCCGTAGAGGTTTCCATCGATCCGCAGATTTGCCTTTAGATTCCTCTCTCTTCGTCGCTGTGGTGTACTTGGATCGCCAGCAGGTGTATCTTCGGCGTCATATGCGACATCTTCCCAGCTTTCAACACTGGAGCTTCGCCGAGGCTCTTCTACCTCTAGCTTGATAAGTGTTTTCAACACTTCCTCGAGTGATGCCGGCTCTTCAGCATCCGCATTCCGCACAAGAAATTTGAGCCGACGTTGCAACAGCTTCAAAGGCTCCAAAAAGACTTTGATGGTGATGCGGCGGGCATCGTCTTGGCGATTGCCTTCCTTGAGATGCAGGTACAGAAAATCGCAGTCACGGCCAGGTGCGGCCGTGACCTCGCTGATAGAGCTCAGGCTCACGCCAGTGATCAAGACCAATCCTAAATGGTTCGAGAAGAAGTAAATGTCGTTCGTGGTGACGTACACACGACCTGGAAACTCTTGTTGCTCGTTGGGGTTCCATGTAGCACGAAACACGAGCACGACCTTGTCGCGCTTGTGGACATTGGGAAAGAGCATGCGGAATTGAGCGTTCTGTGCCTTGAGTGGGAGAGGGTAATAGTTGGGATACTCGTCGGTACCATCTTCTGTAGCCTGCTTCGTCGTTGAAAGGCTCGGTGTTCCAATGCTGAGATTTTTGCGATGGGAGGGTGAAGTGCTAAACTCTGTCAAAGGTTCCATCTGTTTTGGAGGCTCATTCATGCCGTCCATGATGATTGAATCGTCCTGCGAGATGGACATTGCGCGTGTTGGCGTGCTGCTGGGTTGTGGATTTGGTCTCCTCAGCTTCGCGTCGTCGCCGAGTCGATTGACATATCCCCAATTACTACTACCCCAGATGTTAGAGGTGATACCTGCTGGCATGCCTGAGCCGTCTGCCCGTCCAAGGCCGACGCCCCGTTCCCCATTAACGATCACTGCTGTAGCGCTGAGATTGGTGGCAGCCGGTGGATTGGCTAGCGTCGAGGGTGCGAGGCTACTCGTAGGAATCGTGAAATTGCGCCTTAAGCCGTCTGTGGTTGGTGGCGGAGGAGCGCCAGGCCCGACTGGCAGGATGTTGTGGCTTGCAGATATAAGACTTGCAATGCCACTGGGTGCTGGGGCTTGGTTGGGCTGCGATGTCGCCGTGGATCGTTTGTGAAGATCCAGCTTCTGGATGATGCGTGCTGCATGATCTCGGGTGCCTTCACGAATGCCATCACTGTCCTTTTCGAGGCTCATGACACGGCGAGCAGGGTTGATGTCGAAGCTGGCACGTGTGGCAAGCCCCGTGCCTTCACGCTCTGGCACAGAAAGACCAGCATCCTCACTTCCTTGCGGAACATGCCCTTCACCGACTTTGGCAGCAAATTCGGGGGCAACAGGCGGACTGATGGCAAAGGCTGCATCGACCCCTGGAATCTGAGATGACGCCTCGGTGCTTGCAGGGTCTTCAAGAGCCTTCCTTTTCGCGACCTCGAATGCGCTGATCCACTCGGTGAGTTCTTGTTGCGTCTCAGCCTGCAGGACGATGCTTTGATCTTTCGTCTTGACTTCGAAGCAGAACCTACGCTCCTCTTGGAATGCCGGCCTTACACTGCAGAGTAGCACACCAGTCTTCTCGCTTTCTTCTACACCACCTGACCTTGCACCTTGAATGAGCCAACCAAAGATGCCGTTCTTGACGAAGAACCATCTTCGAGACCAGATAGTTCTTGCTGGCTTGCCTGTGACCGTTCGAAGAAACAGCCATCCGTGTTTCTCTGACTTCTCCTGGCCAGTCTTCCCAGGTCCAGCGGCAGATGACGCCCCAGTCCCTAGGTAAGGAACTGTCGAAGCGGCGTAGTCCTCCAATTCGCGCGACGGCCTTTGTTTCTGTTCTGCACTCTCTTCGATCTGTCGTCTTGCTACGAGCAGCTCCCGCTTGAATGCTCGCTCAGAGTTCTCCATTTCTTTGCTCCACCCTTTTATACGATCCATCTCGCTGCTCCATTTCGAGAATGCAACCGAGCCAGCGTCTCTTGCAGAACGCATCTCTTTCCACTGATCTGTGAAAATCTTCACAATAAGCTTGTCCAGCGACGCTCGCAGCTGTGGTGCTTGGACGCAGAAATCCATGCTCGACTTCAAATATGCCTTTCGAGCCTCGTGGAGCTGGAATGCGTCCTCGCGTAGTGATGAAGCTTCCTTGCTCTTGCTTTGAGCGAGGTAACGATTGATGACGGTGTCGAAGTTTCTCTGGGTGGTGTCCATGGATCGTCTAGCATCTTTGAAAGTACGGAGCTCGTTGTTCAGAAACGACTTGATTGGATCGACAACTGCAGTGTCATATCGTTTGATGCCACGCAATGTGTTGTTCCAAAACTCCCTCGCACCCTCTCCATACCTTCGCATCGCCAAAAGAGTGTAGTCATGGTCCAAGACAGCCTCGCTAATCTGTGCTGGAGGCGTAGACTGCGACAAGAACGAGTTGACAGCGCTCTCTAGAGACGACACTTCTGCGACTAATTTCGACGCCGCCTTGACATATCCGTCCAGCCATCGCTCCACGGCATCGATGTTGTCGGCGAAGTGCAGGGCAGTGGCTCGGAAGGTGGGCGAATCGAGAGCAGCCTCTTTGATGCCCACGGGAATGAGGTTGAGCGCCGGGTCGACTGGCTGGACGGCAGCCGTGTTATCTGCCATGGCGGAGTGGTGGAAGGGGCATCTGCACACGAGTTTGAGCCAGATGAGTGTGATGTTTCGAGAGCCGTTTGGATGTTGATGTCGTCGGCAACATGCAGCTAAACACCGAGAACGCTAGTGAGCCGGGGCCATGTGCCTCAGGCAGCATTTCGGCTTGACTTCACTTCACTTCCTCCAACAAAATACACCAACCACACGGCACCTGGAATCGCGATGTCTAGTCATCAACTCGGCCGCTGGAAGTGTGTTCTATGCCACGAGGCATCAAATCTTACAACAAGGACGCTAGATCTGGATCAAGGCTCACCCGAGGCTGCAATCTCATGTCTTGCGCACCGAACATCTTCGAATGGAGCGCATCTGAAGCGAGAGGCACTTTACACTGCCGCATGGACAGTACATTGTGAAACGCGAGAGATGGAAGATTGACGTAAGCTTCCAACTCTTGCAGATAGAAAACGCTGTCTCTATCATAAAACTAAGAACATATGATAATCTGAGTGCGGAAGTAGGATGCAGGATCGAGATGAGGTAGTTGAAATGAGTGTCTCTGTATTAATCTCTCAGAGTGCCGCTCATGCGCCATGTGCCAGGTACTTGTGTCTGTTATCAGAGCCTTTGAAATGGCAGCCAGCTCTGCAGCCTCGTAAGGTTACTGTGGTCTCGTTCAGGACCAGCTCTTGGTGCATTCTGGTTGAGCACCTCAGGATGACAGGAGCCGATATAACGGATTGGCTCCGAGGAGCCAGTGACTGGTTTATAATCGTACAAAGGGACAGGAAACAATTGGGCCACTCACTGTTGACATTCTTGCCATCAGGTGCGTAACGTAGAATCTGGAGCCAATTGTCGGGGGCAACTCCACCGTCACAGTGCATGTGGTCTTGGCCTCCATCCTCGGTGCTGCTTCCGGTCCAGATATCGATCCAGATGCCATCGCATCCGCTGCAGATGTCTTCATGGCGTAGAGATGCTTGTTCGTGTAGGCATCCCAGATGATCTCACACTGGTCGTACGGACCATCCTCGGCGGCAGCAAATGTGACTAGGTCGTCCTACAATGTAATTAGATAGCGACTCGTACCTCAACATAGTGGACTCTTACGTATGGCCCACAGCTACCCGGGTTGTATCCTCTGCTGCAGTCGAAGCTAATGTCGGCTCCTGCAGGAGTGTTTCCGGCGTCTCGACAAGAGGTCAGCGACATGACATCATTGTGATGGCTGCAATGTGACATCAGCATCAGGACTGACGGGTTGGCTGGCCCTCGTGGTCAAGGCTACGAAGACTAGCCAACCCTGTCTCCTTTCAGACCCTCTATTTGTCGCTATACCCATTTGCTAGGGCTTAAGGCAGTGATTGTCGCGTGTGTGCGTGTGCATGTGTGTGTAGTAGCATGTTTTGCTGCGCTAACGCTTCGCTGATTACTGATCTAACTAAATGTTAACGAAACTTTATCAAAGGAGCGCCTGAGTGGAGGCAGAGCCAACCCGTTAGCTGCAACATAGTCTGACCAAATTGGTTAGCGTCACTTCACGTGTTTCTTGGCACTGCTCACCTGCTACATTAGGTTAGTCTATTCACTAGATCGAACGTGATTAGTTCGATGTCACAACGCCGATGGCCTTTGCTCCGCAACAACGATCGACTGCATATGCGGCGTGACCTCGTACTTTCAGGATGATGCAACCTCGTACATTCTTGTGGCCCTAAAGAACACATCAGGTAGAACGTGTCGAGTATATATATCGCGGCGAAATGGAGGTGTCCAAGACTGGAGTCATCAATTCCAACCCTTTTCTTGACATCCCTCAACATGCGAGCAACTACCGCCGCGCGCATTTTGGCATTCGCCTCCTTCTCCTATGATCCTGTCTGCGGCAGTCTACTTCTTCGTGATCTAAATCCCGAATGTGCTCCCGGCGGTAATTTCAATCTGAACCCATGGCAGCTACAGCTTCCGACTGGACCGCCCAACAATCCAACTCAGATTCCTCCGTCCCAGCTCGTGGGTTGCGATGGATATACGGACTCCCACTTCTTCACAGACGCCCAAGGTGATGGATCCATGGTAATGCAGGCTCCAGGGTCCAACTCAGGATGCACCAAGTTCGTAGAGAGCGCCCATTGCCGCACCGAATTCACCGAGATCACGGGAGACTGGGACCCATTCGCCAGCGTCAACCGAATGATGGTGCAGATGAAAGCGATCCGAGGCAGCAACATATGTGTGGGCCAGCTGTTCCAAGCGGGTGGCGCACCCAACAAGCCTTTGGCCGAAATCTATTACTACAGCGATGGCACGTTCCATGTTGGCAACCCGCAGACTCCTCCAGGAGGCAATCAAGTGTTGCAGACGCTCCAGGGCGTGAATGTGCCACATAACCAGATCTTCAAGATGGAGCTGCGATATGAAGAAGGCGTTGCCAGTATTAGCATCAATGACGGGGGTTTTATCAAACTAAATAAGAAGTTTGACCCGCCGAGAGCGTTTTTCAAGACGGGCAATTATAATCAGGCCGACGATGACGCCTCTGTCCATGTATATAGCTTGGACGTACAGCATGAAGCATGAGTACGACTCCCAAGACTCGCAGATAGCATATCCAAAGGACAGAGTCCCGCTGAAATGCTGTCTCATAAAATCTGCTTCGACTCGATGGTCCACGTATCATGTAAGCACTAATCTCTGTTGTTTACACTTTCAAAACTCAGTGTACGAGCCTCCAAGGCGTGTGACAGCATCTGACAAGGTCAGATTAAGACATTCTCTTTCTGCCATAGTCATGGGCCAACGTTTCGGATTACTCAAGGGGCGAGTTTTGTAGAAGAGCGCAAGATGGCGAGGCCATCTGCCAAGGGAGAGTGGCCAGAGAGTATTCGTACGCAACCTCGAACACCAAGGCCTGTTGATTGTATCATTTGGAAGTGGACGACGTAGTCGAGCGAAGCGTAAAGCTAAACACCAAGTGCGCTAGTGAGCTGTGGCCTGTGCGTTGCTCTTTGTATGCCTGAGGCTGCAACGGACATCATCCGCGAGCAGGGAGCTTCCAAGCTTGTCTTTTCACAACGAAGTCCACCAACGCCGCCTCTGCTTCCGTCTCCTCCCACCGCAGCCCGTCATGCTGCGAATCGCCGTTGCTCGGAGCGCGGGCCTCCAGCAAGGCGTCCGTCTGGGTCTGCGTCGCCAATGGCAGCCCGCGCAGATGCTCGTGGTACGCAGCCCGACCAAAACATTGAGGCCCTTTTTAATTGATTGTACAGAGAGGCTACGCCGACGAACGACCCACCGACAAGACAGTCTTGCCTGGCATTCAGACTGGTACTGTCGCTGGTGTTCCCCAAGCACCGATCGAGGCCACCGCAACCCATAATCCCACGCAGACCAACATGTCGCCCAACGAACCGCCCAAACCCCCGCCAACGCCGCCGACACCCGCCGAAGTCAAGTCAAACGCACCGGCTCCCTCTACAAACACTGGCAATCTTCCCCCAACAGGTACTGGCACTGCGAAGACCGGCCCATCCTCTGCGCCACCACCACCGCCAAAGAAGCGCCGCCGATTCCGATCCCTCTTCTTGACTCTGATACTACTTTCTGCGCTGGGGTACGCTGGCGGCGTTTACTATTCGCTTGTCAATGACAATTTCCACGACTTCTTCACCGAATACGTTCCATTCGGCGAGGATGCCGTAGCCTATTTTGAAGAGCGAGAATACCGTAGACGTTTCCCAGCACGCGAAATTCAAGGCAGGACATGGCCCCAGACTCGCGGCGAGAACAAGGTCACAATCGCACGTCAAAGCGGCGTCAATCCTCGTGTAGCGGATGAAAACGACAATGCGGGCGCGGACTTGGCCCAGAAGGGCAGACATACCAGCGCGGTGGAGGATAACAAGGCCAAGCCTGCAGAGTCGAAGAAGCCGGAACCAACGAAGGGAGAGAAGCCTGAGGTCACCCACAAACTGTTGCCCAAGAAGGATGAGAAACCAGTCATCGCCTCTGCAGAGCCTAAGCCAACTCCCCCGGCCGCATCTCTAGTGGACAACCAGAACATTGCGGAGGGACAAGAACGTGCTGTGCAAGAGCTGGTCAAGCTGGTCAACAACATCATCACTGCAGTCAATGCGTCGCCGGAGGCACCCAAATACGCCAACACCATTGCTTCTGCAAAGACCGACTTGGACAAGGTTATTGGCGAGATCAAGATTCTGCGGGATCAAACTGCTCAGGAAGCCGACACTCAGATCAAGAACGCGCATCTCGAATTCGATAATGCCGCAAAAGAGCTAGTGCGGCGGCTGGAAAGTGAAATGCGCGAACAAGAGACCAGATGGCGAGAAGAATATGAGCAGGAACGCGAGACGCTCAGCACGAGTTATCAGCAAAAGCTCTCTGCCGAACTTGATGCCGCAAAGAAGGTGTTGGAGCAAAAGAACCAGAACGCTCTGCTGGAGCAAGAGATCTCGCTTCAGAAGAAGTTCGTGGACAGTGTCAAGGCCAAAGTCGAGGAGGAGCGCAGTGGCCGTCTGGCCGAGCTTGACGAACTCTCCAGCAATGTTGAAGAGCTTGAGAAGCTTACCTCACAGTGGAACGAGGTCGTCGATACTACCCTGCAGACCCAGCACTTGCAAGTGGCTCTTGAGGCTCTACGAGCCAAGCTGCAAGAAACAGATCACCCAACGCCATTCATCAACGAGCTCGTTGCCCTTAAGGAGGTCAGCAAGAACGACGAAGTTGTCAGCGCTGCTATTGCTTCGATAAATCCTGCAGCCTACCAGCGAGGTGTCCCATCAGCTGCATCGCTCATCGACCGATTCAGGAGAGTGGCAACTGAAGTGCGAAAAGCCTCTCTTCTCCCTGAAGATGCCGGTGTTGCCAGTCATGCCGCAAGCGCTGTTCTTTCAAGGCTTATGTTCCAGAAGAAGAGCGATCGTGGACTGCCTGAGGGTGATGATGTCGAGGCTACGCTGGCGCGAACAGAAGTCTTGCTCGAGGAAGGAGACTTGGATGCTGCGGCGCGAGAGATGAACGGGCTCAAGGGCTGGGCCGGTGTGCTTTCGCGGGATTGGGTCACCGAATGCAGGAGGGTGCTGGAAGTCAGGCAAGCTGTTGATGTAAGTGGTCCTCTCTCTCTCTCTCTCTCTCTCTCTCTCGTTGTTCCTTCGCATCGCTAACTTTCTCGACCAGGTCATTGCAACCGAAGCCCGACTTAAAAGCTTGCTCGTGGATTAGAGGTCTTGTTCACCACAGCTTTCCCACGTCCTAACCTTTGTAGCATATCCATCCTAGTACCTCAAAGACTTGTGTATAGTCATAGAAGAAAGACAATCAAAGTTTCCTAAAAGCTTGCATTACACCGACTTCACTTCTTCAAGTACCAAGCCAAATCAGCATCCGGATCATACTCTCGCATCGTCCGTCCATTACCCATAAAGCGAAACCTGTTACGACTGCGGTACGTGATATTGAAGTCTTCTGGCCGGATGTGCTCGATCATATCGTGATAGCTGAGGACGCTCCCGGCCCAAACCGCCGTGACCCTCCCGTCCGTTCGATGATTCTTATACCACTGCCAAAAACCATATGTCAGTACAATCTCTCTCACACACGCACTCAGACGAGAAGTAAAAGACAAACGTCTCGAACTTACACTCTGACACCCTCCACTCCACGCCAACCTCTGCATAACCTCATCACTATAACTATTAAACTCCTCCAGCACCTCCCCCTTGACATCCACGCACTTGATATCCTCCTCGAGAAACTTCTGGATCCACTGGCAGATGTAATCGGCACTCCAACCTAATCCCGCCATTAGGCTTCCGTGGCCGACGGGCGCGTTGGGCCCGCTGAAGGTGAAGAAGTTGGGGAAGTTTGTCACGCAGAGGGAGAGGTAGGATTTGGGTTCGTGTTGGAAGAGGGTGGAGAGGGAGGTTTGGTGTCGGCCGAGGAGGGGGAAGGGTGGGCGGTGCGAGACGTCGAAGCCGGTTGCGCAGATTAGGGCGTCGAGGAGGTGGTGGGTGCCGTCTTTGGTGTGGAGGCCTGTGGAGGTGATGTGGGAGACGGGGTCGGTGACGAGGGACACGTTGGGCCGGGTGAATGATTCGAGGTAGCCGGCTGTCCAGCGGTGAAGTGTTAGCAGGTTGGTTTCGCACGGGGGTGTCAAATTAAGGGGATAATAATACGTACGTCCTGGTGTTGCTCGTCGGCACCCAACCTCATAGTCAGGTGTCAATTTTCTCGCCAACTCCTCGTTATTCCCCAGCTTCTCCTTCATCTGGTCGGCCGTGAACTTGCGCCCTGCTATCTGTGCATCCGAATCTTTCACAAACATATCAAAAGCACGATTGGATCCGGCCTGTATCTTCTTCCGATGAGCCTTCAACTCCTTGGGATCGTCTCGAAATCTCTGCTTCTCTTCTTCAGTGTAGTAATATTGCGTCTTGCCACCAATGATTCCGGCCCCGAGACCAGCGGTGATATACGTTGGATGGCGAATGAAGTTAGTTAAGTGTGCGGCCTTCTCAACGACCAGGGGGATGATCTGGATCGCAGAGCTGCCGTTTCCTATGACACCCAATCGTTTACCCGTTGAATCGAACGAACTATCCCAGGCAGCTGAGTGCATGAGATCACCCTTAAAGTCATGTAATCCAGGAATCGACGGCCAACGCCATTTGGACAAAAACCCTACGGCGGAAACGAATATGTCAACCGAATCTTCCACAACACCGCCTTTAGTCTCCATCTTGAGATCCCACTTCCCGCGATCTTCATCCCATTGCGCGTGTGAAACTCGATGTCCGCATTTCACGTCTCGATCAAGTTGATACTTGGCGACAGTCTTTTTGAAGTACTCCAAGATCTCGCCACCAGATGCGTAGAAGGCACTCCAGTTTGGATTAGGTTCGAAAGGAAACGTGTAAATATGAGCCGGGACATCGCAGGCCACTCCCGGATACGTATTCACAAGCCAGGTGCCGCCCATGTCCTCGTTGGCTTCGTAGATGACAAGTTCTGTGAGATCGCTCAGGGTGTCTTTCCATTCGTAGTAGAGTTTATAGGCGAGGTTCATGGCAGCGATTCCGGCTCCGATGCAGGCGATTCTTAGCTTCCTAGTTGGTGTTTTCAAGGGCTTCTTGTACATTGGGATCCAGGTGTCTGGTAGAGGCTCGCCATATCGTTCTGGGGGGTTGGGTCGTTCGCCGTTTGCTTCGTCTGGATTTCCGTTGAGGACTAAGGTTGGATCTCGCGACATCATCTGGTCAAAGTTGGACCATCAGCACTGTGATGCCAATGGGTCTTAGAGGGGCAGTAAATACCTCCTCTCTGGACTTTGGTGCTCCTCCCATATTCAGCGCCATGTTGGAGCTTGACCCGTCTATCAACTTAGATTGCGTCTCAATGCTCTTGTCCGGGGAAATTGCGTTGAGAAGTTTTGGAGAAGCCGAGAACGACGCAGTGTTGAAAGTAGGACATCAAAAGAATACTAAGATGCTTCAAACCTGTCTGCCGTATATCCGATTTACCTCTATGATGCGCGTGCTGAGGAGCTGCTGCGTGGTAGCCGAAGAGAGGGGTGGCATCTCCAATGGATTGTCATCAGTGGACTAGAGCGAGCATTACAATAGCATCGCTTATGGATCATCCCTTTGCAAGGGAGTCTGACGGGCGATAGAGCACTACCTGATGTGGCGAGTGCGAGCGAGCAACAAGGCGTGTCGTTGAAAGAAGGATGGGATGCGACTCGGAGCCACGACCACGGCCGTGGATTTGGTCTGTTGCTGTGGAGCCGGCTTCTTGCAGCAAAAACACTCGGCCCTTGCACAAGCACAAGTGACTCGAGACATCACTTCTCAATGTCGACCTCGCCGAAGCGCAAGCTCGATACCATAGCCGACGAACAACCTCTTAAGAAGACGAAGATGCACACGAATGGGCATACCGACGATGACGAAGAAATGGCCGAAGAGATCCCCTTCCAAAAGCCAACCCCCGATTCACAGATCAACCACGCCGCCGCGATAGCATACTGGTCAACCACACCCGCCACCGTCGATGGAGTACTCGGCGGATACCCGCAAGTCAGTCGCGTAGACCTCCAAGGCTCAGCGAACTTCCTCGCGAAACTGCGGCGCCAATCGAAGCACTTCCCACCCTCCAAGGGCAAATTGAGAACAGTTGCAGATTGCGGTGCGGGGATAGGCAGGATTACGAAGGGATTTTTGCAGAATGTGGCGGAGACGGTGGATATCGTGGAGCCGGTCACTTCGTTCACTGATCAGGTCAAGGACGAGCCTTGTGTTGGGAAGATCTACAACGTGGGGTTGGAGGAATGGAAGCCAGACAACGGCGTCGTATATGATGTCGTGTGGAATCAGTGGTGCGTTGGACAGCTCACCGATGCGCAATTGGTCGAGTACCTACGACGATTACCTGCGGTGGTGGAAGAAGGGGGTTGGATCGTGGTCAAGGAGAACCTGAGCAACAACTACGTGGGGGAAGATGTCTACGACGAAACCGATAGCAGCGTGACGAGGACGGACGACAAGTTTCGGAAGCTTTTCGAGGAAGCTGGATTGCGGATCGTCCTTACGGAGCTGCAGAAGGGGTTCCCAAAGTCGCTGTACCCAGTGAGGGCATATGCTTTGCAGCCGAAGTAGATGTCGAGATTCCAGGCGGATACAGACCTCAGAAGAGCTCAGGCTTAGCAGTCGGCCGAAGCTGCGGTCAATATGGACGTATTCGCAAGACTAAATGAGGAGGTGCACGGTTGTAAACCCACGTAGTCGAGACACCTTCATAGGTCGATGAGGACACATAAAAGATAAGAGGCGCTATCATTGAAGATGACTAGCATCGTGGCGATGACGGAGGAGCAGAAAGAACACCATGGCTCAAAATGCATGGTCATTAGCAGCGTCCGGACAATCGTGTGTTGTGCTCAATCCTGCCTTCACGGTTCCGCTTGTATGAGGACTTCATCTCTCCGATCAATACGAAACGACCGAGACCTGGATCGTAGACGGCTGATGAGTGACCGGTACGAACATTACACCTTGAGCGGCGTTAGAGACATCATACACAACATCTTCTCCACATGCACACAGGGTCATCTCGTCTACGCACCGAGTTCTCGGGACATTAACTTCCAGACCACAACACGCTCCATCAGACTTCATCGTCACGAAACCAGAGAAGGGCACCTATAGCAGACAGCATGGAGCCGTCCGGACGCTTGAGCGTCACCATCGCTACCATCATCCAACACATATGGAATGTAGTGAACGACATGGCGCACTTCTGTGGCAGTGGGGATATGCTGCAGTTCTCTATAGTCTCGTTTTCGACAGGCCATCGACTTCAAGATCATGCAAGAATACAAGACCTTGGGATTCGGAGAGCTGACCCAAGACATCAAAATCCTACATTCGACCATCTACTCGGACATGACAAGCGTTCGAGCTCTTCGCTATGGGCACGAAGTGGTCCCGGATCACAAGACGCGAGTGAAGCTTGTGCTGTTGCACGTGAGAAAAAATAGCCGCGTTAGCCTTGTTCCACGCTGGGCTATGCAGCATCTTCACATTGTCATGGCCAACCTGCAGAGATCTGGACCCGTCGTTGCTCTCACATTGATGTCTTCAGTCTGCAGCCGAGGACCCATGCCGAAAATCTCGAAAGTCGATGTCCTGACATGTCCACCAATCCTCGCGAGTAGCCTGTGCATTCCCAATGGAAAGGCCGCATTGCCCAATGTGCTGGGGCCGTGCCGACGTTGTTCATACGACAATACCCTGATATCTCGCTCGGCCATCCGCGTGACCGCAATATAGGACCGCTATCCTGAACCGCAATCGAAATCTTGGTCTCCTCCAGACTTGGTGAGACGAGTCGACAATTTCATGCATCCCACTTCGCACGGGACGACGAGGGTAGAGTAGCATGGCCTCGATCACCTCTCACGGAGCTGCCGTAGCATCCCTGCTCCAGCCAAGCTGCTGGCCAAGACAATACAACGACATGTTCCCAACACCCGCGTGGTGGCACGACAGCAAGCCCGCCGCAATGGTGCATGGAATCGCAGTCAGAACGGACGGCGCGAACGGAGATCGTGCAGAATACGGCAGCGCCCGAGGCGCCCTGTGTAGAGATGGCGAGTGCAGATGGAGAAATTCTCGAGCTGGCAAGTTCTTGGGAGCAGTCTTGGAGTCTTGGATCGCGTGGCACCAGCGAGGGTCTGCTCAGCGCCTTTGCCCAATCACGCGGGCCGCGCCTGCGACTTATTTTGTTATTTCCCTTCGACTTTGCACGGAATCGCTCGTTCGCGCGCAGGCCGATTTCGGGCATGCGAAAAGCGCCACGCTGAGAGGTACGAGTTCTGAGTTTTTGGGGTGGGTCCCATCCATCCATCCTGCCCGCGGCGACTGGTACAAAAAGTCATTCACCTCCCACCTGTGCTCTCAATCTGATAAGATAAGATCTTTCGCTAGCTTTCTTTGCTTTCGAAGCGCAGACCTCACCTCTCTTCTTTCTTTCGTCTGCTCACACATCGGTGTCGTCAAGATGTTCCTTTCTGGAGCTGGCGCTGAGCCAGAGCACGATCAAAAGACGTACAACCACGATGTGCACGAAGATTTCAACCCCGTCACGTCGGACACTGTGCTCAAGGACCAGGAAGGACATGCCATCAACTCGACCGGACAAGATGGTGTCAAGAAAGCTCAAGCAACTACCATTGTCTGGAGCCGTAACGCTCTGCTCGTGGTCTACGCCTTGTAAGTACTATGACATTTTCCAGATGCGCTTGCACTGATCCACCTTTCAGGATCTTCCTGATCTTCTTCATCAACTCCTTCCAGCAGCAGACCAGCAACAACCTGGTCGTGTACGTCACCTCAAGCTTCACGCAGGTGTACCTCATCCCCACGGTCGGCATCGTGTCCACGATTGTCGCGGGTGTCATCAAGTTGCCCGTCGCGAAGTTGATGGATATCTTCGGACGACCGCAAGGTTATGTCTTCATGCTGACATGTGCCGTTCTTGGTGAGTCAATGGAACTGATCCGCGATGATGAGGTTTGCTGACTCGATGGCTCCAGGATTGGTCCTGATGGCGGCGTGTAATAACATCACGACCTATGCCGCTGCTCAAGTCTTTTACTGGGTTGGCTTCAACGGGATTGGATACGTCCTTGATGTGTTCATTGCGGATACATCGTCTCTGCAGTGGCGAGCCCTGCTGTTTGCATTCACAACCTCTCCATACAGTAAGTGCACATGATACCGGCCAATCGCTCCTCTCAAAGTAGAAGGCATACCATTTATCTCACGGCGCTCCGAGTGACAATGCTCATGATCACAGCTCCGGTTGCTTGGACGGCGTAGAGCAACGGTGATGGAGATGCCGTCAATTTTGAGCCATTCAAACATCTGACTGACATCTTGGACAGTCGCGACGACGTTTGCCGGCCCTGCTGCTGCGCAGAGCTTCCTCAGGACGAGTGGATGGAGGTAAGGAGCTCAAAATTACTTCAGATCAAGCCTTGTCTGACATGAGAACAGATGGGGATACGGCGTCTATGCCATCCTCGTGCCAGTCATCTCCGCTCCATTCCTAGCAGTCTTCTGGTATAATCAACGCCTTGCACGAAAGCAGGGCATCTTGGTACCCGCGAGAGAGGCTTCTGGACGAACGTGGACGCAGAGCCTGGTCCACTACTTCATCGAGTTCGATTTCATCGGCATCCTCCTCATCTGCGCGGGATTCTCGCTCTTCCTCCTGCCGTTCTCGCTCGCGACGTCATCTGCTCAGCAATGGCGTTCTGGACACATCATCGCTATGCTTGCCGTTGGCGTCGTCTTGCTCATCGCCTTCGGGGTCTGGGAGAAATTCTTCGCCAAGAAGCCGTTCTTGCCATTCCACTACCTGACCGACCGGACTGTGCTCGGTTCATGTCTCCTGCCGATGACGACCTGGATCAGCTTCTACTGCTGGGATGGATATTTCAATCCATACCTCCAAACCGTGCACAACCTTAGCGTCACCAACGCCGGGTATGTGGCCAACATTTACAACCTTGGCTCCTGCTTCTGGGCTCTGATTGTAGGTGTTCTGATCCGCTACTCTGGACGGTTCAAGTGGATTGCCCTTGCTGCAGTCCCGTTTGAGATCCTCGGGACCGGGCTCATGATCCATTTTCGAGAGGCGTCCTACGGGATCGGCTACGTCGTCATGACACAGATCTTTATTGCATTTGCAGGTGGTACCCTCGTAATATGTCAAGAGATTGCGATAATGGCCGCCGTGGGACCAGCAAACATTGCTGTCGCTCTGGCTCTTCAAGGATTGTTTGCCTCCGTTGGGGGTGCCATCGGAAGTTCCATCTCAGGCGCCATCTGGACCAACACCTTCTACAAGTATCTAGTGGCCAACCTGCCACAAGAGACTGTAGCGAACGCGACCGTCATCTACTCTTCGATCACGAGCCAGCTGCTCTATCCACCAGGCGACCCAACACGCATCGTGATCGACGAGGGTTACGTTTATGCGCAACAGTACATGTGCATTGCTGGGACTGCGATTCTTTCGTTGTGCTTTATCTGGGTGTTGATGTGGAAGGACTATCAAGTGAAGGACTTCAAGGCGCCGCCGGGTGCGAAGGTCTTTTAAGAGGATCGAAAGGGGTTCATCAAAGAATGTCTAAAGCGACCACTTCGACCGTGATCGCGACATCATCTCAAGCGCGACTGAGGCCTCTGTAATAATTGAAACGAATCAACCAGTCACAGCTCAAAGAACTCATCATTTTGTTTCCTAGTTTGACAAATCGCCTATAGGGAGGATGCCATGCCCGCTAAGGGGGAATAAGTGTAAACGTCCTGCCAGTCGTGCGTCTTGGCGATGAGGACCGATAGCGAAACATACCATAGTTGATCTCTAAAAATCACAGTATGACTGTGCCCTCTCCGAACAGTTGTGTCTGTGTGTGTGTCGCTGCCTGACTTGGAAACGAATCCGCGATTCACATTTTCAAGAAAGCCTGGAATTCTCCACCATTTCCAGCTGTGAACGACATGCCAAGTCAAAGTTCATCTTCCTAGTTCTTACAAGTCGCGATAATCTTCATACAAAGACGGCTCGTAGCACGTCGCTAGCACGTGGCGACGGCAGCGAGATCTTGGTTGTTTGATCTCGGTGTTGGCAATAGAGTTTTGGACCAACCGCGGCTCGTAGGCGAAAAGCTTCCGTACGGCAAGGTGAGGCCTTCATCACGGGATTCCTGGCGACGGTCTACGAGGATGGACCTAGGCTGTGGATTTGGACAGTAAGCAGGCAGATTCGCTGGCCGTGGAGAGTCATCCCAACAGGTTGATTGATTCAGGAACCTTGAGGTTGGTGTTGCGTGGAGATGGAACTACGGGGCTGTCGAGTCGAAGCTATATACTTCTCGCAGTATAAGGCTGGGGGCGCCGAACCGTCGATAGTGGAGGAATATATCGTTCCAAGGCGTGACTCGAGGGTTCATGGCTGCCGTCCCGTCTTCAATGGCTGAGATCGCGCCCAAACGGTTGCAACTACCGCGATGGCGTGTGCTTGGAAGGAAGATTTCATTTTATAGCCAGGGAGAGGCCTTAGAGAGAGGAGGTCGTCGACTCACGCTGCTCAAGAGATCCTTGCGCAGCAAATCATTCAATGGATTTGAGGCGTAGGCCGTTGACCGCGTATCCTGGTCGCTTCATCTCCTGACCTGGACCTTCAGACCAGGGCAGGTCGGAAGATAAAACTCATGTCGACGACACTCCACCTCCACGGCTGGAAGACGACTTCCTGCGTCCCCGGAGAATTCAAATATATTGATGCGACGTCCGCGGCGTTTGTACTGGGCAGCATGGAGTCGGGGGAAGAGTACAATTCCAACCACGAGGACGAGTTTTACGACGCGGAAGCTGGCAACGTCGCCGAATCTCCAGCAGCTGGCGAACTAGTCGCTGCCACCTGCGGCCCTACCACCGGACGGCCTTCATTGGCTGCCAGCGAACAGCCGCATGCGCAGCTCCGTCATTCGACGACGCGTGAGAGGAGCTCATCGCGATCATCATCTCTACGCAGCAGCGCCGCCGCCGAGCTGCGCAAGAAGCTCCACGACGAAGAGGCCAGGCGCGAACTGCCCAATCTCCCACCCATCCCTCCCCAGTATCTCCAGCAGCAGCAGCCGCACAAGAGGGCCCGGCCGGCGTCGGTCGCATTATTTCCTCCTGCAGCAGCTCGAGCAGAGCCTCCTGCTTTGCGCAGAGCCGCCAGTGCTGCGGGCGCGAGGGATAGACCAGCGCCAAAACCACTTAATACTCACCACCCCGGCACCCGTTGCAATGCGATAGCCCTCGAGGCGAACGACGCCCAACCGAAGCCGCAAGGGATACCGGGGACTCACAATTCGCGCGAACCAGTCCAGCTGCCGGCTATTTCGCGGAGGGCTAGAGCAAAGACGGTGCACGCCAGCGCAACACCCTCGTCCGAAACAACAACACCCCTAACATTGCTAGGCACCGCCGCACGCGACAGAATGGATTTCTACGAGTCGCACCGCTCTCCTGCGCACACCCACGCCAAGCGCCGCTCTCTGCCCCCCGACGTCGACATTTACCACCGCCGCCCGAGTACGAGCGGTAACATCTACACGCGCCCCTCGTCACGACTCAATACCAACCGATCGGCGGATCTGCAGCGACATATGGATCAGTACAAAACCTCCACGAGTCGCCCGTCTTATCAGCCAGGCGACGCCGCCTCCGTGTCGGGACATTCGAGTTCTGGACGCGCCCGTCGCTACTCAGTCGTCCCTGATCGCTCGCCCCTGTCGCCGACGCGTCTTCGCGAACGCTTACACTCTCCAGAGGTGCCTCAGTACGGGCGCCGACGTCCCTCATTTGGCGCGCCCATGTCCAACTCCACGAACAACCAATTGGCCACCTTGGAATCGCCTGAAGAGTCACCAGCGGAGGAATCTGAACCCAAGCTGAGCGAATCGACGTCTGCAGAGTCGCAACAAGAGGATAACGTGTGGGACGAGCTGGACGAGCTCAAGATGCGTATAAAGGAATTGGAAATGAAGGACAAGGTGCCGACCGTTTCGAGTGCCGCCGCATCTGGAGACTCGAGCGACCGACCGCGCACTGCGACAACTGCCCCTACGACTATTGATTCCTCACCAAAGCACGAGCGCAAGCGGGAGATAGAAAGGAAGAAGGCGACTCCCACTCCACCACTAGAGACCGCATCAGGCGCGAACGCCTTGAGCAACATTCATCCACCCTTACATACTGCCCTGGCCAAAGCTGAAACTTTATTGAACGCATCTCTCTACCGGACTTTGGAAGCTGCCTCTAATGATGCGCTTCAACTGGCGGCGGTCACTGGCAGTGCTGGTCCTCAGGGTACCAACTTCTCGGCTGCTTCAATCATCAACGGCTTGAGCGTGTCTGATCGGCATGTCAGGCGCAAAGTTGACAGCATGTGTCGCAATCTAACAGAGCTATGCATCGCATTGTGCGAAGGCAAACATGAGGCAACTGAGATTGTGTCGTCCCCTACTTCCATGGAAACAGCAAGACAGGAGTCGCCGACGTTCAGGTTTTCAGAAAACCATGCACCTTCGCGTCAAGCAAGCAATGCTCGACCCATGAGCCGACTGGACGCCAGGAGAAGCAGCATTTTAGGGGGCAACTCGTTGGTACCGTACGAAAGCATCAGTCCTCGCGGCAGTGTTGGCGACATGTCTGTTACCGAACAAGAACCCTCATCAACGAAATCGAATCCACCCCAACTACGTCGCGTCAGTCGAGCACCGAGTGGGTTGCGCAGTCGCATTCAACGTCAGGATGACAGTGGCGACGAAGCGACGAACTTGCGACCCCCTTCGCGTGCCATGACTGATATCGGCGCACTGCGACCCCGGTCGAGACTCACGAATGAAAACAGATCCCCAGGTGCGCAGCGAACCCCCAGCTTGCGCGAAATTCTGGCCTCTAAACGAAACAACGACGCTGCATTTGAGGGGAACCGTGAAACGCCCAGGATCTCTTCGATTGGTTCTGAACACAGACGCAGGCGTCTGTTTGATCAGCAATCGACGCCTCCCGTAGTGGAGGAAGAGGACGGTCCAGACGATTATCACACCCCTTCACAACCACGTCGACGCGTTACGTCGATGGGTGGACAATTCAATTCTCGCCGGTCTATTGGCGACATTCCTGGACGAACATCAAGCCTCCACCAGCGACGCGACGTTATAACGGAATAGCCTTCCATTGATTCACTGCTCGACTATTCGAACGACACCATCACGGCACTTACGAAGGTACACTTCTGATTAGCATTGTCAGCATTCATGATAATGAGAAGGCACTTTTGGGATTGTGATTTGCGAGCGAGCAACATGTATTATGGTTGTATGACTTATGGATGGTGCGTTACTTTGAGCGCACAGATTTTGCGTAGGATACCCAAACTTTGCAGCGTTGAACGACCGTTCTGAGCATTATTTCACCCGACTTCGTATGAGTTTCTTTCAATCTGCCTCAATTCATCGTCGTGGAAGAGAGGAAGTGCAGACGCAACTAACCTGCTAACAAGGCAGCCAGAAAAGCAATTACCAACAAAGCGTCATCTCACAGCAACACCAGAATCCAAATACCCAATGCGGTCATTGCGCTCGGCACACGTGGCCCAGTCGCCCACCAGCCTGATGAACGCAGAAACTCGATTGACTTCGTCATGCAGTCTCCATGATGCCAAGCGGGAAACACCTCATCGAGCTTGTTGGAGCTCTGTCAGAGGATGCAAGTGACTGCGCCACACCAAGTCCAGAAATCTTGGAGGCGAGGTGGGATCTGCGTGCAGGGGTCGACCGGGTTGGCTGAGGTGCAGTCGCTGTCTCCTCCAGGTGACGTAGGTTTCTCTGCCGCAAGCATGTGGGTGGGCAGCATGATGGAAGCTGGGCTGGGCTGGAACAGCTGCTGCTTGACGCGTTGTGTCTCTGTGATGAGTAGTAGGGGACGGGTTAGTGGTGTGGAGGATTGGGTGAGGAGATAAGTACCTTTTTCTTTGCTCTTGTGTCTTGTTGTTTCATTGCCTTTGCTCTCGTCACGTCACACATTTCTATACCAGACATCCTACTGTAACCAGCAAATCACCACCCCAATCACAACAACAACAAACACATCCAGCAACGAACCATGGCCGACCAACTCAAGCAAGCCGGCTCCAAAGCCCAACAGACCGCCTCCGAAGGCACCTCCAAATGGGACGCCATGAGCGAAGAGCAAAAGAAGAAGACCTTCGACGCCCTCCCCGAAGACCAGAAGAAAGGCAAGACCTACATGGAGTGGCTCTCCGAGGGCTACCAGCACCAGAAGGAGAACTGGATGCCGTGGATCGAGGATATGTATTTGAAGTGGTTCACGAATGATAACAAGACGAGTTATGCGACGAAGAGTGAGTCTTTCGTTAAACACCTTCCATGAATACACTACGATACATATGTGTGTGTGTATAGATGAGCAGTGCTAATGTATTTGTATGATTAAATAGGCACCCTCGACAAATCCAAAGTCACCGGCATCGAACAAGTCGACACTCTGCAAGACGGCGTCAACAACCTCGTCGCGGGACAAGTCGGCAAAGGCGGGCTCTTCCAACCCGTCGGCGACATGGTGAGCAAGGAGGGCGTCAACCGCGCCGAGCGAGGCGGCAAGGATACCGATGGGAGCTACGGCGGGCAGGCGGCTGCGGCGGTGGATCCTGTGGCCAAGAATGCGCAGAGTGCGGGCAGTTCGATTTGGTCCGGCGCGCAGAGTGCTGGCGGGTATGTTGGGGGGATGTTTGGTGGGGGGAGTAAGGAGGGGGAGCAGAAGAAGTAGACTGATAGCAAATGGTCGAGGGCATGTGATAATGATGAGTATATGAGGTGGGATTTTGGCGTTGATTTAGTAGTTGTAACCTTTGTCGATTGTTATTACCGATAGTGTAGATTGTACGTATCACGAGCTTCTGTTGCGAGTCATGGTCTTCTGGTCTGCTTTGTTGGTTGTGCATGTGAAGGCGAAAGTGAATCCACCGTGGCACATCTCGTGAGCCACGAGCTCTGGAAAGCTTTTCGACACCGCACCTCCAACGCGACCATCACATGAAAGTTGAAAAGTGAGTCAGAAGAAAAGAGAGCAAGCCTTATGTATTCACCCGAGTAGTAAGAGCGTCACTGCCTTTATCTACGGGAAAATCTCGCTGTCAAACATCATACCTTCCATCCAGAAACAGACATTTCCAACAGCACGACTTCAACAATCCATCATCAACCACCCCAAGACCCAAAGACTCAGAACAACTACAAGCACAACAGCCCCATCCAAACCCCAAAACCAAACCACACCCACCAGCACCATGCCCGGCCGCGGTGGTGGTGGTCGAGGAGGAAATCGAGGAGGTGGCCCCCTCCCCCGCCCCGTACAAGTCTCCAAAAAAATCTCCTGGCTCCTCCGGCACGGCGCCGAAAAAGAAGGCCTCACGCTGGGACCCGGCGGCTACATCAATGTGTCCGAAGTCCTCGCCAACCGCAACCTCAAATCGCTCAAAGTGACTTTCGACGAACTGCGCCAGATCGTCGAGGAGAATGATAAGCAACGGTTCACGATGGTGGCTGTAGAACAAGGGGAGGGACAGACACCCCTCCCATCGAATGACCCGAAAGATTACCTGATCCGCGCGAATCAGGGGCATAGTCTGAAAGTCGAAGAGGAAGGGTTGTTGCAACCCATCACCGAGGAGAATCTCCCCGCGACGGTCGTCCACGGCACGACGCACTCCGCCTGGCCGCTCATCGTCTCCTCGGGAGGACTGAAACCCATGGGTCGAAACCACGTCCACTTCGCCTCCGGCCTACCCGCCGGTTTCACTTCCCTCGTCGACTCTTCCTCCTCCACCAGCAGCAGCAGTACCAATACCACCAACGCAAACGAAGTCTCCGCGCCAGTGATATCCGGGATGCGGAAATCGTCGACCGTGCTGGTTTTCTTGGATGTGGTGCGGGCGATGCAGGCGGGGATTAAGTTCTGGGTGAGTGATAATGGGGTTGTCTTGACCGAGGGGAATGAGGAGGGGGTTGTGCCGTTGGAGTTTTTCCGGAGGGTGGAGGATCTCACGGGGGAGGGCGTTTTGGTTGAGGAGGGGAGGGTTGTGAAGGAGGCGCCGGGGACGTGGAATAAAGGTGGTGGGAGGAGTTGAGTGGAGAGGGAAGGGTGCTCTTACATGAGATACGAGTGCTCGCAGTTGTGCTGTGAAGGTCTCGTTGGATGGCACAGGAAGGAGAAAGGCAACGAGAACACCCAAGATCAGGCTGGCCACGATCTGTGGTTGGATATTCTGTCCAACAATACCACCAGAATATAACTCCGCGTCGGACATGCAGTACGGGCTGCAAATTTCCCTGGACGAACGATGACAAAGAGAACTTTCAAAGACACGACCTCATTGATCGTCATGTAATTTCTGGCTAGTTTCATGCCGTATCAGACCTATGCTAGTCGCTGAAGATTCAATGCATACAAAGGTATCACAACGCTCGCCTTGTCCGTTCCCGCTTCCCATCAAGACTACGTCGGCTCAGACCAGTCGACCTGCTGAGTGACGGGCGCAGAACCACCTTTGGCATATGAAAGCTTCAAACGTAACCGGAGTCTGGCTGGAGGTGGCTGTATCCAAGTTAGCATAATCATACGAAAAGCAGGTCGAGAATTTTGAACTTACCCCTGAAACACTTGTAATGCGCATTTGCTGCGTCGCTTCTTGTCCTCCCTCCAAGTCAGACGAACTGATCGCCTGCAATTGTAGCTTTTGCGTCTTTGGAACGGCAGCTTGCAGGTTGACGGAGCTGAACGACTCGAAGTTGCTGGTGTTCCTGAACTTGGCGTTGACCTGAACGGCCTGAGCATTCCGCTGTAGGCTGAAGGTGACGTGCAGATCGTCCTTGTTGTAGGCGGTGTGTGCTTGTGCTGCTGGAGGCGGAGAACCCCCAAATCCGCCAAGGATGTCGTTGGAGGCTGCTGATGATTGTTGCGGCGACTGTGCTGCAGGCGATTGACCGGACGGCTGGGAACCAAACAAGTCCATGATGGAATCCATGTTGCTCTGCGGTTTCGTCTGGCCATTCATGCCACTGTAACTTGTCTGTTGCACCGGTGACGAGACTGTATCGTTACCACCAAGAATTTCGGCCAGGAGATCGGCGTTGTTGTTCTGTGATCCGTTGATCGTTGTGCTCGTGTCTGTCGTAGACATCCCGGAGTCTCCACCCATGAGATCGAGCAGCATATCTTGCTCTGTGATTTGGCTTGGCTTCTTCTTGGCAGGCAATTTGCTGTGTCTTTTCTTTGTCGCTTCACCAAGCACCCGCTGTTCTTCTCGAATCTCTGGTGGCGGCATATGCTCCAGTACACCCTGTCGGACTGTGTCGTAGCCAAATAGGTTCCCGTACTCTACGGCTCGTTGTTGAATTTCCACGTCGAGATCTGCCTGTCGGCTGAGTAGCAGTCTTCTAAGTCGGTCAACTTGTGCTGGCTCCCGAAGTCGTGTAGTAAGCTTCATGGCGGCTGTGATGATATATTCAGTAACGCTCTGGCCGGAGTAGCTCGAGTTGAGGATGGTGGTGAACAGGTCTACAATTTCACTTTCTTTCACCTCCTTGACGAGCTCCTCCTCTTCGTAAGAGCCCCCTTGAAGCAGAGCGTCGCCGTACTCTCCAATGACCCAGGCGCCAGCAAGGTTCAGACCTTCTTGGCTGATGTCGTCTTTGAGCGCAGCATAGAGCTTTTGAGCGCAGTATGTCTGCAGCTCTGGCGTGGTTGCAATCAGTCGCACGAATGAAGACAGAATCTGTTCTTTCACGTAGTTTCCAGCCAGCTTGAGCACCCGGAGCATAGTGTCGACGTGCCACCTTTTGTTAGGCGCAAAACGATCTGCTGCAACGCCGATCTGACTGGTCATGACCGGCTTGAACTCGTTGTCTGCCACTTCGAGGAAAGCGAGTAGTTCTCGAATCAGGACGCGGATGTTCGACTCATTGATCAAAGTAAAGCTGAGATCCAGTGCTCGTCTCCGTATGCTGATGTCAGGGTCGCGCAAGCAGTCCAAGATGGTGTTTCGATGCCGCTGCACTGCATTCGGTTCGATAGCCACTACCTTGATCAAAGTGTTAAGCGCCACGTAGCGGATGTTGTTGTCTCGGTTGGAAAGGAACTTGCCCAAGATGTTGACACCCAAGACACGAAGTCCAGAGTCAGCCTCGATATCCAAGATGGTGAGCACAGCCTCGTAAAGGATGGAGTTGCCCACATTCTTCGAGGACTCAGTGTTGGTGGCCACCTGGGCGAGAATATCGTTGATCTGTTCGCTCGTCTGCGGATCTCCCCTGCCCAGCACTCGGAGAAGTCGCAAGATCTTGACCTGCAAAAAAGGATCTGTTATACCAGTGACATCATGTTCTGGTGCGTAGCCGGACTGGGACAAGGCTTTAAGAACCTTGACCAGGCTTCCAGTAAGCGGTCTGAACATCTCGACAACGCCCTGTTCTCCGCCTTCTTCCTCATCAGCCTCACACATGCTGACGACAAGTGTCAAACCGCTCAGAAGTACGCCGTGATTCCTATCATTCAGTAGCAGCTTCGCTTTATCCACAAAATGCTCTTGCAGGTCCGGAACTTTTCGACATATTCGCATGGCGCAGAGGGCGGCTTTTCTTCGAATGTACGGGTTGGAGGAGGAGAGGATCGTCTCGACTTCTGGGAAGAGGTCTCGAGACATCTCGATCGAGGCGATGTTGCCGAGGGTACATAGTGCAAGGCCGACAATATACTGGTTGCTGTGGTTGAGGTCGCTGTCCTGTGTTAGCCGGGCTATCAGGGGAGATTCGTCTTTCCTACTTCTTCAAGGAGTTGGTGACCAATGTCAGAACTTCTTGATTCTCGTCCAAAAGCAGCATCGTCCCCAGATATCCCAACCGCTTGTCGGCAAAGCGAGGGGAGGCCAGCAGCTTCAGACATTCGATCTGTCCAAAGTGCGTGCGCTCACCCAGGGTGAAGAGATATAGCAGCTTTGCGACATTGTTGCGCCTAGTATAGCATGAGCACACATATCCCACCTGAACATGCTCCTTTCATTGTCATACCGCAAGTCGGAGTTATGGCTCTCTTCCCTAAAGCTGGCTCTGATGGCCGCGCTCTCCTTCTGCACTACAGCTCTTTCGTCGGCGATGGTCTTGGCGGCGCGCACATTGCGGATGAATTGTTTGACTGGAGACAGGTAGATTAGCAGCGGTTCACATGTTGCCGTAGGCGTCCATTGTAGGCGTACGGGAACTCATTGCGGCGGTCACTGGGACCCCAATTTGAGATTGAAAAGAGATCCGGTCAAGGCCGTGATATTCCCATCGCGAGGCAGGTCGTTCAGAGGGTGCAGAGGTGTTTGTAAGTTGTTCCAGGCGCGGGCGACAGTTGTTTGAAGTCTTGGCCCAGCGAGGTACTGATGACCCTTGTGCTGAGGGTGTCTCATGGTGCAGACTCAAAGCAGCCTAGCGTGAGCTGCTGAGACTGAACTTCGAGTTCGACGTCCACCCAACTTCCTTCTCTCGACCGCTCTGATTTCCAATCTGAGCAATGATGAGGGCCGCGAATTCGGACATGCACAAGAATCTATACGCGCAAACGGCCCCGTTGCCGAAGTAGCCTGTGTGCTCCTGCAGTCTCTGAGCCTTGAGTCCATCCACCCCTCCTTCAAGGCGTATACTCGCGTTCCCGGAGCGAGCACTCTCATTGTCTTCAGATATGTGAGAGCCTGCAGCAGAGGCACCATTGCCATCCTTTCAAAAATGGCGAAAGCGACTACGTGCGTAAAACATACTCTTTGGGCTAGCTAAACGATAGCAAAAACCATCTTTGCCAACATTGGTAAAAGGGAACAGGCTGTGCCCTAAAGCCGCGTGGGAGCTGAGGATATTGAAACAGAGGTGGGGATCCTACGGGTTGATAGGATATATATTTGTACATCAGTCCTGGCTCTCCTAAAAATCTTGAAGGATTAACTTTCTTTGTTCTCAAACTCTTTGGCTTTCTGCACTCCCTGGCTCCGGTCGACGAAGCTGAACATTCCGCTGTCATGTCTACGAATACAAATCCATTGACGTTTGCGATAGTTCCTGGAGCATGGCAAGTCACCAAAACCCCATTTCCCAGGAAGAAAGCATCCTGACAACACCTCAAGGCATAAACAAATGCACGTCCAACCAACCCTCGACGTCCTCAAAACCCGCGGCCACAACGCCATCAGCATCGACCTCCTCGCCATCGACACCTCCAAGCCCCGCCCAACCTGGGAACAAGAAGTCCTCCACATCACCAACAGCGTCCTCTCCCAACTAACCTCCGGCCGCGACGTCGTCCTCGTCCTACACTCCTACGCCGGCCTCCCCGGCTGCGAAGCCCTCAACCGCATAGTCCAAGCCGGCGCCCTCCAACCCACCGCGGAACGAAAAGGCCGTCTCCTTAAAGCCATCTTCTTCTACGCGCACCACGCCCCGACAGGGCTCGTGATGGACGTCAAAGCCTTCGTCGGCCCCCAAAACCCCGCCTTCTCCATTGACGAAAGCACCGATCTCGCATATCACGACCAGCCCTACGAACTCTTCTTCAACGACATCCCGACCAAAGAAGAAGCGAAACCCTACCTGGACGAGATCAAGCCCATGTGGTACATCCCCGGGGGCGGGGCGATCGCGTCCGACGATTGGCAGCAGGCGCCGAGGAGTATCGTGGCGTCTTCGAAGGATAAGGCTTTGCTGCCGGAGATTTTGAACCAGATGTGGGGTGGGCACCAAGAGGAGATTGTGTGGACTGAGACGGCGCATACGCCTTTTATGACGCAGCCGGAGGAGATTGCTGATTTGTGGATTGATTTGGCTAGCAAACCGTCTGGCGAGGCTTGAACACGCTCTCGTTGGGGAGTGAAATAGACAGGCGAAGCCTCTAGGGATGGAGAGTCACAGCGCCCTCTGGAGTAGACAAGGACGGAAAGCTGAGTGCTTTCACCATCGAAACATAAGTGAAATAGAAAAGTAGAGAAAGTTTTTTCTCTAATCAACTTCGCCATTTCATCACTCTATACCCAAGCGTGCAGGACTCTATCCCAACCATCAATCATTGACACTCCATAAGAGCATCCAAATCCACCCGCTTGTAATAGGAAATATGTCCGAAGCCCTGCCAGAACTGGGCCAGTGTGTCGTGAGACACCATGATGAGTTGTGACGGGGTGTACTGATCTGTGTAAATGCATTAGTCTCTGTCTGGATCGAAAGGCAATAGATGTCTGCACTCACCATGAGTAAACCCCCTCCCAGCAATATGGCCCGCACTACGAACCACTCGTGCGCCCCTAAACAGCTCTTCGTCCGCAATCCGCACGAAGCCTCCGTGTCCGATATCAGGCGCAATGAACGTGTACTCCCCGCGGGGAACATTCGGATCACCTGTCAACTTGATCGCCTCGAGACGTCCTGTGGGGACATCATCATAGTCCTGCGTATCGCCGACGATGGTATCGACAGGTGGACGCCTGAAGCCATCAAGCCGTGGTCCAGGGGCTTCGAATGTGTCGACGTCTTCGGGGGAGTGGGATTCGTCGTCGGTGTCCATGTGCTCGACGGCGCTGACGAAACTGGCGTTGCTGCTGTCGCTGTCTCTGCGGTTGCCCCTGAACCAACGGCGGAGCCAGTTTGTGCCTCGTGGGAGGGGGCTCTCGTCCCTGGCATCGGGCTGTGTGATGAGGAGGAATTCGGCTCCATGCCCTGAGTAATCGCCGCACCAGATGCCTTGCCATGGTTTTTGTGGTGTTGGAATGTAGCACGACTCCGGGAGAGTGGCATATGTCGTGATGTCCTCTGGCATCCGTATTGTCATGCCTCCTCCAACGGTCGATTCCATTCCTGGAGCGAAGTATGGCATGTTAATACCCAGAGTAGCCGACATGCCGCCTCCTGAGCCGAAGATGAAGTTCGGATTCGTGCGGCGGCCAGTATATTCAACCCATCTTCTCAGCCTGAAATTATTGTGACTGACCTCTGACAGCCGCGTGGGGCGGTGACCAACAGAGTTGTACCCATCTTGACTTACATTTCTCGTCCGACTAGGCGCAGGGATTCTCAGGGGCGGCCAGACATACGTACTGCCGGTAATGGCACTCGACGGCAGAGCTCGACATAGCATGAGCGAGCTGTAAAGGCCAGACTCGGCAACCGTCCCCATCAGCGTTTCCTTACTGTAAGTCGAATGAGCTGCATATGCTCGATCAGCTGGCTGATCGTTCGGCGGGTCTGCGTCCGAGCTGTCGATGTCGAGCTTCACGGCTGGTCGATTGGTGTCCAGAGAGATCCGAGGCTCAAAGCTGTGGACTATAACGATTGGGTCTTTCTCCCATAACGACGCCTTTGGAACACCTCTCGTGGCAACTACGGTGTTGCCTTCGATGGAGCCTGTGCTCTCGTTGTAGCGAGCAAGCAACAATTTGCCACCTGGCTCCGAATCGCCAATCCAAATCCGATGCTTGACGAGAAACCAGTGGAGATGATGTGCCACGTAGAGGTCGCGGAACGATTTGGTCGGCCCTGGTGTTGGTATTGGTGTCGGAAGTGATCGGTTGACAATAGGTTGCCATAGGAGGTCATCGTAGCTCTGGATTTGGAGGTGGCGACATGTCTGCGCGGCTTGGGCGAGATCGTGAGGTTCCACGTAAGAGAGAATGTGCTGAATCAACTCGGTTGGCAATTGTAGAAGTGGCGAATCGTTCGGATCAGAGGCCATTCTCTGGGCTTGTTGTGGTGATGGGATAGCATCAACAGGAGTCGTGTCCATTTTATTCGAATAGTCCCGTGTTCCAGATGCCAGAATTCGCCGATGATGAATGGAATGATGAGAGTCAGCAGCCAGCCGTGCTGAGGTATTGTTGAATGCACGCCCTAGGCCCCGTGACTCCTTGTGTCTTCATTCGGCACTGCTCTTTGCCAGGTCGGTTTTAGTGTAGGCAAAGTAGAGTTTGCAGTATGGGTGTTTGAAAGACTCAAAGAGGAAGGTCAAGAAGTGGAAGTCTCAAGCATGCCACGCCGTGGGAACTCTCTCCACCAGCCAAGGCACGGACTGAGCTTCAACATGCGATGTTCGGAACGCCTTCGTTTCTTTGCAACACGGGAAGTCTCTCACTCACCTCTTCTTCTGCTTGTGAAAGATGTTGGTTTCACGTGGGTTATTTCAACCTTTCAACCTTTCATTCTCACCATCTGTCCCCTTCGTACGTGGAGTTGGGCCAACATGACGTTAACGAATCATCATCATCAATGTTCGGCAGTGCGGGACCACTCCCTTCTCTCGACATCCTTCAGCACGCGATATTACGATTACCTCGAGCAGTAGTCGTGAAGATAAAGCTATCTGACCTCTCGTCTCTTCCGTTCGGTAGATGTCCACGGTAACACAAGACGACCGGATCTTTCGAGAGCTCAGACATGCTTTTCAGCAGCTATCCTACTCTCCTATCGTGTGCCTATCGCTATCAATAATTTTGAAGCAAAAAAGGTCACTCCCTGCCAGCTTCCAGAGCAGACCGAAGAAGCCGCGTAAGGTCGCACCATATGGCGACGAGGCTTTGGTATCACAGCATTCAAACGCCAAGTGCATAACGCAAGCATCACCAAGCAACAGCAACAACAGTAAGCCACCCCATATTTTCGCAATATTGACAACCCAAAATACCACCCAGTGCACTGCTTCGTGATGAACGCCCACTTTATCCGCCCACGCGCCCCAGTCATACGCCATGAGACGGAGTATTTCACCCAAGTCTGAATGCCCCGCCCCTATCAAAACCCCCGCCCGTAATACATATCACCATTCGACTCGTGGTCCCCATTAGAAGTTACATCGTTTCAATAGAAGAATTAAGATGCAGGAGCAGGACTCGCGCTGCCAACAGCGCTTGCTGAACTTTCGGTCGATGCAGCTGAGTTGCCCTGCTCGTCCAGCTTCTTCTTCATTTCTTCGTGTTCTTTCTTGATCATGAGCAGCAACGCGTTCTCCTTCTGCAATTTCCGGATGTATTCGTTGGCAGATTCGACTGTAGCGGCCTTGCTGCTATTGCTCTTGACTTGGGCATCTTCCTTGGATTCCTTGTCGCCATCTATCATGGCTTCTGGACTGCCGTCACTGTTTGACTCCTTCTTGGTTGCGGTCTTTGGCAGGAGAGCTTGCATCTCCTTGAGCGCTTCGTTGATACGATTTCGCCGTCCTTGCTCAGCAACCTTGTGGGATGTCCGTTTTGAGGTCAATCCAGTTGAAAGAGAGTCGGGGTAGTTGACGCCGGGAAGATGGTTACCCTCGAGTAGGTTCTGGTAGTTTGATTTGGAAGCAAGTAGAAGAGCGTGAGTAGGAGAGTGGAGACTCGCTGGGACTGGAATCAGTGAACGTGAAGGGGAGAATGATCTAATATTGAACATGCACTTACCACCTTCTGGGAGCAATGGCTTGATGCTGGGACTGATCCGTGGTCGAAGAGCTGGTGAGACAAGAGCGGAGCCAGTGCCACTCATACTCCCCCTCTTTTTGTTGGGTTTGCCGCCCTTAGGGTCTTGCTTTCGGTCCTTGAGAAGTGCACCTGGCGTAGACGCCGTCATTGGAGATCCCATTACCGAGGGACTCGCCATGCTCGAGGATGGCCTCGCCGAGGATGGCGTACTTGATGGGCCCAGCTTTGGAGTCTTGCGTGCTGCTAATCGTGGCGTGTCGTCGTTTGAGTTCGACTGCTGGATTTGAGTGTTGATCTGTGGAAGAGGAGGTCGTGATGCCGAATCGTCAGCAGCAGCGGCCGGAAGTTGGAGTTCCTCAAACTCCATCTGATCATTATCAACGTCTCCTTGTTGCTGTTCATGCCGTTGATTTGCCCCTCGCTGGTCACCGCGCATTGAAAGCAGTGATTTGGGGGTCGCAGCCTTTCCAAGACTGGAAGATCCGTCTTGCTGCTGCCCAGGCAAGGCGGGAGACTGATTCAAACTAGATCCAGGCCTAGGTGGTGGACCCATGAGAGCCTCGCTGAGCGGCTCTGGGCTGATACTACCATTCTCAGAGCTGTCGTTCCGAGGCATCTGCAGGCCTGCTGATGGGGGTTGTGCACTGGACGAGCGTGGAGGAGCCTTATCACACTCTCTTGGTGGAGCAAGCGAAGACAGCATTGTGCCCGATTTCCGCTTCATTGCTTTTTGAATGGGACTGTTCTTAACCCTCGCAAGCGGCCCTGCGCTTCTGCGTGTCGCCGTCTTCTTTTTGCTCGACTTCTTCGACTTCTTTGCTTGTGTGCCAGCCGATTCCGACACATCATCACCGCCCATGTCCACATCCGCGTTTGGGTCCAATGGCGAGGTTGCGTTTGAGCTTGGGGCGGTGCTCGGGTTTGTGTAGTAGCCCTGATGGCCGTGTGCGCCATTTTGGCCATTCTGCGGTGGAAGGATGGGCGACGTGAGTGGAGAGAAGTATGCGCCTGGAATGGTGAATTCGGGTTGAACGTTGTATTGCGGTGTACCGGCAGGTGAGGCCATGGGAGTCAAAGCGATCTGGCGCAATGTCAGCCAAGACTGGGGAGTGCATCGTGGGATGTTACGCACGCTATTCTCCTTGCTCAAATGATACCTTTGCTCCAGTATCGCACGCTGTTGAGGATCCATTTGCTGCTGCATGAACGGTCCCTGCTCCCCATGCATCCCAAAGCTGTTTGGCGTCGGCGGGACCTGATTCGGGGGAAAACCTTGTAATCCTTGGAACTGGAACTGCTGGTTTGTGTAGTATGGGTGCTGCTGGGCCTGCATGGCGGATTGGTACATTGGGTCTTGCGGGTATGGGTGACTGGTCTGCGGCCTGCCGTCGAAGTGGTGCTGCTGTTGTTCCACATTCTGCGACATGCCAAACTGGCCGTGTGAGCCGAAGTCTTGGGCGGAGGATCCTGAGATGGCCTGAGCCTCGTTGATCTCGTCGAAGGGCGTACTCGGGTGGGTGCCCGGGTGCTGAATGTGGTCGCCATAATGCGCCGAGTCGACGGCAGAGATTGGATTGAGGTCGATGTCGCCGAATTCGAACAGGTTGCCCAGGTCATCGAGGTCGCTGTTCATCTGCGCCATTTGGTCCATCTGCTCGGGCGGCCGCGACCATGCCTGCTGCTCGGCGCTGTTCATCGCTCGTGGTGCGCGAGCGACTGAAGGCCAGGCTGGAAGATTGTGAGGCGGACGCTGCTGCTGTCGCCGTGGTCGGAAATACCGTATACGCCCTCTGCGCAGAGGTGGAGGGCGGAGGGCGGGAGAGGGAATGCGCAGCCGTTCCTTTGCGTGGGTGGGAGGGTGGGTGCGGCTCTAGTGGCAGATGACCATGGGGCTCACTCGTCGTGAGATGCTCGTCGCCCGCGGTGGGCGGTGTGGGTGCGGGAGAGAGGACAGTAGCAGAGGCCGTCGCAGCGATAATGCTCGCCCTCGGTTCGAGTATCAGAGCGAATGTCGGATTGAGTAGCCCATTGGGCGACTGCTCGCCGCTAAAGGGAAGGAAGTAGTATGGAGTACCGGTAAAGTTTTACGAGCCACCATCTCAATTCAACACACTAACTCCACAGCTCGACTGGCCTTCATTTCACTCAAATAATCGACGGAGCGAAACAATAATATGCTGCGAGCGCGGCTGGAGACAAGCGATGCATCCGCCGCCTCTGAAGCATCTACCTACCGTACAGACCCCGCCGCCGTAGCGATGTAGCGATTTTTGTGAGAGAGCAACAACCTGCTCATCCTCCACGGCGTGGGGGTGTGGGCGAGAGGGGAGGCCTGTGTTACTTTGGCGGCGCTCCATGATCTGGCGGCGTCTTGCCGAGCACCTGTTCATCGTTTCATTCGCACGACACTCGACCTGGCTGTCGATACCTTCACCTCCGAGCCTGCTGGTCGAAAATCAACCTCTGGCTGCCACCGCTGGCCAAGTGCCGGATGGCATCTCGACCCTCGTGGCAGCCTCATCATCCTTCTGCATTCTATCCCACTCGGCTGGATGACGGCAGGCCCGCATGTAAGGCGCCGTGTTACTTATTCTCCCTCGCCCAAAACGGGCAGACTCCGCACCGATTCTCACAGTCTGGGACAATGCTTGCGACCCTTTGAGTTGCTGTTCTCGCAGGCTTTCGCATAACGTACATGTGGCGCTTCACATTGCCGCGACGTGGGGGCCTGGGCTGGCCTCGCGGAGTCTGCGCCGCCGCCGAGTGTGATACACAAGTGTACTGTAGTAGGTTGTCTGTCAAGAAAGTCTGATGGAAAGCATCACCATGTTCGAGACGACGCCACTATGCATGGCTCGAGCAAGATCATTGATTGAAGAACAAGTTTCGCGTGTGCTGCTCGCATTGATTCGCCCCAGAGCCTACCTTTTGTGCGGCATCCATGCGGTCCTTTGTCACTCACCGAGATCGCGGAGAGTGGTTGTCGTGATGCTTTGTGAGTCTGGAATTGTCTACATCTGTTGCTCAGACTTCCCCTGGGTTGAGCTCTGATCAAGCCATGTCTTTCGCCCGGCTTCTCGCACGCCAGCTTCACTCTTGAACGTCCACTGTCGCGTGGTCCGAGGAACGAACATATAGCCAGTGGGAATGTGGCAGCTCATCGTCGAAGCTTGCACGGTACTTTGGGTATTAGAGCCGCGGTGGCGGATATGGTACAGCGTACAGCATTTCTACACATTGCCCGGCCTTCCACTTCCACCAACGTACTTTTCTCGAAGGAGATCCCCAATCGCAAAGCCCTCAGTGGCGTGCCTGCTCAGCATAAGTGCCATCGTGATTGTAAAAGCAACATCATCCGCAAACAAAAAATCCCCGGCCCGCTCAGAACGCCCATGCTATAGACAAGCCAAGGAAAGTCCAGACAAAAGAGGTCGCTACATGACGGAGCAGCAGCCGTTTGATTGTTGAGGGGCGTATGGGTCTTCGCGACGGTCGATTGTGCCCCAACGACTGGGTACCATGAAGTCCTGGACAGAGACAGTCAGTAAGCGGCAGCCTTCTAGGGCCCAATAGTTGCATCTCCTCTATACCTTTGGCTCTTTGTCCGTAAACGCTATCAAGCTGCGCCAGTAGTTAGCACGTGTTATATGGCGGTAGAGTGTGACATGTGTCAAACGTACTCCATTGCTGCCTCCGACACTGGTATCCTCCTACGGTTCAGGTCTTCTTGCAACCTCTGGTTGAGCTCTGTGAGCCGCCGGAGCTTCAGCTCTGCCATAGATTGCTTCTTAGTCTTGCCATTGTCGTTGGTGCGAATCTCGTAGGGCGTCGACATCATGGCCTGGCCGCAATGCGCAAGTCAAGGTGGTGGTGGTATGAATGGCAGGCTTGAGGGCTGGTGGTGGAGAGGACGCGGACGGTAAGGTCGGCCTGGCGCTGCGGGAAATATATGTTCGGCGCTGTCGTGTGCTATTTCGGTGGTGCGCTTGCAGATGAGAGCGGTCACTCCTTGTCAATAGCTGCGGGTGTGTTTTCGTGGATGCTTAAAGATACGGTTCGTGCGACGCTTGCTTGCTTCCTTCCTACGCTCCTCTGCGGCACGCAGATACACTTGCCGTTTGCGGCGCGGCGGGTGTGTTGCAGCGGGGTCAGCTTGTGGTGGTAGAGGTAAGGAGCGACTGTGTGGTGATGTTCGACCCGAGACCGCGAGGCGTGAGGAGAGTGGTGGCCGTGGTCAGTCGAGCGCTGGAGCTCAGGGAGTTCGAATGAGATTGAAGGCCCGCTTGCAGCTGTGCACGGACTTGTAGTATAATAGCGCTCGGCTGCGTTATCCCTTCGCTGGACGCTTTGCGAGCACGCACCCGAACGTGAACGATACCAGACTCGTGGGTCGAATCGCGTGAGACAGCATCTGCAGCGACACGTGAAATATTCGCTGTTTGTGCTATCCACCGCCTCACCGCAAAGATCCATACCGCGAAACGACACGTGATCTGAGCAGCGGCCGGTCCCGAGCCGCCGGTGCCAAGCCACGCCAAATCTGAAGTCGTGCGAAATGCTGCAACATCATCTGCCTCCAGCGCACCATCGCCATCAACCACGCCGCCAGCCAAGATGCCTCCACCGCCGCATTCGAGGCCGGAGAACGTGCTCAAGCGAGCGCAGGAGCTCATCGGCGTCGGGCAGCAGAGCGCGGCGCTCAGCATCTTGAGCGAACATGTCACCTCGAAGAGAACCCGGAACAGCACCATCGCGGCCCTCGAGCCGGTGATGCTGCTGTTTGTCGAATTATGCGTCGACCTCCGCAAAGGCAAGTCCGCGAAGGACGGGCTCTACAACTACAAGAACACGAGCCAAAACACCAACGTGGCCACCATCGAGCTCGTCTTCCGCCGCTTCATCGAACTCGCAGAACAGAAGGTCACCGAGGCCCAGAAGAAGGCCGATGAAGTCTCGGCGCAGGAGACGAGCCCCGAGTCTGCAGATGCATCGCTGGCAAATGTGACGGATCTGGAGGCCATGGAAACACCAGAGTCTATTCTCCTCTCGACTGTTTCCGGCGAGCAGTCCAAGGACAGGACCGACCGCGCAATCGTCACGCCATGGCTGAAGTTTCTGTGGGAGACATACCGCACTGTCCTGGACATCTTCAAGAACAATGCTCGTCTGGAGGTCATGTACCAGACAACTGCCCACCAGGCCTTCCAGTTCTGCTTGAAGTACACCCGAAAGACCGAGTTCCGCCGTCTTTGCGAACTGCTCCGCAACCACTTGCAGAATGCTGCCAAGTACTCACAGCAGGTGCATGCAATCAACCTTAGTGACCCGGAGACACTTCAGCGCCATCTTGATACCCGCTTCATGCAGCTGAATGTCGCTGTCGAGCTGGAACTCTGGCAGGAGGCCTTCAAGAGTGTCGAGGACATTCACACTCTCCTGAGCTTGTCGAAGAGACTACCAAAGAACTCCATGATGGCCAACTACTACGAAAAATTGACGCGTATCTTCCTCGTCAGCGAGAACTACTTGTTCCACGCCGCCGCATGGAGTCGCTACTACAACCTGCTGACCACCTCGGCACGCCAGGTCGCTGCTGGCGCTCCGAAGAAGGACAACCCGACCAACATCTCTGACGCTGATCTCTCCAAGGCAGCTTCGTTCGTGCTCCTGTCGGCCTTGTCCATCCCTGTCATCAGCACCTCTCGCTCCCGTGGCGCCCTTATCGACGTTGATGCAGCCCGAAACACGAAGAACGCACGCCTGACCAGCCTGCTCAGCATGAGCACCCCACCAACTCGTTCCATCCTGTTCAAGGATGCCATGAACAAAGACATTCTCCAGCGCGCACGCCCAGAAATCCGCGACCTCTACAACATTCTGGAGACGGACTTCCACCCCAAGTCCATCTGCGAGAAAGTGTCGCCAATTTTGTCCAAAATTGGAGCGGAAGAAGAAATGCAGAAGTACATCTCGCCTCTGCAACAAGTCATCCTGACCCGCCTCTTCCAGCAATTGTCCCAGGTCTACACTGACGTCAAGCTGGAAGATGTCCTGGCATTAGCTCAGTTCCCGGATCCCTTCCAGGTCTCTGCTGCCACCATTGAGAAGTTCATCATGAATGGTTGCAAGAAGGGTGATCTGTCCATCCGTATCGACCATTCCACTGGAATTCTCACTTTCGACTCGGACGTGTTCTCTTCTGCAAAGGCAATGCACCCAGGATCAGGCGCTGGCTCTGCCGAGACCGATGCCAGCTCTGTACAACGATTGCAGAGTACCCCAGCCGAGATTGTCCGCTCGCAGCTCACTCGCCTGTCCAAGGCTCTTTATATTGCTGTCCAATACGTTGATCCATCATTCAACGAGGACCGCCAGAAGTCGAAGCTGGCCGCTCTGAAGCGTGCTGAAGCAGGATTCGAGAAGGAGCACGCAGATCTTCTCGCCCGACGAGAGCAGATTCAAAAGAAGAAGGAAACAGCAGCGAATGTGCAGCTTGCCAAGCAGCGAGAGGAGGAGCAAAAGAGGAAGGTGCGACAGCAAGAACTTCAAGCTGCTGAGACTGAGCGTCTGGCTCAAGAGACCCGTGACCGAGAAGAGCGTCGGTTGCAAGCCGAGAGGAAGAAGGTGCAGCGTGAAGAAGCCGAGAAGCAGCTCAACGAGCTCAAGAAGGGAGTAAAGGGTGTCGATATTTCCGGTCTCGACATTGACGATCTAGACTCTGGGCGGATTCGTATGCTGAAGCTGCAGGCTCTGGAGCGTGAGAAGAACGAGATTGGGGAGAAACTGCGTGTTGCGGGCAAGAGGATCGACCATCTGGAGCGTGCCTACCGCAAGGAAGAGATCAAGCACTTGGGAGATGACTACGCGGCTCAACGTGACCGCGATGTCCAAGCGTACGAGGCCAGCAAAGCCGAGACTCTAGCAAACGCGGAGCAAAAGCACAAGGAAGAAGTCGCGTTGAAGCATCGTCTCAGCAGACTTGTGGGACACTACGAGGGCTTCAAGAAAGACATCACTGAGCAACGCCACGCTGACTTCGAGAAACGCCGCCGCGCTGCGGAGAGGGAACTCAACGCCGCCATGGACAAGAGACGACGCGAGGTCCGCGAGAGAAAGGCTGCCGAAAAGCGTCGTGTGGAAGAAGAGGCCCGTGCACGACAAGAAGAAGAAGAGCGGGCGAGAATTGAGGAGGAAGAGGCTGCACGTGCCGCCGAGGAAAAGAGAGTCAAGGATGCAGAAGCCAAGGCAGAAGCTGAGCAGCGTCGACAAGAACGCGCAGAGGCAGCCCGCAAACAGATGGAGCGTGAGGAAGAAGCAGAGCGACGACGTCTCGAGCGCAAGCAGGGCGGCGCCGGTCCTGGCGCGACTGCTGCACCACCAACAACCCGACCAGATCCCTTTGGCCGCCGCGCAGAGCCAGCAGCTGCCGACCAGCCACCGCCCTCCGCCGGCGGACCACCACGTCTTCAACTCGCCGGCAATACTGGCAAGCCCAGCTGGCGCGAGCGTGAAGCTGCCAGAGTCGCTGGTGGCGATAGTGCTGCCGCCACTCCCCCGCCAGCACCTCCAGCTACACCTCCAGCTGATGAGCGTGTTGTGACTGAAGAGGCATCTCTGCCTAAGAAAGGAGGCTATTTGCCACCAGCATTGAGAGGAAAGGCACCGGGTGCCGACTCCGCCCCACCACCTCCTCCACCAGCAGGCGAGAAGAGTGAGCGGTGGGCGCCACGTCGGCGAGAGGGCGAAGACAGAGGCGATGCCCCATCGCCAGCAGGCGGAAGCGCTTATCGACCACCTGGTGCGAGGCCTGGCGGTGCAAGCACTGGTGGAGCATACAGACCACCTGGTGCTCGTCGGGGATAGGGCGATGGTGATCTGGGAAAAGGAGCACTGTGTTTTGCGTGAGTACTCTACGAAGACGAAGCGATGCTCGAGCCGGGCGAGGGAATGCTTTCACAGGCGTTTGAACGAGAGTGCGTAGTATAGTCATTCCACCAAGCATCGTTTCGTCATGTTACTACACCGTATCGTCCTCGTCGTCATTGTGCCAGACCAGGTGTCATGTGAAATCCGAAGTCATGCCTGGAGCGGGTGATCATGCGTCGAGGGTCATCTCCGACCTCCACTCGCAGCATCAGCCCCGCGCTGGCTGCTTGCTCACTCTCTACCGACCCTCGTAGCTCTCAACCCTTTACCTGTTTATCTCCTCCCCTGCGTAAAGCCGACGGGGACACAACAGCTGTTTGCGTCGTCCACGCCATAGCAACAACTGTGCATGGAACGCATCGCTCACACAGACAAAGAAGTCGACCGGACCCGCGCTGCTACCCCTCGCTGACGTGTCAGTCTGCTTTGGCCGGTCGAGGAGCCAGCGCGTGTCACCAACTCACTGCAACCACTTAGCCCAGTCCCAGTAGCCGGCGAGGAGAACGAGATAGCGCTGTCCGCCAATCAACCTCCCCTCGACACCGCGCAATCAGGCTGGATGCCCTCCTCCGAAGACTTCGAGCCCACCTTCGACAACTTCGACCTCCAGCCGCCAGTCGCCCCGCCACCGCAAGACCCCCAAGATCCCTGGGGATTCGGCAAATCACCGCCCAAGCCGAAGAAAAAGAAGGGCAAGAAGAATAATGCGAAACAGAATAGAGTGGAGGAGGGAGAAGAGTCGTCGTATCCTAAGAGCATAACACCATCTCCGCCCACCGAACATGGCGTCAAGGTGCCAGCTTCAATACCACCGCCACCCAGCGCACCTAGCCCTCAGCTAGTCAACATTGACGATGATACTACTGCTGTGGAAGATGTGGAGCCCTCGCCCGCTCTCAAGCCCGTCAAGGCTTCGCCATCTGTCTCGCCTATGGTCAGATCGCCGAGACCTGCTGTTGCAAGGCCAGTTCCTCCAACATCGCCACCCAGTAGACCTGTGAGCCTACATGGAGCACCTCAGTGGGACCGTAACAACAGCTTGGCCAGCTATCGCCCTACTCCAAACATCGCCCAGCCGAGTCAACAACGCCGCGAGTCATTCGCATCCCCACGCCCGCGGTTTGTTGAGCCTCCTCCACCACACATGCCCCAGGCGCATTTCTTTGGCTTGCCAGACTTTGGTCTCATGGGGCTGGGTCAAAAGCAAGAGCCTGGGAAGCCAGCTGGCTCAGACGGGTACTGCTGCCGCCTGGACAGCTTTGCAGATTCCGGCGATGACCCCTCTGCGAAGAAAGCCAAGGAGGCGCTTCTAGTAGGGAGCGAAGGCGGTCTAGAAGTTTTCAGGCTCCTTCAAAACAAGCTTGAGGTCGTCGGCAGGCTTGAAGGCCTGCGAGGAGCTGTGTTGAGTGCTAAGATCTTGCCACATGTCGAACGATTAGACGAAATGCAAGCTTTACGACCGCTGGTGGCTGTGATTGTACATGGCCCAGTGTTGGATGATCGCAGAGATTCCGGACCTGAGGGAGAGGACTATACTGATACAGAGGCAGTGGGTCACTTTCAGACGTCTGTTGAGGTCTACTCTCTGCAGGGCCAAATCCATGTTGCAACGCTCTATAGCAGCACACCAGTGCCGATTGAGCAGCCAACACTCGGTCAGGTCTCATCTTTACCGGATCCTGTAGGTGATTTGACTGTGGACGCGAAGGGCCAGTATATCACGATTACCTCCGGCAAGAGCGGTGAGATATTCGTCTTCACTCAAGCCGCGAGGGATGAAACCATCGAGACACGATTTCGATGTATTGGAAAGTTTTGGACGTCCATCCAGAGACCACTTTCAACCGCACCATCACGGCCTGCAAGCGCTGCAGATACCACTGCCACTACAGAACAGAGAGACGAACCTCGCACTCCTCTGTACAGCCTAAGCCAACGATGGCTTGCAATTGTTCCTCCGTTCTCATCCTCAAACATCTCAATTCAAGGGATCCCTCTACTCTCAGACGTCAATCCAAGCCCACCAGGGATCACCACACACGCTGCACCTCCTCAATCTGTCGTGTCCTGCGATGTCGTCGGAACCGATGTCGAAGGTGCTTGGAGTCGCCTAGGCCGCCAAGCTGCACAAGGACTTGTCAAATACTCTCAGAAAGGTATTGAAATGGGCTTGCAAGGATGGAAAGAGTTGACGCATCCGTCTCCTCCAGGTGGAAAAGCAAATCACGACCGCTCGTCCAGCAGAGATGAGCTCTTCCCTCCCACCAAAGCACCGACAGAAGATCCTAGCCGCCTAGCGAAGGAGCCAGCATTGGTCTCTATCGTTGATCTTGATTGCTTGCTCCACTGGGAAGAGCAGAGGCCGAAGTACCTCTGGCCTCCACTAGCCACCTTTGCAATCGTCGATGGCTGCAACTTCTTGTCGCTTTCATCTACTGGGACTCGTCTGTTGACTAGCAGTCGCAAGGGCGAAGTGTCGACAGTGTGGGATCTCAAGCAAGTTGCTCACGGCGTACCAAAAAGCCCTTCTACTATCGACGAGGACCTAGAAAGCACCAGTCCTTGCATCAGGCAGCTGCAACGCATTGCGAGAAACAGTCCTTCCACCGTGCTGGAATGTGCTTGGTCAAGAGACGACGATGCTTTAGCCCTGCTCACAGCTCATGGCACTGTGCATCTACATGAAGTGGTCACTTGTCCTTCGAAGAAACGCAAGCGAGCGAGTAGTGCAGCGGCACAGGTCGTGGAAAAGGCAGATGCCACCGTCAGCTTGTCATCTGGAATGTCTCCTCCAAGTCAAAATCAAGGCTTCCTTGGCAGTATCAAATCTGGATGGCAGACTGTCAGCACCCAAGTCAACTCGATCCGTACTACCAATCCAGCTTCCGCGTTTGGCCTACCCACGACCTTCGCCGGGTACAGAGATGCGGCAGCGGCAGCAGGCAACGCTGGTTCTCGTGCTGTGGCCCGCAGCTTGAGTCAAGGGTATACAGCGGCTAAGGGCGGGGCAAGCGATTACTGGCATGCTGACGACAACAAGATACGACATACTAAAGAACTGCAAGAACCTTTTGCTAGCAAGTCTATTCGCTGGGTGAAGAGGAACAACACGACGTCCGTGGTGATTGCTTGCGGTGGTAGCGTTCATGTACACCCAGTGCAGCGCGTGACGAGGCGTAAAGGTGATGCCATCGTCAGCGGCTTAAAGAATGAGAAATACGCACACAAGGCCTTTCCACTCCCGCCAATAACAACCTGCACAGAGGTGGCAGTCAGCAAGCTAGACTCTTGCACTGGTCAAGGCCCGCATGGGTTCTGGAGCCTGCGGCATTCAACACCGCCAGTGACCAAGAACGACCGCAAATCAAGTCTACGCACGACTGGAGGTCTTCATCGGCAAGGCAACGACGTGGAGACCAACCCACCATACTGTCCATTTCACATTGACTATCGAGTCAACATCTTTGCCTTCGAAGACGCCAACACCAACAGCCAATACGGTCTTTCAGTCGCACAGGCCGAAGTCCAGATCCAAGGCCATGACTTGGAGGACGAGGAGCCCTGGCTGTTCGGCCAAAGTCTCCCGCCGAGCATGAAGATCAACGAGCGCGTGCCTGATGACCTACTACACGATGATACTCTCGACCCCGCGATCGAGGACGAAGAGGATGAAGATGAAGACTTCGCCTCACAAATGGAGAGCAAGCTGACGATCCAAACCCCCACAAGGAAGAACCAAGGCGGCGAGCAAATCCGCATCAACACCCGTCGTAGACAGGGCAAGAGCAAAGGCGGCGGCAAGAAAGCGATCCATGCGGATGATGGTATCGATGAGATGTGGGAGGGTGATGATGGCTTGTTATGAACGTGATTGCTTCTGCTGCTGCTTCTGCCCTCCACTCTTTTTACGGTATTCACTGATTGGCACAGAATAGATGGCTATAGAATAGGGTTCGGCGCTGGGAGGGTTGATTGAAGATGGAGATGGAGATGAGATGAGATACCCCTGAATTAAGTGGACGTGAAGTTCCCAAGCACGATTCTTTTTCTCGTTAATTTCATTTCAAGACACGCCGCGGGTTCGAAGTGTTTGTTGGCGGATTGCTTTCCAATAGCTTGATTGATGAATTGCCTAGTAGTCTACCCCGTACACACTGGTCCGCAGACTAGCTGGCTGGAACTCGCTCCCCTGAATGACATTCTCATCCAACTCAACTCAGAATCCAATATTCCCAATCTGGCCAAACAGCAGCTGCAGAAGCTGAGCGTGTGGAAGCTGTTCAAAGAAATCAGTGCCCGGCGACGACATGCGAAAAGTAGGTTCAAGAGACTCACCGTAATAACCGCCTCCTGGTTGCCACCCTCCCGCTCCATGTTATTGTTCTGAATGATCCTGTACGAGTCGTACATTCGCTTCTTGCTGCTGAGTCCCGCAGGCGCGACATATTCGTCATCCTCATCTGCAGCTTCCGGCATCGCAGGTTCGGACGTGCTCGTGTTCTCCGTCGACGACCTATGCCGGGCACGATGTCTCGCTCGCGACGGCCAGGCAATCGAGCTGAAAGAAGAGGGGTCGTGGGCAGAGATTCCGCGTCCGAGACGAGCGGCTTCGCGGGCTCGGGAGTCGGGCGAGAAGATCTTGATGGTGTGGTCGATGCCGCTGACTGCGAGCATGGTTTCGTACGGGTGTGACTGCACTACGTTGACGACTTCGCCGTCGCCTTCGAGGATGTTGACTAGTTCGGAGGTCTTCTTGTCCCAGATGAAGAAGTTGCCGTCGTCAGAGCCGGAGACAACGTATTCATCATTTGGACCGAAGTAGTTGACGTCTTTGACTGTGCGGACGTTACAGTGGCCGCGGTACTGCCGCGTTGGTCCTGAGCATGGAGTGTTGGCCTCCACTTTTGGTCTTAGTCTTCGTCGCTCGAATGCTGGGCGATAGATGTATCGAGGAATACCGATGTTGGGTACGCCGTCTTCTTCATCAGCCTCAGAGCTGAAGTCAGAGAGTGCGTCGTCATCATCGTCATCGTCAATATCTTCGTCTTCCTCTTCCTCAATCACGACCTCGACTTCAGCCGCATCATCCCCCTCATCGGGATCGTCTTGGGCCACCGCAGTATGTGCTCTAGCCTCACTTGCTGCAGCTCTGAGATCCTCAGCGTTGAAGCCGTCAACAACGACACCATCCTCAGCAATGATCTCTACATCCCTGAGGTCCTCTTGCACGTCTTCGTCTTCAAGACCGGCATCGCGAAGTATCTCATCATCCGCAAGCTCTCTGATCACTCGTCCAATACCACCAAAGGCACGGTCGACCGTGGCGAAGTTGAGACCTTCGGCAGCGCGAAGAAGTATGCTTCTCGCCACCTTACGAGCCCAGAATCGATGGGCAGCTTGGCGATCTTGCGCCTGAATGTTTTCAGCTCCTTCACCGTCAGACACCACGATCGCCGATGATAGATCGTCAAATGGTATCTTGACAGCTGCAGCAAAGGCAGCTACGGCAGCCTTTTCTGTCGAGAAAAGTCGTCTGTTTTCTTCAATCAAGAACTCGTTGGCTTCAAGGTCAAGTATGGGTTCATCGCCTGCCATTGACAATAGATAGGGGATCAGGTGCTCCTCGATGGCTTCTGGAGTGGCGTCAGCCTCGGGAATAGGCAGTCTGCTTGCAGCTTTCGAAGTGGAGGGAATGTCGCTTGGACGAGTGAAGCCTTCAATCAACCGCCCAATGCCAGAGTCGAGCCACAGAAGAACGGCTTTGAGGAAGTCATAGCAAAAGCACTCCCCTCGAGGTATTTCTAAGTCGTTACGACGAGCCTCAATAGCGGCGAAATGAGCCATGATCGGGGCCGTGCCAGATGTCGTACGCAGCTTTCCGCCTAGGACTCGAGCCAAAGTGCCAGAAGCTTGGAGAAATCTTCGCGTTCTCTCCCGGTGTCGCCTCAGAGTCTGCTGCACGTAGACTTGTTCAGGCGCCGGTGACATGGGATAGCCCCATCGTCGCATTGCCTCATCAACCTCTGCCAAGGTACTGCCGGCGAAGCCCAAAGCCGTGGTAAATTGAGAGGTCGGGTCTGAGTTCTGCTCTCTTCCAAACAAGGCCGAGCGCAGCTTGACAGTGTTCTTCGCCATCGTCTGGGCCATTTGCTGGTCTTCGGTCAGGAATCTTGGGAGTGGTATGTCCTCAGACTGGCCGTTCTGGTAGCGGACCCTTAACGCGGCATCCTGACTGCTCTGCGATGCACTTTCGGTACGTGGCCTGGAAGAAGCTCGACCTTCCTGGCCCAGAGAAGCCTCGCTGCCGTTAGCTTTCCGCTTGCGCTTCTTGTCGCCACTTTCTTTCGCCTTTCTGGTCTTCAGAGGTCCTAAACCTTCGCGTTCTTCTTTTGGTTCGGGATCTCGAATGAGATCGAAGCTGTAGATATGGTCACCACTCCAGCTTGCCACCATTTCATCGGGTCTGGCGTCACTGATCTTGCAGGCTGTGATGTGGCCATTGTCTGCTCGCTTCATGCGTTTTTGACCTTGGGGAGCGAACTGTAATACAGAATCAATTAGCACGGCAAACACTCCCCACATGTGAACTGGTTCCCTGCTTACCTTCCTCACGCACTGCGTTGCTTGACTCAACAAGTCCTGCTCCTCAGCGGACATGCGATCGATCGGAGACAATGGTTTCCCCATTTCCTTCAATTTGTCACGTCCTGTCATTCGACGGTCATGTAGAAACGCATGAAGGTGAGCACCTCCCAGAGCAATGTAATGAGGCTGATTTGCAGAGCAAGATATTGTGTTGAGATCAAGGTTGTATCGCTTGTAAGAGATCAAGGGTGGAGGCACAGAAGAGTCTGAGCTCAAACGATTTCCTCGTGGCTCTGGGTATGCCGAGGAGGGCTGGCGAAGGTCCCACTGACGTACCTCACCGTCCTCACTGCAAGTCAGGAACAAATGTGGCGATGACTCGGTGACTATCCGCTTCACACGATCGGCGTGGGATTTGTAGACCCGTGCGTTGGTATCTCCATCGCTCAGATATCTCACTCCGTTGTAGACATTGTTCCGGCCTCTCCGTCTTCCCTCTGAAGCATATGTGGACGCAGCTGATGCAGAAGTTGCCTGTCCTGCGTACTCTACATCAAACACGCGTACTTGTGCATCGCCTGCCGCTGTGATGACTGTTCTGTCATTGCTGTGTGGCATGAACTTGACAGAGAAGATGTTCTGGGTATGGCCGGTAGCAACAGTAGCCGTGAGCTGGAACTGGCTGCTAGAGGCATCGGGCTGGTATGTGTGGATGTTCAAATGCTGATCGTCCGAGCCTGAAGCCAGCAGGCTGCCCGACTTCGACCAGCTCAAGGCGTTGACACAGCCGCTGTGGCCATCGAGCTCGTTGACGATGTCGAGATCGTTTATGAGGCGTCGGTCGGAGTAGAGGCTACGGAAGGCCTTGGAGCGTACGGCTAGGTCTTCGATCTCGCGGCGGTGCAGCTTGGTGGAGAAGGACTGCTTCATGATGGAGGCGGCTGCAGTGGATGTGGACGGAGTGGAGGGAACAGTTGCTGGAGCCTGACGATTGCTCAGTTGATCAATCAGGGGCCTCGGGCATGTCCAGTTGGAGGTTGGAAGACAGCTTCAGCATGTCTCAGTCGGATGTTTGTGTGTGCAGCACAAAGCACATGCAAACGTGTATCAACCTCGCATCATGCTGGCGAGAGGTGAGCTCCAACGCGAAGCAGCGGGGTGCGCGAATCGGCCCGCGTCGCCGATGAAATCAATCTTCTTGCATGTGATGATCCCGTCGATTCCATCTTTTCTCATGAAATCAACACCGTTCTGTACCAATCACAGCAGCGTCGTGAGGACGTACCGGAATCAGGAGAGGAGAGATATCCGGCATCTAACCCACCTTCAACATGAGCAACGAAACAAGCCAATCGATAAAGCTGCCAAGGGTTGCCATCACCTATTGTACGCAGTGCAAATGGATGCTACGAGCCGCCTACTTCGGACAAGAACTGCTTTCGACATTTGGGACAAGCATTGGTGAAATAGCTCTCATCCCGGCAACAGGAGGCATTTTCACGGTCTACCTCACCTATCAGCCTCCAACATCGAACACTTCTGATCAGGTGGAAACAAAGGAAGTTCTTCTGTGGGATCGCAAGGCAGAAGGCGGTTTTCCTGAAACCAAGGTTTTGAAGCAGAGGGTCAGGAATCATATTGAACCAGACAAGAATCTGGGTCATTCGGATACGCCTTCGTCCAAGGTGAAGGCCAACACTACCCTTGAAGGCGATGTCGTTGTAAAGCCAGACGACAGTGAGGTTGCCGCCAATGCTGCGGTGGTGCAAAAGGATTCTGAAGGCTGTAAAGATTGCCCCTGATACACCAGCGCTGCGCTGGATGAACTCGAACAGCGATCTGCTATCCCCGACGAACGCCGTGACATCTCCGGTCGTACATACCACACAAGTCACCCAAAGCAGTCGTCCTTTGCGGTGTCTGAGGTTACTGGCGGGGATTTTCGATGCTGCGGGGAAGAGTTGTGAGGTACAATTTCCCTCGCAGTGCTCAGAATCGGGAGGGGCAGTAGGCGTTCTTCACGCCGTGAAGAGGGCTTTTAAGGGCTGGTATTTTCGAGGTATTCCATCTTCACTTCAAATCTCCCCGTATCATCCCCATGGTCAAATATACCGTATCAGCTCGGGATGCCATGGACTCCTGGAGATCTTTGGAGAAAACAGTGATGCAGTCGCCGTTGTCTTGGCACATATAGATCTTTCCAGACGACAGTATGATACAATCCGCTCGTAGGCGCAGGCAGAGCCTCTGGATGTTACATCTTCGCCAGCCCCTGAACTCCAATGCATTCCATCCAGCCCATCCTTTTCAATCCCTATTTCGCCTTTTGCGCCTGAGCCTTTTGCTTCGCCTTAAGTGCCTTCTTGCGGTTGCTCCGTATCATGACAATGCTGAGGAAGCTGCCAACGACCGCGCCGCCAAGGAGTAGGAGGATGACTGGAATTCGAATCGCCCAGACGCGCGGGGGAAAGAGGTGTTGGACGGGGTGCGAGTCATCGACGAAGGGCTGGATCATGTGTTAGAAACACACGTATTGAGCAGTCAATGATACGCGGTGTTCACCATCAAAAGTGTCCAGACAGTGTAGTAGAGAAAGACGGTCGAAGCGATTATGAGCATTGCAAGGCCCACGAGACGATCGAGCTGCAGGGCGGTCAGCATTTCTGTTTAGCTAGATGTTTGCCTGCTCAACACTCACAAAATTGTTGGCGGCCATTATCGGTTCGTGTGTTGTCAAAGGAGTGTGTGTTTGTCTTCAGATGCAAGTCGGCTGGACCAGAGGAGGTCCCTTGAATTGAAGTCGCCAAAGTCAAAAGGTGGCTTCCTGCGGCGGCGAACCCTGGCTGCGACCTCACATCATCGTGTGCTCCAATACTTCGACTCTACAAACAACTCTCCACCCCCCACACCCCATAACCTACGCCCGAGAGACTACATACGACTGCCCATCATGTGGATTCTCGACTGGTTTTGGGATATCTTGGCCCAGCTGGGTCTGGCCAACAAGCACGCCAAACTGCTCTTCCTCGGCCTCGATAACGCTGGCAAGACCACTGTACGCCGTCATCACTGCGACACGAGATATATGGCCGGCGAGACTAATGTTTTCGCTCACAGCTCCTCCACATGCTCAAGAACGACCGCGTAGCCATCCTTCAGCCCACCCTCCACCCAACCTCAGAAGAGCTCAGCATCGGCAATGTCCGCTTCACCACGTTCGATCTCGGCGGTCACCAGCAGGCCCGACGCCTGTGGAAGGACTACTTCCCCGAAGTCAGCGGCATCGTCTTCCTCGTCGACGCCAAGGACCCAGAGCGCTTCGCCGAGAGCAAAGCCGAGCTCGACGCCCTCCTCAGCATGGAGGACCTCAACAAGACCCCCTTCCTCATCCTCGGCAACAAGATCGACCACCCCAACGCCGTCAGTGAAGATCAGCTGCGACATGAGTTGGGTTTGTACCAGACTACCGGCAAGGGCAAGGTGCCGTTGGATGGCATAAGACCCATTGAGATCTTCATGTGCTCGGTGGTCATGAGACAAGGATACGGTGACGGTATCCGCTGGCTGTCCCAGTACGTCTAGAGCACATCTGAGATTCGAAGACGGGCGGCCTCGGGGGGCGCCAGGCAGCCAAAATATGCAAGATACCAAACCCGGGAAGGAGACTATGGGCGAATGAGAATACAGGAATAACAGCGGCGGCGATGCAGCGGCATTGAAGGGCGCCTGGTGTTCTTGTTGTGTGAAGATAGTTGTCTTGCCTTGAACAGCCCTGGAGCTAGCTGCAGACAGGCAGGTCATGAAATGGATTTTCTATCATATGACAGCTCGTCTCCTTAGCGGTACTCCATTTTCGTGAACCGAACTTCAAGTCTCTAGTGTGACAGGCCACGATTGGTAGAGAAATGCGTCGCTTTCCACCATACTGCCCAGAGAAACTTTCCCTGCGACCAAGCTGCTGCTGTGACCGACACTAAAAATTGACATTCATCTCCTGTCTACTTATCATCCCTCTAGATCACGCATCTCCCTACTCGGCGCCGTCTTAGGATGTGCGCCAGCCCATTGCGCATCAGCAGCCTTCCATCCCCAAGCCTTGTCCTTCTCTGACCCATTACCGCTTCCATCAAGCACGTTGACCATGTACTTGCCAATGATTGGCAAGAACTTGTAGCCGTGAAAGCTACCACCGCCCGCGATATACAGGTTACTGAGTTCTCCATGAGGGTGCTTCGTCAAAAGCCAATCCTGTGTCGGCGTTCGTGCATCCCAGCACAGTCTCCAGTGATCAGCGGATTTATCTTGAGAGAATCCTGGCATGACTTGCGAACTCATGACGGCCTCTGTCTCGGTCTTTAAAGCCTCGGGGATAATGTGCTGGTCTTGCTCTGGAGGCACTGAGATATTATGTCCGGATGATGTGGTTATTGTATTGGTGAACGTCTTGGCGTTTGTATATTTGAGCAGGCGGTTCTCTCGTGGTGGAGGTATGACCTCGCCATGTTCACCGTAGACCACGACCGGCATCTCAGAGAGGTCGTCCATTTCCTTCTGGGACATCTTATAATGGACTACACCGACGGCTGCCGCTGTCATCTGACGCTCGATGCGATCTGCTTCGTGGATGTCAAGCTTGTCTTCGATTGGAGACAGAACACTGCTTGTCCAAGCACCCGTAGCCAGCACAACACGGTCAGCTCGAAGCTCATCGCCGCCAGCAGTCCTTACACCAGCAACTTTTCCAGACTCCAGCAAGAGACTCTCCACATCGCCGAGCACGTACTTGACTCCGCGATCAACCGCAGCATTCAGAACACTCACCGTAGCAGCCGCTGCATCACACCACCCTGCCTCCGGGTTCCAATACGCCGCCTTGAATCCTTCAACATTCGTCCCTTTCATGATTCCCTTCCAATGCTGGTCGAGCTCGTTCAAAGGAACATCTTTGGATGGATCGTGACCTCGATCGCGGAAGACTTTACGAATTCGATCAGCTAGGTCGCTATCTTCTGTGTCGAGCGCGATCCAGCCTGTTCGATGGTAGTAGTTTTTCAGTTCGGGCCAGTTTGACCATGCGTCCATTGCTTCGTATGCGAGTTCGGTGTAGAAGGCACTTGAGTAGTCCGCTCGGATGATCTTGTTGATATCTGTACTTGCGGCTGGAGTCGGTGGAGCTGGAGTCCGATCCAACACCGTGATCTTCGACACATCTTGGTATTGTAAGGAGAGATGATATGCTGTTGATGCACCGAATACACCGGCGCCAACGATGAGGGTCGATGGCTCTTTATCTTGCGTGGACATTATCGAAGAATAAGTCCTGTATTATGAGATGGACCTTAAGAGTCCAATCCTTAAACAATACACATCAACAATGGATACAGCAGTAGGAAGATAATGAAAACACAAGCGTGGCAAGCTCTGAAGTGGGAACCTGCCACGCCCTATCGTTAACCTGATAGGCCGGCAACAGAGCTCTGAAGCACGCTACCCTGGTACTTACGTTAATAAGGAGATCAACTCGAAGTTGAGCGTTTCGTGAGAGCCGGTGGGATTGGTCCTCATCGATAGCCAGGTTGGGCGCACTCCCGACTGAGGTGAATGTTCTCGGTCAGGACTTTTGTCAAACGCGTGACTTCGCGACTTTAGCGCGAGACCTTGCATGAACTCGACACTCAAACGCATCCTGTCCAGACAGCCAGATCAATTCAGCACCAAATGCTCAACTAGCCACAATGAGCGGCAAATACGTTCCACCCGGCAGACGTGGCAAGCTTGAAGATGCTGCTGGCGAGAAACCACCCTCGGAGGACGAATCTTTGGTTTCGGTCGAAGAGATCCGAGAATACTTCTGGCCTTCTACTCAAAACGAGCTTCCAAGATCCTCTGAGTCCGGAGCCGGCAAGACGTTGCATGATTCGGCGGCAACTCCGGGAAACTCACTTACGTGGTCCTTTTCCATGGAGCAAATCCACAGTGGGAGACAGACAACATCATCTTCACCAAGTCCAGCCTGCATCTCCTCCCGGCGCAGCTAGCAGATGACCCAAGTAAAGCCCCATCCTCAACTGAACAGGTGGGCCCAGCCGGTGCATCTGCATCTGAAGCAGCTGAAGCAGACAAAGGCTCCAATGTTGAAGGCAATGCGGTAAATGCAGACACCAGGCCGGAGGAGAGTCCAGCGGAGCAGGAGGAGCCTACAAAGGAACCACGAACTCCCATCGCCGTCTTCAAGCATGCCCGCAAAGGTCAAGTAGGTCGCTTTCTGCGATTCGATGGCTGGTATCAGATCGAAAAGCTAGCATACCTCGCCCCCGAAAGCCCAGAGTTGGTCAAGATGCTGGAGAAGAAGTGGAACAAGACAGATAGGTTTGGCAATGCCAGGCCACAGCAGCGAAGTGAGGCGCAGTGGAGGGAGAGTCTCAGGCATCGCTGGGCAGTCTTGAAGCTGAAGAAAGACGAGGACGCTGAGAAGGAGCTGGGTGTGCCCAAGATTGGCCGTCTGCCTGAACTTGATCCAGAGAGTCCCAAAGTAGCCAAGAAGACCGTGAACGAGATGCTTGCGGAGATGCGGATGGGTGGCCAGGGTGACCAGAAGACGGACAGTAGAGTTAAGGGGTCGGAGTGAATGCGTGAAGAGTGTCAAGATGGTACATCATCGTGGAGGATGTCTTGATGGCAAGGATGGAATCGAAGCTCCCACGAAATGCCAGATATCGGTCGAATTGTTTGTTGTTCAGGTTGCTTCAGGGAGTGAGTTGCACGCGTCGTCGATGCTGCGACCGAATGGCTGGTGCTCTTCTAAATTTGGGTTGGCGCCTCCGCGGCGAAAGTGGATCTTGACGCCGATCACTTGGTCCTCCGAGGCCAGCCGCATTCAATGTGAAAGGGACAGACAGCATGCTTCATGGAGCACTTTCACAAACCGAACATTTCGCCCACGACGACATCATAACGCCAGCGCATAGATTCGGCGTACCCATATGCACAACATGCGCCTCCTATACCACTCATTGGCCATCTACCTGTCACTGACTTCGCAAGCCGAGGCCGCGTCAGGAAAGAAGGAGTCCAAAGAAGTCGAACACAAGCCATGTACCATTACCTCGCCCTCCTCCGGCGCCTTCTTCGATCTCACCTCGCTACAACTCCTCGACCCTAAGGAAAGCAAAGCGAAACATCCTCGCGAACATAGTTGGAATGCGACAGGTTACGACTTGGGATACAACTTTACCATCAACGTATGCGGACCCGTAATTGAGCCGATCGAAGATGTGGTGGGCGTGGACAAGGCTTTGTGGAAGAACGTCTCGGCATATTACAAGCAAGATGGAAAGATCTACTCTCTGGGGTGAGTGTGGTCAGAGCATAGAAAAGGTTCACAGGCTAATATCTTCTGTCCAGGCAACAGAACTCGAACTTGACGATGCGTGGACGGAAGCTCGTCTTGAATTACACAGACGGTTCACCTTGCGACTCAGTCGGCAGCAAGAGCGCGCACTCAGTCCAAGATCTCATGGCTCGCGAAATCATCGACGGCGACAAGAAGAAAGGCAAAGGCAAGGACGATGATGAAGACGACGAGGACGACAAGAAAGGCTCAAAGAAGAAGCCATCTTCGACCGAACGGAAGAAGAGTGTCATTATCAGCATGCTTTGCGACAGGGATCCATTGGCGCCACAACTTGCGCTTAGCTTCGTGGGCACTCAGGATGAATGCTCTTACTTTTTCGAAGGTCGTTCCAACGCCGCCTGCGCCACCGCTAACACCAGCAGCGGAGGATCATTGAACCCTGGCGGCGTCTTTGGAGTTATCGCGATCATTGCGATCCTTGTATATCTGGTCGGTGGTTGCGTGTACAACAGAGCGGTGCTGCATCAAAGAGGATGGCAACAGGTGCCCAACTATACCCTCTGGGCAAGCATATTCGGATTCTTCAGGGTGAGTTGTTGCGCAAGAACAGCGAGGGACTTCCTGGGATTTTGCTGACATCGTCTAGGACCTGTTCATTATTCTGACCTCTTCATGTGCTCGTTTCCTGCCTTCGAGACGAGGCTACAGCCGTGTCAACGGCGGCATCGGTGGGCTTGGAAGTCGAAGAGGACGAGGCGACAGCGACGCCGAGAACCGACTTATTGATGAACTGAATGAGGAGTGGGAAGACTGAACCACCGCAAGACCTGTAACGAGGAGGATATAGAGATCCATGTAGGATTTGTACATGCATAAACGAACACATGCCGTTCTCAGATCTCTTTGAATGACTGAGAGATGTGTCAGCAGGTACCTTGCTCTTATGTATCATGGAGGATCGTTCTGCATGTTCTTTGAATGGAACATGTGGTTGTTGTTGATTCCTTGACTGAATGCAGTTCATTCTACGAGGCTGATTGGCCAGGGTCTGGACTGCTGACTCCACAGCATCATCGTGCCGGCGACTTCACCTGCTGAACTCTCACTACTCCCAAATGCTCTCTTGATTACCAAGACGACATTCACGTTTACTGAACAGCACGATATGGCAACCAATATTAAGAAAAAGCCCATCACTCGCAACAGGGAAACTCTCACTTGCCTTCAATGCAGAGCAAGGAAATTGAAGTGCGACAAAGAGCTACCTTGCGCATCGTGTGTGAAGCGGAACGATGGAGGATCTTGCTCTTACGTCAAGACTGGCGCGAAGAAAGAACCACCCGAATCGACTCGAGCAGCCAAGGCCGAAGCAAGACTGCAGCATCTTGAACAGTTGATCGAAGAGTATGCGACTCGATCTGAAGGACCCGGTCCAGGAAGTCATCCGAGCGATGGCAGTAACGGCACCAGCGGCACCAATGGAAGCAATGGTAACAGCATCGCCAATGGTGATTCACATCTGTATACCGGCGCCACTCATTACTCTGCTATGCTTGACGGGATTGAAGAACTGAGGCAGCTTCTGCACGAGGACGAGCCTGGCTCAGCCAATTCGCCATCTAGTAAGGATTCTATTTCGGATGAGACAGATGTTCTCTTTGGTAGCACGCCACGCCTACCACTCACCACTGTCCTGGCGAACAATCTACCGTCGAAATTGGAGGTTGATCGAAGGCTCGCGGCGTACTTCAGGGCCCAGGCCATCTCTGCTGCATGTATCCACACACCTCAATTCATGCGGCAATACGATGAGTTCTGGTGGAACCAGACGGCGACCTCACCATTATGGATCTCCATCCTCTTCTCGATGCTTCATCTTTCAAACAGTGTTGGGCGAGGCTCATGGTCCGAGAGAACGAACGGGGACTCCCCAGAACCAAAGTACAACTTCTCTCTTGCTGCGGCACATTGCCTTGCTCTTGGAAGATACCACCGGCCACAGCGGTTTGCTGTTGAATCTCTTGCTGTATATGTACAAGCCAAGGTTATTGAGACCCTCGACCCGTCCCCTGCTCTTGGCTTGCTTTTCGGCACCTTGATCCAGTCTGCCTACAGCATGGGCTACCACAGGGAGCCGACGAACTTCAAGAACCTCACACCATTCGAAGGCGAAATGCGTCGTAGGACGTGGTCGTTTGCCATGCAGCTGGACCTCTTGATCATGTTCCAGCTTGGGCTGCCGAATACTGTTCAATTTGGGAGCTGGGACACCCGACCGCCTTCGAACTTGCAAGATACAGACTTTGATGAAGACACAGCAGTTCTACCTCCGCCAAGGCCAGATACGGAGCCAACGAGGGTCACATTCTACACCGCAAAGCATATGTTGATGAAGATCTTTGACAAAATTCTGAGACACTCCCTCTCGGTTGGCGAGATCAAACCTGAGCACGACCTCCTCGCACTCCACCAGGAGCTTGTTCAAACATACGACTCAATCCCTGCAGTGCTACATTACCGCAACGTCTCGTCGTCCATCTCGGATCCAGCGTACCTCGTAGTGACTAGGAAGTGCGTGGAGCTCATGTACCAGAAATGCCTCTGCGTTCTCCACCGCAAACACGTCTTGTCCGGGAGACAAGACAGTATTCGCGTATGCTACGACGCAGCCTCACAAGTCGTGAAAGCTTTCCTCGATATGTATCCAGAGTTCAAGCCTGGTGGTCAGTTCTTCGAAGACCGCTGGCTACTCGGCAGTATCACATGGACGGACTGGTTACTCGCAGTGATGACACTGTCTCTGGTGCTCTGTCAGCTCAGGAGGGCGATCGTACCAGGCTTTACGGAAGCTGAATACAACAACATTCTACATCTACTCAGATCAGCAAACGAGATCTGTCTCGAGAAAATCGACGAAAGCGTTGCAGGTCGACGCAGCGCAAGGATGCTGCAAGCCCTACTCGCTCAGGAGACCAATGGCCAGAAGGTCATGAATGGTAACGGTACCACGCCCTCACTCGACACACCTGCGCAAGTCGCTCAAACTTCAGTACCGGCTCTGAGTGAAGGAGACTACGACATGTGGCAACAAAACCCAGACCTCGATATCTTGCAGGGATGGAGTGATCCTTATTCGAATGTTTTTGAGACGCAGGAATGGGCGTTCTTGGAACAGTGTATGAATGCAGACTTTCAGATGCAGTAGTAGCAGGCCAGACCGGCTCTTGAATGAACTGGTTGATGAGTCTAATGTTATCAATGTCCATGCCTCTCCGAATGGAGTTTGGTTTACCATACGCCCCGGAACTGCTTTCCTTTCATTGACTTGCCGGAGCTCTCGTTCGCGAGAACAGAGTGAGAAACCAAGTCTCATCTCATGCCAGCCTTGTCAGTATGAGGCGCCAAGGAGACCAGCTACTTGCCCGTATCCAGTGGAAACGTGACAGCCAAGGGGCGTCTATGCCTCCTCCTCAGACTCGTCCTTGACGGCCTCCGCCTTCTCTTCGCCCTTCTCCTTGTCGTCGCTCTTCTCGCCCTCCTCGTTGCTATCGTCGCTCTCCTTCTTCACCTCCGCCTTGCTCTCGACCTCCTCGTCGGCAGCAGCAGCGATAGTCTTCTTGCCCTTCGCAGCCGGCTTGCGGCCCTTCTTGGCGGACTTGTTGGGGGTGTCTTCACCCTCCTCGCCCTTGACGGCAGCCGCCTTGCGCTTCTTGCCGGAGGCTGGAGTCCTGGGCACGTCGGCGGCCTTCTCGTCCTCGTCACTCGTCTTCGGATCTGCAGCTGCACGAGTCGTGTTAGCGTAGTTTGCATGTGATAGGGGGTCAGGGCTCTGTGCTCACCACCATCTGCGACTACTGGGCCACGGGCACGCTCGAACTTCTCCTTCAACTTGTGCCTGTTTGACAGACTTGATCAGTATATCTCCCTCTTTATGAGTTATGAAGGAAGAGGACATACCAGGACGCCTTGGCGGAGTTGGCATTCTTGAACCCACCCAACTCTGCAAACTTGGGGTAGTCGATTGCGACGTCGTTCTTGTTGGCCTGGAGGGCCTTGCCGAGGAGCTCGAGCTCGCGGGCGGAGAAGGCGGGCTCGCCTTTGGCGGGAGTCTTCTTGATAGGGGAAGACATGGTGATGGTGTGAGAAAGAGGAAGTGGCGAAGTGTTTTCAGAGACGATGCTGTGAGTCGACAGTGTAGTTGAGAGGGGTCTTGTCGGCGTAGTGTTCGTGGTTGTTGAGGAGAAGGAGAGAGAAGTGGAAGATGGAGAGTAGAAGTAGGAGTAGAAGAGTTTGGATTTGGCCCCGAACATGTGAATACGAACGAGGTCGTGGGTATCTGGAGTGGTGTAAGCTCACATGCCGTTTGCATCTTCACATGGATTGTACTTCACTGCTCCGCGGTCAATGTCGACGGCGAGCTTTTACGAGGATGCATGCATATGCCACACGCTCGAGCATCTGCCAGCGCCGTTACATTTCGAGGCCTAGAGAGTCACCAGGGCGTCCTGTGACGGTATAGGGATGTCTTGCTGAACAGTTGGTGGTAGAGGCCTCTTGCGTATAGTTTCGTATATGACGCAGAATCTCCCAAGTGAAGTTTGTGCATGTGAAACTGCATGTGAACGTGCACGGTTGCCTGGCAACAAGTGAAGTTTCGCGACACATCGCAAACGACCTGCATCTCGTGCGCACCTTTCGTTTCTTCCATCCACACAACTCAGACACCTTCCCACTTTCCGACATCCAACATCACACATCACACTCAACAACCGTACCACTTGCTTCTCGCCATCCACCCACCACAACCGCAACGGTGCGTACCCCTCGACCTGCCCTCGGGAATTCTTGCTGACTTCGAACAGATGGTCGACTTCTCCGAGCGTGAGAAGGAGCTCATGGCACTCGCCTGGCAGTGCTTCGAGGAAGAGCCGAAGGTATACAGGACGAGCCCCTTGGTGACACACATGATCGCTAACATCGTCGCAGATTCAGTTTCCCAAACTCGCCGAGATGGCCGGCATGACCAACGCAGGAAGCGCTTCCAATGCCTGGCGCAACATCAAGAAGAAGCTGGCGACCATTGCTGCGGGCAATGGAAACGGTAGCGCAGACGGCGTCACCACCCCCAAGGTCAAGGCTACTCCCAAGCGCAAGAAGAAGGCGGCCAACGACGATGACGACGACGCTGAGGAGACTCCTGCCAAGGTGCGTTCATACCCGCGCATGAACTCGTTTTGACATTGCTGACTCCAGGCTACAGAAGACCAAGGCGACCCCCAAGAAGAAGGCGAAGAAAGCGGCTGCTGAGGAGAACGGTTATGAGGAAGACGACGACGAGGAGAAGCCGAAGGTGAAGGCAGACACGAGCGAGAGCGATGATCTGGCCTAAGTGCGGTTGCACATGATTCTTTCACTGTTCTTTTGGACTGTCGAATGTCGAAATGTCATCATCCAGCAACAGGCCTTGAACATTGGTCCACGAGCAGGAGATGAAGGCGAGTCGGCATTATGGCATCGTCCATTCTCGTCCTAGGCCCTGATGATCCTGGGTACTATAGCTTCGTCAGAATCCGGCCATCATCAACAATACCACTTCTTTCACAAGTTCCAAATCATTCCCTCTTTTCCACGTAGCACATGGCAGTGCGCTCCTTTTTGAAGTATGCTTTTACGCGTATACACCAGTAGTGACAAATGCAGACGCAGATGCCAAGCGCAACTACTTCCTTCTACAGTAATGCGAACGCCTGTAGTGCGAAGATGTGGGCCAAGAGCTGGGCTGCTTCATTTCCCAAAGTTCGGCCATGCACGAGGGCTGTGCAGATACATGTATAGCAGAGCAACCGATTACACAACGTATGCCCGTCAGCTGCCGGCGGTGTTAGGCAGTCGAGATACGGCGACATCAAGTCTCATGGCCGAAGGGAAGAAGATGGGGACGTGAAGTGAGGACGGGACAAGTGGTGCGATCCTTAATCAAACATTCATTCACCCAATCGGCGGCCGTCGATCAAATGAAGAAGGGACCCTGGTGCTTTGATCGCTCAGCGGCGCCCGCGGGCAGTCCAGGCACTTCGCTTTCGCTGCGCGGCGCATTGGATTCTGGGTTCCAGTTCAGCTCCCAGGCTCCATGGGTACTCCTGCACACAGCCCCAGGAATAGATCCGTGGTCTTGAACAACATGTGCTCCTCGAGTCTCACTCGACAGTCTTCCTCGCCCTCCATCGACCTCAGGAACTGTCCCAATAATGGTCAGCGTGACCAAGTCGCGGTCGAGCTCGATGCGGACGTTTGACTGGACCAGAAGCACTCAAACCAGTGACTTTCAGAAACGCACGAAAGATGTAGATTGGAATCAGTCCCCGCTCGGCGCAATCGCAGAATGGCCTGCCAGCCTACGACAATTCGTCCTTCTCTCCACGGCCGATCCATCTCCTTCAGCGGTTGTATACGGACCGCTCGACAATGCCGCGATTGTGTATAACGAAGCGTTCGCGAAGCTCTTCGGCAGCAAAAAGACCAATCTACAAGGACGACCGTGTCGTAACGAGCTTCTCGACCTTTGCACCGAGTTCGACAATGTCTGGGAGAGACAAGTGAGCAATGGCTGTGCCGAGATCGTGAAGAATCAAAGAGTGAGGTCAGATCGATTGGGTTTCATGGAAGAGAGGCTATACACGTGGAAGTTCGTTCCTATCATTGGCGAGGATGGCCAGGTCGCTGGCAGTCTTGTCACTGTGGACGAGGAGAACAAGCTTCCACCTCGAAGGGAGAGGAGCAAGTCAGCGGTTCGAGAAATCGGAAATGCTGTAAGATCGGCCATTGATAGGACAGCCAACCAGACTGCTGTGAACATTCGACGACTGGACGAACACTTCTCGGGACGGACATGTAATTGCGAGAAACTGTGGCAGGCAACTCAGCACATGGAATACAAGGAGCAAAGATATGAGAAGTTTGCAGATCAAGCTCCTGTCGGCATAGTCACTCTCGACAAGTCATACGAAGTGGAGTGGGCCAACAAGTCTTTCTACGATGTTATGGCCCAGCCGCCAGAGTCGAAGTCATTGCTCAGCTACATTCATCCCGACGACGTTGCCAAAGTCCGAAGCTATTTCGATCTTGGATGCTACGAAACATCGTTCACATTCGAATGTCGACTGAAGAAGTGGGCGCCGGTGATGAGCCCTTCATCGGGAGACAAAGCCCCTGATCTTTCGCCATCGTGGATCTTGGTATCAGCCTATCGAGAAGCTGAATTCGAACAATACACTATGGCCTGGATAATAGACATCACATCGCACAAGCACGCAGAAGAGGTTTTGCGAAAACGTATGGATGAAGCGATTGAAGAAAAACTTACCAAGGAGCGCTTCATTGATATGACGAGCCATGAGGTTCGAAACCCGCTCAGTGCGATCGTCCACTGCACTGACGATATAATTAACGATATCCGCAACAATCCCAGTGCATCGGCTGACAGCGTTGTGGAGGCCGCGGAAACGATAGCGTACTGCACTCAGCACATTCGGAACATCGTAGGAGATGTGCTCACCCTGAGCAAGCTGGATTCGCGGCTGGTTGAGATTTCTCCCGTGCCCTCAAGGCCTGGCGATGTTGTGCAGGAAGCTCTCAAGATCTTTCACGGTGAACTTCGAGCAGGAGCGATCGAATTGGACTTCCAAAGGGACGATTCTCTGAAAGAACTCAACACTGAGTGGCTACTGTTCGATCCCAATCGCATGCTGCAAGTTTTGATCAATCTAGTATGTAACACAGATCATACTCGGTACAGGCTACGATAGCTAATGTTTCAACAGGTCACCAACGCGATCAAAGTTGTGAGAGGGCGTGAGAAGCGCAAGATCACAGTTCGAGTGGGCGCAAACACCACTGCTCCGTGTGGAACTAGTGGCGGTGTCCAATGCGTTCTTCCACGGCAAGACCCCAAGCCAGTCGAATTCGGCGAAGCGTTCAACCACGAGCAAGCAATATATCTGGTCATCCAGGTCGAAGACACCGGCCCTGGGCTTGACTCGGAAGAAATGGAGTGCCTTTTCCAACGTTTCACGCAGGCGAATCCCAAGACCGAGAGCAAGTACGGTGGAAGTGGTCTGGGCCTTTTCATTTCGCGTGACTTGACCGAACTACAAGGTGGCCGTATTGGCGTGGCTTCGACACCTGGCGAAGGCTCGACCTTTGTTTTCTCCGTAGAGGCGAGACGGACCACGGCGCCGAAGATACCACAGAGAGTTCCGTCGCTAGAAATTCCGACAAGACTTCGTGGGTCTAGCACCGTGGACTCGCCAGTCATCGCTGCACCTCCGTTAAGACCGTCTCTTGTTCCCTGTCAGCAAGTTCCACGATCTGCCGACAATCGAGACCAGTCTGCCCAGAAGGACGCATCGCCAAAAAGCGCAAAAAGAATCTTAGTCGTTGAAGACAACCTCATCAATCAAAAAGTCCTCGCGAATCAACTACGCAAACGCGGATACGACGTGAACGTGGCCCTGCACGGGGGCGAGGCTCTTGAGCGTCTGAGCATGACACCCACCACACCCGAGGAGAATCCAATGGAGCAAGCGCCCTTCGACTGCGTTTTGATGGATATTGAAATGCCTGTCATGAATGGCCTTGATTGCGTCAAGAAGATCCGAGAGTTCGAGTTGAAGTGCTCCATGCGAGCTCTGCCCGTCATCGCTGTCACGGCCAACGCTCGTGATGAGCATGGTGCCGCCGCGTTGGCAGCTGGGATGCAAGCAATCACGACAAAACCATACAAGATCGACGACTTGGTGGCACAGATGGATCGAGTGTGTCTAGCAGCAGGATGAGCTTATCATCGCTGACCTGCCCTGTAACAGTTCACGACACTGGTTTCTGGCCCACCACAACCTTGATATTCCACCTCCAATACTGCTCGCCCTCAGCAACCTCCTCATCGCAACGCCGGCAGAGATCCTCGACATCCTGCTCCGTCTTGGTATGCTCATTCTTGAGATTGGCAGCAAAAGCTTTAGCAATGGCCACGACAGCCGCATGCTCGACATCCGAACCCTCGCGCCTCATATCCAAGCACCGATCCGAGCTCACCAGATCCTCACTGCAGTCCTGAAACCCAGCCTTCCGCACCGTTTCGCCCAGCCTTCCCACATCCCCAGCGAGCTTTCCATGCTTCTGCATCACCTCACGCACGAAGCCGAACAGCTCCTTGTGCGCAACCCGCGACGAACCGCGTTTGGTCTGAAGCACATCCATATACTCAAAATCCGCTTCACACCACTGAAAGAACCCCCCAGGCCTCAGCAACTGCATAGCATGCCGAGCAACCGTATTCCAATCCTCGCCCGTGAGTCCCACGATCAAAAGGCGGATATGCACGACATCAAACCTGCCCTGCAACTCCTCCGGCACCGGCTGGAGGATATTCAGCAATTGTAGCTCACAATTCGACGGCACGGAGCTTGGGAATTGTGCGTCTGACATGTCGAACCCCACGAGCTTGACGTGAGGCATCTCCCTCGCCAGATCGATCATCCACGCCCCGGTGCCGGTGGCTACATCTGCGATTTGGGGATTCGCCGTGGAGAGGGAGGCAGCGATGCGTGGATGGAGGATGTATCCGAGACTTTTGATGTAGAGGCGGTGCTGTGCATCCAGACGTTCGCTCTCGTTCGGGTTTCGTGGTAAGGCGTATGGCCTGCGATTGTCTTGTGGCATAATCGCTGGCGATGAGATGGTAAATTCAAGGTCAAGAGCAACAAGCAGAACCTCAATAATACATACACAGCTTTTATGTCATGCGACAAAGACACCGTATCGGACATTCACCTACCATCCCTCCACGTAGGTAATCAGTAGATCCTGACAGGTACCAGTATTCAGGATCACAGTCTGTTTCGCCTGCAGCTCTTTACGCGAGAGGGTTTCCTATACGGGGCATGCAGTTGTCATCCTGATGAGGAAGAGGTACTTGAACGATTGAGCAACCAATCTCCAACATTGACAAATACTTTTCATTCCTCTTGACTAAACTCCTTGTCGCATGCTGGGTATACCTTGGCTATCCATCCGAAGTCGCGCGCACCACATACGCGCGTTATGCACATAGTACAACAGTAATTATTGGGAAACACCCGGAGGGCCACTTGTTCAACCTCCCTTGCCAGTCCAAGCTAGTCCTGCCAGCTATTTGACGCCTTTGATACGCCATGCCATGCTGTCGTGAAGTCCATGAATCCTCGAGTACGCCGTGAAGAGAACCGTGAGAGTCGGATCAAGCTGCAGCCCGATCGACTTAGACGGTGAATTTGGCCTTTGCGCGGCTGCTGCCAGCATGAGCCGAGTCGGCGTGACCGCTGAACTCGACCTGCTCGCTTGGGCCCAGCGCAAGGACCTCCTTGAACTGCTTGCCGATACGCTCGAGGCGCTTGCGGCCCTCATCGCGATCGCCCTCATCCTTGCGACCCTTGGGTGGTTGACCAGCAGTCTTCGTCCACAGGCCCACACGCCAGAAGGCCTTACGGATGTTGACCACGACACCCATGACCTCGCTGTCATTCTCATCCTCGAGCATCTCTCCAATCGCCGCCAGCATGATGTTGAGCCAGGTCTCGTCGTTGGCCTTGCTGCCCTTGAAAGTGTAGGACCAGCGACCACCGTGCTTGTTCTGGGGATCCTCCCACTCTGGGCGAACGCCGGACTTGAAGAGGTGGTAGTCGGACTTTTGGGCGAGCTCGGAGGCAGGAGTGATGTTGTTCTAAGAAAGAATAAGAGGTCAGTCGAAGAAAGTACAATAGGATGCCGTTGCAGGCAGGAGCAAGACTCACGTAGATGCCCCAGAACTCCTCAACGCTGTTAAAGCTGATGACCTCCTTGAGCAGCTCGTTCCAGTCTTGCTTGCCGCTCGGCGGCTTCGTGAACCACAGCGTCCAGACATTCTGCAGAGCGTGCTTAACGTTGAAGTTGGACGGGTCGTCGAAGACGGTCACGATCTGGTCGCTGGATTTGTCGCCATTCGAGGCGCCGTTGGTTGCGTCGGTCATGCCGCCGTCTGGAGAGATGGGGATCTCGTTGAGGGGGACCTGCTGGTCAGAGGCAGGTGCGGGAGTTGGACCGTCGGATGCGACTTCGGCCATGTTGTGTGTGTGCGGTGTAGGTGAGAGTGCGAGGAGGCTTTAGGCGGTGGAGGTGTAGTCGAGAGACTGTGCGTCGCTCAACTTCGAGGGTGGATGTGGCGGTGGATGGTGGAGTTGGGGAATGTCAAGCAAGAGGAGTGCGATTTGGCGGCTTCTCTTTCTGATGAAAGTCGGCGGTGGCGCACGGACCCGCCGAGCTTAAATTTACCGGGGAAGGCGCAAACCTCACCTCACAAATTCCCGTCTTCACATGTCAGGCACGTGCTCGTGAGAATATTCACAATCAGGAGCCAGCCATGTGTCCATTGAAGCGGAACTACCGACTCCGAGACTACCAAGATGTCCACGACTGGAGATGAAGCTGAGGAACAGGTTCCAGAACAAACACAAGATGCACCATCAGGGTCAGAGTACGAAGAGGAAGCCGAGCGTCAGGAGGAAGATTATGACGAAGAATCTGAATCCGAACGTGAAGGACGCTTTCATGGCCCGGACAGTAGCTGGAGATTCTACACCAAAGAAGAACGTGCCATAGTCTCTGCCCTAGACCAGGCTGAGAACAATGATCTTAGCGCCCATCTCTACAATGCACATGCATGGAAACAGAGGCTACGAGATGTCGAACGGATGAGAGAATCTCTGCCATGGCACACTAAAAACGGTTGGGTCCAGCCTGAAGACAATGGCAAGTTGCCCTTCTTGCCGCCGGCTGCTTGGACTGCCTGGCCCCTGAGACCTGAGGACGTTCCGAGATCGCGAGAACAATGGGGTATACCTGCTATTGATCCAGAAGAACAGAGTGGAACATTCACTAAGGTCGAGCCATGGAGACCAAGCCTCAATTTGCATGAGGAAGTGAAGGCGGTATTTCTGCGCACAGCCAAAGAAGCCTTTCGTGAGCGAGAGCGGGCTGTGAACGTGAAGAAGGAGGGGCCTCCTCAAAAAGCATCGGAGATACCAATCAGCTCTGAAGCAACGCCAACGCGTTCGGGAAGCGAGCAGTCCGAGGACGACGATGAAAGCGACGAGGATCAAAAATCGTCACAGAATGGCAAAAAGGAGGAGGACGAGGAGGAAGACGTTGACATGGAATCAGTGATTGACCACAAGCTGGTTGGTGAAGAATATGTTTCATCATTTCTCCTGGACGATGACATTGCCAGCTCGATTCTGGAACCTACAGTCAATCATGTCATTGCTAAGTTCGATGACTTGCTCATTGGACTGCACAAGAGCCGACTTGGTCACCGTCAGGATCGTTCCAGGTCTAGAGGGAGTAGTGCCAATTCGCGATTTCGATCAAAATCTCGCGAGCGACCACGCAGCGCTGCCAGCGTTCCCTCCAAGCGCAAGCGTGCGGTATCTGACAACAATTTCAACGATGACAACCCTACATCAGAGGATGTCGAGTCTGATACAGAGATCCGCACTGGGAGAAAATCTCAACGCGAAAGTAGGAGACGTATGCCTGCTCCCCGAGACTGGAGCGAAGTCCTCGGCATAGCAGCAATGGTCGGCTGGGATCAAGACGTTCTCGATCGCGCCGAACGTAGATGCGCAGCTACCTTTGGCGAAGGCATGACCATGCGTATCATGCCAGAAACCAGCTTTGGCACCTCTCGAGATCAGATCGTTGAGTACGTGCCAGACATGATTCCTCCTATCGACGACTGGTCGGAGAACGACATCGATTCAGAAGAGGAAAGCGAAGAGCCTCCAAGCCTCGCATGTCCAGAGGAGTTTTGTCCTCGCCACAGTGAACCATACGAATCTGCTTGGCGGTTGAGGGAGCATCTCAAGAAGAAGCACAAGTTGTCGAAGGACGAGGTCAATCGCCTCGTGCCACGTGTCTCCGCTCCTACCTCACAAACTAGGGCCAAGGACCGTGGCGAGGCCTCAGGAGGGGAGGACGAAATCATCGACGACGATACCGTGGCAGTGGAGGGTGGCCAGGAAACCGGCGCTGTCCGGCTCGATGGCTTCCTGCAGCCTATAAATATTCGGCTTCATAGATCGAAGGACAAGCAACCAAGGAAACGAAGCGCTTCTCGACGCAGGGTGGAAGACACAAGTGCAGAATAATATGAACCGAGAATCTCGATCACTCTACTCTCTCATTCCAAATTGTCGTCAGGTATCAAATGGCCACTAACGCCACCCGCTTCGAACGCAGCAGGCTAATGTACAAAGCGTGTGCATATGAAAGTCAACACGTCTCCCCTCACCGCTCACTTGATCTTTCCTATCCGTCGCTTCGCGACATCAATCTTGCCCTGCACCCGATCCGCATCTTGCTCCACCAACCCCAGCATCTCATTCTGAATAGCGAGCTCCTCATTGATCATAATGCCCATGTCCTTCAGCTTCGCCACCGTCTTGCCAAGAGACAGTACATCCTCATCTTGTTCTTGCATGACCTGTTTCTGCAACTGCAAGACACCTGAGTTGTCCAGTTCTCGTGTGCGTTCCGTCTCCTTGAGTGGTCCTCCGAGGACACGACCGCTGGGCTTCGCCGCCGCAGTCCCTCGCCAAAGCCCTTCTTTGTCAGACGCTGTTGCCACAGCAGTGGTGTTGACACTACTCGATGCGGTCGCCGCTTTGGTCGCCATGCTCTTCAATACGGCTTCCAGGCCCTCGACTTCTTTCTTTGCTGCTCCGACCAGATCTCTTCTCCGTCTGAGCTCGCCATCTCCTAACCTCTTTGCACCACCCCACCCCGCATCGTCGCCTTTACTAGCAGCCGAGATCGCTTTCAATCCATCGTCCAGCTGCGCGATTGACGTTGCCGCTCTTACAAGGCTAGCTTTTGCATCGGCGGAAAGAGTATGCTGTTGCTGCGCCGTGGTAGCGGCTTCTCTCCGTTTAAGCAGCTGCCTCGCGCTCTGTATCTGCGACTTCAAATCCCGATGAACCTCCAACCACTGATTAGGATCCGTGACAGGTCCAGCACTTCCAGGTCGTTGCTGTGGTACGTGACCGTTCGCAGTCGTGGTTATCATACCGCTCGGCAAGTTCAAGAAAGTCCTCCATGCGCTACTACTTCGCCACCGCGCATCATCTGACTCTATTATGCTCTTGACATACTTCTCCAGCGCCTGCCGTCTTTCCTCCGTAAGTGCCTGGCTGTTAACCGTCCGTCGAAGCCATGATTTCGCGGGAAGAGCAACAGGAGGTGCCTGGCCGGTTTGCGATACGAGATCGTTGTTGAGGTTCGTGAAGTCTGTATATCGCTTCTTGATCTCGTGTTTCCGCAGAGGCAGTTGTAGAGTAATGTGGTAGACGGTATAGGGCTTGCCTGCCGGGTCGGCGATCGAGGTGGTCGGGATGGAAATCTGGAGAGCGGGAGCCATGACTGGCAATTGTCGCATCGCGCAACAGGAAGCTTTCGAGGTCGGTCTGAGCTATTAGCGGTTGTAAACGCCAAGGTCGAGTGTGTTGTTGTTTATGTCAAAGGTCATAGGTGAACCTGGAGGCTGTCAAGCAAAGAGGCGCTAGCGCAGATCGCTCCAGCGTCATCGCGCGCCACGTGCCGAAAGCATGTGAAGCTTTGAATTTAACACTACCGCGACGACCACCACTTCTCAAGCAAGGCCAGGACCGTCACGATGCAGTCAGTCCGGCAAATCGAGCGCCTCAACCAAGTCGAACTCGACAAGTGTGTGCCCCCAAACGCATCCTGGCACACCGACTACCGCGACACAGCCTACATCTACATCGGCGGCCTGCCCTTCGAGCTCAGCGAAGGCGACGTGCTGACGATCTTCAGCCAATATGGAAACCCAGTACACATCAACCTGGTGCGGGACAAAGAGACCGGCAAGAGCAAAGGGTTCTGTTTCTTGAAGTACGAGGACCAGAGGAGTTGCGATTTGGCTGTGGATAATTTGAGCGGGGCGGGGGTGATGGGTCGCGTGCTCAGTGTTGATCATACGAGTTATAAGAAAAAGGAGGGGGAGGTTGAGGGGATTGGAGACGAGCAGGTGGAGGATGCGGCGGGGGATGATACGGATCGGGAGGGGGATGAGAGGAGGAAGAGGAGAAAGACGGAGAGTGAGAGCGAAGAAGAGGAGAGGCCGATGATCAAAGAGGAGATTGAGCTTGCGAAGCTGTCGAGGGAGCATGATTATGATGATCCCATGAAGGAGTATCTGGTCAAGGAGAAGCGTGAGGAGGTCGCAGAGGCTTTGAAGAAGGTCGTCAAGCACAAGCTGAAAGAAAAGAACAGGGACAGAGAACGTCGACACAAGCACCACCATCGTTCTCGCAGAGATGGCGATCGTGACGGGGATGGAGATCGCAAAGAAGATCGCCATCGTTCGAGGAGAGAGCGTGGATCAGACGACGAGGGAAGGCACAAGTCGCATCGTTCGCGACGAGATGACCGAGACGAGGACCGCCATCGATCAAGACGAGACCGTTCACGAGCTCCTGGTGACTCTGAAGATGATCGAGAGCGCCGGAAGGATAGATCTAAACCGGACGAACGCGACCCAGACGATGAGAGACGAGACAGACGTGATCGAGAGGAGAGGACAAGAAAGCGTGACGATCGCTCCCTTTCAAGAGAACCATACAGGCGCCGATAGCATTCTAGGTATCTCAACACAAAAGCGACTGGATCCGATACTAAACCATCCCAACAAACCCATACGAGAACAGGCCCTAATCAACTTATCGTGTCGCATGGTCCACCAACTCCTATCCGAGAAACCCCTTCAATCCCTCAGAAAACCGTAACCTCATTCTCCATCGTGTCCCAATCACATCCTTCACTCATCACCAAACCTCACCTTGACACTCCCACTCGTAGTCTTAACCCCAATTTCCCCACCACCATACCCCTTCTGTGCTATGAGATGTCTCTCGACAGGCGAATATCCTCCATCCGAGATAACCCGCACCCCCTTGCCCTTCACACTCAGACTACCACTCGTGCTCTGCTCGTCGATCATGCCCGACCACTCGTCGGGGTAGAGAATATCGATCGAGCCGCTCGTCGATGTGGATTTGTGCGTGGTGTGGTTCTCGGTCCAACCCTCGCCAGGATAGTAAGGCTGCAGGACCCGGAGATGAGTGGATCCGGAACGGGTGTCGGTGTGCATGGTCGAGCGCTGTTTGCGGTCGAAGAAGGGAAGGAGTTGGGCGTTGATTGTGCCGGAGGTTGAGTGGATAGAGGTCAGTTCACCCAGGATGAATTCGCCGGAGATAGAAGCAGACGTCGTCTCGACACGACTGGAATACTGTCTCTCGGGGATGTTGCCCTTCTGAGGGAAATAGGCCTTGACAGTCCCGGAATTGGACTTTGCGATGAATTCAGCTGGTCGCGGGTTCTTCTCGTCTGCCTTCCTCGGGTCGACATTTATATTGATGGATCCCGACTGTGACTGGACGGACAGGAGGTCTAGCAGCGCGAAGGTGCCCTTAATCGAGCCAGAGATCGTCGAGATTTCAGTCTCTCGAGAAGACCAGTAGTCGACGTGCACAGCGCCTCGAATAGCGTTGAAGATCGACGGTCCTGTCACTTGCAAAGCCGCGAGTTCTTCTTCGCCGTCCTTTCGATTGAAAAGACCGTCTTCAACCTGGATTTCCAGGTTTCCCGTCGACAGTTCCCAAGCATCCAGCACAACTCCTGGGCGAACGTCAACCCTGACGTTCACCCACAGGCAAGGCTTCCTGGAGTCGCCACCTTCTGCCTTCTCCATGATCGGTAGCTGTAAGACGAAAGAGTCTTCTGTCTTGACATAGTCCGAATCCACAACCTTCCAAGGACTGGTTGTGGCATAGTTCACCCACAGTCGAATGTCAACCCCTTGCTCCTCTTGCGCTGGTTGTACGGTAATCTTGCCATGGATGTTGTTCGATACCCAAGTCGAGCTTTCTATGAGCTCAACGAATGAGAAGTTCTGTGGGTTTTCAAAGTCGTACGTTTTCATCTCGCTGTATTCGCCGTATGGACACTGCCGCGTCGATGGGGGCGATGGCATGGTTGCCGGATCTTTTGGTGGGATGACTGGGTTCTTGGGTGATTTATCCTCGCCGCCGTTGCCTTCGTGTGGATTGTCAGGCTTGCCTGATTCACTCCTATCGTCAGCGGCGCCCATGATTATGATGACCAGGATGACAATCGCCACAAAAAGGATGATGTTGCATATTGACATGGACTTGCAACAACCCAAGCGCCATCTTCTCTGCTTCTTTTTGCTTTTGAGTCCGGTGAGCAGGCCACTCTCCTCATCCAAGGGTGGCACATCAGCGTCTCTCATGCTTTGTGGGCCATGATCTGAGAAATGCTCAGGGCCTGCGGAGCGTCCCAAAGTTACGATCTGTGCGCTCACAGGCACGCTGGTTGCTGCGAATAGTGGCTGATCCGCTGCAGTGCTTGACAAAGGTTGTTCTGGAGGTCGTCCCAATTGCGAGTTCCCATGCAGATTTGTCGGATCGACACTGGTTTGCCTTTGTGAATTGGGTTGTTGACTTTGACCAAACGGCTGGTGGCTCTGCGTTGACGGACGACTGGAAATTGCGGATTCATAGTCTGGAGGCGCATCTTCTTGGTTTGCAGATGGTGTTTCTGCTTCAGCCCATTCTACTGATCTTGTCGGAGAGCTTGGCAAGCTCAACTGCGACGGTGGCACTGCTGTTGAGGTACTGGCTCGTTCTTCCGCCCTTTCCCTTGCCTTTGCGTCCGCAGCGGCTGATATTGAAGAGTTCTCTACGAATGTCTCCCTTGGATGCGGTCTTTCTGAAAAATAGCCGTCTGCTGGCGAATCAGCGAAATTCGACTCGACGTCCGAGTCAACCCCAAGGGCGGAGGAGTCGGAATCATAGTCCTCTTCATATATTCCGGTGTCGGCCATTCTGTGCTTGGTACAAGTGAGTGCCGGCCAAAGAGCACCGTTTTCCAAAGCGCTTGGCTTGACGAGAAAGATGGAGACGAAGGAAAAGACCTACTTTTTCTACAAAATGCGACCTTCTCAAACCATGTGGCGCGTCTCTGCATTTTGGAGGAGGAGCTAGTCCTTAGGCAGCGAAATATCGAGAGCTGAACAGTCGGTAGGCGCTCCGAGCACTGGCGGGGTTGCATACAGGTGGTCCAATGGATGTGTCTATCAGCTCCCTCCCGCAGGGTTCGAGATAGCGAGACTCGTCAGTCGATTGTGCGAGCTGGGAACCAAGCTGAATCTGGAAGCTGCGAGTTAGGCCGCCTGGACTGTTCGACGAAGCACGGCATTAATCAATCGCACCTTTGTAACAGAGTGTCACGTATGTCATTTGGCGAGAAGGCCGACAGACACAGTCACCGATCGACGAACTCGGTCTGCATATATAGAAAGGGACAAGGCTCCAGAATATCGCTCGAAGGGATACGCGTCGTTGATGTCGTGGCTTTCAATGGCCAACATGGAGGCTTCGGAGTTCACTTTCGGAGTTCATGCGAGACATTCAACTCCGAACAATGAAGGAGGATCTCGTCAAGTCAGTAGAGTTGCGTCGTTCATCGTATATCCATCGCTGAATCGTATAACCAAGAGCTTTGATGTTGCCCTATACCCCAGGCATACCCACTGCCTGCCTGAACGCAGGTATCGCTCGTGGCAGAAAGTAAACAGCATAGATCGCACCAAAAGCAACCAACAAGCCAGTCAACTTCTCGAACCAGGTATGAAAATACGCTGCAGTCATAAGCAGCATCCACCAACTCAGGCCTGCGACCGCCAACGCCGCCTGGATTCCGACGCCTATCTCTTTTCCCGCGTTCGCATCTGTCGATTGATCTTCGGCCTCGTACGTGGCCTTCCTCACCAAACCATCTGCCGTCAAGATCCTTCGAGCCTCTCTAAGACCTTCCATGCGCATGACTGCGGGAAGCAGTTCCAGCCAAAGCATTGCACTGCCCAAGATGAGCAAGAAGACGTGGCCGCTGATATCATGTCCGCCGCTCCACTGTCCACCAATAGCCTTACACGCGGCGTGCGTGAAGACGTCTTTGACCTGACCTGCCTCCATCTTGTTTGCTAGGTCCTCCGCAGTATCGGCAGCGATTGCCTGGCACTTGCCGCCCGTCCATCTGAAACTGCGATCGATGATTGCCGGGCCAAAGAACCATTGCGTGACGAAGAACCAAGTCGCAGTCACGCACGCGTAGCGCAGAAAAGCTTGAACGCGTCGGCGAGTGGCTTGTAATCGAAGCGGTGGTCCCAGCGAGGAGTGGGAGAATATGAGCAGGAAGAAAGCTGCCGTGATCCAAACCCAGCCAATCTTGACGAAATAGACGTTGAAGACGTTGCTCTTCTTCGCGAAATAGCTGGGAGCATTCCGAGGATCGTAGGACTGCGAGACTGGGAGGTAGGTCGCCTGTCGGCTTGCCGGATGCAGTGTGCTAAACAGTGATCCGAGAACGAGGGTGGCAGGATATATTGAGAGTAGGAAGGCCTCGAGGGCTGTCGGGAGGAAAGGCGAGCCTTTAGGTGGTGGAGAATCGAGCTTCATGTCGGCCTTGGGTGTTGTTGGTACGCCGTTTGATGCAGGGGGGATTGGGACTTCGACCCTTGTCGTCCGCCTGGTGGCCATAGGTAAGGTGGTGCGCTTTGTGAGTGTAAGGTTCAAGAAGGTCGTGTCATGAAAGCATGGTGCAAAATGCAGGAGAAGGAAACATGGACTTGTTTTCAAGGCGAGAGCCTTCACATGTTCCTGTCGATTCGCTTGCGGTGACGCAAACTGTGGCGTTAGTGGCCAAAGCTTTTTGTGGCGTGTGTGAACAGATCGCACTTCACTTCAACGTCTGCTCCTCGCATGGCATCTTCGAGAAGCCTTTCTCAACCCCTTCAGCAGGATCAGGACAACCGGGCGACTAAGGTTCTGTTAAGATGCCATCTCAGTCGCTCTATGTGGGCATGACGAATAGTAACGCAGCAGAGACACTCATCACCTTGGACCTGCCGTTGAACGATCAGACTGGAATGGAATCGCTCTCCACTCTATCAAAGTAGTCGGTATTTGAGCAAAAGTGACCTCTCAAGGCTTTTTGTGGGCTTGACCGCCTGTCACAGACGGTAAGGTTCAGAGACTCTCATTCTACTTCACAGCCGAGCTTCTCCTCATCCTGACTCGCTTTCTTTGATGCATCCCATATCTGATCGGTTTCATTCTCTCTTTGACTCCAACAGACAAGACAATGTACTACTATGGCTGAGAGTATCACCGGAGCAGAGCTTGTTGCTCGATCACTAAAGTCCTTAGAGATAGACACTATATTTGGTCTGACTGGCTATCCCATCACGGCTATTGGAGAAGCATCTATCGATCTCGGCATACGTTTCTTGGGTTTCAGGAATGAAGTATGGACGCCAATACACACTCAAGGGCGGGCTGATGATGATGTCTAGCAAGCCGCTTCATACGCTGCCACAGCCTACGGGTACCTGACCGGCAAACCAGGCTGTCTCCTCGTAGTTGGCGGACCTGGCGTAATCCATGCCTTAGCCGGAGTCATCAACAGCAGCGGCAACTGCTTCCCTCTCCTCATGCTTGCGGGCTCCAGCGAGACATATTTGTTGACGAAAGGATCATTTCAGGAACTCGACGCCGTTTCCCTGCTGACTCCGCATGTCAAGACCGCTGTTCGATGGACGAACAAGGACAACGCAATCGATCCGATCGCTAAAGCGTATAGAACAGCGTGGTATGGACGTCCAGGTGCCGTATTTGTCGACATGCCTGCAGACCTGCTTCGAAGCAAAGTAGACTTCAAGCACCAACCAAGGATAGCGATTCCCCCACCACCAGCCCCTTTTCCAGACATAGATAGAGTCTCAAGGATCGCACAGGTCTTACAAAACGCAAAAGCTCCTCTCGTCCTCATTGGAAAGGGTTGTGCCTACGCCAGGGCAGAGGACAGCCTTCGTCAATTGATTGACACTACGCAACTACCCTTCGTACCATCGCCTATGGGCAAAGGCGTGGTCCCAGACTCACATCCCTGCAATGTTTCCTCTGCTCGTTCCAGCGCCCTTCGCAACGCCGACGTGATCCTCGTCCTCGCAGCAAGACTAAACTGGATCTTCCACTTCGGCGAACCACCCAAGTTCAGCCCAACAGCCCGCCTAATCCAAGTCGACATCGACGCAGATGTAATCGGCCAAAACCGCGGAGACGCAGAACTCGGTGTTGTGTCCGACATAACCAAGTTCGCAGCGCAACTACAGATCGAACTGAGTAAATGGCAATATCCCAACAACACGCCCTACTGGCACCGCCTCCGACAAGAAAAAACCCTCAACGAAACGAAACAATCCCACCTCGAACACCTCCACCTCCAACCCCTCAAAATCGAAAACGCCTTCTACCACATCCGCACCACCCTCGACAACCTCAGCCCACCCGCCGACGGCAGAATCGTCTACATCGCCGAAGGAGCCCGCACAATGGATACGTCCCGGACGTGCTTCTTCCAAGAACATCCCCGCCTGCGCCTCGACGCCGGGACGCACGGTACGATGGGCGTGGGGATGGGTTATGCGATTGCCGCGTGGGAGGCGTACAATGGTCCACATGCTACGGCGAGGTCGGGGATGGCTGGGAGGAAGAAAGTTGTGTGTATTGTGGGGGATTCGGCGTTTGGGTTTTCGGGGATGGAGGTGGAGACGATGGCGAGGTTTGGGATGGATGTTTTGGTTTTTGTTATGAGTATGCATATTCTTGTTATTCTCTCCATCGCACGGTGACTGACAATTCGATAGACAACGGCGGCGTCTACCACGGCCACGCGAACAGCAGAGAGGAATGGCAAGCCCAGCACGAAGCCACTAAACGAGGCGACGGTGCGAATGGTCTACGTTCATGGAGTCTGGGATACGAAACCCGCTACGATCTTGTCGCAGACGCTGTCGGCGGCAAAGGATACTTCGTCCGAACATCAGATGAGCTGATCAAAGCAACGGAAGAAGGCTTCCGAACCAACGTGCCCGTGATAATAAACGTGTCTATGGAATCTGGACGCGGGTCCGTTGCGGTAATAAAACCCCCTTTAGTCTCCTCTCTAGATGCCAGCAAGTCGTTGCTAACGTACACCCGATCTAGGTCTTTGGATTCGAAGTCCCACCGCCATCGAAATCGAAAGATACGAAATTGTAGTAGTAGGAAATAATCTAACAACCGAGAAGTTTTTCCGTGCCTTTCGCCTCAAAGCACCCATTTTTGCCGTTTTCCACAGGGGTATAGGTTTTGAATTAGAACTTCCCATCGATGACAATGCATTTCTCAGGCCGTTGGATGGGCGCTGAGATGTAGAGGAATCGCTCGGAGCTTTGCGATGCCGCCCATGTCTTCTCTGCGAACGGACTGCGTTGTCTGATGTTCTTGCCGTTGAGTCCGAACCATGCGGCGACTGCGCAGTAGGCTGTCGCGACGCCTGCGAGGATGAACAGGGCGTTGTTGGCGCCTAGCTTGGAGAACATTTGTGTGCCGAAGAGAGGGAAGATTCTGGATAGTGCTGCTCGCAGGAATGCCATGGGTGCGTTCGCTGAGGCGGCGTATGTAGCGTAGGTGTCGGTCAGGTATCCTGACAGGACATTATCGAACTCCACGACCGCGAATCCAAACAATGCAACAGACACGATGGATGCCCATGGACTGACTCCTTGTATGAGCGGAGGCACCGTCCACGCAAACCACCAGAGGCCGATCGCCAGTACAGGCGCGGCCAGGTAGAAGCCAAACAGCTTGTCTTCGGGTTCGATAAAGCGACGTTGTCTCCGCCGTCGCTTGGTCATGCAGATGTCGTAGAATCGAGGGAGGATCGAAAATGCAACTCCCACGGCAATGGCGATGAAGACAAGCGAGGCCTGCCGATGCGTGAAACCGTATCCATCGGTATAAATGACGGGAAATGCTTCACTGAAAAGGTACGTGACTCCATATACGGTCCCAGCCATAATAGAAGTCAACAAGATGATTGGCTCGCGTATGAAGAGTCGCACGGGGAGCGTAAGCGACGTTCTGATGAACGTCTTGATATTCGGCATCGTCTCGTCATCCTCGACGGAGAGACCATCGAAGCTCGTCTTCTTGGCGATGAGTCTGACTTGCTGACGGAGTAAGCGGGACGGTCTTGATTCTCGCATACCGAAGCAGAGAATGGCAGAGACTGCGGCGACACAGGCGGCCACGTAGAAGATCCACGGCCTAGAACGGTTAGCAAGCGTCATCTCAATATGAAGCCCTCGTACTCACCATCCGTAGGAAGACGTGCTCACGTATGTGGCAATAGGCGGACCCAGAGCGAGGCCGAGCACTGCAGTAGCAATCCAGATGTGAATCAGCCAGATGCGAGCCTTCAGATCCCACATATTCTCGATACTGCCGGCCGCCACAACCGCGGGCATAGCAGATAGGAAGCCAGAGCCAAATCGTCCAATAATGATGCATGGAACATTCGGCCATGCTGCTGTAATTAAACAGAAGATCGCGTAACCAAAGGTCGTCGATACGTAGATGGTCCGTCCGCCGAATGACTCTGCCATCGGGGGAAACACCAAGCCTCCAAGTGCTTGCCCAAACATGTAGACCGTCGTGAAGCAGACGAGGGCGACCGTCCTTCCTAGTCCGAGACTTGCTGACGACTCCAGGGCAATGGATGATCCGGTGTTGCTGATGAGGGTCATGAACAACTCCAGGAAGCAAATGAGCGCCGAGTCATAGATCTTCCTCCGTAACCCCCAACGACGGGGATGTATCTTGCTGTTGTCGCTGAATGTGACGACGCCATAGCTGTCGAATTTGAAGCCTCTCGAATACAATTCCGTTGCAACATCGCTGGGCACTTGAACGAACTTTTTTGGAACCAGTAAAGATTCGTCTGAGAAAGCAAGACTAGGTTCCGATGGTGTTCGCACCTTCTCCGTGACGAGCATGGTTTGACGATCCGTCCAGACATGGTCCATGGTAATGACCCGGGGACGTTCTCTCTTTTTGTTGCTGCGTCTGTGGCGTCGGACCTGGAGGGAATCTGCCACCCTGCGTCGATTGCTGGCGGGAGATGTGCGCTACCCGCAACAAACACTCCTTCCGGCGTGAACCAACTCAAGAGAAGGATGTCATCCGCTGACGCAGCTAGAGCAGGCTGTCGTGTTGATCATGGAGCCACCTGAACATGCAAGTGTGCAAGCCATAATAGGTTTACCTCCATCGCGTCACGCCCTAACATTGGGCACTGTTGCGAAGAGCAACACGGCATCTTGCATGGCCTGCCACATTGACGCCAATCGGAGGTTGCAATGGCAGCATGTTGAAACCACACCATCGGCTCGGTGTCCTCCAAGACTTGCTCAAGAGGTATCGTTTGCATTCCGAGACTTGATAAGGACGTCAAATCGGTAGACTTGGTTCTTGGGAGCAATCAACGGACCGGCAAGGCCAGAGAACTGGAGCCGAGACAAATGCCAGGAATGCCCCAGGTGGTGGCAGCCATGCAGGCCATGGCAGGGTGGAATGTTGCAATGACGTTTGAACTCTGTCAATAAGGACTTGGCGACAGAAGGGTGAAGTCGGGGGATGCAAGTGAGATGGAACTAATGTCTTACTTTCTTCCTTCTCATTATTCTTAGGTAGATCGGCGGCACAGCCAGCGTTCGTGATGGAGTAAGTTAAGGTGCTACAGGAAACGGACCACAATTTGTCATAGATATGAAGGTCGTACTTCGTTGCAAACGACCTAAATATCTTGTTAGCCATTGATAGGTGGCAGAATTGAAGTGTCGGTTGAGTGCAGTAAATGTTTGCGAGCTGTCTTCCGGGACATTGAAGGGTCCGCGGAGCGGCGAGACGTCAGGACAAAGTTGGAAAGCGCTCCTTTGTAAGTAAGTGTAGCTCGGCCGACGTGGTCGTCAATGCTCTTACGAAGAGCATTTGCTGATGAGAAAGCTTTTCGGCTGCGGAGACCGTGCCACGTTGTTTGGCTCAACAGCGTCTCGTACGTACCCTAAGTGGACCTAAAGTTGGGCTCATGCAACCCTAACAACGACTTTGCCAAAGTGCCCGCCGGAGAAGAGGTATTGCAGGGCTTGGGCGGCTTCTTCAAAGTTGAAGATCTTGTCCACCACTGGATGGATCTCGTGCTCGGCATAGAACTTGGCCATTTCCTCAAAGCGGTCTCGGGGTCCGTTGAGGATGCCTTTGAGAGTGACATTGCGACGCAAAGCGAGGACGTTGGTGTTGAGCCTGTCTCCTGGAGCGTCTTCCTTTCCAGATAGATAGCCGATGCAGTCGATCAATCCACCAAAGGCAACGCAGTCGAAACTTTTGCGTAGCGTCTGAGAGCCACCGCACTCGAAGATGATATCAGCACCTTCGCCATTGGTAATGCGCATGGTCTCCTCCTGCCATTCAGGCGTTGCCTTGTAGTTAATTATGTAGTCGGCGCCCAAGTCTTTGGCCTTTTGCAGCTTTGTGTCTGAGGAAGATGTAACGATAGTCTTCAGACCAGCCGCGTGCGCAAGCTGTAGCCCAGCAATAGAAACGCCACCGGTGCCTTGGAGCAGGACAGTCTCGCCACCGGCGGCTGGCTGGCCCTTTGGGCGCATGCAGTTTAACGACATCCAAGCTGTGACCGAGGCTATGGGTAAGCAACAGGCCTCTTGATCCTTCATGTAGTCGGGGACTACAACCAGGGACTCGGCTGAGAAAGATCTGTACTCGGTGAGGACACCATCGAGAGGGAGACCCAGTCCAGAAGCCATGTCCTTCTCCTTGACTTGACCAGTGAGGTGGGTTTGGTTGAAGATAGACATGACACGCTGGCCCTTTTTCCACGAAGAGGAGCCGGCATCGACAACGGTACCACACATGTCGCTGCATGGCACGAGTTTGCTGGCTTGCCCGACAGACTTGTGGTGAGAGTACAGACCCATACACACTGGGAACGTCAGCGAAGATTGTATAACCTTGGCGGCGTGTCCGTACCTTCAGTATCTCTGTAATTCAGCGATACAGCATTGATCTTGACCAGAACCTCCCCGTCCGTGGGCTCTGGGATCTTGGCAGTGGTCAGGGTCAGCTTATCGAGGCCATCTTGGCCCGTCTGCCATTGCTTCATCTCGGCGGCCATGATGGTGGTCGATGTTGATGTCTGGAAGGAGCGCAGGTGAGGCTAGCAAGGCTTTTGAAGAGCATTTCGGCAGACATAGTGACGTTGGCACAAGAGGGGAGTGGGTATCGTGAGTATCGGCCTATCTGAGAGTAGGCATGGATGCGGCGCGACTGCCGACGTTGACCCGCGCTCGCCTTCTGCCACGCGATACGACCCGGCATAACCCTGTCGCCTATCGTCATCTTTCAACTGCACTTGGCTGCCTTTCAACAACAACCTTACCATCGACAATAACATTCACGTTACGGACGGAACGCATACGGTATTGGAGCTTAGTTGTATGCGATGGAGATACGATACTGCGCCGAAACTCGAACTCTGCAATAGCCTGATCCGACAATAAACATGGCTGGCGACGTCAGGACGGCCGCAGTCTCGTCCATCGGCTCGAGCATCTTCGCCGTCCTCTCCATTCTCGTCATTGCCACGATCGCGCTCCTGGTAATCCGCTATTACCTCCCTCTACGATCGACGCCATCGTACCTACTGGTTCCGGTGTTCCTGGCTCTCGCCTTGCCCTCGAGCATCATTCTCTTGGTGCCTATCGACCTCGCTTCGGCAGACGGCAATGATACGAAACATTCAAGAGGCGTGTGGCTGCCGGAAAGAGTCATTCTGGTCGCATGGAGAATAACGTACTGGCTTACGTTTATGCTCACTTGGTTTATTCTGCCTTTGTTGGGGGAGTACTGCGATTCAGGATACAGGGATGCGAGGAGCCGAATCGTTTATTCGTTGCGATCGAATCTACGCTATCAGCTGATTGCGCTCGCAACTGGTACTGCAGGACTGGTATACTTCATACTCGAAAATGGATTCCATGTCGCGAGCATCAAAGGTCTCGTAATGGCATTGGCGTACGCGTGGGGATTGACGCTGGCTATTGGACTCATGGGACACGGTCTGGTAGCTCTTCCCAGGACGATATTCCGAAACGCCAGCGTGAGTGGGAGACTTCGCAGGCTGCAGGCCCAGGCGCCAAAATTGAAAGACAGATTGGATGAAGCGACGGACAAATTGGAAGAGCTTGAGCATACAGTGCATCAATTGAAAAGACACAAAGGAGGTGCATCTAGAGAACAGCAAGAGTGGATCGACGAGCTCGCCGATTCTTCGACGATTCTGGACCAGCGCCCTGGTACAGCAGCCGCGATACAGGCAACGAACCCCAGCATTCCAGCAGTGGTGACCGATCGATATCTTGCGGATCTTACTCGGAAACTCAAACGCGCACGGCACAGGAAAGCGAGGTTTGTAAACGAATGGGCAAATCTATGCCAACAGGCACAGGATACACAGACTATTCTTGACTCGGCTTCCTCGAAGAAACTGGACTGGGGTCGCAGGAATCCACAGGAGACCTCGATATTTGGACGAATGTCGTTTTTGACCCCGACGATGAGATATCACTTGCACATGAATGTGCTACCTTATGTGCGGATGGCTTTCTCAGGATTTCTTGGGCTTGCTTCCGTCCTGATCGTGTGGAGCGAAATCGTCAAATCGTTTGCCCCTCAGCTTTCTGTCATTGGGCTCACGGTTGTGCATCACCCGGACTCCAAGAGCGGTGGCAAGGTCAACTTCGCAGGGCAGCTGATAGCGGCAGCATGGCTCCTGTACATGGATTCTAGCGCCCTCTACGCAATCTCAGACGTCAAAGTCTGGGGCAACAGAGCGCTCGTCAAACGACAAACATACGCCGAAAGCGCGTGCTGGTACAGCTTGCAAGTCGCCAAGCTCACGGTGCCCCTATCTTACAACTTCATCACACTTATGCCACCGACAGTCTACGAAAAGACCAGCTTCCACTTCTTCCTCGGAAAGCTGATCGACCTCACTCCGCTAGGCCACGGCTTCAGCGCCTTCTTCCCCTGTCTGTTGCTCATCCCAGCCTTAGCCACGCTCTTCAACCTCTACGGCAAGATGAAGAACGTCTTCGGCTTCGGCGTCCTACAAGACGACAGCGAAGAGAACCCCTCAGGCTTCGGGACCGGCGGCTGGCGAGAAGGCCGCTCCCTCATCGAACGCGAAATCCAATCCGGTAGCGCCGAGGGCACACTCGGCCTCGCCAGCAGAGGAGCCTCCCTCGACCTCGAACGCGACGCCGCAGCGACCACGAACCCAGCACCGCGGCGAACAGAAAGGAACGAACCCCGTCAACCTTTCCGAGACGAGAACATCCGCGAAGCAAACCGCCAATTCAACTCCATCACCAACCAGGAAGAGGTGCAAGAAGATGACAGCCCTCGACACTTTTACCAAGACTTCACAGAACGGGTGCGGAATACCTTCGACACGGCCGAGCAGCCCGAATGGATGAAGAACATAGGCAGTGCGTTCAAAGCGCCCAAGTGGATGCAGCGGGATCAACGAGATGATTCAGGCGGCTCAGGGCTGGCGCGGTGGTTCGGCGGTCGTCCGGAGGATGGACGTGTACGGTTATAATAGATGGATATAAAGATTGTCGAGAAGTTTTAGCGTAGGCGTTTACGGAATTCTGAGACGTTTCGATGTCTGTTTTGCATTAATGATCATCATCATTGTTGTTCTTCACGGTCGTGGTCTATGTACAGTCGTCTACTCGCGTGTCTAATCTTAATGCTGCTGCTGTTGCTGCTGCTGATTAGGCGTTGCTCCAAGCACCCAGCCAAGACCACTGGCAAGTGCACCACTCGCCGCATTGGCAACCATGTCCCTCTTCCTCACTCTCTGCTGAGCATCGGTCGGACTCGTCGGCCTATCACTTCCTAGACTCCCCGTGCTCGCCTCCATGGACCTCTCTTGCTCTCCCGACGATCTCGCAGCGCCCTGCAACGGGAACGCGTTCTTACTGAAAGCTCTCGCAGCATTCCGAGTGAGATCGAACATGCTCAATGGCGTCTCATCGTTGCCCCTGTTCGCGGCGCCGATACGTCCCATCTCGCGACGTTTTTGGTTGAGGATCAATTGCGGTTGCTCGCCTCCAACGGTAAAGTTGCCCGGGAGCGCAGATGGGCCACTACTCATTCGCTTGTCGGCTCTGTCGTCGAATTCATCCTCTGCCTCCTGTTGGGCAAGCTGAAGGGATGTCATCTCCTCTTCGCAGCGACGCCACGCGGCTAGGATCTCGGTGAGCGCGGAGCCAGGCGCAAGGAGGAGTGCCAGTGAAAGTAGTTCTGTACGTTGCTCTAGGCGGCGAAGAGTCGGTGAGCTCTCTTGTGGACGATATCGGCCCGCCAGGAAGGCTGCTCGCCATGAAATGTCATCATCAGGCTCGTTCTTCGATCGACTGGAGCTCTTTTGGTGTTTAGGTCTTCTGTCATTGTTTGGACCGTTTATGTCTGCACCAGAGGGTGTGAGTCTGCTGACAATGTATGAATATGCGGTCTCGAAATCGTGCTCCTGGAGCGCAGCTTGTATCGCCATGAAAGTTACTCGTCGCTCGGCATCTTTCCTACGCTTCGCAACGGAATCCGGGTCTGCTGGTTCAGAACCGTTCAAGGCATGCTCATCATCCTCGTCGAAATGCAAACCTGCTGAGACAAGGTTGCGAGCAATCTCAATGAGGTCGTCCAGCTGGGTGTAACTTCTCGGGTTCTGTTCGAGAACTTTGCTGATTAGAGATATCGGGTCATGACTGACTCGGATGCTGACTGGCTGGAAGGGAACGCCGTGTTGCAAGGTCAGAGAATAGAAAGACAGGGCATGTGTGGCAGAAATGAGCGCTGCGGCTTCTTCAAACTTGGTGCTGCTGGGGAAGCGTGGGCGAAAGGCAGTGATGCTAGACATTATCAGTACTCGTTGATATTCGATATTTGAGTTGAACACATACATCTCGTTGGCTCGCTTCACTCCCCCTCTTGTTCTGTTGCCGTTGCTTGCACTGTCGTATGCCTCCATTGCCTTATCCAGGATGATCTGTTCTACCCGCGAGGGCGACAGCAATGCGTGCGATGGATCAGAAATGTAGAGACTACCTATCAACTCGAAGCCTGCGCAAGCCATGTCAGTCAGTTCCCCTGTTTTGAACTCGATCTTTGTCTTCTTCAGTCATAACGAACGGAAAGCTAATGTCGTTGCTGTCCACTCCGCCTAGGGTGTCCGTGTTTTGCACAGGATCTATGTCTTCCACTGAGCAAACCGTAAGTGGCGATTCTAGGAGAGACAGTAACAACGAGGGAGCCCGCCAACGTCCCGGCACAAGCAAATGAAGTTTGACTTACAGCTTGTGTCGACAAAAGTCTTGAGCATCTCTTCCTCGAACGCTTCCTTAGGAATCTTTCCCAGCACACCGCAACCCTCGTTCGACTGATCGTTGTCGTCAGGCTCGATTCCCCAGTTCCAGAGCCAGAGCAGTTTCGCGCGGTCTGCAGTCCATTGTGTGTCGTCTTTGCGGGCGCCATTCTTCGACAGGTGCCGCAGAATCCGTCTCAACACGTCAAGCTGCTCCTGAGAATCGGCGTAGAAATGCAGCTTGGCCACGTTTAGCAGCGACAGTGGGTATCCGAGTCCGGAGAATTGGTATGCACTGTATACCATCGTCTGTAGCAGCATGTACGCCTCAAGTCGTGGGGTTGTCAGAGGATGCTCAGGGCGCAGCAGTGCATCCGGTAGTAAATCTGCGACGGTCTGCGACTCATCCAGCTTGGTAGCATGTCTCTCGATACGAGGTAAGGAGTCGACGCTCGTCGCTAGATCAGGGGGTGGGATAAACTCGAGTAGCTCTGCGAGTCGTGCTAGGATGTCGTGGGCTTTGCGGACAGTCTCAGGACTGTTGGCTTGAGCAGCGTAACAGCTCGCAAATGCAGCTTGAGCGTACTGTAATTCCAACTTTCGCTGCTCTTCCTCATCAAGGTAATGTACCCCTCCCCTGTCGTGTCCTCCGAGATCAACATCTCCCGGGCCCTCCCACTCTTCCACGGCTCGTGAGACAAGCTCGAAGTTGTCCACAGCATGATGCACCAGCCAACGGTACATGTACTCCCAATCGTGTCCAGTCTTGTCATCAGCGCTTACGCCTTCAAGAGCGATCTTTCGAACCCCAAGTGCGACATTCTCGACACTTTCATTGTCATTGCCACTCGAGCTCTTTTCCTCATGATCATGGTCTAGCCTTCTCCGCTTGCGTTCGGTGTGACCGTACATCCAAGGACCTACGAGGCTCTTAATGTCTCTTCCGATGTTGTCTGTCTTTGCCGACTCGCTAGCGGTTCTGTCCCCTGGCTCGGATGCCTTCTTCATCAACACGTCCACAACTCCCCGGCCGCTCAATTTCTCGAAATCCGACAATGGCATAGAAACCGCCTCGTCCTCAGGGTAATATTCAACCTCCAACCTGAGCAACGGAAGCACCACGGAGATATACCAGGTCCGGATGAAGTCATTGCGGTTTATGAACGGCTCAATCAAAGCAGGAACTAGGTTCAGGAGACCAGTCTCTGCATCTATCCGATAGGCCCTATGGCAAAGGAACCAAGTGAGTAGATCTTTCGGCGCATGAGGTGGAAACGAAGGTGACAGTATTTCCAAGAGATGGAGCTTCTTGACACGTTTCTGCGCCTGTGCGTCCGAGATGTCTTTGACGGGAGATGTGTTGACTTCCACGTCTTCCCGATCGATGTTCACGTATAGTCTTGATGCAACCTCTTCAACGTAGTTCGTGTATTCGCGCGGGTCGAGAGCCTCCGGTAGATATGTCAGGAGTATGCGCAGGACGAGCTCAGGATCGAGGGCGTCGAGGCGGGAGGGCGTGAATGTGTGCAGTGCTTTGATATTCGATTCCAAGGCGAGGTGGACGGTCAGTAGCACGCATTGTGCCGGCGTCAGGTCTTTCGGGTCCATATTTGGGTGTTGTGAGGTGGTTTTGGTGAGTTTAGAAGTTGCGTCAATGAACGTAAAGCAGGATCCCTGTCGCGTTCAAGCTTTCGGGAGGTCCGCCGCCTGCATGTGACGAGAGCTTCTAACAGAGGAAGGTGAGCCGTGAAGGTGCAGGGATTCTTCAAGACATGTTTTTGGTACATTGACTTTACATAGGCCTAAACGTCTAGAAGGTCCCCTCCGTATTACCTTCTCCCATACTCTTGCTGCTGCTGCTTCCTGCTTGGATGGCGCCAATGATTCCATCCAAATAGTTGGCACCACTCCATTTCTGGTGCGTCAGGACGTCACAGACACCCTCTTTTTCTCTCCTTTGCACAATCTCAACATAGGCCTTCATGCCCTCCGTCTTGTACGCCTTGGCCAGCTCGTTAGTGATCGTGGCCGTGCTGTGGAGCCCTGCCAGCGAGATCAACTGCAACACGAAACCATGCTTGGCCAGATCCCAGATGAAGTTCTTCAGGTCCTCGTCGCTGAAGCCGTGTGCCGACCAGTTGAAGCTTGGTGACAGGTTGTAGACCAGCTTCTTGTCCGGAACCACGTCGTGAATATCTTTGGCAAAGCTGGCGGCGGTCTTCACGCTAGGGTCTCCAGTCTCAAGCCAGAGCAGGTCTGCATATGGCGCAAAGGCGATGGCACGTTTCGTAGCTGCGGCAACGCCAGCCTTGTAGTGGTAGAAGCCTTCACGCGTTCGTGGAGTGTCCCAGTTGAAGACAACAGGGCTTCCAGCCACCTCGGCCGCTGCCTTTCTTCGCTGGTGCAATGGCAGGTTTCTGTTCTCCGCCGTCTGCTTCAGATATGCTTGCGGGTCTTTCCCAGCAGCCTTGATGTGAGCTTCGGCGGCCTCATCGAAAGTGACCATCTTGTGGTCCTTCACCCACTTGGCCTCATAAGCGTCGATCTCTGGTCCAGAAGCGCCATTGAGCTCCATCATCTGGAGCGTCTCCGCCAAGGGCTCCACGTCCTCTGTGATGCCGAGGATGAACTCATGATCGCGAGCATCAATTGCTGAACTGAGAAGCTTGCCGCTCTCGCTATCTGTGCGCGCGATGACCAAGTTCTCGCAGCCCATCAAGTCCCATTGGAACCTTGTCGCAACCAGGCGGTTGATATGATCACCGATGGGTACCAAGACTTTGCCCGCAAGATGCCCGCACTTCTTGCCTCCATGGAGCTGGTCCTCGAAATGGACAGCGGCAGCTCCGTTTTCAGCGAATAATTTTGCAAGCTTGAGCACAGCACTCAACCCACCGTGCCCAGTATCTCCATCCGCAACAATGGGTCTCATGTAGTCGATGTATGGCGTCTGCTTCCTTTCCGCAGCACTGAGCTTCATACGAGCGTCAAAATGCTTGCGGTCGTGTAGTTGCTGGGCCTTGAACAGGCGTTGTACTTGATTGGGAACGGTATTGTAAGGATAGTCGCCAAAGTCGGGACTGACCTCGTTGGTAGTGGTGAGAACCGACGAGCAAGCCCAGCCAGAGACATAGAGGATTTCTTGGTGAGGTGCTTGTTGGGTCATTTGAATGGGATCGACAGCACCCACTTTGACAAAAATCAGTATTGACATTATGATCGATAAATTATTGAAAGACCTACTTGTATGTACAGGCTGTTTCTGCGAGTGCCGCTCTTCCAAGAGGTTGAACAGCTTCCGAGCCATGAGGCTTGAAGGGTAGACCTGTTGTAACGATCCTCTCTTGCTCACGACATCTTCTGGGCTATATGGACGCTTGATGCCCTTGTATCTCGGACTGGCCCACCAATCCTTGACTTGTTGTATTTGCTGATCGAAGATCTCTTGCTCGGCATCTGGCTTCTCGGACTCCTTCAGCAACTGGAAAGAGTCTGTTGGTCTCGTCGAGGGTAAAGGAGGCTGTACAGGCGCAAGGGTTGACGACATGTGTGCTGTTCCGTAGGCAATAGTTCGAGGTGCAAGCTGGCTGACAGCTGGTCGACATAAACACCGGCTCTGTTGCCGCAAGGCTCTTGATGCCGTTCGAAACATGTTGTGGGTGTCTTTCGAAACTTTGATCGTTCTCTACCGGCCCATGTTAAGTATTATTGTAGAGTACGAGTCCCCGTGTTGCGCTGCTTCCTCGCACTTTCAATTTCCAAGCAGGCCTAGCCACGACAATTCCACCAATACTTAATGACGGCACCGTGGCGGAGTCCTAGGAAAAGGGTCGTTGTCGTCGGCAAGGTGTGCGATATCGGATGTTGTGAAGCAGATGTCAGAGCTCTGGGTCGTTCCCCAGAAAATCGACGTCGTAGCCGAGGTCGACGATGACCGAAACAGCTCTTGCCGGCGTGCAGGGTGCCCTTTCGTTGAGAGCGCAGTAGCTGCGAAGACTATTCGGAAATAATAGCTGTCGAGAGTATTCCTCGGGATCTCTGGCAAAGAATTTACAGAGGACAGAGGACCTGCTTCTGCTCGACTTGACACTTCCTCCCACCCAACCCCTCCACAACAAACATGGCCTTGTCTACTAGAACTGCTGCGAGAGCTCTGAGAGCCTCAAAGGTAGGGATTGAGTGTCGGCAGGTTAAGGCTGTACTAACAACTCCTTTCAGCTCTCTCAGAACGTCTGCAATGCCACCCGAAGCTATGCCACCGCCGAGCCGGACCTCAAGGAGACACTCAAACAAGTGATTCCAGAAAAGAGAGAGCTGTTGAAGAAGGTCAAGTCGCACTCGTCCAAGGTGATTGGAGATGTCAAGATTGAGAACACTCTGGGAGGCATGCGTGGTCTCAAAGCCATGGTCTGGGAGGGCTCGGTCCTTGATGCCAATGAGGGCATTCGCTTCCACGGCAAGACGATCAAGGATTGCCAAAAGGAGCTGCCAAAGGGCACGAGTGGTACAGAGATGCTGCCAGAATCCATGTTCTGGCTGCTCCTCACAGGCCAAGTCCCAAGCACCAACCAAGTGCGTGCCTTCAGCAGAGAGCTCGCTGAGAAGGCCCAGCTCCCAGCCTTCGTGAACAAGATGCTCGACGACTTCCCTAAAGACCTCCACCCAATGACCCAATTCGCTTGCGCTGTCTCTGCCCTGAACTACGAGAGTGTCTTCGCCAAGGCATACGAGAAGGGACTGAACAAAGCAGACTACTGGGAGCCCACCTTTGACGACAGCATCAATCTGCTGGCGAAGCTCCCAACAATTGCCGCTAAGATCCACCAAAACGCCTACTGCGGCGGAGGTGCACTCCCTGCCGAGATCGATCTCAGCCAGGACTGGTCGTACAACTTCGCTGCCCTGCTTGGAAAGCCAGGCAAGGAGAACGAGAACTTCCAGGACTTGCTCCGTCTGTACCTCGCTCTTCACGGTGATCACGAGGGCGGCAATGTCTCCGCCCACACGACTCACTTGGTGGGCTCTGCTCTGAGTGATCCCTACCTCTCATACTCGGCTGGTCTGCAAGGTCTTGCAGGTCCATTGCACGGCTTGGCGGCGCAAGAAGTCCTTCGATGGATCCTGCAAATGAAGGACCACATCGGCACCAACTTCTCCGACCAGGATGTCAAGGACTACCTCTGGACCACACTGAAGTCTGGTCGTGTGGTGCCTGGCTACGGCCACGCTGTGCTGCGCAAGCCAGATCCACGATTCGAGGCTCTCATGGACTTTGCTTCAAGCCGGAAAGAGATCGCGGAGGACCCAGTCTTCCAGTTGGTCAAGCGAAACAGTGAGCTTGCACCGGGTATCTTGACGGAGCATGGCAAGACCAAGAACCCCTTCCCCAACGTCGACAGCAGCTCTGGTGTCTTGTTCCACCACTACGGTTTCCACAACACTCTGTACTACACTGCCACGTTCGGTGTCAGCAGAGGCTTGGGACCATTGGCACAGCTCATCTGGGATCGTGCACTCGGCCTGCCAATCGAGCGCCCAAAGTCCATCGATCTCAAGGGTCTGCTCGAGCTTGCAGAGAAGTAAAGGGCGCGAAGTACTCAACCAGCAAAGTTGAATGTTTGATGAACGTTTATGTACAAAGGTGAAGTCGTTCTTGGCGATTGGAGGAGCCGAATGCACGGCCTTGAGTTTAGATAGGGCAAAATCGAATGCTGTTATCATGTGAAAGTCTTTGAAATCGATTCTCCCAACATTTTGGCACATCCGTTGGCGTCCGCGTTCTTGAAGCCAATGACATGGGCTCTACTGACCATTGTGGAACGGAGCAACTGTTATCATTTGATCGAATCGCCTGTGTGTGATAACAACAAATTGATCTCGTCCCCAAATGTGCTCCTGCCGTTCCTGACCCCCGCGACCACGTGCCCGCCGTTTAGCCGTGGCGTCGTGCCAAGCCAAGCTCCGGCGTCAATGTTTACATGCGCTCTCAAACATCGCTGCGCTGCGCTGTTTGACGGATCCTCACTTTTCCCAAACACACCCACACGCCTCGTGACCAACTCCGTCCACACTTGACGATCACCACATTCGCATCGGCTACAGACGTCCCACCACCTGCCCACCATGGGAGAGTCTCGGTACGAGCTAGGCATTTACTGATCCAGTGCAAAGCGACATCTTCACTGACCCCCTCGCACAGGCAGGAGCTGCTGCAATGGCTGAACGGCCTGCTGCAGCTCAACATGACCAAGGTCGAGCAGTGCGGCACTGGGTAAGGCTTGATCAAGTTGGTGAGCGCGAATGACTACCTAACGAAACCTCCAGCGCGGCGCTCTGCCAGATCTACGACAGCATCTTCCTCGACGTCCCGATGGCTCGCGTCAAGTTCAACGTCACCGCCGAGTACGCCTACCTCGAGAACTTCAAAATCCTCAGCAACACCTTTCGCAAGCACCACATCGACCGGCCGATTCCCGTCGAGATGCTCGTCAAGTGCAAGATGCAGGACAACCTTGAGTTCCTGCAGTGGACCAAGCGGTACTGGGACCAGAACTACCCGGGTGGTGACTACGATGCGGTAAGTCGGCGGAAAGGCGTGGGTGTGGGTGCGGCTCCGAGTCTGCCTCCCAGCAAGGCTCCGGCCAACAGTGCGGCGAGGAGACCAGCGGGCAGTCTCGGTGCGTCTACCGCGGGCCCTCGATCCAACAGCCGGCAGGCGGGCGGAGCAGCGAGCAGTGCATTGCAGCAGAAGAACGCAGAGCTAGTCGAGACGGTACAAGGACTGGAGCGCGAGCGAGACTTCTACTTCAGCAAACTCCGTGATATCGAGCTCCTCATCCAGCAGGCCATGGAGGCCGACCCGACACTCGAGGAGGACGAGGGCGGTTTGCTCAAGCAGATACAGACCATCCTCTACTCTACGGAGGTAAGCGACTGAAACCCCACATCCTACGTTTTGAAATTCTGATGATCCTATCTAGGAGGGCTTTGAGATCCCAGAAGGCGACGCCGAGGTTGCAGGGGACGAAGAGACGTTCTAGACGTTCTGATGATACCCCTATTTTGTTGATGATTGTTGAGGAAGCGTTTCAAGCGGGGGACGCCGACACGATATCCATGCGAGATACCAGAGGAGACACGCGACCATGCGCCAGGGTGGGAGTCGATGTCACTGTACTTCTGTCACCCGGCAGCGAGTGCAGCACGCCTGCTCAGACGGTACAGTGAGGCCAACTCATCCGCCCGAAGGTCGTCTTAAAGCAGCAAAAAGAATAGATGGAACAAAAGCCTTCGAATCATTTTGCGCGGGCACTCAAGAAATGGTACACACAGTGTTCATGAAAAGATGCATTCAAATTCTCTGAATCGAATCCCATCCCATCCCATCCAAACTCCTCCGCCATCTCAAATCCAGGCCGTATATTTTGGGGGGTATCTCATCTCGATCTCATCCATCACTGACCTTTCTCCTTTCCGTAATAACCACGTCCATTCGGCGATCCATCATGACTCTCCAGCTCACGCGACTGCGCCCTTCGCGAGTCATCGTAGCTGGGTGGGACATTATTGCGCCTCCGCTTCGTCTCGCCGTACACGATCGCCGCGATATAGAGCAATCCCATGACACCTGCGCAGACGCCATACGCGGCGATGTAGCCGGTCGATATGCCGCCGGCCAGTTTGATGCCCAGACCGCCGTTGATCATGCCGAGGATGATGGCGATGCGGCCGATGCCGATGTGTTCCCACGACCTTGAGTCGAAAGAATTAGCTACGAGCCTGACAGATTGATAAAGGATGTGAGGGATGGATGATACATACCAAACACTCCTCCCTCCGCTCTTCTTAAACGTCCAATGATGCAGCCAGCCACTCAACGGCTGGAAAAACAGCACCACGAACAGCACGATGCCGATGATCGGATGGTGGTCGCTCATGTGATCCGTCTCGGTGGCGAGGTAGATCCCCAGGCCGAACGCGGCAATGTAGATGGCGTAGGCGAAGGCTTGGATCGCGGCGTGGATCCAGATGAGGCCGGTGGCGTTGGCGACGCGGATGAGGATGCCGCCGATGGGGAAGAAGACGACGAAGGCGAGGGCGGCCAGGACGCCGTGGGCGCGTTGGACGCGGTCGCCTAGGGCCATGTCGCCGCCGAAGGGGGCGCTGGAGGAGGAGAAGGTGGTGCTGGAGGAGTTGGTGGAGGTATTGTTGCTGTCAGTGCTGCCAGTTTCAGCGGTCGAGGCGAAGGGGTTGACGCTGCTGCCGCCCTTTGCGGTGGCCATGTCCCAATCGAACGGCGAGGCACTGTCGTGGTAACTGATGCTCGCGGCAACGTCATCTGTCGCCATGGATGGCCCCGATTTGGCGGCGTGAATCCAGCTCGCGCTCGATGTACTGAAGTCCATGCTTCCTCCATTCCAGGTGTTGCAGCTGCTGCAACGGACGTTGGCTGTCATAACACCATTGGTCACACCAGAGCCTTCGAGGATAGTGATCTGAGCATCGGCATTATGTTGAGGTTCGACGTGGCCGGTTCCCAATCGAGGGGAGACGGTGACGTTCTGGCCGTCTGCAGAAGTGTAGACGACGAAGATGTTGGCGCCTGCCATCCCGGAGCCTTGTCCCAGGGCGACCCATTCGTAGGTTGTGGGAGCACTGATTTGGAAGTAGATGTCACCATTGCCGCTGGAAGCGGTTGACTCTGGGATGTTGAGCGAGTAGCAGAGATTCGTGTCTGGACATGTCCTTGCGAGAGATTGAGCGTATGCCGTAGTGCCTGAGCTTCGTTAGCATTGATCTTACCGTAGCCATGAAGATTGAAACATACCCAAGCCCAACACCGCAGCTGCGAGTATGTACTCCATCGTGGAGCTACCGAACATAAATTCCAAGCGCTCGATCAAGCTTTTTGTAGAGCAGAGGTACGTCGCCGATAAAGTAAGGGATGCAGTCAAACAGAAGCCTAGATCAAAAGACCAAACGACGCAAACCGCGGGGGAAAGGTTGGGTGGTACGAAAGATATACAGAAAGCCAAGGTAGGTGTGATGATACCATGAAACCTACCCAGCGGATGGCCAGCCCATATGTCATCCACGAGTGCGCGAGGCTATCGTCGTTCGGCCTGCGTGTTGGACAAGGAACAAGGAGTCAACAAGGAGTAGATTCGTGCTGGCCCCCCATCACCACAGCCCAAATGCCAATGCCAGATGCCAATCCCCCGGAGCGATCAAAAATACCAATGTCCGGGGAGACAAGAAGAGGAGGCGCTCTGGAAGGGTCAGCACAAACACTAAGGCGCCAATGAATGCAAATCAAAATGATTGTGCAATTTGATGGGCGAGGATAGCCGATTTGGCGGGTCGATGGTCGCCGGCCCCCCATTCCACGACGGTAGGCATGGCGTCGTGCAAAAGGTTGCACCAGACGCAAAGGCTCGGCGAGCGTTTCATACGCGCGGCCCTGGCGATGCTGTCCTTGTTCATGGCAGGTGTCGGGAAGGCACCGCTGTTGATTATGCAATGCGTGCCATGCAGAGGACGTGCAGGTTGAGTCTTGTCGAAGTCTTGTGGATGACGACGAGAAAGAAGTGTTGGTGTCTGCTGCGGTCCGGAGAGACAAAAGTGCCAATACGCTCGTGATGATTGGTCAATGCCTGGACCTGCGTCTTTTCCAATCCTTCGATGTCCGAAGCTAGCGGAGATCGATACTGAGATGTCCTGTACGATGTGACCTCTTATCGATGTTCTCTATCGTTCATAGCATGTGCCATCGTCTCCTTCTCCAGGAAAACCTATTCCATCATTAGCCAAACACACAGAGATACGAAGTACACGTCTCGGCGGCGTTATGTTCCGGAATTTCAATCCCAGTCGTGTCTCTGGTCTCGATGCGCTGGTTTCAGGCTGATCCCCAGGGGAAAGACATCGATGCTCCTTGATTAGTCGTCCGGTGTAGACCTTCTTGGCAGATGGAGGACGAGACATCCGAAGAGGTGCCAGAAGACATCACTGTGATGAGTGAGGCTTGGAGAGATGACAAAGGTGCTATTCATGCGGAACGGTGGGGTTTGCTTTTAGCCATTGCGTGGACTGGCAGCTTGGCAGTCGAGAAGACTGACGACCAGCTCAGGACGGAGGTAATGCACTGTCAATCAACTACGTGTTCATGCATTGGGTCCACGTGGGGGAGCTATCGACTGAAATGTCGATCCCGTGCTCCAATGATGACTTACCAGACGAATGTGACGACCTGCAGGACATTGGTATGAACCTTTTCAATACTGTACTGAAACATGTGCCCTACGCCTCCGGGCAAAGGCACCGATCGCCATCGCTTTCGAGAGCAATGACGCGGACCTCCAATTTCGATTTAAAATCGACAGCGCATGGCTGAGATGTGCTGGCTGGTGTGATATCTCTCACACTTAAGCTCCCAGTGCTGGGAAAGCAGAAGCGTCGGTGGCATTGAAGCCGCCGCGTGCGCCGCCACGATCACCGCGAGGTGCTCCTCTAAAGTCACCACGGTCGCCACGGTCACCACGGCCGCCACGTCCACGGCCACCACGCTCGCCTCTGAACTCGCCACGGCCACGGCCACCACGTCCGCCACCACGGCCGCCTCTGCCACCACGGTCTCCAGAGTCGGCAGCAGCGTAGTACTGGCCATCGAGAGCGACACGCTCCTTCTTGTCCTGGGCATCCTTTGCCTTCTTTGACTTGCCTCCGCTGCCGATGAAGAAGTTCTCAGCATCTGGGTTTCTGGACAAGGCCTTGCCTTCTGGGAACTTGGTCGAAGAGCCTTCGTTTGGCTTGCGCACAGAAACGTCTCCACCTAGCGCTGCGCGTTTCTCAGCCTGCTCGGCAAGGTACTGGTCGTAGGACTTGGTCTTCTCTTCCGGCTCAGCAACCTCTTCGGCGGCAGTGGGGGCCTCTGGGCCGTTGCTGAAGGCTGGGTCCTGTCCAGCGGTGTCAGGGGTGAAGCCGGCGTCGTCATTGGCCTCAGCCTTTGCAATCGCATCTCCGGCTTTCTCGTCCGCCCATTCGGCATTGCCGTCCTCGGCGCCCCATCCGTGAGCGGCCTGCTTCTCATGTTCGCTGCTTCAGTCAGCGGCAGCACTCTTGTTTTCAAGCCATGTCACGTACCCAATGCCAGTATGGCTGTGACGGTCATCGCGTGGTGCACCACCGCGACCACGTCCACGTCCACCACGTCCCCGACCACGGCCTTCGCCGCCGCGGAACTCACGTGGCTCTGCAGATTAATTAGCATTGACTCGGTCGAGAGTGATGCTCCAGTAGATGTGTACCTCTCGTGCGGTTGGATTGACGGTCAGTGCGAGCACCATCGTCACGGTTGTTCAACGAGCCAGCTGTTTCGCAGTTAGCCAATGCTCCGTTGATGCCAAACACCATGTCTCAATGCCAAACGGCGTTGTTTCTGATATCTCTGCCCATCGTCTCACGCACCTTGATCGCCTCTTGTCTGCTGGCTGCCACCGCGTCCGCCAGCGGCTGGACGGGGGGTGTCCTTAGCAGGCCCCTCTGCGCCAGCATTGCGCTTGCCGGTTCGTGCGACTGGCTTGTCGATGACCTTGGTTGGCGGCTCGGGCTCCCTGTCCGGGTCGAGCTCCGGGTCGTTGCCTGATGTCAGTGTTAGAGGGGAGAATGGTCGATGTCAATGGCGCGATGGAGGTTCGGCATACCCAGGAGGTCGTAGAGGTTCTGGTGCAGCAAAAGTCAGCCATCAAAATCCTGCGCCCATGGTCGCATGACCACTGCCGCAGATGCATCTGGGCAGCGGCGAGGGCATCCCACGTACCTTGCTTGCAATTGCGCTCATGGTTGCTGCAGTCACGAGCTGAATCGACCCATCTTCTGCTTGCGGTGTCGGGTGACGAGAGATTTCGCGGTGGGAGGGAGGAGCGCTAAGCTTGGCAAAATTGAAAGCTGGCAGGTGCTGTCAGAAGTCGTGGCATGAAACGCTCAAACAAACGAATTCCAGGAAACAAGAGGAAGAATAGTTGGCTTGAACAAAGGCGTCAACCTGCTTTGCCGTCACTTTAAGCTCTGCGACAGTTGGGCGTATGCATTGTTAGTCGCGTCACTTGAGCAAACGGTCAGCCTCAATGCGTCTCCCATAGATCATTGAAGGCTAAGCAAGCAAGCCTGACGTGAGACATATGAACATGCAGATCACACAGAGATGTAGTGTGACAGTATCGTACGCCGTATGTACAACTTCACTCATCGAAATCAAATTCCTTCCTGCTTGATCAGACCCCCATTGACTTCTCCATCGCATCCCTAAGCTCCATGAAGTAACAGTACCTCCTGCCATGCACCATCGCTATGCGCGCTCGCTGAAATGCAGCAAAGACCTTTTTCTGTTTCCATTATTCCCCGTTATTCGTAGCCCGCTGAATCACATGCGGTCCTGTGAAACCAGGGAAGACTTTTCCGTATTTTTCTCTCTCCCAACTCCAACTCCAGACGTACTCGCCGCCAGTTCAATCACGAATGGTAAGACGCCGGGTAATGCATAGATGCTGAAAGGCCAAATGGATCGGCGTCCAGCATCGGGTCAGTTGGATCGACATCGAACTGCCCGTCTCCAGCTCCAGGGTGGCTCGTTGGGGGCATCATCTGAGGCTGCTCGAAGTGCCCCTGCTGAGCCACCTGTTGCTGTTGGCCAGGCTGCATGCCTTGAGCAGGCTGATAGAAGTCGCCGTGCTGTTGTGCTTGAGAGTGGTCGAACTGCGATGGATACGTTCCGTGCAGCTCAGGCGAGCGAGTGGTTCCTCCGAGGTCATTATCGTCGGGTTCGTCGAGCATCGATCGCGAATGTTGAGTATCGTACTCCTGGTCTGTATCACGAAATCAACCTAGGACGAACACAGTTCCATATGGGGAAGGGGGTCAACTTGCCGAGCTGATCAAAGTGCTTTTGAAATGGACTGGGGTAGAATGAGGACGCTGGCTGTGGAGCTGCATTACCGCTCACTCCACCACTGACAGGCTGAGGCATGCCGTGGTGGCTGGTTCCCGAGAGGCTTGACATACCACTTGCGCTGCTCTGGTAGTTCGACGGAGCCGGGCGCTGCGGTGGGACGTTCGAAGGCTGGGGCTGGCCTTGATAGAGAGCTTGGTTAGGACGCTGCTGTGACGAGCGGGCATAGTTTTGCATATGCTGTGCCTGCGGCTGAGCGAGTACAGCAGAGGTGGGTGGGGTCATCCCACCTTGATGCATGGTCATTGGAGACCTGGTCGACATCTGAGTCGGCGACGATGCATGCGAAGAAGGCGTTGGGTGCGCGTGTGGAGAGCCAGCTGAAAAGTTCATGTCTTGGCCAGACTGTCCAGGTGCAAGCTTGGGTAGGAAGTTTTGACCCGAGCGCCTTGCTTGCTGTCGTTGGAGAGCTGCTCTCTGGAGCTGAGGTGGTTGAGGAGCAGTCGTTGCTGGATGCATGAAGCCTGGCCCCAGCACTGGGCTCCCGGTCTTCATCTGAAGTTCTGCCTGGACATCGATACCTACGATGGTCAGTAACGTAGGAACTAGCCCCGGGCACGCGAACGACATACCTTTCTCAAGCAGGATACGCTCGAGGAGGGAGTTCTTATATCGAAGCATAAGACATTCGTCGGCGGCAGTCCGATGACTTTGCTGGAGGGTGGCCAGCGTTTCTTCATTCTGCTTGATGGTAGCTTCGAGCTGCTTGATGTACTCGGTTCGTCGTTCGCGAAACGCAGCCTGGGCCTGGCGGTTGCGTTGCTTACGTTCCTCGGATGTGGCATATATCTACCAGAGATCAGCCATGACATGGAAGGGCAGCGATGCGAGTCAGTGAAGAGCACTCACTGGTTTCCTACCGCCTTTGCGTTTCTGGGGTTGAGCGGGTTCCTGGGTAGCTGGTTCGGTACCCGGGTCCTGCTCAGGCGTCGACTCGATCGAGCTGGGAGTGCCGTCTGGTGCAGGCTCGACCTTGGAGGGGGCTGCCATATCGCCCTCGACGTCTCTGCTATCTCCCATCTGATCTGAACGGACGCAGGTACCCGGTTCACGCCCTGCCCAAGCAAGCTAGAAGCCAATGAGGCGACGCTAGAGGTTCCACCCAGAGAGACGCGGGCAGGCTGTTGGACAGAGGAAAGGACAGAATTGGTAATAAGTTTAGCATAGAGAATGATAACCTTGCAGAGGGAGCAGAGGACGGTGAGGTAAGAGTTTGGGTAATCTAAACTGATCAATGGGAGGGGAAGCGCCGTGGGCGGTCACGCGGAAACCGTAGGGCGAGACCGGATACAGTAGTACCGTACGATGGACTGGCAGCAGAAAATTCTTCTCTTCTGCGCTGCGAGCTGCCAGCTGCGCGCTGCCGGCGGCGGTTCGTCTTGGCCCACGCCGCCGGACAGGCCTGAAGCAGCTGGTGAGGTTGCAATTGCCCTCCACGACGGAGCCAGCTGGCGGCCCTGCGGTGGCTGCTTTGGACACTCCCTGCAAGTTGGCCCTCGCGGCGAATTGTGATTGCTGGAGCGACGTAGCATCGAGCGTGAGCGTGCGTGGGAGCAGGGATTCTCGCAGATCGCTCGTGTCGGCGAATGTAGCGATTCGCTCCCAGGCGCTTAGGATTGCGGGGCTGGAGTCAGAAAGGGCAGGCGCAACCTTGGTGCTCGTGGCATCTCCTCGGAGCTCTCTTCGAGAAGAAGCGTGGAACGATTGTGAAACACGGCCCCAACGCCATCGTCGACGTCAGTCGATCGTTGAAACGTCACCTCTGCCCTCTCCTATGTGCATCTGCTGTTGTTACGACGAGTGCCTGGTGCTGGCATGCCGCGAGCTAGCGTTCGAGAACGCATAGGGAGGTGGCTAGGTGTCAGAATGTCGACAATATGGACCATCTCTCAGAGACCGCTATGGAAACATTGACCTTACAGCTCTTTCTTGCAAGTCAGATCGCTGTCGTTGCGATCCACATATCGAAGCCCGGTCCTTCTTGAACACCTCGTCGGTGTTCTGGGGGTGTATTTCAAGTCATTGTGGCTGACAATAGGAGGTAAGGGAGGCGAAGGTGAAGACATGAAGTATTCTTTCAATCGTTTCATCAGAGCGAGTGGGCGCACTTGCCTTAGCCTCACACTGATACCAGCGATTCGCTACTACCGTGCATCTGGGCCTGATCCTGCTCTACGCGACCTTCTGCTATGGCTTCTGCTCATCTCGACAAACCCAAGGCTTTGGACGCTGGACGAGAAGACACTGAAATGCTGTCATGGAAAGCCGTTCGCAACGATATGAGATCTCGAGACCACAGCCGATTGCTCCTCCACCCCCGCCCTTACCACCACCACCACCTCTTCCACCGCCAGCTGCTGTACCCGTTGCGCCCCAGGACTATTCAAATGCGGATCCTGGCCCCTGGTCATCGACATTACCGCGACCTCTCTCCGACATACGAGAGCTGAGTGAGCCTAGTATTATGGATAATATGATCCGGCATCCTAGCGGTCGGTACAGACATAGGCGCAGTGCATCGAGAGCGGGGTCGATCAAACAGGCGGAATGGCTCAAGCGTCAGCCATCTCAGCGTGAAAACCACATCCCAAAGCCGAACTACACGAGTCTCCAACAACAGCAGCAAGAGGGAGGCTCTTCTTCGTACAGCAGCACTCCCGAGCAGCAGCAATCCAGCTTCTACAGCATTCCGCAGTCGAGCATACCTAGACGATCGTCATCGCACAAGTATCCACAGCGTCAGCCCAGATCTCAGACTAGAAACACATCAGGCAGATCCAAGCAGACCGACAACGTTCCATTCCGTCCGCCCTATGCGATACCCAACAGAGCAGGCAGCCAATCACCGGTCAAGGAGGCAGGGCTACGACTAGATCCTATCTCATCTGATGATTCGCGAAGAGTGGCCTCACATACCCATATTCGAAGCCCGCATCCGGTCGAGATTTTGGACTTTCCTTCGTACAAGCATCCAAGGGTCAAGCTGGAACTGCAGGTATCAGCTCCGTTGTTCGTCGGCGGCGGTAGTGTGGAAGGGCATGCTAGGATCACTGTGGACGACAATCAGCACGTTCGACATCGGCGGTCCATCAGCATCGGTGCGGTCTCAGTAGATCTGCTTGGGTTTGAGGAGATTGATGGCAGCCGCCGAGCAACCTTCCTTGCCCTTGGGACGGACATCATCGATTCTAAACATCCGCCTCCTTCACGAATGATTCAACCGCCCAACCCACTCTTTGCCGGCGACAAGTTTTGGGCACTCGCACCATCCTGCACGCCCTTACCGTTTATGATCAGCCTTCCCCTCGATACAGGCCCACCGCCCTTCCAGTCAAAGCGCGCAAACATCAAATTTGTGCTGTCTGTGACTGCACTGGTCCGCGATGCAGGAAAGCACTATCGCGTGAGGACCTCTCAAGCGATCCAGGTGTTGCCAACATACGATCCTGAAAAAGCCTTGACCTCACTACCGAGTCCCTTGACCGCATTTGATGAACTGATCATTCCGAGAAGTACTGGTCAAGAGCTGATTCGGGTTACAGCTGGTTTGCACCGCCAAGTCTGGGTCAGCGGTGGCAGCATTTTCGTTGACGTCCACATATCGAACAAAAGCCGTAAGCCAGTCAAGCGCCTTGAGCTTACACTTGAGCGAGACATCCTGTGCTATAAGCACGCTGCTGCTGCAACATTGGAGAAGTCAGCCGTCCAAGCGCGAATATTTGAAAGCAACGAACAAGCGATCCTGGTCCGGTCATCTTTCAAGCCTGGATCCAATGGCTGGAACGGTGTCGAACCGCATACATCTGATATTCGTACGTGTGAGCTGGAGCTTCCTCGCGGTCATGGAACTGTTCGCTGTGGGAAGTACTTCGAGGTGCGCTACTTCCTCAACGTCACGGCGTCTTTGTCCAATTCGAAGTTGGTGTCGGTGCAGCTGCCGATCATCGTCATCCACATGAACTCGCTGGACGTCGTTCCAAATTCCGTCGCTCAAGTCGCAGCAGCCATCGAAGAGAAACGATTATATCGACAGCTCAGCCGTTCGCGATCTCGCAGAGACGGCGACGGCCATTCCAGACAGCGATCAGTTTCAACACCAGCGCAGACAATCGAGCTCAAACGCCAGGCATCTTACGCCCAAGGCCGCGCGTTTGCAGCACCAAGACAGCAATCACTGGATCGACAAAGAGAACAGAAACGAGACATTGAAAACGTCCAGAATATCCTCGACTCTTCACCACGCAAATATCTGCCACAGGCGATGAAAGGCCTCGCAATAAAGAAAATCGGCAGCAACATGAGCCTCCACAGCATCGGCCTCGCGAACCGAAGCGACGAGACATTTGGTGTGATCGGCGCCATGTCTTACCAGACGCCTCCCCCGAATAGGTCCGGACGGACGTTTGACGAAGCCGAAGGACTGCGCGATCGACTGAGGCGAATGGGCAGTTTCGATTCGATGCGCAGTAAAAAGTCTTCTGCCACGAATAGATCCAAGGCGATGAGCGAGCAAAACAGGCCGCAGTATAGTCTGCCGCCGCATCAGATCCCGCCGCATGTGTTGGGACTGACGACGACGACGCGGAAGGTGAGTTCGGAGGTTTCGGAGAGGCCGGCGACGGCGATGAGTTTGAGGGAGAAGTTGGATCGGTCGAGGTTTGAGTTTAAGGCTGTGAGGAGGAAGGCGAGTGGGAGTTTGAAGGAGAAAGGGAGGAATTGGTGGGAGCAGAGGAAGAGTAATAGTAGGAGGGATGAGGAGGTTGACGATAGGGAGAGGGAGCAGGTGGAAGAAAGGGCGGGTTGGATATGAGTTGTATGCTTATGGTTGTGTGTTGGGTATTGTTGTTGATCTAATGTTGAGTTGTAATGGCCTTGCACACACTGCATGTTCGTCGAATGCTCGTTGTAAGGAAGCGGCATCGACGTCAACCTCTTCATCAATGCTAGGGATGGTGAGTATGAATTGTAGGAATGCCATGCGCAAAGGCACATGTGTGGTAGGAGATGTCGTCTTTTATCAACTGTCTTCCATCTGACCTCCAACCTCGTATACGTCGCACCTGGCTGACCATCGGGACCACCCCTCTCGTCGGCTGGCACGAACCGAAAAGATCTAGAACTCGCACACCCAAACGAAATACGACTCACGAACATCAAACAATAGAAAGTGGATTCATTTTTCCCGCCTTGTGCATGCTTACGAAAACACCACTGACCATGCACATGGCCCCTACAAGCGATTTCAGCCTCAAAATGGGATGTGGAGAAGGGTGCTTGCTGCTGATTGCTGATAGCTTCGGCTGGGGATCCAAGGGTTCGTCGAGATTAAAAGTGCGACAGTCCGGCGGAGGCACCCATGCTCGCAGATTGATTGTGTCGGACTCGGCTGGCTGTCAGAATATATTGCTTTGAAGTTTGGCTTGCTTTTGGAAGGCGGTCTGGATTCTCTGGCGGGGTCTGCTGTGAATTGCATCGGGTAGAAGTGATGAGAGATATCGAGCAATCCTTGATGAGACAGGGAAAGAGGTGCAGTGATGAAGTGAAGCTCGATGGAGCCGATTGCGCGTGCGTGAGTGTTTGGGTTGCCGGTAGCCGATGATTGGGTTTTGCTTGCGAGTCCGAGTCGAGAAGACGAACGGCGGGAGAGAGGGAGTGAGTGAAATTGGGTTTCGGTGTTAGTTCCAACGGCTATTTTTTGCAGCACGAACTGTGGAACCAACATCGCAAAGCTTCATCGATCAGACTCTGCTGATGGCGGGAGGGATTGAAGTGCAAGCCGCTCGACATTGATTGATTGATAGATGATGAAGAGGATGGCATCTTTCGATGGCGATACTCCGTCACACGGCGATGAGATTTGATGGAGCAACGTGCGTGATGGGATGGGCCTGGGATGCGGTCGATGGGTGAGGACGTGGGTGGGGATGCCTCATTTCCAGGCACGCTTGTGCGGATTGGGCGGTGGGCCGGCGAGCCATGGCTTGCTCCAGTCTCTCTACTACACCTCGTACTGCTGCTGCTGCTGGTGTGCGTGCTGGTTGCTGCTGGCTGTGTGTTCTGGAGCTGTATCTCTCCCACTCTCCCTCTCCCTCCTCCTCTCCGGCCTCCGCCTCTATGCCGGCCTGCCTGGCTCTCCCCTCAACATCACCTCCATCACTTACCGGCGCTGTGCGCACACACCCTCCTACGACGACGACTCTCGCTCTCCACCATTCTTTGAACGCTCATGTCGTGGGGCGTTACGTCGTTCGTTGCCGATCCCCGTCGCCTCTGATTAAAAACGTAGCGGCCCGTCCGCGGCCATCGATGCGACCAGCGATACCACTGCCCAACTGCGCGACATTCTCTACCGCAACGCTCGATAGCAGCCCTTTGCGCCGTTGACTAAGCGTTGTCGCTGCAATCTCAACTCCCTCACTCTGCCTGCACCGCCGTGCGCGTTGCAAGAGCTTGACGCTCACACAGCATACCACCTCCACCACCACCAGTCGGCCTCAGGCCGGCGTCCGTTCGTTACAGACGATTTCCACTCGAGCTTCTGCGAAGACGTCCGCTCTCTCGCCCATCTCACCGTCCTCAAGCAGCGACATCCATCACCACATCCGCGCTGGCAGCATCGTAAGGAGGAAACAACATACCGGAACCTACGACCACCACACCGTACACTACCGCACGAGTACCCACCGAATCGCCTGGCAGGCCTAGAGGACTGCCAAGTTGAGGGTGGAGAGGGTGCCGAATGGATGAGGCCATGGCACCGCCTTTCAAACGACGAAAGCTGTCGAGCTCTCTAGCAGAGCCAGACTACAGACTGGAAAACAGCACAGCACCCGCAGATGCGGTGCCCTCATATTCCCATGGCGTCACTTCGCTACAACACACATACTCGTCTCTCGCACCCGCGAGGACAGACTTTCCGCAGGACGACGAGCAGCAGCAGCAGCAGAGCAAAGAGCAGAGCACACAGCACCCCGTGGTTGGAGGCATTGCACACTTTCAAGTTCTGGTGCCTCGACAGGGGACCGGCTCTTCGAGCAGTGCGGAGTCAACTAACCTTGCGGCTACTAATGCTCTAGAGGCTCTCACTGCAGTTGTCAGCTCCTCCGTCATATCCATGACATCCTCAATATCGGTCTCTCTATCGACGTCAGCATCGAGTCCTACTTTACCCGCAGACACCGTACCGGCTGGCGTGACACCGAGTGAAAGCTCAAGTTCGACATCAAGTCAGCCTACATCACCATCACCATCATCATACGTATCGAGCAGTGTATCGAGCAACGTATCCAGCAGCTCGAGCGCAAATGACACGTCCACCATCACATCATCAGCGACACGGTCGAGTGCTACCATCACCTCCACGGAATCCTCCATCTCTCAGAACCTCACCACTTCAGGTATGAATGTCTACAGATGAAGTTCATTATGAACGCTAACGCTAACAGCCATTATCATTGAAGGCGAAAGCAGTACCACAACGTCGAGAACGACCATCAACCTGGACAACCAGACTTCCTCGACTACATCTACGGACACTGCGTTTCTGTTCCTCTTCACGCTTTCCAATGGAGATATCACGACCCTTTCACGACACAGTGGAGCTTACACGACAACCTTGGGGGATGGTGAGGTGCTTACGGTGCCATCAATATCTGCAACTTCCTCCAGTGACCGGTCAAGCACTTCAAGTCGGGCATCGACGGCTTCAAGAACAGCTTCGACATCTTCATCAAGCTCTGAACAAAGCAGCACCATCACGTCGACGGTCGAGGTTACAGGAGTAGCTGGCCAAGGAGAGGCGACATCTACCGACTCATCAACGACAAGCACGACTTCGGCTGCATCTGGTGGCGGAGGTGGTGGAAGCAATGATCCCCCTGCTGGAACGATTGCGGGAGGTGTTGTAGGTGGAGCCGCCGGACTTGCTGTTCTCGTTTTGATAGCAATGCTGTTCGTGAGATGGTATAGAAGGAAGAGTCAAGTTGGGCACCGCGAATTACCACCTGGATCAGCCGCTTCACCAGAGACTTCAGAGCAACCCACCGATCGGAGTGGACCTGGAATGGCCGAGCGTGCAGGCCTGATGCCGTTTGCTGCAGCTTTGCCTGCGCTGTTTAGGCATCAGAACCGCAGCGCCGAGGGTTCAGCACCTTCAGAACGAGGGTTCACACGAGTTTCTGGTCGAAAGCTGCCATCTGCATTCAGTGGAGGTATGAGCAGTGAAGGGGCCGGTAGCCAACAGCAACAGCAGCAGCAGCCCCCGCCCGGCATGCCTTTGAGCGGCTCTCCACCCGATGAGCGAAACCTAAGCAGCACCTCTTTCTATCGGGACAGCCAAGGTTTCTACGGTGGGGATGGTACAGCCGGCCGGTCGTCAACCTCCCCAACCTCGCCTACCTCACCCACCTCACCGTCCAGCAGTGCGCCCATCCACACTGGCCCCGAAATGATGACCATGTCACCTGGCCCGCAGCGCCAGCCTCAAGTCCATTCCGGAGGGCCGTACACCATGTCACCCGCCGACAGCGGCGACATGCCCACCCCACCACCCGCCGCGGCGGCGCAATTCGCCCGCAGCGACACCCCTTCGAGTTTACGCAACAGTCGCTTCACCGAGGACATGTGACTAGAGCCTCTGCTTCGACTTTATCGAAATTCGCGCCGCGTCGAACAATAGCAATGTTCGACATCACCGGCTGTATTTGAGAGCGTCGAAGCGCGCATTCGTTCAGTGTGCACCCCTGTTTTACTGCTGGAGAAATTCGCATAGCGCGGGTTTTGTTGACCTGCTGCTGCTACTACTTACTTACTACTACTATACATGACGTCGACGGGATAGAGTGTCGATGTTCAACTTACGACGTTTATGGCGATGATGCTATCTCTCTCTGTGTGTGTGCCTTTTGCGCTGTTTGGGGGGAGCAAAAGAGAAGAGAAGAGACTTGAATGGTCGAGAGTGTGGAGGAGAGGAGAGAATGGAGAGAGAGGAAGAAAGAAGAGAAAGAAGGAAAGATACCCCCGGTTCACTGCTGTAATGTTTTGTATAGTCTGTTCAAAAGATCTTGATGTCCGGATATGGACGTGAACACTTCAAATCTGGTTGACAGTCCTCACCCTTTCATTCACATGGACGCACTTCCTAATGCCATGGCTGAATCTGTGGGTTCGACAGTATACTGAATGTCTTCCCCGTGGCTGTATCTTTGACACTCGAGTGACTCGTTCGGCTTCATTGATGTCTAACAGCCCTTCTCTCCCTGCTCTGGAAACTCATAGTAGGCTCATCTACATCTTCCCTCTTTCCCTCTCCCATAAAAAACGACAACGCTATGCAAACCACAAGACATCTAACCCCCTCCTCCTCCACCACCAACAACAACCTCACCGGTAAAAAATCGTATCGCCAGGATCAATCACTCTCACTCCCCGGCCCATCCCGCGCATCCTCGTCTTCATCCTCCTGCACCACATCCCCCGCCATCTGCAGCGTCAACTCCGCCTTCTGCAAGTCCTTCCTCAGCTCCGTATTCCGCGGATCCACGAGGTCGATGGGTTTGAGTTTGGCTTTGTTTCGTATTCTATTTCACGCGGCAAGTCACATGTTAGCACAATTCCAACCAACACCTCACAGCACATCCGGCGTTTGGGGCTATGTGGTATTACATACCTAGGATCACACCCGGCATCCACAAGAATATCCACCACGGCCCTCCCCCTCTCCCACTCCTCCTGCCTCAACTCATTCGCAAACCTCACCGCCCGATGCAAACACGTATCCCCCTCCCTGCGCTCCTGCCCATCAATCTCCACGCCCTCCTGATCCAGGATCGTATCCAGGACCTCGTAGCTGCCGTACTGCGCCGCGACGTGCAGGGCGCTGGCGCCTAGGGCGTCCGTGGTGGTGTTGAGGAATTGGGCGATGGTGGAGGAGTTTTTGGGGGTGAGAGGGGGTGTCGAGAGGACTTCGGAGAGGAGGGTCGTGTTGTTGCGGCGGCAGGCTTCGAGGAGGAGTTCCTTTGGGGTGGCGCCTTCGTCGGTGGACATTTTGGTGGGTTGGTTGGTTGCGGTTGTTGGTTGTGGTTGGGGTGGGAGGTGTTGTGGGTGAGTGAGTGGTTGTGTAGCTGCTGAAAGTGTGGAGGAGAGGATGGAACTGTTCAGCAGCTCGGTCGTTGGAAGAGTTGTGGAGAGAGAGGTGCGTGGTTGTTCGAGATGTCCAGGCGCTCGAGCGAAGCGTGAAGTCGAACCGGACCCCTCAGCCACACTCTCGGAATCGCGGCGCCTCACAGAAGCAGAAGCAGACTTCACTCACTGACTCCCTTCGCCTTCACATGCAATTTTCTCTACCACACTAAAAAACGCACACCACCACCAACAACCTCCCCTCAAACCAACAACCAACCCCACCCCAAACCAACAAAAATGCTCCTCTGTCCGTCCCCTCCCCCCCTCCCTCTCACCCCCCAACTAACACCACCCTCAACAGTCTGCCCCTCCTGCAGCAACATGCTCATAATCACCAAAATCCCCCCCTCGCACTGCGCCCCCGGCGAAGAATCCCACACGGACAAGAACCGCTTCGAATGCCGCACCTGCCCCTACCAGATGGTCCTCGACCGCCGGTACTACGAGCGCAAGAACATGAAGCTCAAGGACGTCGGCGATATTTTGGGCGGCGCGGAGAGTTGGCGGAATGTCGATCAGACGGAGGGTGAGTTCTTTTTCTATCGAGGAGATGAGGGGGTTTTGTTGTTTTGTGTTTGTGGGTTTTGCTGACGAGGTTGTGATTTTCTTTCAGCCAAATGTCCCAATGAGAATTGCGACAGCCGCATGGCGTATTTCCGACAGGTGCAGATTCGATCTGCCGATGAGCCCATGACGAGCTTTTACAAGTGTGTCAAGTGCACACGGGAATGGCGGGAGAATTAGAGAAGCGCATTCAGTCTGGCATTGGGACGGCGTAGTAGGGAAAAGTGTTGCTTTATTTCACCGAGATACCCATGGGCAGGAACGGCGAGGATGAGGAGCTTGTGGTGTTTGGTGTCATTATGGTTTTGAGCAGTCCTGAAAACTGCTCCTCGGGTATGTAACATAACAAAAGAGAATCCGCTATCCGCTATCCCTTCGCCTGGGCCAAATGCCTGCGTAAGACCTCCCTTCCGTGACACGAGCCGGTGCTTTCGCATTCTTTGCATCCAGCCGTGTCTGAACTTTCCATACCTTCAATCCCATCCTTGAGGCCTTTCGTGGTGGCTACGTCTGAGCCGATTTTCGCCTTCCTGAACCATTCTATGCATCATTCTTGCGACGTGGACCGCCCTTGAGTGACCTCATCCTGTTCAAGAAGCCTCCACCACTACCACTGGGGCGGTCTTCCTCGTTGCTGCTACCACGACCATGGGTTGGAACGTTGCCGTCAGAAGTCCTACTTCTGGTAAGTGCCACCCCCTGCTGTGGGTTGCTGGGTGCTCGGGCTCTGCCAGGGTATGGCTTCTCCTGCTCTGCGATTCTAATCTGTGTTCCCTTCTTCTCGAAAGCTGCTTCGTAGTCGTTGTCGAATGGATTGATCTCGTCTTCCTTTCTGTACTTGGCTTGGACTGGTCCACCGGCACTGACTGATTTGATCTGTGCCTGTGGGCTTTCCAAGTCATCTGCATACCGCGCCTCAGGGCTCCTGTAATCTGGTGGTCCGTTTCGTCGCGAGTTGGACATGCCGCGGAAACGCTGAGCAAGCGACTTCTTGCGTGACAATCCACCTCCAACACCATTGCCCAAGGCCGGGTCCTCAGAGTCTCGACGTTGCAGTGCATTCTTGCTAGCAGGTGCACCTTCGAGGAATGTGGAAGTACCCAAGCCGTATGTCTCCTCACCATGTACAGGCTCAGCACGCTGCAGAGGATCGACGATGTTCGTGTCGGCCTTTCTCGTCGCGGCATACTCTGAAAATCCCTCCTCACCACGACCGTGGAACTTGTCCAGATCCAGTCTTGATCGCAATGGGCCAGCACCGCCGAGTTGCATGTTGGCCGAATCTGCTGGGAATGCCTGCATTGGTGCTTTGCGATCCTTCCTCACATTGCGATGTGGGTTGCAGGCATCGAACGGGCCATCGTGGTGGAATACTGCCAAATGTCAGAATGCATCAAAGATCACCAGTAAGGGAGATACTCACGTCCTTGACCGTATATGCCCGTCACGTCCAGCTTGTCGATAATGTCCAGACCTTGCGGCTTGCGTGGTCGCTTCTCGCCATTCCTAACCTTTTCCTTCTCTCTGCGATGACGCTCCTCACGCTCGCGTCTCCTCTCACGCCGACGTCTCTCCTCAGACTCCGTCCGCTCTGGACGCTCCCCTCTATCACGCTCCACGCGTGGACGCCTATCCTTCTCCATGACTGAGGACTCTGAAGCTCGGCGTTGCTTTTGTGGGGGTGGGTTGAACTCGCGCTTAACGGGGCTCGGTGGACCACGCGGTGGACGTGGTGGTGCTCGACGTGGGTCTGGGCCCTGGGGACGGTTTGCCTGTGGTGGGAGAGTACCTGCACGGTGGGGGCCTCCGTTGGAAGTGGTTGTTGCTCCTGTTCAAGGTCAGCGTTTGCGTGCGTGTTGTGCACGGGCAAGGTACGTACCGTTGGACACTGGTCGCTCGAGCAGAGACAGTTCGTTCTGTAAAGTCGGGAAGTCAGCAAACATTTCGCAGAATTGCTTGAAGCGGTCCATGATTTTTATGTCGTGTTCAGGAGACATTGGAGGGTGACAGACCATGCAAGGCATAGTTGGGCGGCGGTACCAAATTTGCTAGGATTGGTGACACAAGGGTGCGGGTAGACAGGGGAGGTGCAGGAGGGGTGATAAGACTTACAAACAGATCTTCTGGCAGTGCCGTTGTGTTGTTGTTAGCACGTGGGTTGGTCGGACCAAAGGTCATTTCGCTGTCGTCGAGGAATGGATTGGTGGAGACTGGGCGCGGTGGTTTCGCAGGCGACTCGAGAAAGGGGCTGTTGCGCGGTGAAGGCGAGGTGGTGCGGTTGCGGAAAGGGTTGTTGGAGGAGAGGTTGAGGGTGAGGCCGACGGGCGAGCGTTGGCGGTCTGGCATGACGTGGTCAGCAAGCGATGTTTGTTGATCGCCGCAATGTGAAACGCGACGACGTGGGTAGAGGCGAACTTGGGACCGCCGCCGTACATACCTGGCGCACCCGTTGGCGCGGCTGCGAATGCCATGGTGTGGCAGTCGTTTCTCGTATAGTGTGCTTGCGTGCGCGCGCGACGAGCGGCGAGGTGTGGTTGGCGGTTGGCGAGAGGCAGCGAGAGGGCGATCGCAGTGCCTTTTAAGGGTGGTGAGGGTGGTGGTGGTGTTTGTTGCTCTGGTACAGTTTCCAGAAGCCAGCCAGCCGGACTCCTCCCTGAGGCGAGGTGCAAAGCAACCAGTGATTGGCGGTGGACCCCTGGCTAAGTAAAGGCTGTTGGCGGGAGAGATGCGGCGTGAGAGTGTCCTCGAGCAGATGGCTGTGAGTCTGTGGTGCTGGCAATGGCGACGGCACGGGGTGCGTGTGCGTGTGTGTCGTGGTGCAGGCGGCGGTGGAGAGCAGGTGAAAGAGGAGGCGAGGGTGGTGGTGGTACTTGGCCTGAGGAACCTGCCTCGATCGCGGCGACCGCTCTGACTTTTGGCGGGCCAGGGTGTTCGCCCAGGGCCAATGCCAAGCCAAACTCAAATGGCGCTTCGCAAACCTTCGCGCGTCTCGCCCCGTGCCTCGGTGGCCATTGACTCTCCTCAAACATGCCCTGCCTCTCGACTGTCCAGCACGAGCCCGTATTGCGACTGCTCCTGAACAAAGCGCTCGTACTCACCCCAACGTCGACTCCATCTACCACTCTACCACGACTGCATCCGCGCTGCACGTGCTTCTTCCTTCGACACGCCTGACCTCCTTCCCCTCCGGGCCGCTGCGAGTGTGCAAGCTCACAAGCTCACGGTTCCTGCGCTAGAGACCGCCGTCAGTCTGGAGTAGCCGCGAGCCGAGTACCTTCTCCAATAGGCGACATCCTCTCACACAGCTCTCGACCTACTCTCCAGACTACATTCCACCGCCAGATTCTCGCTCAACAATGGCTGAAGGCCCTACGAATGGGGCAGCTTCGTCCGCGTCTACCACGATCAGATATGGCGGGCACGATAGATTCGTCCTCGAGCTCGAGGTAAGTCACTTGACGATCGATCTCCATGCGCAAATAAAACTCCACGGCCGTTGCGATATGCGCTATCGTATAGCTCCATAACTGCTCGCATTTAGCCAGATCGCGTGCTTTGGGCCTTCCCACTCAATCACAGTCGTGCAGTGAGGAGTGATGTTCTACGAAACTGACATGTGATGCTCTCTAGTTCGTGCAGATGCTTGCCAATCCAAAGTATCTGAATTACCTGGCCACGCAGAAGTACTTTGACAATGAGGAATTCGTGGCCTACATTCACTACCTGCAATACTTTCGCCAACCAAAATACATCCGATACTTGCAGTGAGATCACGTTGCAAAGATGTGCCAGAGACAACATTAACAAACGCCATAGATTTCCCGGGCCCACCCTCAGAGCACTCGACCTCTTGCAGGAAGAGCAATTCCGGAAAGACATCATAAACCCCAAAGTCACGGACAAGCTGGCGGAACAAGGGCTCGCGGCAGCCTTCACAACCTGAACTCACCTATCCACCGAGTAACAACCAAGGCTATATCTTGACAGCCCGACGCCGCGAGGGTATCCGTACCGGCCATGCCACTCCCTAATTTGGCTCACAATCCCTGGGCAGACGTGCAAGAGCCGCGCAGGGATCATGCGTACAGTCTGAGCTTGTGAAGATGAAACAACAAGCAAGCTCTCTGACAACCATCCTCAAAAGGGCCACGGATCAACCACCCAAGTAGTTGGAAGTCGATCAACGAGATGACTGTGTTCAAGCTGAACTACATCAGTCGTGGAGGGGACGTGAATTACACCCTCAGCAGACTTACGAAAGTTCGACGAATTCGCTTGACATAAAAAGCCATGAAAATCTTGAAACAAGTCTAATAAACCTGTTGCTTCTCATTCCATCTAACTCTCGTTCCACGCTGTCCTCGCGTTGGCTTGTCACGCCGTAGCCATACTTTCCGGTGTGCTGGAATCTGCGGCATTATGCCTGATTTCAAGTCAAAGCCTGCGGTCTTGCTGGGTCCGGAGCTTCGCATGTGGTACTGCCTGGACGGACAGCAAATTCGTCCTGGCGCACGGTATCTGACAGAAGCCTACCAGATGCCCGATCATAGTCTCGTAGTCGCATAGCCTCATCGAACCATATGCCTTTCCAAAAAATCTTCCCACCACAATCCCTCTCATTCCTCCGCCCTCGGCGCCGGCCCACAAGGCAACACCATCTTCTCCATACAGTGCATCCTAACCTTCTCCATCGGCATGCCCATCCCGATCGCCATGTAGTGCAGAAGCGGAGGATGGCCCTGATAGCTAGCGTACGAGTCGCGCGCGATGTTGGCCGTCCACTCGTGCTTGGTGGTGTCGGAGTGGCCGGTGCCGACGTATTTGTTCTGGAGGGATTCGAGTTGTTGTTGGGTGCGAAGTTTGTCGGCCTGGAGAGGAGATTAGTTTTGGTGAAGGATGGGTGGGGTGGTGGGACTTACCATTGTGAGGGTGTGGTGGGGTTGAGGTGAAGGGTTTGAGTGTGGGTGGTGATGGTGGAGTTGTCGAAGATGGACGTTGAAGTGAAGCGCGCGAAGATCTGTCACATGTCGGGGAAAAGCTTAATCAATTGATTACTTAGATCTTTCATTAAGCGCCCCGGGTTCTCCGCAAACGCGCTTTGACGCGTCCTCCCCACTTCACACTTGTTCGCAACATTCAGATAGGAACAACAACCCGACAAGAGACCTTGGAATCGTCTCGCAAGATGCCGACCCTACAGAGGCGAAAGCGCCGATCGGTCAGTCTGCCTTTGCAATTTCTCTCAACTCTCCACTAACAGTAACGCGTGCTCCAGGAACCTGAAGAAGCCGAGTCGTCTGACGGCTCGCAAGGACCAGAGACCCAACGACGACGAACGACAGAAGATGCGGATGAAGAGGAAGACTACGGTGTTGGCGGTGCCACACAAGGTGAAGGGACCAACGAAATGGCCATGAAACTCGTGCGACTGGCTCTGGCCCTCGAGTTTCAACGAAGACCACTCCGAAGAAGCGATATCAGCGAGAAAGTTCTTGGACCAAACGGAAGACAGTTCAAGCATGTGTTCAACCAAGCGCAGATACACTTGAGAACGGTGTTTGGCATGGAATTGGTGGAGCTTCCGGCCAAGGAGAAGGTCACACTGCAGCAAAAGCGGGCGGCTCAGAAATCTGCTTCACAGGCCAAGGCAACGGCCTCGTGGGTGCTGACGTCGATTCTGCCGTCGAATTTTCGGGATCCGGCCATCATTCAACCACTTTCGGCGCCTACGGCTGTGGACGAGAGCAAATATACTGCGGTCTACACCGTACTTGTGTCGATGATTCGTCTTTCTGGTGGAGCTCTTCCAGACGCGAAGATGGAGCGAAGTCTACAGCGACTGCAAATGGAGGATAACACACCGGTTGTGGATTTTGAAAAGACGGAGAAGCTCATGAAAAGGCTGGAGAAAGATGGTTACATCGTGCGTATCAAGGAGAGCACTGGGACTGGAGAGGATGATGTGTATTGGACTGTTGGACCACGAGGCAAAGTTGAGATTGGTGATAATGGTGTTCGTGGCCTCACCAAAGCTGTGTATGGAGAGCAGGAGAGCGAGACGGCAGAAGATGAACTGGAGCGGAAGATCGATCGATCCTTGGGCATCAGCGAACGACTGGAGCAAATCAACCGAGAGCAGGCTGCCGAGAAGCCCAAAAAGGGAGGTAGGAAGAAGCAGAATCAGCAGCAGGAAGAAGAGGAAGAGGACGAAGGCGAAGACGAAGAAGGCGAGTGAAGATCCCAACAGGACCGAGCCCTCTGGGTCGCTATTCCGACATGACTTGCGTGGCTTCGTAACGACCAGCAACCTATCTGCGAGTAACAGCCATCACCCAGGCTTCCACCAGTAATCCATTGCACGAGGACGCAGCTGTTCTGTCCTGGTCGTACCAAAACGCACAGCACTTACAGCACCCCCTGTCCGCCAAGAACATCAGAACGAACAGGCTCACAACCAGCTTAGTCAATGCTGATCAGAAGGTTGGAAATGTCTATGAACACACGTCTCTGCCCCGAGACAGATGTGGATCTCGCATGGCTATAATGGATTACTACGCGTGCGGCTCAAGCTTGGTCCCATACAACAACCATGTCTTTCGCCGGACTTTGACGCGGATATTGGGGAGGCCGGGAGCTGTGCTTCGATTTGACAGCTCTTATGCAATGCTCTGCAATGCGAAAAGGCCGTTCGCTTCTGCCTCCGGCGTGCAGAAGGCCGTTCGAAGTTGCGCGTTGTATCGTAGTAGCGCTTGGAACGATGGGTGGTATGCAGTGTATGCCTGCAAGCGTCTGGGTTGGTAGTCTTGTGGCTGCTGGGGGTGGTCGAGATGCAGCAGGTCTACCAAGCCGTCAGCAAGCAACAGGTAACAGACATAGACATGTATAAAGAGGGCTTGCGAGGCCGTAGCAGATAGAAACAGCACGATCACTACTAATCACTTCTGAAGAGTTACTTGCCTGACATCCAACATGAAGAGTTTCACCACCTTGCTCGCTGCAGTAGCAGCCCTCCTGCCATACTCTCTCGCCGACGGTAAGTCTCCAGAACATACACAACACAAGTACTAACAAGCACATAGCCGTCCCCTGGGAACGCCTCAACAAAAACGACTCCCTCTTCGTGATACTCGACCTCCAAGTCGGCCTCTACAGCCTCGCCCGCGACTTCGACGCCACGCTCTACTACAACAACATTATCGCCCACGCGGCCATCGGCCAGCTCTTCGACATCCCCGTCGTGCTGACGACCTCCGCGGAAACCGGCGCCAATGGACCTTTGCCGAAAGCGATTCTGGAGATGTATCCGGATGCGCCGTTGATTCAACGTCAAGGGGAGGTGAATGCGTGGGATAATCCGGCGTTTCGGGAGGCGGTCAGGGCGTCGGGGAAGAAGCAGATTATTATGGCGGGGATTGTGACGGATGTTTGTGAGTGTTTTTCTTTTCTTTTTTCTTTTTTGGCGCCTGAAGAAGACGTGGCGTGCTGAGGGGACAATTGGCTGATGGGTATAGGCACCACTTTCTGCGCGCTGTCCCTCAGGGCTGAAGGCTACAGCGTTTGGGCGAATGTCGAAGCTTCGGGCACGACGACTGAGTTCATTCGGGATGTCTCCAATGATCGTAAGTCATCACTGTGACAATCCGTCGAAGCAAAAGCTGACCCATCGCAGGCATGGCCAACGCCGGCGTCCAACTCGTCAGCCTCTTCAGCATCATCTGTGACTTGATGCGAGACTGGAGACACACGCCAGGAACGCCCACGGTCCTGCCTTGGTTGGCGAAGTACTATCCAGTCTATGGTGTGTTGGCCGAAGCGCATGGTGGTGCTGTGCTGAATGGGACTATCTCGGAGGGCGAGGCGGTACTGTTGCCTTATTAGTTGGACACGTGGATGATGCGAGGTGAAAGTGGCTACGGAGAGGGCTTGAGGAGGTGATGAAATGGTAGAGGCGGATGGATGGATGAAAGTGGGTAACACTCGTTTAGTGGTGAAGTTCAGGCAGTCGTTGGAAAAGTACTTGCGTTGGAGCCTTGTCTACATCATGTTTTGTAGATGTGACGTATCTACTCCATCGATGCACGAGATTATCGGCTATCACCTGTACGAGCAACATGTCGTTTTCGAATTGTAGTATGCAGAGCATTGCACGAGGTGCTACAACATTAAAGGCAGAGAGAAATGGATGATGGACCCTGCGGAGGTGACGTCTCTCAGCGCCGAACGAATGAGCCACGACGAGGCGCAGCACTTACGGCATTGGGGGCCAGTAGCCGCGAACTAGTTCAGAACAGAAGACCATGTGCAGTGCAGTGCAGTGCATGCATGCGGATGCGGACGAGGTTGTGGATGTCGTCGGCAGGCAGAAGAGACGCTCCACTCCCCAATCGTCACCGAGCCATTTCTATGCGTATGGGTCTGAGCAGGCCACTCCCATCTCCTCCGCCGTAGCGGGTGCCACCGTCCTCCTCTCCCACTCTCCCACTCACCTACCGCCGCCGCCGAGCCACTCCTCCACCTCCACCTCCTCCCCTCCCATCCCTCCATTGGCGCCGCCTAACTGGATCCGCCATGTCCTCGACCTCGAATGCGCCGCAGGGGACCTTTCTGCCCGGTACAAAAGTCCAGGTAAGGCAGTCCTCCAAAAGTAGTTCTTCCAATACAGGACAAGTATTGACTGATTCCCCCAAGGTGGGCAGCCACAAGGTCTACATCGAGAAGTACCTCTCCGAAGGCGGCTTCGCGCACGTCTACGTCGTCCGGATCCCGCGCGAGAACAACAAACATGAGCTCGCCGTCCTCAAACGGGTCGCCGTGCCCGATAAGGAGCACCTGGCCAGCATGCGGACGGAGGTCGAGACGATGAAGAAGCTGCGGGGACACAAGCACATCGTCACGTATATCGACAGCCATGCGAGTCAGCTGAAAGGCGGGGGGTATGAGGTGTTCCTGCTCATGGAGTATTGCAATGGAGGGGGACTGATTGATTTCATGAACACCCGGCTGCAGCATCGGTTGACGGAGCCGGAGATTCTGAAGATTTTTGGGGACTGTGCGGAGGGCGTTGCGACGATGCATTATTTGAAGCCGCCGCTGCTGCACCGCGATCTGAAGGTGGAGAATGTTTTGATATCGAAATCCGTGGGCGGAAGTCCGCTCTATAAGATCTGTGATTTTGGGAGTACGGCGCCCCCGCGACCTGCTGCCACGACGGTGGAAGAGGGGAGGCTCATTGAGGATGATGTTCAGAAGCATACCACGATGCAGTATAGGAGTCCGGAGATGATCGATGTCTGGAGAAAGAAGCCCATAGACGAGAAGTCGGATATCTGGGCGCTGGGTGTCTTGCTGTACAAGCTGTGCTATTATACCACCCCCTTTGAGGACGTGGGACAAATGGCCATCTTGAACGCCAGCTTCAAGTACCCCAGCTACCCTTCATTCTCGGAGAGGCTGAAAAGATTGATCGGGACTATGCTCAAGGAAGATCCAGTTCACCGGCCGAATATCTACCAGGTGGTAAAGGAGGTCTGCAGTATGCGAGGGGCGGAGGTGCCGATCAAAGACATCTATGCGAATCGAACGCATTCAGAAGCGCGAAAGAACCAGTCTCTGCCAACGCAAGAGTCTGTGTCATCCGCGCCGGTTGGACTCCAGAAAACCGCACCCCAGGTGGAAGTACAGGCGATACCAGACATCACGCCCATGCGCAGAGGTCGGCCAGGAGCGCCGGCATCTCAAACTGCAGCAAGCAAACCTGCGCCTTCTCCAGCAAGAGGTGATCCTTTTGCTGCGTTGGACTCCAAGAACTATGACATCCGAGCTGGCGCGGTGGATGAACTCTCCAAGCGATTTCCTTCCCTGGATGAATTCTCGATCGCTCATGAAGGCGGTGGAAAATTCGCATTTCCATCCTCGCAACCTTCCGGGACGCAAGCTGCGAAGCCTGCACCTAATCATGATCTCAGCGAACGTGTGACGAATGCATTGGCGGATGAGTTGTTCGCTTCCAAGTCTCCACCGCCATCAACGGCACCAAAGCAACAGGAGTTCCCCAAGGCCCCAGCGAGGAAAGCGTCCCCGTCAAAGCCCGCGCCCTCTACAACTGTCAAGGAAGTGCGGCAGCCGGAGGCACGGCAACCGGAGCTGAAGCAGCCTCTGCCTTCGCGAGTTGGAGTTGTGTACAAGTCTACTGCTACTGGCAGTTCTCCGCCTCCAATGCCGCCCAGGAAACTACCGCAAGTCAACAATCAGCCAATCTGGCGAGTACCAGACAACGCTGAACACGAACGATCATCGAGCCAACCGCGAGCGTCAGAGTCGGCACAGGCTGATGCAACGTTACTGCATCCCAGCCTGCCGCCAGAGAAAAGGCCGGCATTGCTGGAAGTTCATCGATCAAAGTCGCAGACGGCGACACAGGCCGCTGCGCATGCTTCCAGTTCGCGCCCTTCCCTTGAGGGTGGAAGACCAGCAATGCGTGACCTCGATGCTTCTGGTGTGAATCGCACGAAATCGCTGAACTCAAGGACAAGGCCAGCAAGCATGTACGTGTCGTCCAACATGGACTATCTGCGCGATCAGGAGCAGTCTCGCAAGCGCCCATCTATGGAAATCCGGAGACACAGCCGACATCCATCGCAAACGAGAGACGCGGCGGCCGCCGAAGAAGAAGCCATCGAAGATGACATGGACTATCTTCGAAAGACGGAAGGTCAGGATGTCGATCGGAAGAAGTCGATGAAGGAAGCTCTGCGAATGCACGGCCACCATCATCGGAAACGGTCGAGTCTGGATGCGGTGCGATCAGGCGCGAAGAACATGCTCACGGGAAGATTCGGTGATGCATTCAAGAAGTTTGAGCACCACAACTCTCAGGAACATCCACAGATCAAGACGGGGTTGATGACCCCTGAGGCTCGAGACCACGACGAAGAGCCGCAGTTGCTATCTCCAATTACAGGGTCTGAGGCTACGCCGAGCCGACACTCGGATATGGACGACGAAACTGAGGATCTGCCTCCAGACGTGAAGCGAGAGATGGAACGAAGAAGGTTGAGTCAAGAAGAGAAGCGTGTTGCTGAGGCGGCTGCAGAGTATCGCGCTCGCGTGGCAGCTCAAGGTACTGGAAGTGCGGCAATTCCAACTCGTGCCAGCACAATCCAGAAACGCGTTCAATCGCTACTCGACGAAGGCAGACAATCCCCGGTCCCTCGCAAGACGGCAGAAGGTTATGGACGATACACCGAGTCGAGCGATAACGAAAGCAGACCCATGACACAGCCGAATGTGCCAGTGCCAAGCGGAAATCGGCCTCCTGTTCTTGCCAGAAAGCCTATGGTTGATGCCGGATCTTCCAACAACCCATACCCGAAAGTCAGGCAACAGCAGCCGGAGATGCCACCAGCGAACGTGGTTCCGGTGTCAGCGCCAGTGCCTGCCCCGTCCGTCTCTGATTCAGCACCGCTTGAGAGGGTGCCATCTCGACCAGGACCTAGCGCTCCACCGAAGCCCAAGGCGCTCAGGACTGGCGGTCCCGTTCAATGGCCGCCTCCTGACCAACCGGTAGACACAACAAAACCTCTGCCTGCGAAACCCACCGGTGGTCTGGCCGCCTTGCTCGCCAAGGATCTCGAGGGAGTGCCCGACTACCCGCCACGAGGCAGCAGCATGAACCAGAGCGTCCCTGCGGCGGTGGCGACGCACAATCACGTCTCTGATGATGATCTGGACAGCTTCAGCAAACGCTACCCGAGTCTTAGTGGCATTGAAATGGTCGAGACCGATCTTGATGGACGACAACGCTAGTATCAACATGAGCGCTTGTTAGGAGATTTACGTTAATGAGCAGCCAGGGAGCGTACTGCCTTGGAATCCCAGAAATAGATAGATGTGTACATTTTTGGACTTTGTTGCGAAGCAAATCTAATGTTATACACTGTCGTTTCATTTGTCCATGGTGAAGAAAGAAATGGGCAGCGGCGATGCAACTACAGGAGTCGCGCCTTCCTCATCGACGTCATCACATCCAACCTCACCTCTGGCCTCCATCGACAACACCATGTAGCACGAAACCTGTGCCAGATCCAAACCCCATAAATGCAAATGATCACTCGCCAACTCCTCCGACCCCTTCCCATCGCCGGCATCTCAAGTCTCATGCTTGCAGCGACTCTGACAACAAGTCCATCCAAACCCCCCATCACCACAATGTCAACATCAACATCTAACCAACAACCTTGGCCCGTGAAACAATACATCCCCCGCCATCAAACCTGGCCGTACAACCCCTCGGATTTCACACGGCAGGATAATTCTCCGGATGATGGGTTTTATAGGTAGGTTAAAATATATCGTTCCACAAGTTTCATCAAGCCTTGGAGATACATACATACATACATGTAATGTGTCTTATAATATGACTTAGTGCTAACTTCTACCACCCAACAAACAGCGCCCCCCGCTTCGTGACCCACATCGACGACTTGGCCATCGCCTCGTTACGAGAATACTACGATCACGTCCTACCGCGAAAAGGGAAGGTTCTGGATTTCTGCTCCAGTTGGATCTCGCACTACCCTCCCTCCATCGAGGACGCCGCGGCGAAGGGGAGGTGAAAGTCGTAGGCATGGGAATGAACGCGGCGGAATTGGAGAGGAATCCAGTGTTGGATGGAGGAAGAATCCTGCATGATTTGAATGCCGATCCGGACGTTTCGAGAGTTTTGAAAACGCACGGCGCGATCGGTGACGATGATGGCGAGAAACTCGATGCGTCCACAAACGTCGTGAGCACGGATTATCTCACTTCACCTGTTGAAGTCCTGCACTCCCTGCTACACGCGACGAAACCCGGGGGTCGCGTGCACCTTACCATCAGCAATCGGTGTTTTCCTACGAAGGCGATTGGGAGGTGGTTAAGGGTGAGTGAGGAGGAGAGGGTGCAGATGGTGGGGGATTTTTTGTGGTTTGCGGGGTGGAGGGGGATTGAGATTGTGGAGTTGAGTGATGGGGGGGTTCAGGGGGGTGGTGGTGGAAGTGGGGGGTTGAAGGGGTTTTTGGCGGGGATGGGGATGAGGGGGAGGGATCCGGTTTGGGTTGTTAGGGCGGTGAAAGAAGGGTAGGGAAGGGTTGAGAACGAGGTAATCGTACAGTGCTGCTGCCTCTTCTTCGTCTACGTACGCTACACTTTGCAAGCAAAGCAAAGCAAGGAGGACATTCACTCAAGCCGAGTCCTTATCCCGTCGCGTCCTGTCCTCTCCTGATACAAAACACCCCAGGCTATGCTACATACACCGACCGACCGACACACGCCACGCTTCGCTTCGCTAATTAAACACGTTCAAAACAACAACAGAACAACAATCGGATCATGTCATAAAATAACTCATGCCTTCATCGTCTTGAGGAAGCCATCCAGATTGAACTCTTCCTCATACTGCTTGTCATCCCATAGTTCCGAAAGTTCATCCAGAATACCCTTCTTGCCCTTCTCGCGCATATTGCCCTCGGCGTCGACGGCGTTGGACTCGTCCACGCCGTTGGCTTCGGGCTTATCGGAGATGGAGAGGTTTGGATCCGTCTCTCCTAGATTGAAGAGGTCGAGGATTTGGTCCGTCTCCATGGTGCCCAGGCCGGCGTTTTGTTGGTTGACCACGGTCGAGGCGACGTCGATCTTGAAGCGTTGCAGGTTCAGGATCTTCTCTTCCAAGGTGCCTCGCGTGATGAGACGGTAGACGTTGACGACCTTCTTTTGTCCGATACGATGGGCACGGTCCATGGCTTGGAGATCCTTCTGCGGGTTCCAGTCGTGCTCGACGAAGATGACGGTATCGGCACCCGTCAAGTTCAGACCAAGACCACCGACGCTGGTCGTGAGCAGTAGGCAGTCGATGGATGGATCTGAGTTGAAGCGGTTGACAATGTCCTGTCTCTTCGAAGCCTCCACAGAGCCGTCAAGTCGAGAGAAGGTCACGCCTGGCAACATCTTCTTCAACACGGTACCTTCCACCATGTCAAGCATCTCCTTCATCTGACAAAAGATGAGTGCACGATGTTGAGAGACGGCTTGATCTGCCGTTGGCACACCTCCAGCATCGTTCTGTTCAACCCCTATTCCACAGTCGACGAGGAGGTCCCGAAGAGCTGTCAGCTTGGGAGCGTGCTTCGGATCCTTCAAGCTGGAACCCTCTTTGGCGAGAAGTGCTTGGGTTGCAGCATACTGCTTATGAGTCTCCTTCATAACCATAGCCGGCGAATTGCAGAGCTTACGCATATACTGCAAAGCCTGGAAGATGTGCTGCTTTGCTTCCTTGTCAGCACTGCCAGCCATATCTTGCAGAGACTTGGCTTCCTTCTTAGTGAAGTCATCGAAGAGTCTCTTTTGCAGTTCGCTGAGGTCGCAGTAGTAGTTCTGAAGGATCTTTGGAGGAAGATCGTTCAGCACCTCTTCTTTCAAACGACGAAGCAAGAACGGGAGAACTTGCTTGTGCAGAGACTCGATTGCCAGGGCACCAGCTTCTTGTTCTTTAGAGGATGACTTTGCGAATCGACTGGCTGCGATCGGCTTGGCGAATCGGTCTTGAAACACCTTCTCGGTACCCAAGAATCCGGGCATGAGGAAGTCGAAAAGTGACCACAGTTCCAGCACGTTATTCTGGATAGGAGTACCTGACAAAATCAGGCGATGGTTGCTCGCCAGGCGCTTGACGGCAATAGTGACTTTGGCCTTGGGGTTCTTGATCAAATGTCCTTCGTCAAGAACGCAGTAGTTCCAATTAATAGGTGCCAGAATGTCGACGTCGTTACGAGCGATTTCGTACGAGGTGATGACAACGTCTGCTGTGCCTAATTGGTTCCGCACCTTGCTACGCTCTGGTGGAGGACCGGCGTACGCGACTGCGTTCAAGAATGGAGCATAAGTCCGAATCTCTTGCTTCCAATGTCCGGTGAGAGTCGGCGGACAAATGATCAAAGAAGGCAGACGTCTGACTTCTGGTGACTGAGTCTTCTCGTACTCCTCTGCTCGAAGATGGTGGTCGCTGGCAACAATGCAGAGAGTCTGCAAGGTCTTGCCAAGTCCCATGTCGTCACAAAGCACTCCGTGAAGATGGTAGCGATTCAGGAACGCAAGCCAGTTGACGCCTTCTTGTTGGTACGAACGCAGCTCGGCTTTGATGGCGACGGGGATCGTAAATGGCTCAACCTTCTTCGGATCAAGCATCTGAGCAATGAACTTGCGTTCTCTGTCTCGGCCTTCCAGCAAAGACTGAGGAAGACCAGGTGGATCAGGAATACCGGCTTCGAGCGGCACCAGCTTGACCAGAGTCGCGAAAGCTGTAGTTGCAATGAGACGTACGCCGCTGTCGGAATCACTCATGCGTCCGAGGACAGGCACCAGGAGGAAGATGACATATGGCAGAATACCGTCACCCATCACCTGGATCAGATGGTAGATGCACTCGATAGCACCTTGTCTGAAGACAACTTCGTGGGCGTTGTTGATCGGTGGAATGACTTGTTGGACAAGCATGGTGAAGCCTTGCACGGTGATCACGCTACAGACACTGGCGAAGCACTTGGCTGCAGTGTAGCGCAAGACTGCGAGGCGGCATTGGAGCGCCCGTCCCACGAAAGGCAGCAGCTGCAGGACCCAATCGTGGAGAGACGAATCGAAAGTAGCGACGAGTGCTCGCAACGTCGACATGGCATCGACGGCTTCTTGTCCGATCGTGGTGTCTGGATCCGCAATATCGGCAGGGAGTTCAGTGGTGAAGCACTGCTTGATGGGGCCTTCGATAACAGCCTGCAGTTTGGGCACTTTGGTGAAAAGATCCGCACCGAATAGTTGGCAGAGCTGTTCCAGAGCGTCTTTTGCACCGCGGCGAGTGATGCGAGCTGCCTTGACTTCACGCTCGTGCTGTGCTGCATCCGGGCGGTCCTGGATATCTTCGTCCTTTTGCAGTGAAAGTATGCCAACCTCTTTATCCGCGTTGGGATGGAACTCAGGGGTCTCGCCAACTTCCATACAGCAGAATTTGACCAAATTGCCCACGACCTTCTCGACGACCTTGTTGCGCTCGTTGGCGATGAGCTGACTGATCAGACCAGATACTGCTGACGCAGTTTTGTGTTGGAGATCGAGGTTGTCTTCCTCCTTGATGCTGTCCATCAATGCCTTGATGGTTAGCTGAGGCTTCTTAGGTATGTTCTGGAAAGCCACAAGCGCAGCGGCTGCAGTAGACTTGATTCGCAAGTCCATCTGTGCCTTCGCAGTGTGCGCCTCGCCAATTGCAGTCTCGGCATCTAGCTTCGCGGTATTCAGAGCCTCAGCAGCTGCCATTCTCTGAACAGTAGACAGACTCTTCTTGAGACGCTCGAAGTCATGACCGACAATCTTCTCCGCATCACTGATTGAGAATGCGTTCTTGCCAGCTTCAGGATCGCCTTGACATACAACCGCAATGATCGGAAGCTTGCTGCCAGGTACGTGGCCACTCTCGGCGAACGCGTTGAGAAGTTGTTGGCATTGTGCACGAACAATGCGCAGGTAGCTTGTCAGGTCACTGTACCAGCCAGGTCTGTCCTCTTCGACGAGATTACGCAAATCCGCGCAAGCTGCTTCTCGCAAGGGGTCTGGATCGGGAACAGCAGCTGCGAAGCCTTCGAATGCCATGGAGGTGAAGAGTTGGGTCGAGCCGTAGACGGACTTCAGGTTGGGGAGAAGTTTGGGTCCAAAGAATGCTTCTCGCTCTTCAGTCGGGAACAGAGAAATTGCCTTGCCGAGCGCGCGTGAGGCGAAGATGCGCGATCTGATCATAACATCTGCGCCCACAAGGTCGACATCTCCCTGCATGATCGCCGCATCGATATTGTGCGTGGTCGCTGAAGTTGGCGGAGGGGCGGAGCTCTCTTTCTTGTCTGATCTCCTTCGCTTCTTGGGCGGCTCAGATCCATTGACCGGAGAAGAGCGGTGCGCTGTAGCCAAGGGAGCATAAGTCTGTCCAGATGGCTTGATAAACAGAGTCGAGTCCATGGGAATTGGATGCCGGCTGATTCCAATGGGATGAATTGTGAGTGTCATGAGCGGCACGGCATGCGGCTCGAATTCTTGCTTGAAAGCAAGAGGTCCCTTGCTCACCAAAGCATCGCACAAGGCTGTCCAGACTTCCAATGAAAGCTTCAAAACACCGTCGTTCCTCTCAACCAGAAGGTTCTGGTAGACCAAACGAAGAGCTTTGCCGTTCACCCAGCCCTTGGTGTCCGTGCCCTCAATATTGATGAATGTCAGCAGCGCACGAAGTACAGCAGATCGTACGCTCGTGATGGTATGCCGCAGGAAGGGGTATAGTCGAGGCACAAGTTCGTCGAAGGACTGTTCCGGATCCGTGGCAGCATTCTCCTTCATAGCAGCCAGGACTTCAGGGAAACTACACAGCTTAGCGAGCAGGTCCATGACCGATCCTGTACTGGCAGAAAGATCGTCCGACAGGCTAGACAAGCACTCCCACACCACACTGATGAGATGGCCCAGCTCGTCCGACCGGACATTGACAAACTCCTTGGCCACAGGTATGAGGGTAGCGGCGCTGACTGATCGCACGTCGTCGTCTTGGTCCCCGAGTCCCTTGATGACACACTCGAGAACGCCGTCCATAAGAGATCGATCCTGGAAAAGCAGATCCGTTCGAACGGCCACCAGATATCGCATGCCGATCATACCGCCATGGCAGGCGTGCCATATTCGTCGGGACACCTTCAGGTCCTTTTGCATCACTAGTCGATATAGGATGCGGTTGATCTCGTGAACAGAAGATGCCGGCAGAAACTGCAGGACCACCCCCAGAACCTGGCCGGCTGTCTCTCGGATAGGGGCCACGGCGTTGTCGGAAACGTAGTCCGCAAACCGATCAAGCATGAAAACGCAGCAAAGACGACACGCAAGGTCGTCCAGCCACGCGCGATTCAGTGCCTCGTTCTCCGGCTTCTGCTTGCCCGCCTGTCGCCCCGCGCCTCCGCCATGAACACGCACAATCTCACGCAGACCCATAGCTGCACCGTGGCGTATCTCCCACGAAGGATCGAACAAGTCGACAGTTAGGAATTCACACAATCGCTCAAACGGCCACTCGTTTCCTTCCTCCTCCGCTTCTGTAACAAGTGTGGATTTTTCGGGAATTGGCATACCTTTGAACTCTGACACCACCTTCGAGTCATCGTCGCCGCCTTTTCGATCGATTGAGAAGTAGTCGCCGTTGCCGTTTTCTTGGTTCTCCTGCTTGACTTCAGGCTTGATGTCATCCGCAGGAGTCTGTGTCAAACTGGTGCTGCCACGTCTCGCCGCAAAGTCGTACTTGAACTTCTTGTTATCGCGTTTCAGTTCTTCTTTGCGACGTCGCTTGAGCATGTTGAGCTGTCGCTTGCTCATTTCGACGCCACCTGGAGTCTGTGGTGGGCCCTCTTCCGGAGATTTCACAATAGCCTCTTCGTTGGCCTGGGAAGCTTGCTTGCTGTCGTTTGTGTCGATCCGAGGTAGACCAGGAGCAGAAAATGAAGTTGCTCGGGCGGTGATGTCCTTTTCGGTGACGAGGTCTTCCTCAATGTACTCTCCCCCAAGACCGAGTCGGGCGGTGAGAGTCTTCTTTTGATGCGCCAACCGCTCGGTGGCATTAAGACCTGCGAGCTTGAAGTCGTACTGTTTTCCGGCACTACCAAGCAACTCCTTGCCGTAGGTCAGGATAGCTTCCACATCCAAGGTGGCGAGCTGAAGTTGGTCGGGTGCGGTGGAGATGGCTGGCACGTCCTCCTGCTTGATCGAGTCGGTGCCATTTTCGTCAGGTTTGACCTCATCAAGCACAGCATTTGGGTCATATTTCTCGGCATGCTCGACGATGCCGCCAATCGCGCGAGCCGCAGCGGTCCGGGTATCCCATGATGGCGACCGCAGATAAGGCACAACACGGGTGAGTAGATTAAAGAGTTCGTCGGGGTGGTTTTTCTGCACGTCAGCGAGTTGCTGGGCAGCGGTATTACGGATGAGCTGGGTGCTGCCGGTCTCAAGCAAGGTGACCAGGCGGTCGAGTCTGCATAAAAATCACGTGATGTTAGCGTATGCAAAGGTTAATGTGAAAGTTGTACTGAGTTGAACCAACCTGGATGTGGTCATGATGGCAAGCAAACGGCATCAAATAATCATGGAGCAATATCCGCGCCGGAGGGAAAGAAAAGGCAAAGACAAGCGACGACAGGGTCGGGCGGGGCCATGGAGACGTTTCACGTCGTTGTGCGCATCCAAGCGGCGTCGAGGGTCGGGGCGGTCGATGCAGAACTATTTCAATATCTCGAGCGTGTCGTGCAGCGCGTGATTGTGTCGTTTCGGACGGTCTGGTGAAGTGGTTGGACGCGGGCCAATCAGCAGTCGCGCAAGCTCCTCCGCAGCGCGAGCTCTCGCGGAGTCCAGCGTGCGGCGAGGGAGGAATGCGGCAATATGTATTCAGTTGCTTTGACTGCGGGCGCTAGGGCCACCACCTTCGCAAACGGCATAGCTCCCTCGCTCCCGCTGCTTCAGTCAACACGGTGTCTTCATTTTCGCCTACCTTTTCGCACTCGTCAAACAGAGCCTGCACCTGCCATTCCTATTCATACTAGTATTCATATCCATTCGCTGTCGATATCCCTCCTTCAAATCTTCATCAAAGTCTACCAAGGCCTCGAATGCGATCAGCTATACAGCAGATGCAGAGGCTGGCGGCCTAGCTCGCAGGACCAGCAGAAAGCTCCCCCATGCTCCTTGCAGATCATCAACGATAACCTCGAACGTCAGCCGCTCAGAACATTCCCCGTCCTAAAAACCCACCACGCATCGGAAAATACGCCATCTCTTTCGCTCTCTCTTGCCCGTGATGACCTGACGAAAAAGGGATCTCCCTCATGCATCTTCAAGGGCGACGCTGGTTAAATTTCTCGTGCGCTGGCACAGGCGACGGCGTTCGGAGATTTCGCAGCCGCTGCAAAGCCAAACCGGCCTCATCCTTACACATGCCTATAAGGCTGCAGACATCCCGCGGGTACCTCTCTTTTTCATCCCAGTCACGAGGACAGCACGCGATTTTATCATGAGCGTCATGTGCAGTTGATCGTGTGCGTGAAATTCTATCTAGGCAGCACAGCACAGCAATTCGATGAGTCGACAATCATCAGGCATACATACAGTACCTACAGCATATCGACATTTGTACATCGCCAAACTCAAAAGTCTCCAGACAGCCTTCCGCTGACAATACGCAGCATCTACTCCGCCTGCCTCTTCACTCCCTTGGCCCAGTCTCTTAGCACATTCTTCCTCAACTTGCCAGTGCTCGTCTTCGGCAGCTCCTCCAAGATCTCGACCTCTCTCGGAACCATGAAGCGACTGATTTGGCTCTGCTCCTTCGCCCACTGGATAATATCCTCGCCCTTCAACGAGCCCTGCTTGCCTGGCTTGACCGTCACAAACGCCTTTGGTCGCTCACCCCACTGCTTGTCTTGCACTGCTACGCAGGCAGCTTCGAGCACGTCCGGATGCGTCATGAGCATACCTTCGAGTGCCACAGAGCTAATGTTCTCACCCCCAGAAATGATAATATCCTTCGCTCGATCCAGAATCTGAATTGCTCCATCTGGATGCCACACTGCAAGATCACCACTGTGCTGCACGCCGCCAGCAAAGAGCTTTCGTGTCGCCGCTGCATCTTTGTAATAGCCTCTGGCGCAAAGATTGCCAATGAAGACAATCTCGCCGATCTCCTTGCCGTCCTTGGCCACGTCTTCGATCTTCTCACTCGCATCCCATTTCCCGGTCTCGTCTTGATCTGTTTTGATGACTCGAGCTGGTAATGAGACAACGAGACCGTGGCCCTGTCTTGCCATTTTGGCGTACTTATCCTTGGCTGGCAAAGTCTCCCATGAGGGCATGTGGTAGCCTTTTGTGATTGGTCCATACGTCTCTGTGAGGCCGTAAACGTGCACCGGGCGAAGATTGTGTGCCTCCATAGTCTCAAAAAGGTGAGCCGAAGGTGGACTGGCCGCGACTGTTACTCGCACAGGATGCTCCAGCTTCTCTGCGTTCGGGTCTGCTAGGAGCAGTGTGTTGACTGTAGGTGCTGCATTGTAATGGCTGACGTGCTGTTCCTTGAGCAGCTTCCAGATATAAGGGTAGTCAATCTTTCGAAGGCAGTAGTGAGTTCCTCGGACAGCTGTGACAGACCAAGGGAACGTCCATCCCATCGCATGGAACATGGGCAATGTCCACAAATAATGCGCTCTGTCAGCTTTGGGATGGGGTACATTCAGACCACTCTCAATGATGTTGCCGAGGGCTGCCATATAAGCACCTCGATGCGTATATTCAACACCTTTCGGTCGTGCTGTGGTGCCTGAAGTATACGCCAACGCAATCAAGCTGTCTTCGTTAGCGACTTGCGTCTCAAGTCCCGCCCAACCATGTCCGCCAGTTCGTTCATCATGTTGCATTCCTTCCAGAACAGCTTTATCATAATCTCCGGTGTCTTCGTCAGTATCGGTATCGATGATGAAAGGCACATGAGGATGATTCCTTCGGAATCCATCAAGAAGCGGTCGGAATTCAGCATCAACAATGATTAAATCAACTTCTGCGTGGTCAAAGATGTATGTGATGTCGTCCATCTTCAGTCGATAGTTGATCGCTAGATTAAAGTGAGCGGGTTGATGTAAGCCATGAGTCTTCCATACCACTTACCAACATTCACAGCACTTGCACCTCCAATGCCGTAGATCGATTCAAGAAATGCCGGAGTGTTCGTGCACAAGATACCCACCCTTGCCGATAGTCAGTGACCGTCATTCCCGCTATGATAACTTGATCCATACCTTTTGAATCCATGCTTCTTCAAATAATACGCCAGACCTCTCGCCCGGTCGGCCGTCTGCTGATATGTCCTCTGGAGCGTCTTCCCATTCGCAGTCTTGTGGTATACCGCAATAGCCTATATCAAATCCATCTGTCAACCCCACCCGGCTCATTCGCTCTTCACGTTGGTTGTTATCCTACATCAGGCTCAATGCTTGCAGCTCGGGGCAAGAAGAACGTCGGGCTCAATTGGTGGATGTGATATGAGTGGTTGTATGAATCCCGCATATTGCTCTGATCTGCGGCGGTGGGTGAACTGGACGAGGGTACGAAGTGGGCGGCAAGCGAGGACAGGCGTTTCATAGCGGAGGACATCTTGGGCGATGGATATCGATTTGTTTATACTGATTTTCGCCAATGTTTATAGATCGAAGGGCGTATCGCGGCTCGCGTGAGACAGCGGGTGGTCGTTAACGACTACACAATCGAGAAGGCCTGCCGCTGGACGGGTGGGACACTGGCGGGGTGTTGTGGATGAGGACTGGAGCTTCTAGGGACGCCAGGTGAAGGACGAGAGAGTGGAACGAGTGAAACAAGATCTATAAATGGGCAAGGTGACCTACTCATTAAGCGTGGAAGAAGGTTTGCGGAGAGGTGGCTGGCCCGCAGCGACAGCCATGTTGGTGGATGAGGTGTCGTGAGCGGGTCGTGAGCGAGCTCGCCGATCCTCGCTTGATCGCTTCGGAGAAATGGGAAGTCACGACTGCCAAGCCAACATTGAGAGACATGCACCAAAACAAGAAACTCCAATGTTTGGTACAGCGAGGACCAGAAGGAAAACGTCCATGTTCGAGGCTCAATTCTGAATATACCACATGTCATCGTCGGCACGAGGCACATAACGTTGCACATGCCACGTTTGTCCCACGTCGCTCAGAACGCCTCGCCATGCAGATGTTATCGAAGCCCGTCGTACGCAATAAAACAGTTGTAAGGAACAGCGACTGAAACCAGTGTGGGCTCTAGTCCACAAAAAACTGCTCATGACTTCATGGCAGTGTCCAAATCCTGCAAGACCTTCTGGGTCTCCTTCACGAGTTCTTTCCTGCGAGTTCGCGCATCGGCGTCGCCTTCAGTCTCTACGGCGTCAAGCTTCAGTAACACTTGAGTCAGAATGGTCTCAGACAAGCGCTTGTGCTCGAACGTCTTCTTCGCGGGATCGGTTGGTGGTGAGGTTTCAAATGCTCGGCAATCGGGGATGAAGCTCTGTAGCTTTTGATGCAGCGCGTTCAGCTTGTCAAGAGGTGTGGCAGGCGAGACCGGCGGTTTGGGCGACTGGTTGCGTGAGGGCTGCTGGCTGTTTGGTACGCCCAGATTAGGTTCGGCAGGCTGTGGCGTCGATGTTCCAGATGTCTCGCGCTCGCGGTCTTCCCGTCTGTTGCGACGCTTGGTCTTCTTGCCTCTGTTGCGGCGTCGCTTCGCATCTCCATCGGCGGTTGATGGTTCGTCGCCAAATTCATCATCGTCGTCCTCGCTGTCGCTGGGCGACTCGATCTTCTCGGCCAAAGTTATCATGAGCTCGGCACCATCACGCAGACCCTCTTGTTTGCATGTCTTCGCGTCGTCTTTCAGATTCTTGCCCTTGTATAGCAGCTTGATCCGCTTGGGATCGCCTGTAGTGGTCTTCTTTGCAGCCTGCTCTCGCACTTGTCCGATTGTGAGCTCGCCCTTGGCGATACTGTAGGCTGGAAAATGTACTGGGAAGTCCTGCTTCTTGTTGCGCAATACCAAAACGTCGGTATCTCGAGGTGGGCCATAGTCGTCTGATGTGTCTTGTGAGGATTGCTGCTGGTTCATGGTTTCAGCTTGATGCTTGCGCAAATCGTCGGCGGTGATGTAGCTGAAGTCGGCATCACTGACTTTTGTTGGGCCTTGCGGCGGTGATCGCGTAAAGGGCGAGAAGCGACCCAGGTTGCCAAGGCGCGATGTCCACGACATGGCGAGAACCACAAAGGTGGTGAGCGCAAGGAAGAGCGAGGTGCTCTCGAGAGTAGTGCGGGTTGAGAGAAAGTCGAAGAGGATGGTTTGAAATCGCTCGAGTGTGCCAGTGTCTTCTGGAGGCGATTGCGGAGTACGAGAGCCGCCGAGAAGGTGTTCGAACGACCTGGACACCTGCGCGATTGCGTCGCTGATGTTCGGGCTTAGCGGTAGGATTGAGGAAAAGTTGCCCTTCAGCAGGGAGTTGTAGGCGTGCTCGAAGATGTTGGGGGACGCCACGGTTGCTGCGAGCAGGCAGAGAGCAGGGAGAGCGGGCGCAACAGTGCGGTTACAGTTGCAGTGGACGTCAAAAGTTTGCAGGTTCACTTGGGTGCTGCGATGACGCTGCTGGCCCGCCGCTGTGCGCTTCGTTCAGTCCTTGAATCGCTGACTGCCGTGCACGTGAGTGTCGAATCCCGAGCGGTGAGGCGAGCGAATGTCCAGTTACAACAAAGTCGACAAGGTGGTGTGCGCGACAAGCATGTAGGTAGCGCTTCGAGCGGCAGTGATCGTCTGCGATGTCTGATGTCGTCGGCCTCAAACTCAATAGTTGAGCCTTGGGGCGCGTGGAGAGACAGAAGTCGTAGCGAGTGACGTCCCATGACTTTTGAGTCTATCAGTCAGTGCTTTCTCCATGCCAAGCGCACTTTCTCAATTCGACTTCAGTCTATCCAGTCGACGACCGACGCCCGCCACAATCACCGACATTTCCCTCCACCAACACCCCAGGAACGATGTCGACCTTCGAGCCGGTGGTACGTTCGATCCTGACTCTGCGCTGCACGAGAATCGTCGCCCCGCGGTGTGCATGTGATGGATGAGGACACAGTGCTGAGACTATAACAGATTGTCATTGACGGCAAGGGCCATCTGCTCGGCCGTCTGGCCTCGACAGTGGCCAAGCAGCTCCTGAACGGCCAGAAGATTGTCGTCGTCCGCTGCGAGGCCCTCAACATCTCTGGGGAGTTCTTCCGCGCCAAGCGTACGTCCAGCACATCCCCACGCACGAACCGCGCACAAATTAACACATTGCATGCAGTGAAGTACCAGGCCTTCCTCCGCAAGCAGACCCGTTACAACGCGACCCGTGGTGGCCCATGGCACTACCGAGCCCCCGCCAAGATGTTCTGGCGCACCGTCCGCGGCATGATTCCTCACAAGACTGAGCGCGGCGCAAAGGCCCTCGAGCGCCTCAAGACCTTCGAGGGTGTCCCACCACCATACGACCAGAAGAAGCGCATGGTCGTCCCACAAGCTCTCCGTGTCCTGCGCCTCAAGCCAGGCCGCAAGTACTGCACCGTTGGACGTCTGGGTCACGAGTTCGGCTGGAAGTACCAGGACGTCGTTGCACGTCTCGAGGAGAGACGGAAGGTCAAGGGCCAGGCATACTACGAGAAGAAGAAGGCGGCACGCAAGAACTTGGCCGAGGCGAAGCAGAACGCTGCCATTCCCGACAAGGTGAAGCAGCAGCTGGAGCAGTACGGATACTAGATGGGGTGTTTCTCGCTTGAGGCCGTGGTGCCTCATGGCTCTGCATGATCATTGAGGGACAGCTGCATCTGGTCTGGCGGCTGCGGTTACGGGTTCAGCAGTTCAGGCGTTCAGATAGCGTCGAAACGTCGCAAAAGGGTTGAAAACGTATTATGAAGTCTCAAAAGAAGAGCTGTAACTTTCCCACCGAACATCATCGAGGATGTCCCATATGATGTAGTTCAGGCCACGCTACGGACAACCATTTGCAGCACATGAGCGAAACCCGTCCCATTCCCCAAGCACTATGAAATGCCTCCTGAAGTGGCCAGATTGCTTTCCATTGCTATACGTATCTACATTTGTGTGTCACTACCGAGTGCCAGCAGATCCACACTCCGGAAAATCCGTCTCCGTATTGTAAGTACAACTCTCATCCACCACCTCCATCTGAATCGTCGAATTGTCATTCTGATAAGTACTCCTCGCCGGCCCAACACTCACATACCCTTCCACACTCTCCTCTCCCGTAGCAATATCCGTCTGCTTCAGCATTCGTTCAAACAAGGTCAACGCAGCTAGGGGCTAAAACAAAAGCACGTCAGTCAAAATCCAGAAACTGCGACTGGAGGAACATACCTTGTAGAAGGGGACTTGATGCCCAGCATCATAGATCCTGACGAAACTGTATTTCCCAGACTGCTTGACGACGCCGTGGACCTGGCCGTCGGACGTCGTGAGGTTCTCGTACCCGGCGCCGGACCAGCCTGGCGCGTCGATGGAGGTGGCGACGGCTTCGACGCCGATCTGCTCATACGCATCATCATAAGTCAGTATATCTTCATAGAACGATGATAGGTTGGGAAAAGCAAGAAGAGTGTAATCTAACCCAACTGCACATATAATCCGCATCGCCATTGTAGTGCACGACGTACACCCCCTCGTCCACCAACTTCTTGTTCTTAGCTGGGATATCGAAAACCCTCGCGTCGTCGCCCGTAGTCCCAAACGCCGTGGCGACGGTTCCTGTCCCGAGGTTCGTGACGGAGTAGGAGAAATTCGTGAACGCGCCGATCGCCTGCTGGACCTCCGGGCGGTTGAGGTAGCTCACCCAGGTGGTAGGCGGGAAGGGGTTGGGAGAAAGGTATCGCAGGTCATATTCGTCCCTGCCGGTCACGGTATCGTAGAGGTACTCGACTTCCTGGTAGCAGAGGTTATCTGCCGCGGAGCAGATCCCGTCGTCGCCACGGGCGTTGCAGTCTAGCAGTTGGTCGAGGCAGTTTCCTTCGCCGTAGAGGGCGTTGTAGAGCTGGGCTTCGGAGGAGGTGTTGAAGGGTTTGAAGTTCCAGTTGTTTCCTGGGGAGACGGTGAAGTTATAGTGGGCTTGGAATTGCGTGATGGGGTCGAACCAGCCGTTGCCGACTGCCACGGAGCGGAGGTCGCTTTGGGTGGTGCCGGCTGTGTTCAGGGCGTTTTGTGAGAGGATATAGTCTGCGAAGATGGGGCCGTAGTGCCCGCCGTAGCTTTCTGTGGCGAGGTGGATGCCGTTGCTGGAGTACTGCGGGAATGCACCGGTGAAGCCTTGCAGAGCGGCGTAGAAGTCTGGTGCTGCTGAGGGAGTTGAGTTGGCTGTCAGGCTTGCGTTTGCTGATGAGAGCGTGCCGCAGGAGTCAGCTGGGGCGTAGTCAGGGCAGGTCGCATCTGGAAGTGTGACTATGTATCCATCCGCGGATGTGTATGCATTGAGTGGGATTGAGTAGCTGAAGCCCGTGTCTACTGGCTGGTCCAGGTAGAGCATATTGCTGGAATTGCTCCAAGAGTACTCATTGTACTGCAGATTGCCATCGTAATCTATCGAACAAGGCCCGTTCTCAGAGAAGAGTCCGACCAGTGAAGGATCGCCAGGGCCTCCATTGATCCAAATGGTAAGAGGTGCTGTTGTAGGATCCTGGTTGCGGGCCTCGAAGAACCAGAAGAAGAGATGTCTATCATCGGCCACATCGATATAGCTGCATCTTCGTGAGCTATGTGTTCGGCAGAGGCATTCTTGACTTTCCCTACCCAGAATAGCTCTTCACTCCTTCGACCGTCTCGCAGATCCCACTAGGAACCTCCTTGTACCTCACAGTGTAGCCAGCTGATCCTTCTTTGCTGGTTAGGTCTGTCGGAGCATTGATAAACTGTGCCAAAGTCCCAGGCAGTAAGACCGCCGCAGCGGACAAGTACGTCTTCATTCTTGCCAACGCCTCTGTACTTCACGAGGCAGAAACGCTTTTTCAGTAGGAAAATATCAATCCAAGCAAGGAGAGCTCGTACAACTACCTTCATACACAATGGCGCTCACCAACAACCTACCCTGTTAGCTGTCTTGCCACGCGGTGCAGTTCCCATGCGTTCCACGACCGCAAAATCTTTGTTCGGAAGCACCGCTATCATTCATCTCCGCGAAGGACAGGGACGACTGCCTCGACGATTTGTTCGGTTCGAACAGCAACCCAGCTAGCGTGCGAGTATCGAAGCGGTGTTCTGCTGGCGCTGGAGCGGATTGCGGAGCCAGAATATACAAAGCATGCAGTAGAGGCGTGCGGAATACAGCCTCGTTGAAGAAGGTGGAAAGGTGGGAAAGGTGAGTAGCCGTCGACCATGTCTCTGCGGCATGGACAATGCCCAATGGTGTTGAACCGTCTTTTTCGTGCCTTCCCCGCTGTGATGCAAACAGTCGTGCAGACCCATGTGCTCGACCAGGTTCGGGTAAAATCTCGCTTGCCTCGTGCCGGACGGTTCTCCCGAAGGGGATTAAGACATCGCTAAGGCAGAGAAGGGACGGGCGGAAGATGTTCTAGAAAAGATTGAGAGCAGGGGTGTTGCAATCGCCTCGGAGGTGGATGCGGTGAGGCATGTCTCAGGCATCGTTCTTGTGCCACTGTGCCACTGTGCCACGATGCCAATCTTTGGGACTGTCATGCCAAGCCAGGTGGTTGTCCAAGACGTGGAGTTGGATTCAGTAAGAAGAGCGTTTAGGAGCCAATATGTCTGAGAACTCGACTTTGCTTGGGTCTTGTGCTCCAGTATGCCGTGCCACTGTTGAAGCTGCGGCGTGGGTCAAGAACACAATGGGTAGGCTTTCAAAGATGTGTAAATCGTCTTATTGAAATACTTGGCAGGAAGAAGGCATCCCCACTACTGAGACTGTTGGAAGGTCAGCTATCTCCTCAGCAATACTGGCAAGCTGTAGGTATCGTTGTGACATATATTCTCCTGCTGAGATAGAGAGGCACATGTACGTCAGTAGGCGACCTATCTTTCAATCGCAAATGCCTTCTCATTCTTGCAAGGCCGACAGCCGTCATACCTTGGTGCTCAGGGCGTGGCAGCCAACCTCTGGGCACCATCTTCAAGCTGCCCCAGATACATTCTTGGGATAAATTTTTAGGCAGTTGTCTTGGTGAACTTTCCCAGGCCTTGACTGTTTCGACATTGCCCAATGTAACCAGCCGAAGTCAATAGTCGTAAAGGCCTCTCTGGATAACTTGGTCGAATTGCTGGCCTGAGGACAGGAGTCGTTGCCATGACACATCAAGCCGACCTGGGTGATTTCCGTATCGACACGCTGCGAACCGTACGAACCACGCGGATGCAATAATGACCACAACGTCGTGGCACAGCTGGTGTCGGTTCAATACCGAACGCCGCGGAAAGTATGACCCCATCAGGACATTACTCATGTCGCAATGGTGACCATAGTTGGGTCTTGCATTTGTTTCGGCTGGACTCCGGTTGACTTTTTGCTATGCGATCTCTGCTGTGGATGAGCCGTCATTGTCAACATCCACGCCATTAATAATGAACCAAGGCATGTGGAGCAAGACACGACATGCGAAAGAAGGGTGCAGGTCGATAGCCAACGTCCAATTGGACAGGCCATTCAAGTACCAAGCGATGCCCAGACATCGGCCGAGAGCAATTCTTGCCCCGACCCAGCAATCTCATGCAATGAATCCAGGACCAGGCCACGACGGCATTGCACGAAGGATTGTTGTGCAGAACCAATACGAGAGCATACGGTGTGACTGACCGGTGCAGTACGGAAGACTGCGAACCGGAATTGCAGCACAAATGTCTCATCAACGCGGCGGACTCTCTACGTAGCTCTATCCCTGGAGGCCTTGCTGCGCCGGCCGAATGAGAGAGACTGCCGCTTCGAGAAGTTCAATCGACGCCGCTAAGCATGGCGACGAGACTCTTTGATCTGCGTGTGGCGCTCTTGGCTCTCTGTCAAAGTTGGTGATGGTGTGCCTCCAGATTGAGCGCGGAGATGGGCTCCATGCGAAGGCCACGCAACGCAACTCCTGACCGCGTGGACAGACGCAAGGGCGATGGTATCGCGGAATGATCAGTGATACATACATACCATTCACTCGTCCATTGCAGGCCTCGCGATGTTTATGTACGGTCGCCACGCTGCTGCGGCATCTGGCATCGATAGCCCTGGGTCTGTTATTTCAGGTGTGGTGGAGTCGCGAGTCGGGTGGACTTTACACGCAAACGCCGACCCAAGGCCCACCGATATAGGCAGTTGGAGTGAGCTATGCCTGGTCAGGCCAGGAGGCGCGTCCTATCGCGGGGCCATAGAATATTGATTACGACATGCGTATGCGCCAGGAGGCAGGAGAACAGGCGGAACGGACGCTTTGCGCGGAAGTGCACTCGCTGCAGTGGCCGGAGAAGCGTGGTAGTGCAAGGCACAGCCAGCAGGAGGAGCAGCGATGGGTGGAGTGTGTCCAGGGCGCGGGCCAGGAGTGTTTGCTGGCTGGCTTGGCTGATGGCATGCAATCGAGCGAAGCATTGTGGGGTGCCGGCGGCGCCTAATATGGGTGTGCAGCGCAGAGCAGCGAGGCACTCAGGCAGCGAGGGAAACTGTGGGATGATGATGGCCGTGCGAGGCTCGTGAAGCCAACCGCTCGCTCGTTTCTCTCGCTTCTGCGCTCGCATTCCCTCGTCCGCCGCCGCCGCCGCCCCTCCACATCATAAACAGCCTCTGCCGCTGCCCTCGTCCACTCTCCTTCGGGCGAAGAAAGGCCCGACCACTCCCTGCCTCGCTTCTGTGCCACCCAGATCCACCTGCCTCGCGGGATCGCCACAAGGCTGAGGCCAAGCATCGCGCGTCTGCAACTCGCCGAACTTTTGGTTACATTGAGGGTCCTCGAACTGGCAACGACCGGCGCCAAGCGTCTCTTTACATCACTCCCCAGAGCACTCGCCGTCGTCTGCTCACAAATATTTTCCGCCTCTTAATCCACCCACCCGCCCGCTCCAGCTCTGCCTGAGGTTTCTGTTCAATGCCTGGACTCGTCCCTTCATAGCATCATCCCTTTGAGAACGCTTGCGCCTGTCGCTTTCGGAAGGTCATGGAACATGCTTCACCAGAAGAGTACGACGACCACGCCAGCGACGCTGAGTCGGCCGGCGACGACCACGATGTCAAGCTCGAGTCCGACGCCTCGCCTGCTGCCACTGGGAGTGCCGTGAGCAAAAATGCGCCGGCTGTCAAAGCGCATCTGCAAAAGCGGCGGAGAGTCACCCGCGCGTGTGACGAATGTCGGAGGAAGAAGATCAAGTGCGACGGCAAGCAGCCCTGCACACACTGCACGGTCTACAGCTATGGTGAGGAATCAGAAGATTGAAAAGATGCTCGATTGGCTAATGTCTCTCCAGAATGCACCTATGATCAACCATCCAATCGACGTAGAAACCCCGCGCCCCAATATGTTGAGAATCTTGAACATCGAGTGCACCGTGCGGAGTCTTTGCTACACATCCTGATCCCAAACCTCGACCTGAATGATCCTGGCATCGACGCAGCGGTTGCTCAAGGTTGGATCCCTGGCGCACCGGGCAAAGGCCACCCCACAGCTGCACAACCACCAACACCGGCGCGGCCTCCTCCAGCACCAGCAGCCGCAAATGCAGAAAAGAAGCCTGATACCAACCTGGAGTCAATGGTTCGCGCTGTTGCCCAGCTTGACATGGATGAGACGGGTCATTGGGACTACCACGGCCACTCGTCAGGACTGAGCTTTGTAAGAAGGATGCGAGAGCAATTGGGCGATTTGATGGGTCCAGACACTCAAGCAACTCCATTTGTGAAGACAAGGCCCATGTCTCAGGTCCTTGACTCCCCCAAATCTTCCGCTGGATCGCCAATGGGTGGTGACCTGTCTTCTGTGACTGCTCAGGACCTACCTCCAAAGGACATCGCTCGAACTCTCTGTGGACTTGCTATCAACGACGCCGCTGCGCTCTTGCGCATGGTACATCAACCAACGTTCTGGGCCAGCTTCGAACGCTTGTACAACATGTCACCTGACCACTACACCAACGAAGACAACACCTTCCTGCCCTTGTTCTACAGCGCACTCGCACTAGGCTCCCTGTTTGGAAAGGATACTAACGATGACCATTTGCATCGAGAAGGATACGAAACCGCAATCCAGCAAGGCTTCTCCTACTTCAAGATTGCCCGACAGATGATGGACATTGCCGATTGCAGAGACCTATCTTCCATCCAAGCAGTCGTTTTCATGATACTGTTCCTACAGTCGTCAGCCAAGATGTCGCAATGCTACGCATATGTTGGTGTCGCCTTGCGATCGGCACTTCGGATGGGATTGCACCGCGCTGCGGCTGGGAAGTTCGATCCTGTCGAAGCAGAGACTCGCAAGAGGGTGTTCTGGATCGTACGGAAGATGGATGTCTATGTTGGCGCAATGCTTGGACTGCCCCAGACTTTGAGTGACGACGACATCGACCAGGACTTTCCTGCAGAGGTTGACGATGAGTACATCACCAGAGACGGCGTACTGCCAATGCCGGACGGAGTTGTATCATTGATGACGGCTTTTAACTCCCACACTCGCCTGGTCCAGATCCTCCAAAAGATCGTTCGCAAGATCTATCCAATAAAGGTGCAGAGCCCACAGAGTCCTGGGGACAAGTCATACTCGATCCCGTTCTCGACCATTCGCGAAATCGAAAGCGATCTGGAGGAATGGAAGAACAACCTGCCGCCCATTTTCAGTCCCTGCGAAGCGCCAGCTCGCTACACGAGAATACAACAGCTCCTCCGCCTCTCGTATGCCCACGCCCAGGTTCTCTTATATCGGCCCTTCTTGCACTTCACTGCAATGGACAAGAGGTCAAAACCCGTCGATCAAAGAGCTTACGCCTGTGCTGCATCTTTCGTCAACGTCTCGCGGAACATCGTCCACATCGCTTCTCAGATGAATCAAAAAGGTCTTCTCAATGGTGCTTTTTGGTTCATCATGTATACAAACTTTTTCTCCATCCTCGCGCTGGTGTATTTTGCAGCAGAAAATCCGGACAATCCCACTACGGAGGCAGTGATGAAAGACGCCATTGAGGGCAAGGACGTCCTCGCGGCGCTGGCAACTCGAAGCATGGCGGCTGATCGATGTACGGCGACTCTGAACATTGTCTTCTCGCGGCTTCCAACATGGATGCGGGAGGGCAAGCAAAACCCGGGGATCACCAAGAAACGGCCATTTGATCAGAGTACAGGTGCTTATCCGCCAGCGCACGTGCAGGCTTCGCGTAGCCACCCTGACGTCTCCAGCGGTGGACAGGATCTTTTGCAGAGTGGCAAGCGAGCAAATACGTATCCCAACGGGCCTATGGCAGCAACTACGAACGGTACTTCGTCTCCCTTTGAAAGCTCCTGGTCGCAGTCTGCTTCTTCGTATGGGGGCCCACAGACGCCAACGACATCAACCTTCGAGACGGCGAGTTATTCGTCAGCAAATCAGAGGAGTGTATCGCATCCCCAAAGTAATGGCATGCCTTCGCAGTATGCTGTACCGCCGAACTTTGCGAACCCGCAGCTCACGGATCTGTCGTCGATGATGTTTCCAACTGCGGATGAGCCTTTTGTCTACCCAAACCAACCACTGACGACGTTCGAAAACAATCAGTACGCCAAACAGAACTCCTATATGAACGCCCAGCACCCCTACAATGGTGCCGAAGCAGCAAGTCCTGCAGGGTCACAAACAAGAGGTCGGGACGAAAATATAGAGGCTCAGTTCTTCGCGCTGCCGCCATACATCAAGCAGGGTCACCAACAACAGGCGATCCCACAACACATGCATCCCCAAGCACGCGGCATGGCCTACTCTCAAGCCATTCCGTACTCCAACGGACAGCCCACGAGCGCCGCGCAGGCAATGCAGATGCCCAATGGCAACTGGGCGGGCCAGCAACAGCCATACCAGCAGGACATGTCGAACATCAACATTCAAGACCTCTTTGGCGGCACAGAATGGAATCCAATGTTTCAGCACCCTGGATACCAGGCTCAACGATGAAAGGTAGAGAGATTGGATGGGGGTTGGGGCTCCATAGAGCGGCATTGAACGGCTTGGCATTGTAACGAATAACGAGATACCCATTGAAAGCGTTGAGGCGTTATGAGGGAAGGATAGGGCGTGATAGACAGGATCGATGGCGTGCGGTGAGGTGGACTTTGTGTTTTAGATGTGAAGATCAGCAGAGCATTAAAAGTGTGAGCCAAGAATACACTGTTGCATGTATGACTACCATTCCCAGACATCTCTCTCGGTACTGCGGTATTCACTATCGGTAGTCGATAAGACGAGCGCATGACCTGTTGGAGGAGGAGGTGGTGGGGGAACTTGCAAAGTCGAGCTCATCTTCAACAGCTGCTGCAAGCCGAAGCATCCAGCACCACTCACGAGCTGCTACAACCGTCCTGCAGACGCCCTCAATTCGATGGCCCGCACTCGATCCCTGAATCCATTCCTCTTCTTCCCAGCCCAGGTCACCATCCTCACCTCGATCGTGTACATCGTCCTCTTCGCAGTGGTCATCTGGGTGGCAGAAACCGTCCCCGCAGCGCCCTCGAACAAGACGCCCGTGGCTGGTGTGAACCTCACCGAAGCTTGGTTGGACCTCGAGAATATCACCAATGGCCTCTACCACCCATGGGGCTCCCGCGCGAACGAGCAGGTGCGGGAGTACTTGCTGAAGAAGATTGAAGAGATCGGAGAGAGGAACGAGGTCGAGAGGAAGACGATATACGCCGCCAATGGCACGTTCACATCCGAGACGGAGGGCGTGAAGGCTCTGAATATCTTTGCCAGTGACAGCTCGAATTTCACGGGTAGTGATGGCTGGACGAAGAGGCCGACGACGCTGTATGGCGAGAGTGAGAACATCCTGGTGTATATCCGTGGTCAAGAGGACGCGGAGGGGGACTGGTGGAATACAACTGTGCCGTACAGGGGCTCTAGTGGAGTCCTTGTGAATGCGCACTTTGACAGTGTTCCTTCAGGGCTTGGGGCTACGGATGATGGGGTGGGAGTTGTTACGATCCTACAGCTCATCTCGCATTTCACGCAACGGGGGAATCAGCCTAAGAGGGGAATTGTGGCACTGCTGAACAACGGTGAAGAGAATGGCTTGTATGGAGCGAAGAGTTATGTTCGACATCCACTGTCGCAATTCCCGCATACGTTCTTGAATCTGGAGGGCGCTGGAGCTGGTGGCCGAGCAATCTTGTTTCGATCCACCGATGCAGAAGTGACATCCTTCTACGCTAAAAGTCCGTATCCATCTGGAAACATAATCAGCGGAGATGGATTCAAACGTGGCTTCGTGCGTTCTGGCACTGATTATACACCCTTCACGGAGGAGCTGGGGATGCGAGGGTTGGACGTGGCATTCTACAAGCCTCGTTCACGATACCACACCGATGAAGATGATGTGAGGAATACAAGCCCTGACTCCGTCTGGCATATGCTTTCGTCCGCCCTGGCTACCATGCAAGCTCTGACTTCATATGATGGGAAGGAGTTTGAGGGCACGCCGGATAAGAGAGGGAGACTGGTTACTGGTACAGGCAGCGATGCCGTCTGGTTCGATGTCTTTGGTCTGGGCTTTGCTGTGGCGAAGCTCAGCACTCTCTTCGCGCTATCTGTGACTTTGCTCGTTGCAGGCCCCGTCATCTTGATCATTCTCGAGGTTCTTATCCGAAAGAGCGACAAGTGGTATCCGTTCGCTGGCAAACGCTACCTTCGGTCATCCGACGATGACGAGGCAGTGCGACTTCATGGTCGACGAGGTTTCTTCCGTTTTCTGATGGCCTTCGTACTTGCGACGGCGGTCACCGTATTGCTGGGGTATCTGCTGGCAAAGGTCAACCCGCTCATCGTCTATAGCAGCGAGTATGCTGTGTTGGCGATGTATGGCAGCGCCTGGTTCGCGGTTGCTTGGTTCGTTCTCAAGGGGGCATCAAGCATCAGACCTACCGCACTTCAGCGTATGTTCGTTCTGATCTGGCTTTACGTCCTCTCCTGGGTCTTGCTGGTCTTGACGACTGTGGGCGAGAATAACCTACATCTCGGCAGCGGTTACTTCTTCGTCATCTACAACGCTTCCGTATTCGTGGCTTTGCTGATTTCGTATCTCGAGCTCTTCGTGCTACCGAATGTTCAGAAGTACGTTGAACATGTGCTTGGCGTGCAGGGAGACGCGGCTTCTACGAGACCTGGCAGCCGATCGTCAAGAAACCTCTTGGACCAGGGCGACAATGCGAATGACGATGGAGAAGCGACTGAACGAACATCACTCCTTCGCGGCAGGACGAATAGGACAAATCAGAACACATTCACTGGCGTGAGTCGACGACGAGCAGACCGAGATGAAGTTCCGGACGATGTGGACGACCCGTATTTGAGCAAGCACTACATTGATGAGCAAGCATGGTCCAGCTCTCTGCCGCAGTGGACGTGGCTTCTGCAGTTGATTTTCTTGGCGCCTATCAACATCATCATTGTCGGCCAGATCTTGCTGTTATTGACAGCTTCGATTAACCAGACGCCCGCGGATGGCAATGCGGTTTTGCCAGTGTACCTCTTGACGGCTGTGCTGACCGTTCTCTTGCTCTTGCCACTAACGCCCTTCCTGCATCGGATTACGTTTCATGTTCCGACTTTCTTGTTCCTTATCTTTCTTGGTGAGTAGGCAATCTTCTTGAGGGGTTGGAGCAAAACTAACGATGGTAGGATGCTTAATCTATAATCTAGTCGCCTTTCCATTCTCCAGAGAAGCTCGACTAAAGTACTTCTTCGTTCAAGAAATGGACCTGGACAGCGGCGTGAACAATGTCACACTGCTCGGAGTTGATGGCTTCTTGCAAGACATTATCGAAGAGTTTCCTAGTGCTGCCGCTCAGAAGCTAAATTGTGCTGAGACAGCCGTGGCCAACAGGAACGGACTCGCAGAATGCAGCTGGCATGGTCTTCCACCGAATGTCGTTCCAAGGAAATACAACGGTCTTCCATCGAATTCCACCCACAAAGACTGGATCCACTTCAACGTGACGAAACATGGCAACTCGGCGTCATTCAGTCTGCAAGGACAGAAGACCAAGATCTGCCGTTTATACTTCGACGACCCAGTTTCCAGCGTCGCTGTGGAAGGCGGGGCATCCGACGACCGGCAACCGAACGTCCCAGAAGGCGGCAGCAACCAAGTACATCTTTTCTCTCGAACCTGGGATAAGACATTCCGAGTGAACGTGACCTGGGACGAGGCTCAGGCGAAGGGCCAGACAGGTCGGGTAGCGTGTTTCTGGAGCGATGCGAACCAGCCTGGGACCATACCTGCGTTTGATGAAGTACGTCGATTCGAGCCGGTGTGGAGCGCCGTGACCAAGCAGGAGGATGGGTTGTTCGAGGGTTGGAAGGCGTTCTCGATATGAGGCCGTGCCTTTGTTTGAATCAGAGTTGGCGTTGTTTTACCATGCACAGTGCATAGCGATGGAGTCGTCGGATAGCGAATGTAATGTCTTCATGTGAAATGCTCCTCCGCGTGGCGAGACACGGCTATCTCATCGCCTTCGAAGAGGCCACAAATTGGACACTTCGCCGTCGCAGTCGTAAAGCCCACCTCGTTGCCTCGCGTTGAAGTCTCCCCGTCCTCATCAGAAGACGGGAACTGGATATAATCCGCCAGCGTCCTTGGTGGAGGTCCATCCAGCGCATCATCCTCGCCACGCTCCAACTCCACCCTTCGCCCACCACAACCACCACCACCAGCGTGCGCACCCCCTACCTTCGCAGCAGAGCCACCGCTACCCCCACCCGCACCAACCATCCTCTGCACCCTCCCAACCCTTCCATCGCTAAGCCGCACTTTAATCCCTCGAGGATGATTTCCTCGAGTCAGGAGGTCTTGCACGACGCCTTGGACTTCGCGGCCGGTGGGTTGGTCTTGTTTGAGGACTATGGAGACGGATGTGCCGGGGAGGACTTGGGTTGTGGTGGGGACTGTGGTGGGATAAGGGGGGCGGGGGGTGTTGTGGCCGCCACCCCGGGTTTGGCCTCGATTGTTGTTGGAGTGGTCTCCTCGAGCTTGGCTGCTTTGGCCTCCTCGAGAGCTGGTTTGCCCACCGCCGCGATTCGGGCGCTGCTGGCGGTTCCGGGGTCTGTTCATTCTCGCAGTTGACCGGGATGTTTGGAGGATGCGTGTGAAGCGAAGTCCCATGCAGCAGGCAAGTTGTTGGTACGAGTTGAAGATCGCCAAAGTGCTTGAAGTTCTGAGCCCCTCATTCTGATTGGCCATATCTCGCGAAAAGTGGGCCCACTGTTCCTGACTACACCTCCTCCTTTCTGTCGCACAATCCTTCGAACTGCACCTTTTAGTCTTTCCTTTCTGCCGCATGACTACTAGTACACCTGCATCATGCAATGGCATCCGACGTGGAGAGAGGATTCGAGCGAGGCGTTCCACATGTCCGCTATTCGATCGCGAGTTTGTACCTGCATGCGGGCAGTACTGTGTTCTTTCGAGCCTCTCGTGGTGGCAGCTTTGGGGAAAGGCAAGCCACGGACATGTTGGCAAACCAGTAAATGAGTCCTTGTCGTCATAAGAGGTCAAAATTCGACTGAAAAGCACACCGGTGAACCATGCCCCGTCTTCTGCCTGAGACGGAGGCCTTTTCGCAGTGCCCTCCAAAATGAGGCACAGCGTAGCAAGCTTCAACCATCTGCGTGATCAACTCCTACCATGCAAGACAGACATACCTGTGGAGGTTGATGACCCGATTCTACCTTTCTGGGCGATCATCGCCTGCGAGGATGAAGCTTATGCTAGCGACTAACTCTTTAGAGGACTATACAGACTCTGCTTTTGACCTAATTCACAAGGCCAAGATTTCTGCGCGGCTACGGTGGAAGATGCTTGTGTGCGGGATCGTGGAGAGAAGCATTGGATGTGACATGCGAATTGCGGATGTCACTGTCGATACGAGGGCTGGATTGCCTGCGCAGCCGCGACATACATAGAGCCGTCTACCCTCTGGAGTGGTCTCAGGCCATGCTACATCGTTGAGGAGCATCTCCCGTGGTACAGAAAAGATGCAGATCACGGCTCTGCTCTGGTCGTGTTCTTTCGCAAGCCTTGCTCTCGCCCAATGGAACCACCGTGGATGGGGCGGCTGGCATCCTGGACCTGATCACAATCACAACAGCGATACGGCCAAAACAATCGATCTTACCGGCAACGGTTGGACACTACGAAGCCAAAACGGTAGTATTGAAGTGCCGGCCAGAGTACCTTCTCAACAGTTCTTGGACCTATATGCTGCAGGAGTCATTGGGGACCCTCTCTTTGGCCTCAACAATACCTATGAGACCTGGGTACGTGATCAGAACTGGACGTACTCCCGATCTCTTCGCGATGTCCGTGCATCGCCTGGCACGACCACTCTTCTTGTCTTCAAGGGCTTAGATACGTTCACAACCATCTCCCTCTGCGGCAAGCAAGTTGCATACACACAGAATCAGTGGAGACAATACGTCTTTGATGTTTCAAACATACTGCAGTCCTGCCGCGGCACGCCTCAGCTTTCTCTCAACTTTGGACCCGCTGTCAACGTCACCCACGAGATCAGCAAAGGACCGGAAGGAGACCGTAAGTCTTCTGAACCGCTATATACTGCCGGATGAATGCGATGATCACTGACTTCTTGATCATGCTAGCTCTTGTAAATGAATCCGACGGATGTAACGACAACCCTGGCTCAGAACTCAGCTGTAGGGTATATGCTAGAAAAGAACAGAGTGATCTTGGATGGGACTGGTCCCCGTCGCTAGCTCCTGCTGGACCGTGGCGCCCCATTTATGCAGTGCAACTGACCGGAAACGAGATCTATGTCAACAATGCCGCCATCGACATCTATCGGAAGGGGCAGCAGAACAATCTCTCACCTGATCAATCTCAACCATGGATATTCAATGCAAGCATCGACTTCACTAATCCATCCTCAGCCGGCTTCCACCACCGCGCTTTGCCACGAGAGACAAAGATGCAGCTGACTCTGACAGACGCTGGCGGCAGGCAGGTTCTACAACGGCAACTGAGCGGCGTATACAGTTCCGCCGAAACCGTGACCGGCAGTACTACGATAGATCCAGCCTCCGTGCAGCAGTGGTGGCCAAATGGGATGGGCGCTCAGACTCTCTATACTGCCAAGATCGATATCATCACCGACAACGGCCGCTTTGGACAACAAAGCACAATCGGCAGTGTCGAGCGTCGTGTGGGCTTCCGGACCATTGTTCTTAACCTAGGGGCCATAACCGACGAGCAGCTTGCCCAGGGCGTAGCTCCAGGTGCTAATTGGCATTTCGAAGTCAATGGAAACACCTTCTATGCTAAAGGCGCCAACATAGTTCCTCTCGATGTATTCTGGCCAGAGATTGACGATGCAAAAGTCACACAGCTTTTCACCCTTGCCAAGGAATCGAGCATGAACCTCATCCGTGTCTGGTCTTCCGGCGCCTATCTTGACGACTGGATCTATGATATAGCAGATGAGATGGGCATTTTGCTGTGGTCAGAGTTTGAATTTGCCAGTGCTGTCTACCCGGTCACTCCGCGCTTCCTGGAAGAGTATGAAGCAGAAGCCTACTACAACGTCCGCCGAATCAATCATCATCCCAGCCTTGCGCTGTGGGCTGGTGGGAATGAACTCGAGATAGTTGAGCTTGGCTTCTATTACGGCAAGCCTGAATTTGCCTACTATCAACAAATCCAGGAAGAGCTACTCATCAAATGCGTCTACGCCAATACAAAGTCAATCAGCTACATCCCATCCTCTACGTACAACGGGTACACCAGCATCGATTTCGACTCCGTCCGGCCTCTGACGAGTCGATATCGCAACACCTCGGGTCCAGACTACTACTACAACGACACCGATTCGTACAACTACGATGCTCCGACACTCTTCGACTTTAACACTTACCCTGTAGGGCGCTTTGCGGACGAATTCGGTTTCATCGCTATGCCGTCTGTACAAAGCTGGGAGCTCGAAGCAGCGGCTGATCAGTTGTACTATCCCTCCGATACAGTCATCAACCACAATCGACATTCAGGACTCAACTTTGGCGAGAGCGGGGATGCAATGCAGGCTTCCTTGGCTGGTCTTGCACAGATGACCCTTGGTGTAACGACGTATCTTCCGGTGCCTGATCTGCAGGATTCGAGAGCGAACTTCAGGTATGATGTTCATTTACAATGGCGAGAGCTGAGACTGAATAATCCTAGTGCCTGGTGCTACTCTACCCAAGTTGTGCAGGCAGATGCGATAGGACACCAGCTTGCGTTCTACAGACGCGGTTCTGGCTTGCCCGAGCGGCAACTTGGCTGTCTCTACTGGCAATTGAATGATGTGTGGTATGATTGAGAACCGTTCTGTATCGACATGACGAGTGGGCTTACCATTGTGGCAGGGCGGCACCGACTTGGTCAAGCGTCGAGAATACCGGTCGTCAGAAAATGCTCTACTATGTCGGCAAAGACTTGTACTCACCTGTCATCGTCGTAAGTTTTGCTGAAGAGCCAGTTGTGTGATAATGTCGTGAGACACATGCTAATATGCCTGGACCAGTACCCATACTACAATCGTAATACTACTGACCTGCAGGTTTGGGTGATGTCCGATCGTACGCAGGCACTTTCTGGAACGCTCTCTTACCAGTGGTTCGATTTCTCTGGAAAGCCACTCGCTGTAGGAGGTACAGTCACTATCGAAGGTCAGCAAAACACTACAAGTAGAGGCAATATGACGAACTCGAAACCCGAGACAATCAACTTCAATGTTGGTGCCATCAACGTAAGTGCGGACTGAAGGTTGACCGCATTTTATCAATTTTGCTGACTTCGTGGCTTCCACAGACCACACAAGTCTTGCACTATCCGAACCTCGGACAGACACTCGCCAACAGCAACGTCAACGCCTCGAATGCCGTCTTGTTCCTCTCCATCACCGCCGGCTCATACAAGCATAGTCAAGTCTTCCACCCTCTCTATCTCGGCCAGGCAAATCTGCAGGACCCAGGCCTCAAGCTCACAAACTCTGGAGGCAACTCTTGGACCGTCACTGCCACCAAAGCTGTAGCTGGATGGGTTTGGCTCGAGTACGATACGAATGATGTGTTGGGATACTGGTCTGAGAATGCGTTCTGGTTGAATAAGGGCGAGAGTAGGACTGTGACGTTTACTGTGTTCAGCGATGAGAGTGGAGGGCAGTGGCCAAGTACCGTGAGCGTGAGGAGTGTATATGACAACAAGCGATCGTAAAGGGTCTCTTCAGCAGAGAAGGAGGAAATGGGGATTCAGTCAAGATCCAGTAATCCAAATATACGACCACTTACGAACGGACATGGTATCAGGTGCCGTAGATCAACGATCGATAGGCATATACATATCATGTATCAGGAGCCTACTGTTATCCAAGTAATGTCTTGCCTCAACGGCACGTGACAGTGTTTTGTGATTGGTTAGCTTTCTCGGAAGCAGCCGCTCCGCTCCGAGCGTAACTTCAGTCACTTTTGACGAGTGGACTTCACAGATTTCTGGACAGTCCACTGAGGCGAGTGCTCTTCCGAGCCACCTCGACAACTCGCCAAAGACACTGAACCACATCACAACGAACGAAAAGTCAACATCACATTTCGACATGGCGGCCACGGTCCGGTCGGCAGTGCGACTGCCCACACCGGAGCCTGGCGATGTCGTCGCAGAGAGTAGCTCGAGAAAACGGAGCTCAGTATCGCGCTCACCCTCACCCCGCCGTGAGGCACCTTCCTTGCGACGAAGATCACGATCTCGCTCCCCGCCTCACAGAAACGGGCCTCTTCCTCGAGATGTCGACCGCGATCGCGCAAGAGAACGAGCTCGCCAGTTGGAGATGCGCCAGAGAGAGCAAGCTGAGCCAGCAAAGCCTCTCACTGATGCTGAAAAACAGGCAGCGGCAAAGGCAGAATATGACAAGCTGTTGAACATGCGCTCTGGAGGAACATACATCCCACCGGCCAGACTGAAGGCTCTGCAGGCACAGATCACGGACAAGACTTCGAAGGAGTATCAGCGTATGGCATGGGAGGCGCTGAAGAAATCGATCAATGGTTTGATCAACAAGGTCAACGTCTCGAACATCAAGCACATCGTCCCGGAACTATTCAACGAGAACCTTGTGCGTGGCCGAGGACTGTTCTGCAGGAGCATCATGAAAGCGCAAGCCGCTAGTTTGCCATTCACTCCGATCTATGCAGCCATGGTGGCTATTGTTAACACGAAGCTCCCGCAAGTTGGAGAGCTCCTAATCAACAGGCTGATCATACAGTTTCGAAAGGCGTTTAAGCGAAACGACAAGAGCGTCTGCCACAGCAGCACCACTTTCATTGCGCATCTGATCAATCAACAAGTTGCGCATGAGATGCTCGCAGCACAAATGCTTCTCTTGCTCCTGCATAAGCCGACAGATGACAGTGTTGAGATTGCGGTCAGTCTGATGAGGGAGGTGGGGCAACATATTGAAGAGATGAACTCGCAGATTGCGCTGGCTGTCTATGATCAGTTTAGAAGCATTCTCCACGAGGCGGACATTGATAAGCGAGTGCAATACATGATCGAGGTGCTGTTCCAGATCCGGAAAGACAAGTACAAGGATCATCAGGCAGTCAGAGAAGAGCTGGATCTGGTCGAAGAGGAGGACCAAATCACCCACCGACCAGGCCTAGATGATCAGCTGGTTGCTGAAGACGGTCTCAACATCTTCAAGTTCGACCCCGAGTATGAGGCCAATGAAGAGGCATACCGAAAGCTCAAGGCCGAAATCCTAGGCGAGGCATCCGGCAGCGAAGATGAGGGTGACAAAGACGGCTCGGACGAAAGCAGCGACGAGGATGAGGAGGATGCTGCTGACAAGGCCGTTGAGATCAAGGACCAATCGAACACGGACCTCGTGAACCTACGGCGTTCCATCTACCTCACCATCATGTCCTCTGGCGGCTTTGAGGAAGCTTGCCACAAGCTTATGCGTATCAACCTGCCAAGCGGACGCGAGGAGGAGTTGCCATCGATGATCATCGAATGCTGTAGTCAAGAGAGGACGTACAACAAGTTCTTCGGTCTGATTGGCGAGCGCTTCTGCAAGCTCAATCGTCTTTGGCAGGATCTTTTCCAAGACATGTTCGTCAAGTACTTTGAGACCATTCACCGATATGAGACGAACCGACTGCGTATCATCGCACAATTCTTCGGACACCTGCTGTCGGCCGATGCCATAGGTTGGCATGTCTTCCACGCTGTTCACCTGAACGAAGAAGACACTACCAGCTCAAGTCGTATCTTTGTCAAGATTCTCATCGAAGATCTTGCGCAAGGTGTGGGCATGAAGTCGTTGCAAGAACGCTTCAAAGACGATGCTCTCCAGCCCGCATTGGCAGGCATGTTCCCAACCGACAATCCTAAGAACACTCGCTTCAGCATCAACTTCTTCACAGCGATCGGCATGGGTGCGCTCACTGAAGGCATGCGAGAATGGCTCAAGAACATGCCCAAGCCAGCTCCTGCACCTCTACCAGTAGCCAGGAGTCCTACTCCCAGCAGCCGGGGACGCAGCGAAAGTGTCAGCAGTTACAGCAGCTATTCCAGCTACTCGCGCTCCGACTCCAGGTCGCGCTCCAGGTCACGCACTCCTCCAAGGCGGGGAAGAGGGAGAAGCTACACCAAGTCGCCTACGCCCAAAAAGGGTGGCAGGAACGATTCATACTCGCGGTCTCGCACACCACCTAGGCGACGAAGGTCTCCGTCTTACGACTCAAGATCGCCACCACCGAGAAGGGATAGGCGCGATGACGATAGCGTTTCTCGTAGCCCGCCGAGACGTCGTAGAGACAGCTACAGCGACGCCTCTAGGTCTCGTTCTCCACCTCGCCGGCGGAACTCACCTCCACGCAATAGCAACGGCCGCCAGCGCTCACTCTCGGACTCTCGCTCACCTCCTCCACGGCGAGGCCGCACGGAGTCACGCTCTGTGTCTCCGCCCCGACACAATGGTAAGGGCTCTTCGCCACCAAGGAAACGTGCCAGAAGCGCGAGCAGTTACGGGTCTCGTTCGCCGTCGCGCTCACCACCTCGTCGAGCACCAGCTGCGAAGAGGAGAAGGAACACCAGCAGCCCAGAATCGGTCCGGTCGAGGTCTCCTCCAAGACGCAAGGATGACAAGCCTGCACCAAAGCCCGCTGCTAAGCCTCAGGATGACATGTCCCACATCCATCCTAGTCGAAGAGGTCTAATGCGTTGATTCAAGCTCAACGATCCACGCAGGCATGATCAAAGTCCATAGGTTGGGTACTCCAGAATGAAAATATTATTTCAAGCCCTCAGAATGGTTCCATGCGATTCGTATGCGTCTTCCGATAAGTGCCTGCCGTGATCAGCTTGTTCGTCAAGTCGTTTCTGTACGTTGGATTGCTCTCCACCAATCGCCTCCAGTACATCCAAGCCTTTACTGCAGATGCCTTGTTCATCACGGCGCAATCTTTAGCTTCTTGCTCGTCAAGGAACTGGATCTTGAGCTCGCCCGAAGCAACGACCGAGAAATCGGTCGCGGACATTTGGATTTTGGCATTTTGTTGCGTATAGATGGCCCGATAGACAGCTTCCTCGACCGTCTCTCCCCATGTGTAGAATCCATGGCCTCGTTGGAGAAGGACCGTATAGTCGGGAAGAGCAGCATCACCGCTATGACTGGACTTGGAGGAATATCTCGCCAGGCCATCACCGAGGTCGTTCGAGTTGACAAGCATATTTCTCTGCATTGACAAGGACGACGAAGCTTCCAACTCATCGTACACATCTCCGATATCGAAGACTGGCACTTTCTTGCCAAGGAAACCTGCCATGTGAACGACAGGCCTTAGACCCACTCCACTAACTCCCACGGCCAGGACTACTGGGCTCGGACTGTAAACTACAGCATTCACCCCTGGGAACCTCTTCATAATCCCCGAATGGCAGAATCTCTCACTACACGGTTGCGCGCCGCTTTCACGGTCAACTGATTTCATTGGAGAGCCATCAGAGATGTTGTAGTGTGCGAGGTCCGTTTCATTGGCAATGAAGGCGGGCGATTGTTGGCCGGTCATGTAGAACTTCGAAGGATCTTCTGGGTCGCGGAGGGAGATGTGGCCGAAGGCGTCGACGAGGCCGTGGTGGTCGAGGATGTGGTTGGCTGTGATTAGTCGGGAGAGGGAGTCTCGAAGGGGTGCGTTGAGGTTGGCCATGGTTATTGTTAGGGTTGTAGGAACAGACGAATGCAGCCAGATCTTTCATATCCATGCGCACACCAGAGAACACAAGCCATGACGCAACATAGTCAGCAGGGTCTCCACATGGAGAAGAGCTCAAGAGCTCGAAGTCTAATCGGAAAGTGGGCTCGTTTGCGAGAGACATGATATGGCATTGGAGAAGCCATGGGCCAGAATTCATTCACTCGAAACCTTATGCCAAGAATCGTCGCCTTTTCACGGGCAAGCGATTTGTAGAATGCTACTGGACCGCTATACAACACCGAATATTATGCACAAGAATGATGGTCATCTATGATATCAGATCGTCTTCTTCATGAATCTCGTCGCGTTCTGCCTTAAAGCTTCGCCCTACCACCAGCAATAGATTCCCAGTCTCCCTTCGTAAATCGTACATACTTGTCAGATCCAGGCGGCAGCCAGAAGAGCTCGTCCTCGCCCGTCTTGCTGGGGTCAGCGCCCTCGTTCCTCAGTGCCACCTTCTGGTGCTTCAAGGTGCCAGTGATTTCGAACTCTTTCATCAGTCGCAGGAACAGGGGGACGGCGTATCGCGGTAGTCTTCTCCTGGCGTGGCTGGCAAGGTCTGCCCCTAATTGTCCATCGAGGGACTGGCCTTCTGTCAAGCCAATTGCGGCACATCCAGCTCGACCATCGTGGTTTGGCAGTTGGATACCGTACACGTTGGCCTCCTTCAAGGCAGCGTGGGATCCTAGAGCTTCGGAGACCTCAGCCGTGCTGACGTTCTCACCCTTCCAGCGGAAAGTGTCACCGATACGGTCGATGAACCACCATCTGTTCGATCGTCAGTTTGTATTCGTGGACAAGATCCAATCTTCCTTTCTTTAACTTACCTGCCGTCAGCGTCCCGTCTTTGTAGATCTCCACTACGGTACCAGGCGTCTCCTTTCTGAAAGACATCCTTGATGATTTTACTCGACGATGCCTTGTCGTTTCCGTAGTAACCCTGAAACTTGTCACTGATGTTGGCTGGGTCGAGCCAGTACAGGAGCTCTCCAGGTTCGTTCGTATCGGCCTTGATGCAAAAGCCAGTTTTTGGGTCCTTGAGCGGCGTGTCTGTCTCGTGATCATGCTTGACAATCACCTGTGTACCACCAAAGAGGGTCCTCGTAATCAGACCTTGTCTGCCAATGGCACCTCTGTAGAAGTCGTTGTTGCTGTACACCATGCTCGCTCCAGGCGCCTCGGTTGCTCCATAGAACTCGCAAACAGTAGGTATGGCGTATCGGTCTTTGAATTTCTGCCAAACGTCTGGTCGCATTCCATTGCCAAACGCCAGTCGAAGCTTGTGCGCCTTGTCCCATGGCGTGGGAGGGCTTGTCACGAGATAACGACACATCTCGCCGATGTACTGCATTACCGTGGCGTTGGTCTCTGTTACTTGCTTCATCTGGGTTCGCGGCGAAAACTTTTGGGCGACGATGGTAGCGCTCCCGAAACCCAGGGACTGACAGACACCCAGCAACGAGGCTGAAGAATGGTACAACGGCATGGCAGTAAAGTAGCGATCTTCTGCAGTCAGAGCTAGCAGCCGCGGGAAGAAGTACTCTCCAGAAATGGGCTTCGTCCACGATACATTGGCGGCTTTTGGCAGACCCGTCGTACCAGAGGTGTAGATGAGAATGGCAGCATCTTTTGCGAGGATCCCAGATCGCTCCGAATCTGGAGCTCTGTATGGCTCCAGAGCCAGAATTTGCGACTGGAGAGAAGGATCCAAGATGACCGTCTCGATTGCGCGGCCCTTCTCATCAGGTCCAAATTGCGACTTTGCTTCCTCCGTGAGAATGTCTGACAAGCCATGATCGAGCACCAGCAGTCTCGTGGTGGAGACCTTGACACAGTGGATAAAGGCATTGTCTTGCAGGTTGGAGTTGATGAACGCAGGTGATGCACCAAGCGACCACAACGCAAACCATATCCAGACAAATTGCTCCGAGTTGCGAAAGTCCATCGCGATTATCTCGTTCCTCTTGACGCCATACGTCTCTTTCAGCCATCTGGCGTACTGGCTAACCGGACGTTAGCTTTCAATCCTTGAGCGTTTCCTTATAATTACTCACAGCACAATATCGTATGCTTCACCCCATGTCCATTCTGTCTTCGCGTTCGGCTGCTCTTCATTCTTGGGTACCGCGAGGAAAGGTCGGTTGGTGAATTTCGGGTTCTTCGCGAACTCTTCGAATCTGTAGAACGAGTTGACTCTGTCCTGCTTCTCGAGCCTGCTGGTATACGCCTGGAAGGAAATGGCCGTGTAGACACCCCAGATGTCTGCGGAGAAGTGGTATTTTGCGTTTAGGTATGCTAGGATGGCCCCGGCGGCGGGCAAGGAATGGGTCAACGGTAGCTCTCTGAGGCTCCTGGGTAGCGGGATGCCTGTGATTGAACGGTTAGCTAGCTGCTGGGGCTTCCATGGCGAGCACGTGGAAGTGACCTAACGTACTAGGTATCTTCATGGTGGAGGTGTGTACAGCTCTCGCTGGTACGCATGAAGGACAACAGGAAGAGGAGAGGCATGGTAAAGGTAAGAATGGCACAGCTCTTCACAACTAATCGACTCGGGCGCAGCAGAGCCGATGCTTCTCCATGGTTTCCGCGCGCGCTCGTTCGTCGTACGCACGAGAGACTTCCGCCAGAACAGCCTGTGCCCGCCTAGCTTCTTGTCCCTGTCAATAACAGCCGAGGCTGGGGTCGACAGCCAATGACAGCCTCGTCGCGAGCCGTGGCTTGCGCGATACTTCTTGCTCCAAGTGCTGCGTGTGCGTCGCGACATCCACCTCTTCGTCGTTGTGTCTGACTCGCATGGGTCTCGCATGTCATCGTACCCGACTGCCACATCTGGCGCTCGGATAGTTCGCTTACAATCCTCTGCTGGTCCATCCCCAGGGCTGCGGCTTGGCATTGCCTTGCCAGGGGTCCCATCTCTCCATGTGTGGAAAAGACGTTCTCCCTATAGACATTCTGCAATCGAACAGAAGACCTTGATTAAAAATCACGATGGACCTATTCCGCTTGGCATGCAGTCGAGCTAGTTGTATAGGGCAGTATGTGCTTCAGCCGTACGCTTGTTTCGCGGCGCACAGGACGCAAATATTTGAGAATACGATGCAAATGACAAACCACAGCATCAACAGCCAGCAAGGCTCTACACTCTTCACATTTCCTATTTCCCATTTCCAATCATCCATTGGACGCCTGAGCAAAGCGGAATTCATCGACTGACGTTCAATTCCGCGAGATATAGTCCAAACTCTATTTCGACTTCACATCAACGGGCTATATATGTCGTGCAGTCGAGGTTGAAGAAGTCGAAACAAGACTAGCAAACAACAAACAACAAGCAACATGGACTGGAAATCGATCGCGCAAGAACGACAGGACCATCGCAGCAAAACCATCGCAGCTGTCGAACCGCCTGTGCCGGAGATACCCAAAGACCTGCCATCGAATGTCACTGGGATACCTCGAAAACTGCTCCCTGAGGATGTCATAACCATCACAGAAACTGGTCCAGAGATCCTGCTGCAGCAACTCGCTTCACAGAAATTGACCTGCACCGCTGTAACCAAAGCTTTCCTCCAACGAGCCGGGCTTGCCTCAAGATTGACGAACTGTGTCACCGAACTCCTGCCCGATCGAGCACTCAGCAGAGCCAAGTATCTTGACGATTATCTCCATGAACATGGCAAGCCCATCGGACCTCTACACGGCCTTCCCATCAGCGTCAAGGAACACATCGGCATGAAAGGTCTGGATCAGAACGGTGGTTTCATTTCCTGGGTTGGCCGAGTTGCTCCAGACGATGCCATCATTTTGAAACTCTTGTGGAACGCTGGGGCGGTGTTCTATGCCAGGACGACGGAACCGCAGACGTTGATGCATCTTGAGACGTCGAATAATATCTACGGGGTCACGGTCAATCCGTATAATTCGAAGTTGACGAGTGGTGGCAGCAGCGGTGGCGAAGGAGCGCTGCTGGGGATGAAGGGCAGCTGTCTGGGGATGGGCACAGATATCGATAGGAAACATTCGCTCTCCGGATCCTGCTCTACGTGCTGACGTTTTGTTGTAGGTGGATCGATCCGTGTTCCTGCAGCGAACAATGGAGTCTTCGGACTCCGTCCTACATCGTATCGATTGCCTCTGCACGGCATTGTCGCAACAGCAAGTGTCTACACCACTAAACCATCGAAGGGGTTTACTAACGCATATTCTTAGATGGTCGGTGAAGAACTCATCATCCCCGTTGTCGGACCACTAGGACAAAGCCTCGAAGGCATCAAACTCTTCATGAAAAGCATAATCGACCAACAACCATGGCTCTACGACCCATCTCTCGCCCCCTTCCCCTGGAAAGACGCCTCGAAAGCCACCCTCCTCCGCCAAGGTCCAGACGGCCGCCGCAAACTTCACATCGGCCTAATGCCAGACGACGGCATCGTCAAACCCCACCCACCCATCCTACGCGGCATCCAAACCCTCGTCGACAGAATCAAAGACCACCCAGATATCGAAATCATCGACTTTCCACCTTACAAGCACGACGAGGGCTGGCGCATCATCTCGACCCTCTACTTCGCTGACGGTGCCGTCGAAGAGTATGAAGCGATCGATTCGTCTGGCGAACCCTGGCGGCCGTTGAGTAACTGGATCATCAAGGAGAATCCCAACGTCAAGACGTACACGCTCGACCAGAGCTGGAAACTTACACTGGAGCGCGAGGGCTACAAAGCGGCGTACGCGAGTCACTGGAACAGCGTGGGCACAGGCTCGTCTGGAGGACCCGGAAGTCCGGACGCGGGTCAGGTCCAAGATAAGATGGTCGATGTGATCCTTTGTCCGGCTGGTGCTGGAGCCGCGCCACCGCTCGACTGTACGAGGTACTGGTCATACACCAGTCAGTGGAATCTGCTCGACTACCCTGCGGTGGTCTTCCCAACAGGCCTTGCCTGTAGTTCCGAGGACCAAGCCGAGAAGGACTATCCACCGAGAAATGAGCAGGATGCGTATAACCATAAGCTTTGTAAGTTCATACACGTTGCAGCCAAACCCCTCGTGCTCATTAGCTAACAAATTCTATCAGATGACCCAGCCACATACGCCGATGCGCCCATCTCGTTGCAGCTGGTCGGGCGCCGCTATGAAGATGAGAAGGTCATCGAGGCACTCGAGATGATTTTGGATGTTGCCGGATTGCCGAAGATATCGACAGATTCGAAGATTTAGTCACCATAGCAATACCATCGCAGCTCCTTCTCTTTTCGCTTAAGCCATAACTCCTGAACCCCAGCTCAAACACTAGTATATCAGACTCTATTCATCGCCCATAGAGCTCCTATGCGTCCCATTGATAGGCTGCAGGCTAGGCGAGGCCATCTGCTGCTGACTGTCTGCAACGAGGAATGCAAGCTCAAGCGCTTGCTTCTCATTCAGCCGTGGATCGCAGTAAGTGTGGTACGCCTGGCTCAAGTCCTTATCCTGAAGTCCTTCACTTCCACCCGTGCACTCCGTGACAGCATCAGCGGTCAATTCGAGATGTACACCACCAAGGTACGAATCGCATTCGGTATGGATGCGAAGCGCTGCCGAAAGCTCTTCAAATATGTGCTGGAACGATCGAGTCTTGATACCCTCCTCTGTCGAACGAGTGTTGCCGTGCATTGGGTCGCATTGCCACACGACCACATGTCCTGTCTTACGGACTGCTTCAATGTGCTTGGGCAGCATGTCGTTGATCTTGTCCTTGCCATAGCGCGTGATGAGCGTGACTTTGCCGATTTCCTTGCGTGGATTGACGAGGTCTAGGATCTGGACGAGGTCACCTTCTGCAGTAGTTGGTCCAACTTTGATGCCGATCGGGTTCTCGACCCCTCGAGCGTATTCGAGATGTGCATGGTCGACTTGTCTGGTGCGGTCACCTATCCAGATGAAGTGTGCACTGGTGTTGTAGTAGCCGGTGTCTTCTGCAGGAGGGATCTCTGAAGGAACAAAGCCGCCCTTAGCGATGGACGCTCCGTTGGCCTGCGCAAAGCTTCGTCGTATGGGAGGTACATCACGGTTTTTGGGGTGCTTCAGCTTTCTCGTCAGACCCTCTTCGTACGCCAGTAGAAGCGCCTCGTGGCTGGTGAAAAGGTCGACGCTTTGTAGCTGACTGGACGTGTCTGCACCAACGGTCTTCATGAAGCGTAAGCTCCCAGAGATACTCTCGACAATGCCAGTGTACTTTGCCAGCAATGCAGGATCTGTGACATGACCCAAACCCCAGTCCATCGGGTTGTGCAAATCGGCAATTCCGGAAGCAAGCTGTGCACGAACATAGTTCAATGTCGCCGCAGAATGGAAGTAGGCTTGCACAAGTCGATCAGGATCAATCGTACGACCGTCTGGAGGGTAGCCGTTCAGGATGTCGCCTCTGTAACTTGGAATCTCCTTCCCTTCGAAGGTCTCTGTTGGCTTGCTTCTGGGCTTGGCGTACTGACCTGCCATTCGGGCTATGCGGACCAGAGGCTTGTTACCGCCCCAGATGAGAACGAGTGACATCTGAAGAAGTAATCTGATCTTCCCATCGATCGTATCGTCGTGGCAGTAGTCGAAACGCTCTGCACAGTCACCGCCTTGGAGTAGGAAGGCCTTGCCTAGGGCCACATTCTTCAGCGCTCTCCTCAGCGTCCAGATTTCCGTCGAGGTGACGAGCGGTGGTACATGCTTGAGTTTGGCGAGTGCTGTCTCAACCAGAGCATCATCTTCGTAGTTGACAGGTTGTGCTATTGGCTTGCTTCTCCAAGAATCCGGCGTCCAGTTTGCCGTCTTCGTGCCGTTGACGGATGTGATATGGTCCTGAAAGCTAACCTGGCGCTCGACTCCGTGAATAGCCGCCATCGTCTTTGTTTGTGTTTGCGGTGAATTGGTGAATGGGAACGAAGTAGGCGGTCTAAAAAAAAGTCAAGCAGCGGTATGACTCCCCCGAACGCTCCTTTGATGTAACTGGAATGTGCGGGAACACAGTCAACGACAGTGGCGCCAGCTTGCTCGATCAAGTTGCACGGCGAAAAGAAGAAAATACAATGTTATCATCGATATAGAGTTGGTGGGTCGCTCAATAGTGTCGTCTAAAGAAGCAACACGTGCATGTACCTTTCTTTGTCCAGCCTGTACCGCGGTGCGAGCCTCAGGCACCAATTGCCAAGCGCTCCGACTTCACTTCAACATCTCCAGCACTTCCGCTGCAAGATAGCAACTCTCTACTCCTCCAATCGATACCAGATCCTACGTGATCTGCACTCCAATGGCCGAGGAGCCACAGCCATCGAACGTCCAGGAGGGCGCAGACCCGCCAGATGTCCTCCCAGCAAGCAACGAAGATCGAAAAGCAGCGGCGGCTCTCTCGTCTCTGGATGTGAAGGAGGATCAAGATGCGACACCCAATAAGAAGGAGGTTGACTTGAAGGCTTTGGGAGAGGCGATGAAGAATCTTGAGCTCACTCAGGGTACCGGAAAGAAGACTGCATCGAGCGATGCGACCAAGAAGGAAGAAGTACCAAAGAAGCTTGTCAAGGTTGATGCAGCCGATGTCAGCTTGTTGGGTATGTGGATACGGACGATATGAGAGATAAGACGAATGGGCTAATTTGTCTTGACTGTAGTCGATCAATTGGACTTGACCAAGGCGAAGGCTACCGATCTTCTGCGTGCGCATGATGCGGATGCCCTGAGGGCCATGAAGGCTTGGGTCACTGCGTCATGATAGATATGGCTCGTTCCATTTTCAATTGAAGGCCTCCGCGGCCTTACACTTTCGGCCGACCATGTGCCATAAATGGAAAGGCGAATGCGAGTTGGCCAGCCGTGGCATCGTGATGGACATTGGTTGAAGGTAGCCAACCTTCGCGCGTAGGGAGACGCACGCAAGGAAATAAGCCAAGGGCAACTGGAACGGAAGCCATATGTCAAAATCTGTACGATGGCATATACGAGAAGCACTGGTAGCGAGTGCGCGTTATGGACAATGACTGTACGAAACAACAACGAAGGATCCATATCCACAGTCTTGAGCAACGCCTCATCTCAAATCCCATCCATCCGATTCAATCTCAGTCTCAGTCTCAGTTCCAGCTCTCAAGCCCTGCCATTCCAAAAGGTTAACCGCCGGTTCGTTGCCGCTTCCTGCGACTTGAAGTCCAGCTTTCTGACCTTGTTCAACGGCGCAGTTTGCTGCACCAACGAGTTAGGTGCTGCCAAGTACGCAGGAGTCGCCGGCGATCCGTCATCCCCGGAGTTCTCCTTGTCTTCTGGGTTGATCGGTGTCTTATCTTCCTCGGCCGGCGAATCCATCTTCAATGGCGTGCGGCCCAGGGAGCTTCTGCCCAGGCTACTCTGCCGGTTGCGGAAGACGCTACCCTTGACATTGGTCAGGCTCATAGGCTCCATGCTCTTGCGGCGTCTCTTTGCAGTGCGTGGAACATCCTCCACTTCTACAGCATAAGCCTCGTCAGCTTCAGGCATTCGCGTGCCGTGAGCATCGCAGTCCGTGACCCAACGACTGTTGACACAGTGGATCTCTTTGCCGGTACCGTTCTCAACGACCTGCTTGTTGTGGATGCGGAGCCGCTGCAGCGTGTTCGGTGATCCTTCCTTGTACACCACGTGCGTGAGGCGCTCGCTGAAAGTCTTGGTAGTCTTTGCCCCAAGACGCTGGAGTAGAGCAGCGAAAGCTGGCGTTGCACAGTCTCCATCGCTCGTGTACACTTCTACCAAAGCCACAACGCCGCGCAAAGGTGCCGAAGGATGCGGAGTCATGGGCACTTGTCCGGGCGTGAATGCAGGCGCCTTGAGAGGGGTCTTCAACGGAGTTCGCGATCCAGCAGGCGTGGATGCTTTCAGTGCTACCTTTCTTAGCGACGCCTGCTTTTGCGCCGTCGCAGGCCTCTTGGCCGGGCTGTGTGAAGGAGTGCGAAAGCGTGAGGCTGGCACGGCAGTCTTTGCATGTTCCTCATACGTCCTGCCGTATGGTAGGCCAGGGTATCGATCTGCGGTCGATGGCTCTGGTGTTTCAGGTTGTTCAGAGGCTTCTATTGCAGAGTCTTGGCTCAGTTCCTCGTATGTCCGCTTTGATGGTAGACCTGGAAAGCGCTCTCTCGAAGCAGACTTAGTTGCCGTGGCTGCTGGTGACGACACCTTATTGGTAGTCTGAGGTGTCTTCAGGCCGTCTTCGTAATTGTCGCGGGGAGGCATTGCCGGAAAGCACTCCTTGGGTGTGGAACGAGCGGTGGTATTGGTTGCTAAAGGAGATGCAACAACAGTACCAAGCTCATATGTGTTTCGGGAAGGCAGTTCTGGGAACCGTTCTTGGTTCGACGACAGTTGAACCTCTGGGACACTCGTAGCTGGAGTTCTGGCAAAGAGGGTCCTCGACATCGGTGTTTTGGCAAATGGAGTGCTGTTCTTTGCTGCAGATTGCCAGGCAAGTGGCACGCTCGTTCCTGGCGTCTTAGCAAGGGGCGTTTTGCTTGCACGTGGAGTCTGTTGAGTGCTCATGGGTTTGGCAGCACTCCTCAGTCTATGTGCGGTAGTCGGTCTCGAGATCATAGGCGTCCTTGTAATCAGCGAGGCCCTCGATGGAGTGGCAATGCTTGCAATAGCAGTACCATCAGAAGTATTTGGCCGAACGCCTTCTTTGAAGAGAGTGCCTGGGTACAGTTTTGCCGGGAGCGACTTACGCCTAGACGAAATCGTTGGCATCGCATACCGCGGAGTGCTGGATGCAAGCGGCTGCTGCAGGTCATTCAATGCGATGTCAAGCTCCGACAGACCTCTCGCTGGGGTCAAAGGAGTACTTGACAAGACTTCCTGATCTCCAGTACAAGGCTGTGTAGCCTCTGCCGTGTCATCGTCGAAGACCTCGTTGTCGAGCACGTCATCAACTGGTACGACATCGGCAGGCGCGGGAGACATTTGGCCTTGCACATCGCGAGCATCGTCAAGCTGATGCTGTTCCGCGTCTTCACCGCCGTAGCTGCTCCAAGCCTTGCTGATCCGCCTCGACTCTGCTAATGACTTGACGTCAATGAAGTCGCTCAGGTTCACAGTGGCGTCCAACGATTCGCGGCCCATGCTTGCCCGCTCTTGCACAGAAACATTTGCGGACGTGGTTACTTCCTGTTGAGCACCAGCAACAGCATCGGTCTCTTCCTGAGAAATGGGAGCAAACTCATTGGCAAGGCTCAGTCGATCGTTGTGTTCCACTTCCGGTAGGCTACGGGACAAGGTGATGTCGGCGTCGAAGTTGAATGGAATGGTCACATCCTGGCGAATATTCTCCCAGACCAAAGTTTCCGGCTTTGGTGTAGTGGTCGGCATCTCATCAACCTGCATCTGATCGTCGAAGTCGGGAGCATCCTCCAGGGTGACTGCCGATCGAGTCACAATGACACTCTCGTTCGAGTCGAACGACGCCTCCATTGCCGATGCTGGTCCAGAGTCCAACTCGTCATCAGGTACGATTATCGTCTCTTCTAGATCAAGTATCTCTGCGCTTTCCTCATCTTCCATCACAGCATCGTCGTCCCCAATAGATTGATCGTGTGCTGCATGTGAGGCTTCTGCCGATTCGAGCTCTTGTGCAGCGTCTTCTTCTGCCATGTCTTGCAAACTCGCATCTGATTCGACATCCTCACTCTCCGTGTTGGCTGGTATCTGTGCACTCTCATCTACCACCGAAGGAGTTTGTTCGTCCAAGGAATCGTCTACTTCTAGATCCAATGGCTGAAGTCTTGGGAAGACCATTGCTCGGTCTCGAGCTCTAGCCACTGTTGTTGGTCCCATGTCTGCGTGAGGGACATTTGGCTGGCGGTATGGCTTCGTGGTCTGTGGGGTACCCTGCTGCGTACTAAGCACAGCAAATCGTCGTACAGGAGTCTTTGAGGGGACACCGAGGTCAAGTGCTCGGCTGGTTTTCTGTGTACCGAATCGTGGACTGGATCGCTTCATGGGCGTCTTAGGGCCACAGAGCTCATCTTGGGACGTGTTGTTGGTATGATCACCTTCTTCGTCCTCGTCGTCCTCATCCTGCTCTTCTTCGCTCGCCTCGACCACCTCATCCTCCGTACCATCGAAGCTCTGACCAACCCCATCAGAAGGTGTGGTTGGCCTTGACGACGCTGGTGTTTCATCATCAACCAGCAAAGGCTTCTGAATTTGCTTGTTTTCAACTTTGCTCTTTGAAATCTTGCTCTGCTTACTCTTGACGGCGACCTCATCTTCTGGCTCTTCATTTGCTGTATTTGACTCTATAACGTCCGCATTCTCGTCAGACACAGCCCTCTTTCTAGTAGTCGGTCTACTGGGTGCCGCTGGAGCCTTTGCTTTTGGAGCAAGCTGAGTCTTCTTCGCCGGGGCTTTGGAGACTTGAGTGATCTTCTTCGGCGAGAGTGGAGGTGCTCTCTCCTTGGCTGCGGTTGCGCGAGTTGCACGAGTGGCTCGCGTGCCCTTGGTTGGCGCAGGTACAGGTGGCGGAAGATCAGGCTTCTCGCTCTTTGTCGTCTTCGCCTTCACAGTAGTCGCACTTGAGGTAGCCTTTGTTGTCCGAGTGGTCTGTTTCGCGGGCTCATCGTCTTTCTTTGCACGTGTCGCGGCTCGTTTCGTCGGCTCCGGCTTCGCGGCGGGTGCTCGTCGGGCAGCTTTTGGTGGAGGCTCTGCTACTTGGATCTCGTCTTCTTCATCGTCGGCTTCCAACTGTTCGGGCTCTGGCTCGGCCTTCTTGGAACGTGTGGTTTTGGCTTTGGTCGCGGCCGGCGCGGCCTTTGCAGTCGTCTTGCGAACTGGCTTCTTCCGCAGTGTCGACTCCTTCTTCTCATCTGCACCCGTGGTTCGGGTGCCTCCTCGTGTTGATACCATTTCGTCGGGTGTAGGCAGTGATTAATGGGAGTAGTTCGAAGACCAGCGCGCCTTGAGGGGGAGGTCCTCTGATGGTAAACTACTGGTTGCTATGGAGACCGAGCCGCGCCGCTAGTCTCGACATGCCCTCAGCTCCAAATGCGGCAACACTTTGACAGAAGTCCAGATTGTATCATGATGCCAGAAGAGAGGCACTTCTTTGCAAAATGGTGTCCTCGAACCCAGCATGTCTCATCTACAGTCCTAATTCTTTTCTAGGTCGATAGCCCTTTACTGTCTTTACTTCATCTACAGTGTCTCCAATCCAGAGTAAAGTATGGTCTTTGGAAAGCAAGAACATTATCGATTAACGCACAAATGCTATCTTACTCATGGTCATCAAGCAGACTTCCATTCGGTGCAGCGCCAACTGGTTGCCTACCTGGCAGATGTACGAGCCAGAGGTACGCTCCTGTAAACAACCCCCCACCAATGACATTTCCCAAAGTGAGTGGGACCAAGACCTTCCAAATAAAGCCACCAACACTCAACGGCGCCCCCAATATCATGGCCGTACTAACCAAGTACATGTACTCCACGGTATGCGGGAATCTTGCCACCGTGGAAATGAAGAACGGGAAATGCAAACATAGCGCTCTCGAGATGCCATCCTGATTTTGTGTGCCGAGAAACATAGCGACGGTGACCAGCCACCCACAGAAAACAGCCCTCAACATGATGATGTGGAATTGCTGCTCGATGATATCCTCAGTAACTTGACTGATTACAGCAGAGCGCCAGGGTTCCTGATAGAGAGCTTCCGTGGCCTTGGTCGACATCAAACTGAAAAACAACGTTCCCAGCAAATTTCCAACCCAGGAGGCAACGATGGTGAAAACATACTGGGTGACTCTTCCTTTACGTTGTAGAGCTGTGAGGGTGAACCACATAGGGTATCCAGTGAAAAGTTCCGCGCCGACGAAGTACACCATGACCAGACCAACCGGAAACGCAGCCCCTTGGAGCAGACGTTGAATGCCGGGATTGTTCTCTTCCTGGATTCCTGCGAAGCCAGCTCCGACAAGGACGGCAAGCAGACCGCCTGCTGAGAGCAGAGGAGCTCCGTATATGTTTTGGACGAAGGTTATGAATATTGGTTCTGAGAGGTGTTCCACACCATTGCGGGAGACTGCCTGTGCTGCTTCGTGGGGCGGTAAACTTCCCGTCGACGGCGCCATATTATCTTCGAATCTTGTTGTAATGTGATAGTCGCTGTATGGTGGATGACTCTTGCAAGTCCGGAATCTTTATGAGGGAAGACTTCCAAGAGTTCTAGCAACGACTGAGCTCTTAGCAAAACCGGCAGCGTCTCAATGGTGGAAGGCAGGAAGGAGATGATATTGCAGCGCATATAGCAAAGTACATGTACATATTGAGTGGGAATCGAAGAGCTGGTCATATGACGTCTCAATGAAACAATAATCAGTCACCTGATTCTTCATGTTTGTTCTCTCGTACCTCTAGGGTGGAGGTGGTTATGTCACCGATCTGAGAGCCTCACCACCTGCGGAGGAACGGCAACTCTCTATCTACACGCGGCTGGCGAAAAGCATTGAGGGACATACCCCGTCACGCGCCATTTAGTGCCAATGCTATGTACCTAGGTAAAGTACCGAAGCTTGCGTGATAGATGTCATGAACGCCATATGGGTATCGTATGATCTGTCCCCATTATTTCCCCACGCCTGGCCTCTCGTAGGCGATATCTATCTCTGGGTTCAGCTCTCATCTGTTATCAGATCCTACGTTCACCTCGTGAGGTTTGAGTCCTTCGAAGGGAACTGGGACTGGTCGGGCAGAATGGCGACTTCAAACGAGCATGACCTCAAATGCCTGACGATAGAAGAGCTCGAACGCCATGCTCACGACCTCATGGACAAGCAGACCAGGGACTACTACAACGAAGGGGCCGATTCAGGATCAACACTGAGAGAAAATATGACGGCCTACGAAAAATACCGAATACGACCGCGAGTGCTGCGAGATGTCTCAGCAGTCGACACCACTGTCAACATCTTCGGCCACAAAAACAGTGTTCCACTCGGCGTAGCTCCCACTGCGATGCAATGCCTTGCTCATTCCGATGGAGAGATTGGTACCGCCAACGCCTGTAAGAAAGCTGGCATTGTGATGGGTCTGTCGAGCTTTGCGACGAAGTCGCTGGAAGATGTTGCGGACGCCAGTGAGGAGAACCCCAATGTACTGCAATTGTATCTTTTCGAGGACAAGGAGCATAGCCGGAAGTTGATTCAACGTGCTAAGAAGGCTGGGTTCAAGGCTGTCTTCTTGACTGTTGATACACCGTTTCTTGGAAGAAGGAATCTGGAGATCCGAAATCAGTTCAAGCTCCCGCCTCATTTCAAAGTAAGTGGCTTTCTTGAACATTACGAAATGCGACTTGCTCCATGCTCACGCTTGATCAGGTGGCAAACTTCGCCGATGAAAACACCGGTCCCTCAGAAGACAGCAACGGCAGACCGCCCCTGAAACGACGGTCCAGCCAAGCAGGCTATCACGATGGCGAGAAATGGGTGTCACCAACCGGACCCGTAACTTTCCACAGCCATGCCGCCAATCCAACCCTCACCTGGGAGAAAGATATCGACTGGCTCAAGTCAGAATGTCAGCCCGAAATGCAGGTCTGGGTGAAAGGCATCGCAACCGGAGACGATGCAATCCTGGCTTTACATCATGGTGTCGATGGTATCGTGGTTTCGAATCATGGAGGAAGGCAACTCAATGGCGCGCTCGCGACGCTTGATGCTTTACCCGAGATAGGTGCGTGTCGTCACACATTGAGGTGAATCTCCTTTGCTAATGTGCAATAGTGGCGGCTGTCGGCGGCAAGATTCCCATCCACGTCGACGGTGGCATTAGACACGGCACCGACGTCTTCAAGGCACTGGCTCTCGGCGCAGACTTCGTCTGGATCGGCAGGCCTGTGTTGTGGGGCCTCGCGTACAAAGGTCAGACGGGTGTGGAACTGGCATTGAAACTGATCAGCGACGAGATCAGGCTTTGCATGGCTCTGGCAGGAACGGTGAAAGTGTCAGACATCACCAAGGAGTATCTTGTCAAGATTGATAAGAGTGGATTTGTTTCTCGACTCTGAATGTCTATGGGGTATCATTTGTACAGCACGTGTGCGATCATCAGGGCATCGGGATATTCGATAACCAGCGTTTCAGTCATCCAAGCCATTCGCAGTCTTGGCGTTCAAGAGAAGAAAGACTTCTTGTCCCTCTTCTTGCTCTCCCCGCCAATTCTACTTGCACCTGCGTCATTCATAGGTCGCCCCCGTTTCCTCTTCGCTGTGCTCGCCTGCATAAGTGGATGGAGCACAGCCTCTGGAGGCGTCGCCTCCTTGACAATCTCTTTTATCGTTTGACGAGACAGACATCCGTCAATATGGGCATTGAAGCTTCTCTCGTCTGCCACTTGTGGGATGCTGCAGATTGGACATGGCCACTGTTCGGGTGGTTTACTTTCCGTTTCCTCAAGCTTGGCTTCTTCTTCCAGTAGCGACCGCCAGGCAAACCCGTTCGCATACCTTTGATAGTCAGGCTTTATTCCACTCGGATTATCTGAAGGCTCATCGGATGGCCTTTCTCTTTCATATTCTTGTGAGAGCTGCTCCAAAGCTGCCATGTCATCTTCTCGTTCTTGGCGAGCAGCGTCCTCAAACTCCATGTCAGGCCACCTTTGCCACCCATCTTCATCGACCTCCACATCTGTCCTCTCGTTCGTTGTAAGGGTTGCAGACTGCTTCGGTGTCTGACGAGATCGTCCAAAGAAGTCGACGTCACCCTTCTTCGTGGAGACCAAGTGTGTACATCGCAATCCCATGAGCCGCAACTTCATATCCGGCATCTCCTTCTCAAGCTTCGCCAGCATTGGCAAGCTGAAATGGTATAGATCGTCCGCGGTGTGAACGGCCTTTGCCGGTTGGACTTGTCGCGTGAAGACCTCGTACGTGTGCAGCTTGACCTTCAACACCAATGTCCGCCCCTTGAACTCCGTCCGCTGCAGATCTTTCTCCAACTCTTCGGCAGTCCACCTGAGCTTTTGCCGCATCTCTTTCGAATCAGCCATATCGTGGAACGTGGATTCAGTCCCGACACTTTTCCGCTCAAACTCCTCCGCCGGTCTGATGTCTGTCCGACCCAGGCCAAGGTATACTCCCATGAGGAACTCGAAAGTCTTGTCGCCAAACAAACGGTTGAGTAAGTGTCTGTGAGGGTAGATGTCCCCGCAAGTCTTGATGCCAATAGCATCCAGCTCCCGCTCCAGAACACGTCCAATGCCGTTGACTTTGCGGGTCGGCAAATCACGCATGAAGTTGAGGATCGATGTACGGTCTGAACTCAGTCGAAACTGTCCATTAGGCTTGTTCTTGTTGCTGCAGATCTTTGCGACTTTCGCATTGGCTGCGATGCCAGCAGAGATGGTGATCTTGGCTTCCTGGAATACTTGAGCTCTCATTTGGCTTACAGCATCTTCGGGCTCCATGTCATGATCTTTGCAGTACTGAGTGATGTTGAGGTATGCTTCGTCGATACTGGCCGATTCGAATCGTGAGTCGTACTGCGTCAAGACAGCGCGGACTTCCTTGGCTTTTGCAGTATACTTGTCGAAGTTGAGAGGTATGTGAATGAGGTTTGGACACAGCTTGTCGGCGACAAAGCCTGCCATACCACTACGACATCCAAATTTGCGGGCGATATAGTTACACGTGGTAAGGACGCCCTTGCCCACCGCGAACGGCAATTCCTTCAGCTCTGGGCGGTCCAGCTCCTCTACAGCGGCATAGAACGCATCGCAGTCTACGTGTACGACGACCTGGGATAGATCTCTGCCGTATTCAAGCTCGGTGATGTAGTCATCCGCCTTTTTGATATCGTTCTTCAGACCACCTTGGGCATGGATGCGCTCCAGTTCGCGTTTCTTGGCCAGAATCTGGTTGATCTTCCGTGTAAGGCCCTTATCTTTCACCTCCTCGTTGTTGAAGTATTTGCTCCCTTTCGACGCCTCATATATGATCTCGCTGATCTTTCTCTGATCGACTCCATCTTGACCAGACTTCGCCAACGAAGGTCCCAGAAGATGGTACTTCAAGCTATGATGCTGAGAAGACTCTGGAGCACCATCCGGTGGTTCGCTTGCTACCACATGTTCTTCCTCTCTAGGCGGAACGTTGCTCTCCTCGCCCTCTGCGTCGGCATCGGTCATCGTGACATGGCGGATGTTGGAGGTGTATTTCGTTGATGGATGCTATGGGAGGACGCGACGGAGGCGCGAGGCGCGCCGATTGACTTCCGTGACGTCGATCAAACGCTATCTGCGGGCCGAAGCGCGCGTGCAACAAGCATACTCCCTGCAAATCGAGTGTACCCGGAGACAAGACGACAACAACAACTCTCTGCCCAGTGCACTCGCGACCACTGGCTCACCCATATTGCCGCCAATTTGCGACCGCGTCCTTGAATCTCCTCCGACCCACCGCTTCGTACAAGCCCCGCTGTTGCAGAGAGCGCATTCGACTGAGTACAGCCCGGAAGAGACACTCCCGAACCCTTTCACATGTCAACAATTTCACTGGGAGCTCGACAAGAGCATCGGCGGTGAGGTAACGACAACGACGCCGCACGCGAGGTGGCGGCGCTCCCAGCCTGCGCAACGTTGGACGGAGTGCAGATGCGGCTTCAACGACGGTGACGGTGACATCCGCAATGTCGACGGACCGCAACACCAACCGCCCACTGAAGCCCTCCCTTGCTTCGACCAGGACTGCAAGAACACCGCTGGCCCCGCGCATTGCTGGCAATGCCACCGCTACTCCCACCGCCGCAAGGCCCACTGCGCCTAGATTGCCTACCAGCAGAAACCCCGCAGTGTCACCACGACTAAAGCAACAAGACGAGACATCGCCAAAGGCAGTGGGGGGAACGCTCAGCGCGACACCGCGTGCGTATGGAAGAGGCTCCAGGGACGGTGGGCAGGGCTCGCCAGGCCAGGGTGAATCACTGAACGAGACGAGGGGACGAGGCACCCTTGGACCTAAAGAGACATTATCGAGTCGAAGCAGCGCTGTCAGTGGAGTCGGTCAAGGACTGAATGCAATGCGAAGCACGTCGCGGCCAGGCAGACCGAAGAGCACTGTTGGTGACAACTTGGCCAAGTCACCACCATTGATACGATCTCCTGGGTATTCAGACTTGAACAGCACGGCGAAGGAGAGCATTGAGAGCCGCTTCTTTCATGCAAGCGATGTACAGAAGCATGAGCCAGCTCCGAAGCAGCCAGAGCCGAAGAAGGTACCGACATTTTTCTATGCAGATGGCAAAGAGGATGCACCAACCGGACCGCCGCCAAAGGCCCCATCGCCCGTTCTATCAGCAGTGTCTGAGAAACGATCTTCGAACCCTTGGATGAGGCCGGAGACAGCGTCACATCCGTCGAAAAGCCCACCGATGTTGTCGCCCTCTCTTGCTGCTGCTTCTACCGCCACACCATTCTTTGCTGCGCCAACAACACCACAGTCACAACTTCGTTCCCCCTCTCCGAGTCGAGAAAGCATTCACTTATCATACCGCAAAGGGGCATCTCAAATCTTCGGCACTCGCCCCTCTCCATCGAGCACCTCACCCGCAAACGTGGCAACACACTCTGGACCAGAACAACAACGGCCAAGCATCGCTGCGTTGCACCGCAAATCCACCAGTCTCTCATCGATCGAATCTGGCAATTCCCAACAGGCGCGGAGGCGATCGGCCACTTCAGCAGAGAATGCCCATGCCAATTCACCACTCACTCATGAGATCAAAACCCCTGTTGTACCTCGGCTTACCAGTCCGCCTGTCGACCTGCCTTCAATCGATACGTCTCTGGCATCGCCAGCACTTGTCGGGTCTCCACAGGGTGCGCTAAGTCCGACAAAGCATGCGTCCGAGTTGGCCGCCGAAGCAAGGCGAGAGAGAAAGCTTCTTGACTTGGAGATCTCGAATAGTTCGCTACTGGCGATCAACGCGAGTCTGGAGCGGGAGGTGCGTAGACAGAAGGCTGAGCTGAAACGCTTCAGACGACTGTCCCGTGCTGGACGCTTGTCTATGCCAAGAAATGAGCTTCCAGGTCGTACGTCCGAAGGCCTGAGTACATTGGGGGAAGAACCTGCCGAGAATGACGACGACGATGATATGATGGCTGCTGGCCTGGTTGATGATGCTGACGACTTGAGCGACTCTGAAGACGGTAGCTTGTTGAGCGGTGGTGAGCCTCATTCACCGGGCTCTCAGACGAACAAGGAGCAGGACCGGTTGGCGAAAGATGAGAAACGTCTTCGAGTTGATCTCGCAAAACATAAGGAACTTCTTGTACAAAGCCAGGCCATGAACCAAAGCATCAAACGATGCATGTATGCGACCGAAGAGATGCTGAGGGAAGGCAAGGCGGCTCTGCAGTATAACGTGCGCGTGTCGGACGTCAAATTGGGTGGCCGCATTCTCTCAGGAAACGACGAGGAAGAAGAAATCGAAGTCGATGACAATGTCACCGATGATGGCATGGAGACCGCAAAGGGTTTTATTGATGTCTGGCGAGGCATTCGGACGAACGTTGAAGGCTCTGAAGGTTCTGGCGATCGCGACTCTGGCATTGAAGTGGATAAACCGCTAAGCCATGTCTCAGCTCGATTTTCGAATGTGACAAGCACATCGCATGATTCTGGAAGACCGCCAGGATCGACAACTCAATCTATCAGCAATGAATCGACGGATCATGTCGGCACGGACATCGACTTAGACTTGCCACCTGGAGCTTCATAGAATGAGGCGTCTGCGAAGGCGAGGACATTCCCATTGCCAAAATTTCGGCGACCAAAGGACTGCCGCATGCGAGGAAATTTGAGGAGTGAATACTAGATATTGCGCAGCTGGGCGTCACCATGGATGGAATTGATCGTTCCCAAAGGCTTGCATAGGCAAGTTTGGCTCTCTGGAATTCGCCTTGAGATCCCGACGCAGATCTGGAATCAGGGGCGTTGCAACGTTGCAGGAGTACGAACCACCACGAGACTCGACTGGATGCAGGTTCCAGGAATTTTGGCAGCTGCATTGATCATGATGTTTTAGAGGAACGGCCGAGAGAGAGAGAAGAGATACCCAGCTGCTGTTGACGCACGCTCGCGTCTTGCTTTTGTTTGAGATATGTAAACAGCACTAACCGCAAGATACCCCATTTCGTTTGTTCGGGCATAGCGCTTGCCAGTGTGTACTGGTTTGATGATGGGCAGGCTAAATTCCGATTGCTTGCTGGTTGAGGAGAACTACATGGCGTTTTGTGCGGCGGTGATACTGGGATACCCAACTCGTTGGAGCTGCGATTTTAGATGATATAGTGTTTTGAGAGACGAGGAGAACCTTCTCACAATTCCACTCCTATTGATGTGTCAACGAAGCTCTCTTCGAGAAACTTTCGATCATTCCATATCGCAATATTCTCTGGGTTGAGTACTACCAAGCACTTCTCATTCGACGATGAAAGATGTTTCACTGTGCCCACGCCTCAAAAGGAAGGGGCAACTGTTGAAGTCGGACAGCCGAGAAAGGAAAGTAGAAGTGCCGATCACTTCTTTCGACATTTCGTCCTTCACATCTTTCAGCTTCTCATACAATCCGATGGTCGAAGCGCTCAACTAGCACCACAGCTCTCAAAAGGTAAGGAAGACCACATCCCCATCCATTTTCAGTCTACGCTGGAATCCGCAGGATCGTCTTGCATATCGTCAAGCTTTCAGCAATTCCTTCCTTTGGTCCCAGTCTTCTTCCGTACCGACTTCAAACTCCAATTCTGATGACCGCGAATGCAGGGCTTGCAGAACACATCGAGCAGCTTCCGCTCAGTTCTTTCATCTCATTATCTATGCCACCCTCCGTGGATCCGCCACGATGAACCTCTCCGCCTTCACCACCCGGACCAAACTCCCCTCCCACCGGAACTGGTACATCACCCTAACGGCACCCATAGTCGGGTGCCTAGCCGCGCGCCTCCTCACCAAACTCATCTCCGCAGCCTCATACACCGGCGTGCCTCACCGACCCAAAATCTACCATGCCCCAACCCAAGACCTCCTGACGTCGAGGGAAGACGACATCCCCTACCCACCGGACGCTCTTCCAGGAGGTCGGGATGTCTCGACGCCTTTTGGGAAGACCAGAGTCTACGAGTGGGGAGCGGAGAGTGGAAGGAAGATCTTGTTCGTCCATGGGATTTCGACGCCTTGTGTTGTGTTTGCTCGGCTGGCGGAGCGGCTGGTGGATAGGGGTCACAGAGTGATGCTGTTCGATCTTTTCGGGAGGGGGTACTCTGATGCTCCTGATCCGAGTGTCTATCGTCAGGACATTGGGCTCTTCAGCGCGCAGATCTTCGCGGTGCTTTCCTCTTCGAAAGTGAACTGGATGGAGGGGTTCACGATGGCTGGGTATTCCTTAGGGGGAGGGATTTCGGCAGACTTCTGCTCGTACTATCCCGATCTGGTGGAGAGTCTGGTCCTGATATGTCCTGGTGGCGTCACGCGGCCTTTCAAAATCAGTGCTGTGAGCAAGCTCATGTATAACGACTTATTCCCGGATTGGGTGGTGAACTGGTGGATGGGGAGGACGTTGAAAGCCGCGAGCGAGGTCAAACACGCAGTGGCTGAGGAGATATCGGATGACCATCGAGCCCACGCTGAGAATAGTTCTTTCCCTATCTTTGAGAATGGGTCGAAGGCCTCTGCTGCGACGGTCGTGGCGTGGCAGGTCACTGCACATCCAGGGTTTGTTCCTTCGTTTGTTAGTTCTGTCAAGTATGCACCGATCCATGACGGGCATCATCGATGGAGGATCATCGGTGAGAGGTGCGATGAGAAGCGGAAGATTAGCCAAACTCGAGGCTTGAAGGAGGGCAAGATGCTCTTGCTTTTGGGCCAGCAGGATGTAGTCATCTCTTCCACGGAAACGGCTGAAGATGCTGCGTCTGTTCTTGGCGAGGGCAACGTGTGTACGAGGATATTACAAGGAGGTCATGATCTGCCGACTGTCAATAGCGACGAATGCGTTCAGGTTATGACGGACTTCTGGGCGGGACTGATTTGAGGAGAGCCTTATGAGAGGTGGTTTCGTTCAGCGTTCTAGCGAGTACTGCATATAGGAGAGGTATAGAGACAGAAGATAGAGATTAGAGGCTTCTTTTACTTACGCTGCCTTTCCTGTGATGATCCAGGTTGGCGAAGGACTGGTCAGCAGTACGACCAGGACCCTTGTGTTCGAGGTCAGGTCAACTGCATCGCACATTTCGGTATCACAAGTGTCCGAAGACCGCCGCACGAGAGTGATTGAGTGCCGTTGCGATGGCGAGAAGGATATAAATACAAGGCCATGGTCTGTCAATTCCTCCCTTTGAGACATCACAAAATGTAAGAACACGCGAATGCGGCAAAAGGGTACCTACCTCGAACATTCACTTGATGTTAGGGTTGGCCAAGACGATCCAGCCACCGCATTTTCCGCGAGATGCCTGTCAGGCCCGTTTCATACAGCAAGTCGTCGGTAAGTGTTTCGTTTAGTGAGGTCGCCATCGATACATTGCCTTCCGTTGAATGATCATGCTCCAGGAGATTGCAAGGTCGTTTCTTGATTTCACAAACCGATCCTGAAGGAGCTGAGTTTGCGTTGGTTCCGGCACAAGTACCTTCCGATGAGACAGCCTGAAGATGACATGTCTGAAGACATGCCCAAGTCCAACATGTATTCGCTGTCCAAGAGGGAGGCAAAAGTGCTGCGCTAGCCGAGAGTGTAGATGAGGTGCAGTACATGATGTATTTCTGGTCCATCTTGGAACACACGTATCAAGATGTTGATGTCATCTTAGCCGGCAAGATGGTGTCAAAGGACACCGAAAAGGTGGTTCTGGTATAGATTTACATCACCTGCGGTACTGAAGACGATTTAGAAACGCATACCAGTCGGGTTGTCGTGGCTAGAGGGTGCAGTGGTCGAAACGGTGGCTGAAACGCTCAGACATGAGTAGTGTTCGCGTCTCTAGATGTAGATGTACTTCTTCACACTCTCGCAAAAGGTATGGGGCCACGGTGCGGCATAGCACGGCAGTGGCAAAATTAATTCATCCCTGGAATGGCATACCAGGCATAGCTGGCTACAGCCAGGGCAGCAGGAGAGGTCGGTGTGTCGATAAGGTAGGTGTTGTGACAATGGTTCCGAGTATCTCACAAGTTGAGGTCATCGCCTTGATAGACTTTTGGCCTGAGTAATGCGGACGATGTTGAACCGACCAAGTATGCCCAAGGGCTGTAATCAGATATGCATGGGGAGCAATAGCTGAGATCAGTAGACCGACCGCCACCAACACATCCTGTGCCAGAAGTGGGCAAAGCATTGCTTGACAGACCACATGTTCACCGGACGGTCCATATCTTCGTGCCTTGAGTCGTGTTACCGTTAGGTACAATGAATCATGGCCAGGTGGAGGTCTCAGTCAGATGCTCCGGCATTGGCAGTTGGTGCTTGGGAGCTATGGCATAACTTTGATGCGTGAGTTCAATAGCTCGAGTCCTCGAACCTGTTCCTGCGAAGTCGCGGCGAAAGGGTGGAGCGGTGATGGGGAGGGTTCCTCGACGGAAGGCCTCGCTGATACGAGAGGATCAACCCTGCTCCACCTCTGAGCGGTATCTCTGGTCTGGCCTGACGACGCGCTGAGGTGAGGTCGCGGCGCGTGAGAGATGAGTGGCCTAACGTCAGAGGGGTCGGTGGATGCACGCCCCAGTTGCCCTGCGCCAGCCGCTGTCTCGCCTGAGCTGCAGCAGCAGCCAGCTCGCGGCGAATTCGTACACAGAGTATCGAGCAACGTACCTATAGGAGTGTGCCACTGCCAAACGCCGGCAAGGACGGAGGCCCTGGACAAGGCGCTGCCGACTTGGCGAGTTGGCAGGACGCTGGAAACAGGGCATCAAGGGCCATGCGTTGGCATCAGCTGCGCCACAGCTCGAAGCGAAGGAGGAGAAGCGAAAGTGGTCGACGCCCACCACCACCCACCAGCAAATCTACTACTGCAGCTATCATCATCCTCCTCCACCTCGGACATGCCCGCCCACCGCGATGACGCGCGCTGGAAACGCGACGTGAGCACGCGATGTCGTGGGAGCTAAAGGCGTTTAAGCTCACGCTGTGGCTTGCGACCGACCTGGCCACCGGAGCGTTTGATGAGCTGGACGTGTGGAAGTGGCGGGTGTTAGATGATGATAACTGCATGGCGAAGCTGGTGCAAGCGACGCGCAGCGATTGCGGCATGCTGCCCATCATTAGCATCACCGCCGCCGGTGATGGTTATTGGGTTCTCGACGACGCCGGAGGACGCCATCGCGGACTTCGAGAGCATGTCCCGGGTGGGCGACTGATCTCAATCAATGCTCAGGAGGCATCTTTGGCGATGGCATTATCATTGCTCCGTTCCCTGCCCAGCTGACGCCAGCCCGACCAAGTGACCTGCTGCAGCTGCAAGTAGACGAGGCGCAGCCAAAACGAGCTGGAGAACAGACGAGCACTTCGAGTATCTGCTGCGCTGCAGAGAAGGGCCGTATCGTGCTGTGTTTTCCAGAAGTCGTAAAGTGCCAGACGTGAGCTTCCCTCAAGCGGCTAGCTGACTGCGTCGATCTTAAGAGGCACCACCGGTGAGGTATCGTGGGTATCTCTGTTCCGTGCCGCCTCCGTGGATAGAGTTGCGGAGAGTGAGAGGGAAAGCTGACACGGCGGTTCGATTCGACGTTGTTGATGCGGAGAACGCAATCAAAGCCGCTTGGCGAGGTATGGAAAGGACTGTACCGGTCTGAAAGCAGAAGGGGCTTTGTTGTAGCAGCCCAGAAAGACGTCGTCGAATCGAGATCTGGTTGTTCGTGGGATTTTCGAAATTCCTACTACGCCTCTGAACCCCTTCTTCTTCTTCAAGTTCAGGGTTCATCTGTCCCTGAAACTCTGAGCTGTGGTATGTGAACGCTTCCTGAAGCAAGGCTTTCGACCTCACCTGGCGGTGCACAGTACGTACATGTACATATCTGTATGCTGCGACTGAGACCGGCAGCGGGTGAGAGGACTTATGCAGTCTAATGTATGTATCTATACGCCTGACAGCCGCCGTACGTCATCCCAACCTACACATAACAATATGGCACGCGACAGTCGCACACGCGTAGATTGGCCTGTGAAATTTTGCCGGCTTAGTCGTGTCGTAGCGTGCAGTGGTTGAGCGACGTTGTCTCAATCCGCCTGCTGACACTGGCACTCAAGCCTGTTCGTGGCCAGGCCGCTTCACCGTAAACGGCGTTGCCACGGCAGGCCGGAAAATATTACATACTGTCTTGCTGGAAGCGAGCAGCGGCGGCGCAAGGGAGGAAAAGTTGAGAGCATGGAGAAGCGTGACGCTGTATTACTATGGGCTCCGCAACGAGGTCGGGCGGTCAGGATTTGCGTTTCAAGGTCGCGTCTGTACTCGCCGAGGGACCGAATAATGACCTCAAGCTCGACGAGTACACGGTCAGCGTGGAACAGGCGGCGGCTGCGGTGCGTGCTGCAGGCACCGTGAGAGACGAGCTCGGGTGCCCAGAAAGCATTGGATCTGCGGCAGCAAGCAAACAATTGTGCTACCGTCGTCGAGGGCGGGACTGGGTCGACGGTAACGAGGGTTATGCAGCGTCTAATGGCTTGCTTCATCGTGCAGCAGCACCCTGGGCGGGAGGCGAGGGCATCGCCGGCGACACAACGTGCCCGGGGCGCTTAAGAAGCCATCGACGGGCGGTGGAGTGGACGATGCAAATGACGAGGTGCGTTTTGATGCCAGACTCGTGTCTGATGAGAGCGAACGCGTCTCAGACGGCACGCGGCTATCTGCATCCCAGAGTGCTGGGTGCGCTGGCTCCCATGCAGCTGCTGGGATGGCGTCGCAGGACGAGCGAGGATGACTGGCCGACAGTCTTTCCTCCCCGGGCTGCGTGCTAACATTCCGCGCACCTAGCTGCAGACGGGAGCAGGGAGCAGCGGCGGCGGTGATTCGACGTCGAGTGACGGCGGGTGGGCCTGGACGCCGCCGTGCCAGATGTCAGAGAGAAGATGATAATGCGTGTGAGAGAAAAGGTGAGTGCGTGAGTGCGCGAGGCGTGAGTCGTGTGCCGGGCATGAGTCGTCCACGCGCGGAAGGCACGAGGCGCCGCGGTGGAATAGCGATGCTCAGCCTGCTACCACGTCTCGGGCGGGCAGTCAGTGGATTTGATGGGCGATTGATTGATGGTTGATGGGCGGCGGGCGGATCTGCAGGAGTGAGTGGCCGGGCAGGAAATCTCGCCAGCAACACGCATCGCCCGCATCGCCGTCCGGTCTGGTGCTGGCGGGCTGGTACAGAATAGCTGCCGTCGTCCAACACGACAGGCGGGAGTGGCTCGCAGCGGGCATTGGCGTCGAAGGGCCAGGATGGGCGTGTGCAAGGAAGAGGACGAGCGGCGGGCTAGCACCAGTCGGTCGCAGCGAAGTCTAATTCACAGCGGGCCAAGCTGGGCGAGGACCCACCCAGCACCAGCAGACACGGCGCTGGTGCTGCTGCGTTTCGTCTGTCTTGTCTCGCTGCTGGCCCGATCACCTCCTTCTCTCCTCCGCCCTCCTCTTCTGTCCACGCTCTCCAATTTGCAATGGAGCCTTGAGCAACAGGGAGCTGTACATTTGCCAGAGACCGCCCGCGTCTTCGGCAAAGTCGCTCGCTGCCCTCCGGGACCTCCTTGCCGCCTCGTCAAACGGTGTCGTGACCATTGCAGAGTCTTCTACCGTGGACTGTGCGTGGCCAGCCTGCACGCCTCTACACCTCGCCGCCGTCTTAACCTCGTCGACCTCTCCTCTTCGTTGACCGTAGAGCCCCTCGACGCCTCCTCCCCACGCCGCCTCGAACACCACCGCCTCCTCCAACTCCTCCCCCCATTGACCCTGAGCACTGCACTCGAGCCCCGGCCTCGGTGCATTGAGAAAAGGTGAGACTGAGAGTCCGTCGACATGAGATGCAGAGAGGAAAGCCCCCGTCCAGGCATTGGCAAATGCCACACGAGAGACCTGGATTCCACCCCTGGGGCGGAGGTTGGCACGTATCGCGTGCCTCCCTCCAATCCGCCCCTCCACGGCTTAGCAACCGAAGGCCTGGAATTTGCCATTGGAACTTCCCCACCATCACCAATTCGAACATCTCCCCCTTGATGAACACGCTCGACTGCGAGTACGGGTTGAATGAATAGGTGGGGTCTGAAAGCGACGGGTTAGTGGGCTTCAGCTGGCAAGCGGCTTGCATTTGATATCCATCTCCAAACGACCTGGGCAATTGGTTTTCATCAATACAAACCAACAACGACTGGATCACGTCCAGCCGCAATCTCGATTTCCGATCACCATCACATCACCGACCGTTCAACACCCTGCAGCCCGTCTGGAATACCCGTTCGTCACGGACCCACACCACCTGTCAGTGACGGAAGACCACAGCTTCGATGAAATGAGATTGCTGTCTGCATTCCTCCAAGTTTCTGGAACCCATCAATACCTGTGTAAATTACCCTGGCCTCACCAACTGGTGTCGCGTGACTGGGATTCGTCACTCTTCTGGACCTCTTCTCTGCAACTCACGGTCTTACTCCGGCTCGAATGGAGTAAATTTGCTGACAGACCATTTCAACAGCAATCAGAATTACAATCGCCCTTGACTACCGCGACGTCGACAACAGAGCAGGTCCAACCATCCCTGTCGACAGCAACGCCTTCTACGGCCCATCATCGAGGTACGTTGGTATCTTCCATCCTCATCCGCCAATTCACGGCAGCACCCTCCTTGCTCGATCGTACATTGCTGTCCAAAGAGGGCAAGGCTAAACATTCCCCAGACTCTTCACGGAAGCTTCTGCCAGATCTTCGACCAGACCAGCATTCACTACCGACAGCGGAGGCGTTAGTTCGTTCTCTGCTTCCAGTGAAGGCCCAACCGAGCAACCGAGAACAATCTCGACGGAATTCCTGCCAATCGCCTTCGTCGTCGTGGCTCGCAAGGAGACGATTCGTTCGCCGTATCGCGCCCACTCTCACACCCACGGCCATTCTAGTAAATCTCTGTAATCTAATTCCCAAGGTATGCACCCTGTCCTGGCGAGTGGCCTTACATGGAGCCATTGCGATGACGCCAAAACATGGAGCGCGACAAGGAGGCTGACACGTTCCAGGTGCCATTCGAGGGATTGTCTATAACCTGCACCTCAGACGTCCATTCGTCGACGGTCTCTGTTCTAGACTGTTGATTCTTTTGGCCCCACGTTACCAACTAATTTCAATCCTTTACGGCACGTCCACAACACGGACACACACTCTTTAATAGTTCACTTGCTGAACGCACGCTCCTTTGCACAAACGCTGCGACTCGTCAATCCTGGAGACCTGACAGTCTGTTCACCCAACCTCACCTCCATCTTGGATTCAACATGGCCTACCAACCACATCTTCAGCAGCTTCCGGCACCAAGGCCTTTTCCGGCATTCGGATATTGCGACTCCTACTTTGTAGAGAACCACGACGACGACGATGGCGTCTATGCACGTGCCTCTGCAGAACGTGAGCGTGTTCGAAACGTCGCCAAGCTCCGGCAAAAGGCACTCGGTGAGGAGCTCTCGCGTTCAACAGCCGAAGAATACCAAGAAGACGTACTCGACCACATGGAGCACATGGAAGCCGAGACGATGCCCGATATTCAGTCCATCGAGATCCAGACCGAGATCCAATGGTTTATGAGGCCATATCTCCTGGACTTCCTGCTCGAGGCCCATCATGCTTTCCAGCTACTGCCGGAGACGCTTCACTTGGCAGTCAACTTGCTCGACCGATACTGCTCGAAACGTGTGGTGTATAAGAGACACTATCAGCTTGTCGGTTGTGCTGCTCTCCTCATTGCCGCGAAGTATGGCGACCGCAAGGAACGAGTGCCCACCATCAGAGAGCTCAAGTCGATGTGCTGTTCATTATACGATGATGATATGTTCACACAGATGGAGTGGCACGTTCTGCAGACCCTCAACTGGGTTATTGGTCACCCAACCATCACCAGCTTTCTGCAACTCGCCTTGACAGAAGTCGCCTTCGATCCAGAGTTGGAGCACATGTCGTGGTACATCTCGGAACTGGCCCTGTACCACAAGGAGTTCATCCCAGTACGACCGTCGGTCATGGCTCGATCTTGCCTCGCATTGGCACGATGCATCCTCGCACGGCAACAGTCACGGTACGAAGACTGGTCTGCAAGATACGACCCTCAAGTGGTCTTGAACCTCTCAAACCACCTCGGTCATCCATCACAGGCACTTTTGAGGAAGTACTCGTCACCTCATCTCTCATCAGCATCGACGACCATCGAAATGTTCCTCAAGCACCAAGCCATGCTTGCTCGACAGGTGGCCCAGCCATCAGTGAATGAACTGCCTCGCATGGACATCGACTCGGTGCCATCCACCTACCTCACGCCGCAGACGCCACAAAAGCCTGGCTACACTGCTGGCGTGCAAATACACGGCATGCTGACGCCCCCAATCACGCCGGACAAGGATCAAGTGATCGCAGTCAATCCGAGCTACGGGGCTGGCTTACCGCGGGTAGTGCCTCAGTGCACACCCACGCCGCCACCAACTGGAGAGCAACACATCAGCTTCCCAGTACCTCCACAGCAGTATATGCCACAACCGCAGTTCGTCCAATAGCGATCACTGTGTGTATTAGTCCTGTATGACCGCCGCATAGCAGCATCAGCATAGCATTGAGCGTTGCATTTTTTTTTGAGCTGTCTCGTTTTCTTATGTCTGTACTAGCTTAGCCGCAGCAACACCCAAGACGCCCGTCACACATAGACGATGGGGATTGGGGGAAAGTCGGCCGGGGGACAGCATGTGTTTGGGGAATCAAAAGCACACCGGGCATATTTACCTAGTGGGAATCAGATTGACACAAGGGGACACGGGAAACAACAAGAAGAAGAACAACAACAACAACAACAATAAGAAGATTGATCACTCGGAATCAGCGAGGCGCAGTCTGAGGAATGGCTCTTCTTTTCTTAGCAGCGACAGATACCCATTTGAAACTATACATATGTTGCTTAGTTCAAAAAACTTTCGAGCCGCAGTTGTGCCTCGCTTCATGTTCGGTGCTCGTGCACTTGCTTGGTCGTACGAATGAAAGGCCTCGTATAGCAGAGACTTCATCAAGATTTGAAGGAGAAGAAGAAACGATATCGTGCTTGAAGCAATTTGGATTCCCTTGACCAAGTCAATGCCAGTAAAACACGAGACAGGCAGCTGTTTATGTCTTATCTTTAATACCTGTAACAAGTCCACGCCGATCAGAAACGTCTTGGACTCGTGCCGGAGCAATCTTCAATCTTCATTTCATGAAGACGGACCTCCGTCCGCACCCTGCACCATGTTCCCGGCGCTAACGGGTAGCCGCATAACCGCTTTAGCGCATGTTTAGCGGCTGCTAGTAAATTTTCGTGAGTGAAGCAACCGCGACCAAGACGAGATCAATGGCAGCACCGCAAGCGAGGCCGTCGACATGAAGGAGACGAAATTCCGAGCATAAAACCACATTCGCCCACGACCAATGGACGTCCACCGCTCCCGTTTCGTTCCCTACCCAAGCTCCGCCATCACCGCCGTCGCTTTCTCTCGCTCCAGCAACGATGGCCTGCAACCAGGACAACCGCAACCGGCGCTGAAACTCGCGATCGGCCGCTCGAACGGGCAGATTGAGATATGGAATCCCCAGGGAGGGAAGTGGTGTCAAGAGACGATTTTCCCCGGAGGACACAAGAGCATCGATGGGCTGGTGTGGACACGCGAGGCGGATGAGAAAGATGCGGAGGGACAGATTGTGCTTGGGCAGCATCGGCTGTTCAGTATTGCGTCTTCGCCGGATGTGACGGAGTGGGATCTGGAGCGGGGAGAGGTGAAGAGGAAGTCGACGGGGAATTTCAGTGAGGTTTGGTGTTTTGCTGCGCAGCCTAGGGCGTCGAAGGAGGGTGCTTCGCAAGAGATTGTGGCGGGTTGTGGAAATGGGGCGATTGTGCTTCTGACCACGGAAGACAGTGATTTGCAGTTCAAGAAGTTTGTGGCGAGAGTGAGCGGGAAGAAGGCACAATGCATGAGCATCACCTATCAGACTCCGACTCGTGTCGTTGCTGGGTTTGGAGACAGTTCAATTCGTGTTTTCGACACACGCAATGGGTCGGTGGTGCGATCTATGAGTGTTGGCGCTGGAGTTCCTGGTGCACCCAAGAACTCGATTGTCTGGCAGGTGAAGTGTCTTCCAAATGGAGATATTGTATCTGGCGACTCGAATGGCGAGATTGTCTTCTGGGATGCGAGGTCATGTTCTCTTTCACAGCGTATCAAGGGCCACGACTCGGAATGCTTGGATTTGATCGCGAGCGCCGACGGCAAGACTATCATTTCTGGCAGCCTGGATGGAAGACTGGCCGTGTTTCGCCAGAGCATGAACATGGGCGGCAGAATGAGGTGGGCGAAGAGTCACCACAGAAGAACGCACGAGGGAGAAATCAAGTCCATGTCCGCGTTTGACAGTGACGGTCTCAGCGTGGTGGTGTCCGGAGGACCTGACCTTGTGCCGGTCGTCACACCATTACGAGAGAACGGGAAAGAGAACTACAAAACACTACCGGAACTCCCACAGCAACCTCACCTTGTGAGTGCACGCCATGCCAGGCTTCTAGTGAGCTGGTACGAGAACACGATCAGCGTATGGCGAATCGCTCGCAAACCTGCCGTGGATCCAGCTCAGGAGCCTCTGCAATCACGAAAGCTGGTGGCCAAGATTGTGCTGCATGGCCAGTCCACCATTCGAAGCGTTTCAATGTCCGAGGATGGACGAGTCCTTGCTGCGTCAACTGATGCCGAAACGAAAGTTTTCCAATTACGAAGACGGTCAGATGTCGAAGCGCTTGGGGTACGGAAGCTGGACATCCCCAGCACGCTTGCTTCGTCTGGTGCTCGTTTGGTCGGATTTTCGCCGGATGGCAAGTGGCTCACGCTGGTAACGCTGGACAACGAGGTGTATGTGGCTCGGCTCACTTCCAACCCATCCAAGCCAAAGCAGGTTCAAATCATCAACAAGGTCGTCGAGCTGGAACGCCAACATCGACCAATGGCTTCTCAATCGGCCCTTCGAAACTATGAGCAGACCATCACTCGGGTCGCCTTTGCTTCAGACAGCTCTGTTCTGGTAGCAAGCGACAACTCTGGCCATCTCGACTCGTGGGTGCTCGAAGGCCATGAAGATCCTACTGCGCCTGCGGTCGATGTCACCAAGGACAACTCTAAGAAAGGCGCTTCTGAAGACAGCTCTGACGATAGTAGCGACGATGACGATGAGCTTTGCGTTTTCTATGGACAGCACTGGACGGAAAATCCTGCTGGCCATCTCCTTCCCAACTTGGACTCCATGCCATTAGTACTCTCCTTTAGACCGATGCCTTTGCAAGATCAGCAGAACGGTGCAGTCAATGGCAATCCAGGGGTTCATGCCACCAGACACAACCCTCACGCTCACTCACATGAGCTCCCTAAAGGCCAACATCGACTCTGGATCATGACAGCGAAGCACCAGATGTACGAATTTGAAGTCCTGACCGGCAAGCTGAACGACTGGAGCCGAGCAAACCCAACATCGATCCTGCCTGAAGACTTCACCAAGCTGAAAGACAGGGTCATGGGCGCAGTGTGGGACGTAACCTCGAAACGAGAACGCCTGTGGCTATACGGTTGCTCATGGATGTTCATGTTCGACGTTTCCCCCGCCGGCCTCAGCGAACGCCCTTCAAGCAACAAGAAACGCAACGCCGAGCAAACTCGTCTCGACGCCAAGCGCCAAAAGACCAGCGGCGCAGGCAGCAAGATGATTTCCTCCCACAGGGAAGGTCTCCCAGAGTCCATCAAGCGTTACGAGGACGGCGCGTGGACCGACGTGAGTCTCGACCGGGCAATCAAGCCTGCTGACGACGAGTCCGACCAGGATGAGGAAGTGGACGCACGGTTGAGACTTACGCGTTTGAGGGCCGCTGATGGTGAGGACCAGCAACAAGTGGTGAAGAGTGAGTCACAATCATCGCATCGGCCTTGGTGGTGCACGTTCAAGTACCGGCATATACTGGGTGTGGTGCCTTTGGTGGATGATGCGTCGGTGGATGACGAGAGGCCGCTTGAGGTTGCGGTGGTGGAGAGACCGCCGTGGGAGGCGTTGAAGGCTGAGAAGTAGAACGTACGCACGACATTCGGAGGATTGTCTCAATCAACAGCCAGGCTCTGTACAAGATGACGGTAGAGTGAAAGTGAGAAAATGTACAATCTCGTGACACTTGGTCATTACGTGCGCTTTCAGTCTGATATAATCTAAAAACCCTCCTCTGGTTGACATGTCTCCGTTATAGCTAAAACTGTCCGTTGGTATCATAATGAGCGCTTTTCCTCGCGCCCTTTCATCGACAAATGACATGCATGACCGCCCACCAGTAGAATCAAGTAACGCCATTCGCTATGATCATCCTTTCACACAAGTCATGCTTTACGCATGTCTGTACGGCTCAAAGCCCACACCCTGGTGCTGATGGTTGTGGGTGGTAGTAGGCGCCGAGTACGGGTTCGGTTGGCCGTACTCCTGCAGCGGCACCTGGTCATCGTGACCGCCCTGATACGGCGACGCAACACGCTGGTAGCCGTTCCCGGCGAAACCACCCGTCTTCTCGACCTGCAGACCTCGGCCACGGGCGTAGGGGTCTTTGGGTGCGGCGTTCCACAGCCCGCCCTTGTTGCTGCGATGGTGCGGGTTCGAGCGTCCCGAGCAGCAGCACACGCTGAACAGCCAGAAGAGCGTGGCGGCCCAGGAGAAGGCGACGGAGAGCCAGGTGACGGTGAGGGCTTGGTGGCCGAGGGAGAATTTGATGCCGTAGTCTTTGAGGGCTTCGTTGAGGGCGGAGACGAGGATGGCGAAGAGGATGGTCGAGGTCAGCACCGCGGCGATGTTGAAGAGCGACGAGACGAAGCTGAGGATCCAGGTGATGAAGCTGCCCCAGCGGGAGAAGATGGCGAGGATGCCGAGGATTAGGGTCGCGAGGGTGGTCCAGAAGGAGATTTGGTAGGCGATCCACATCTGGGAGGGGGGTTAGTTTGGTTTGTTTTTTTTGGGAAGGAGCTGGGAGGAGATGTTGTTGAGTGCTGGCGGTAGCAGGAGCGAGGAAGACACATGCCTTCCCCGTAAGAGCCAGCAGCCTGCCCAACAACCATCATCCTCTCCAATTCAGATTGTACTCACCCATTTTGCAACCTTCTTGTACGCATTCAACGCCTTGCGTCCACTACTCCCCAAAATCTCATCCTCATAATCATCAATATTATCCTTCGCGCTATTAATCGCGCTCTCGACCGCATTATCACTCGAACTCGTCGACGTCGCATTCGTGCCATTCGTAATCGTGAACCCAAACACATCCAGCGGGTCGAACACAAACTGCGACTCGCGCTTGGAGCAATAGTCGAGCTTGCCGTCGGTGCTGTTGGAGCTGCAGTAGTTGGAGAGGTAGATGTCGTAGACCTCGGCGAGGCTGCCGTCGGACTTGACGCTGTCGATGGCGAGGGAGATGACGGAGTTGGAGGAGCTGCTGCCCGCCGTGAGGTTGGTGAGGTTCGCTTGGAAGAAGGAGTAGGAGGTCAGGGTGCCCTTGTTCCAGCCGGCGACTTCGATGAGGATGAGGCAGATGAAGGAGGCGAGGGTCAGCGCCATTGGCGTGAAGATGCAGGCTATTCTGCCTGCTTTGCCCATGGTTGCGGTTGTTTTGTTTGTTTGGTGGTGAGAGTAGGTCGGGAGTTGTTGTCAGCGAAGAAACAGGTGACGTTGATCCTTCGCGATGCTGTGCTGAAAACGACAGACAGAAAACCAAGTGACGACGGCGACGACGGTGGTGATGATGAGAGGAAGACGAAGAAAGGCTGATGAGCAAAGCAGCAACAAGCCGAGACAATATAATTACCGGAGTTGTCACTCTGCAGTGAGCAAAGCCCGCCTTTGACGATGGCGCAGCAGTGCAATGCTGCAGACGTGGCGCTGGACAGACCAAACGCGTTACAGCCGCAGCACACCCAGCCTTACTTTAGCCTTTGCCTAGCTTTACTATTCCAGTCCCCAGCAACCTCCAAGTCAGCAAATCACTCATTAAGCGACATATTATTCTGGCTTGCCATTCCGTTTGGCTGTGCTGCACTACTTTACATTCGTTCTCGCAGAGATCTTCTTCAATACCCAAAACCATCGTACTCGTTCAGCCGTCATTCATCCACCCCAGTCAACACCGCGTCCGCTGGCTTGGCCTTTGACTTTTCGCCCCAGACTACCGGGCACCGGGCGACGGCCCGTCGATGTGAAACAGCAAAGAAAGAGACTTTGCCACGAGCGCCGCGTCACGGGCCACTATCACCGTCGAACAACCGTGCAAAGGTTTCGTGATGCGGTGACGCCAGCGATAGAAGACATTCGTCGTCGTCGTTTGATGCTTGTGATTTGAGCATGTCCAGCTGAGATGGACTCTCCGAACGTAACTCTTACTGATCATCCGCATTGGCAAATGGTCAAGTAGTCAGCAGTAAGCAGTAAAAGTCGGTGCCGTTCTTAGCACGAGCTTCTGCTACATTACGTCGAGAGAAGATCTACAGACGAACTCGTCACAACATCGAGGGAGATCATGAGCATGAGCATGCTGGGTGTTGTCTTGCCAGCCATCTCAATTCTCCAGTGGTTGTTGTTTCGTCAAGGCAACATTCGTGCAGCTGCAATGACGAATGCTTTTCTCGGCAGCGGGCGATGTCGACTAAGCCTCTATTTTTAGATGCTTCGGATCCAACCTCGGGGTTGGCATTTCACGTGGGCTCAGAGTCAAAGGCCACTTCTCAATGTCTAAGATATATTACTTGACGGGCCTGAGGCAAACATATCAATGAACAGATGTGAAGTGCACATTGTGATTGAAGATTTTTCGATTTTGGTCACGTTGCTCTCTTCTCCACGACGAACAGCACGCTTTCTCCCTCCCGATGATGCCCATCCCATCTGTGCCCCTTTGACGTTTAGACATTGAAAACGCTAGTAGACTCCATAGCCAGTAATGCAGCTCATATTCAATTCCCCCCCATGAGCGAAAGACGTACGTGATCCGTGATACCGTAATGCATGCTCAATCCAAAATCCCAGTGGTATACGCTCCGAGTTGCTCCATGTTGCTCCTGTTTAACACCGTGCCGACCCAAGTCGATAGAAAACAAACGAGAAATGGCGATTCTCAAAAAGACGTCGCGCTGCGTCGGTGACATACGAAATCGGGGTATGCTGCAAAGACAAATCCAAACTGCGCCGATGCTAGATCGCGTCAAGATGTCACAATGATAGGGTCCCTCGAGGTTGGAAGCCATTCGAGGCGACGTGAAGGCGAATGAGGTGTTTGAAGAGTGGTGTCAAAGTCACTGTTGTCGTCGGTCGGGGTTGCGTCGTGCCTCTCTTGCACGATTGCGCTCTTCTTGCCGTGTTTCTGCGGCTTTCTGTGCGTCTGGATCTGCTCGATATGGTCGATCGGCCTTGACTCCATCACCGCCAGGAAGTATGCGGCTAACGTTATAAGCAAGTGCTTCGATGACGATTTTGCGGAGGTCGGCATCCTCTTTCATGTCCTCGGCATTCAAGCGGAAGCGTTCCTTCTTGTCCATGTCGCGACGGCGCATGGTCTTGATTTCTTGGATGATATGCATCAGCACGCCTTCCGAGCACTTGTTGCGTTCTGAGGCGTGCTCAGTCGGGTTGCGAACATAACGCCGCGTGACATCTTGACAGCCATCGGCAGAGAAGGCGATGCAGTATGAAAGCTTCTTACCCCAGCCTGGATGCGATGTTAGCAACGGACGATGGTTTCACGTGAGAGGGCAAGACGTACCTTGAGTGTAAAGCAGGGGCGCATCCCATGCCTCTTCACAGCAGTCAACATGCACCCATCTTCGACGATGTGCACTGTAGATCTCAGTCCAGACATGGTCCTCAGCATTCCATATCCATCGCACTCGGCTTCCAATAGCCCGGCAGAGCATCGTGAAACAGTTAGCCCATTCTCCTACACGTCCTCTCCGTGTTTGGAGTAGAACGAATGCGTCGTTATATCGCGGAAATCGCTCGAATGAAAGGCATCGCTGGTTGCTGCATTGGTAGAGTTCGACTCGGTTTGCGCCTCGTGCGGATTCGTCCGGTAGAGGTGCTACCATACCAGTACCAATGGTCCTCGCATGGCAAGTCGAGCACTTGGGGTTGTTGACCCACTCGAAGAAGTCATTCTTGAACCACTTCATCAATGCGCGCACGACACAGTCCTGGTATCCCCATGCTGCCTTGGTGTTTGGTCCTAGGGATGCGGCCTCGGCTTGGAAGAGGTCAGACTCCTCCTGTGCCTCGTCGTATATCCTTTGCAATGGAATAACCCTGAGCGCCTCGTCTAATAACCCTGGATTCTCCCACTTGCAAGGCGTGTTCGAAAGTGATAGGAGCATGTTTCGGAATCGAAGTGACTTGTTGTCGGTCGGTGGCGTGGGTACGGTTGGAATGTTCTTAATCGACGAGTATGCTGGAGGCGGTGATCTCGGCGGCGCAATGCCTTCCTGAGGTTCTGAAGTAGGAACTGGAGGTGCTTCTCGTGATGGTGGAGGTGGGGTCGGCTCTGAGGATTCGTCGTCGCCTTGTCGTCGCGGAGGCGGCGGCGGCGGCGCTCGCCTGGGCTCGACAACGATATCGGTGGGTATCCTGGACGAAGTACTTCGCTGCGAACCTGGCCTTCGACTCAATTCGTTCATGCGCTTCGTAGAAAGTGTGCGTCGGAACTGAGCAGTGAGGTCGGCGGCCCAGGTATCCGGTAACTCCTGGGGCGGGGGCACAGGCTTTCGTCGAGGGACGCCATTGTTGTTCGGATTCTGGTCTGCCATGGTCGCGATGTTACGGTCGAAAGAATGCGAATGAGCGTTGCGGTCGAGGGGTTGCGATGTTGAAGGGGAGTCGAGCGCGGCGGTGCTCAGCGCGATCTGCACAGCCGAATCGACTTGGCTGGGCGCAGGAGAGAGGGCGTTTCGCGGCGACGACAACGACGGAGGGGGAGGACGAATTCGACGTTGTTGTTGTTCTCGTCGTCGTCGTCGAGTGTACACTCGCGCCACGGAGCGAATGGCAGTACGGACGGTGAGGAGGGTCGGTTTAGGTGAAAAGCGAGAGAGGGTGTTTCGCGGCTGGCTTGCGTGGCAAGCACGGACCCCCAGACGAGATGACGAGGCCTCTCACACCCCCCTACCACTACCCCGTCTACCGTGTGCGGCCTGACCACCGCGACGAGGACGCAGCGAATATAACACCCGCATCCCTCGTCGCAACGCTGAGGGCGACGTCGTCCTGTTGGCGGCCTACGCATGCCAGAGGCGACTGCGCAGACACTCGTCGCCGCCCCCAACTCCTGGATGCTTGGTACTGCCTAGCAGACCACGCAATCTGGAGAGGTCCCACTACGACGCGCTTCACTGCAGGGCGAGGGTCCGATGACTTTGATCGTAGAGATTTGCGCTGCCAGGCATCCATCTGCTGTCGCCCTTCGTCTATCGCTACAACTCAGGCATCGTTAATGCGCGTCCTCACAGTCTTTCGCGCCTGAGATATGTTTCAACTGTGGCGCGTGTCCTGGTTTCATTGCTTTTTCTCGGCCTCACTTGTACTAGGGATGGCTGTGCTCGAGAGAGTCAGGGTCTCTCTATCACAGACACGTGGTCAAGTGCCACTGACATATGCCCTCCTAAAACATCCCATACAGTCTCAATCATCGATTCCTCCACCTCAGACTGCATTCCACGCCTTCTTGACCGTCGTCACATGCTACTGACGTTGACCTATTCGGTATCCAGAACACCTCGACATTTGCATTATTGCTCACATCCTTCCGACCAGGACCCCCAGCTCCAACGCGGCTGCAAGGCCTTGGCACCAACACATCTCATTAGAGTATGACTTGCGATTACGAAAGCTGTCTCTGCTGAGCTGTCACAAGAACGTCAGTCGACCACCAACATCGCCTCTGTGCGAAGAGCTTTCTTCGCCTTTCCCTCCACACGGAAGGATCGCGGTCCAAGAGCGGTGTCAGACCGACTGCAAGTACTTGCCAAACCGATTTCTTGACTGGCGAACTCCGTTGTATTGGCAACAATAATTTCAATTGATCCACCATGAGTACCACTTCTGGCAGTTGCATTACAAACTGGAACACAGCTCACGATAGAAAAGACAGCCCATCGTGTCCACTTTGCACAATTTACGCATCTTCTCACCGAAATGACATCTGTAACACCAACCCTCCAAGGGGCGACGTAAGCCCTTGGCAATGGAAGAAGAAGCAATCCATCACCTGCCCGAAGACGTCGAACCAAACGTAGTCTCCGCAGTCCGTATACGAAAGACAGCTAAGACCACTGCCAACGTAGACCTTTCGATATCCAACGCTCATCAATCACGTTCATCGATCAACAAGCTTTCCACCAAACACGCACGCTTTCAATAGTCTCTACAACTGCTACCAGGGCACCACGAGGCACGATTGCGAATGCCAAAGTCTTGGCTGTGGATGATGACCAACGCACAAACGACGAATACCACCGAGAAGTGAAGGACACCGTTGACGCGGCCCGCTACGCGTGGTTCCCACTTGCTCACTCTTTTCGTATGTTCGGATACTTGTTCGTTTTTAGTCATGCCAAATGCCGATGTGCTACTTTGTTGTGGAGGGATTGCAAAGGCCGATATGTCCACTCGGCGGGATTTGGAGGGTACGTCGTTGTTGAGGTCTAAAGGATGGATCGGGACGCCGGCACGAGATGAATTCAATGGTGAGCAATGCGGATCCGTGATGCGGTCTGCAGGTTCCGACCGTATTCCTTCATCATTTCAACCCGACGATTGCATCTCGTTACCTTCGTTGTGTTGATCTTTGATATGCGTGGTGAACGCGAGCTTCGACGGCTTGACGGAAGGAGGAGATACTAACCCTTGAATGATACTTTTCGAAGCCGTCGATTGCATACACCAATCTTGTTACATTCTATATGACCTGAACAACCCTCGGCCAATCCTTCCCACGTACACCTCCCGACTGTATCCTCCCCTTACAACTTCTGCCGCTTCCTCGACCCTTCACTTCAACAACGCAAACGTCAGCACCCGCATCACACACGCACGAACCCCACACACTATGAAAAGCGTGGACGTACTATGCAAGCAGATACTTGGCCGCGTGCTCCACATGGTCATCCGAGAACGTGCTGATGAAGAAGTAGCTGTGATCGTAGCCATCCTGATACCGCACGTTGACCTTCTTCCCGGCCTTCTTCGCCGCCTCTTCGAGGTTCTCCGGTAGCAGCTGGCCTTGCTTGTAGAAGTTGTCGCCGGTGCCTACGTCGATGAGGATGTCGGTGTCGTTGGGGAATTTGGAGATGAGTTCCGTGGCGTCGTGCTCGGCCCATTTGGACTTGTTGTCGTCGCCGAAGTAGCCGCCGAAGGCCTTCTCGCCCCAGGGACACTTGGATGGGTTGGAGATGGGTGCGAAGGCGGACACGGACTTGTATTTGCCTGGGTTTCGCAGGTACAGTGTCAAGGCGCCGTGGCCACCCATGCTGTGTCCCGTGATGGATACGCGGTTCCCATCCAACTCTTCGAAGTGGCTGAATAGTGCCTCTGGAAGTTCTTTGGTGATGTAGCTGTACATGTTGTAGCCCTTTGTCCATGGCTCCTTGGTTGCATCGATGTAGAAGCCGGCTGCGCTGCCGAAGTCATAGCTATCGTCTTCGCCAGGGATGTTGAGACCTCGAGGGCTCGTGTCAGGGTATACCACCGCAATGCCCTTCTCTGATGCTTTGTGCTGGAAGAACCCCTTCTCTGCGCCGTTGTCGCCGGTGCAGGTTAATCCTGCAAGGTAGAAGAGGACGGGGACAGGTTTCGAGGAGCTCGCTTGTGGTGGCAGGTAGAGGTTCAACTTCATCTGGGTGTTGGTCACTTTGGACTGGATATCATGTTAGTCTCTTGTTCAATTCGTTCAGATTTCAACATCTACCTCATGTGCAAGCTTCAGCAACTTGCCACCGAAGCTGTTAATCGTGCCTGTTGTTTCAAACGACATTTTGGAGAATGACTGTGAGCTCCGTATGAGATTAGAAGAGGGATGTAGAAAGCTGCTACAGTTTCTCGCGAGTATGGAAGGAGAGTGTATCTTGCAGAGCAATGGCATGAGCACCTAGATGAAATTCTGTTCGTATGAGGGGCTCTCATGAGCATTCTGCGGGGCAGGCGACTGGCGTGACGTCGGTCCCCTGGTCACGGAGAACTGGAGAACGGGATGCTGTGGACAAGATCGGAAACACTTTCCGTAGCTCGTCGGCTGTGATATTTTATCGGAGCATTTTTGCTGTTTTCAGCAATCCTCATTGTGCTCATTTTCTGGCTTTGGTATCGTTGATGTCTTGATTTTCCCTTCCAATGCAATCCGAGACTTTCCGCCCAAACGCCGTCGCTGTGATTCTCAAAGTAAACCTTCTCCCCAACTCATTCTTGCATGAAACACGATTCGATCACCAGCAGCTCGCAAGAGAGAGGCCATCCTATAGCAACTCCTCACAAGTCCAGTCCTCGTAGAACCCATCCGGCAGGTATCTCCGTACCACCAGTGGTATCTTCTTCTCGCGAAGCTCCTTGAGCGCAATCTGCAGAGGGTCGGTTTCCGATTCGACGTCGACAAGAACAGGAGCACCCATACTGAAAACATGGTGAGCTGTGACCACCAAACAAAGAAATCGGTACTCGTCTTACCTGATCTGCAATGCCCTAGTCCCAAGAACACGTGCACGTTCGTATTTGGTCATGTATGGTGTCGTCGTCCTCCTCTCTGTTGCGATCTTCTTGCTCTTGACGCTCTTGACGGTATTGATCCCTGTCGTAGGATCCCCACTGGCCACAATGTTGTTCTGGTCGGTGTAGTCCGTGCTGTTCAATTGCGCCTTTGATGCTGCCTCGTTGGGGTCCACATCTGCATCAGCTGGTCCTACTTGGTATGAGCATTTATACAGTACACCATCTTTTAACACGAGACCCACCGTTTGCGTCGTAGTTCTCTTCGAAGTTCGTCTCCTCGATCAGATTGTCTTCATACTCCCTGACAAGCCTGTGTTAGCACGCCGAGATGGCCTGAGAATTTCACATGCCACAAGCACGTACTCGACATCGCCGAAGTCGCGCATATCTTCATCGCCGCCGCCGCCGTAGTCAGACATTTTGAAGGTGAGGGTGCTGGTTCAGAGGAGTTGCTGGAGATGTGGCGCGAAGATCGGTAGGTGGGCGCAAGTCGAAGGCGATCGCCGTGACGTTTTCGAGGCTCACACGAGTCGTGGTGTCGAGCAATGAGCAGGTCAAGTGGTGTTGGTGTGAGTAAAGCTGCTTTCAGAAGATGGACTTTTCGCTGCAAGGAACGCGACTGCGCTAGTGGCGCTAATGATTCAGCAGGGAGCGGGCCGCTTCCCCGCAAAACGCTAAATCAGATTTCGACGTCTTTCCAACTTTTTTGGCTGCTGACATCCACCAAGCCATTCCAAATTCCCGTCATGGCGGCGATGGCGAACAAGAAGAGGCCAGCTCCTGTGGACGACGGCTCTGGAGAAGAGTCGTCAGTATTCGAATCGACAAGGAGTCCATCCACGCAGTCCAGGCAGAAGAAGGCCCGTTTCCAAACGCCAGACGACGATGATGAGACGTCGGTTTTTGCTCGATCGACAGCACCATCTCTCGCCGACACCAACACTGCCACCGCTACCATTGCAGAGACCGATACACCTCATACGGATGCTTCAAGTGCTCGGAGCAAGAGCAGACCACGACCCAAGAAATATCAATGCACGTTTCCCGACTGCACCAAGGCGTTCGATCGCCCTATCCGCCTCCAGACTCACATCAACTCACATACAGGCGAGCGGCCTCACGCTTGTCCTCATGATGATTGTGACAAGAGGTTTCAAAAGCCGGAACATCTCAACCGCCATGTCAAAGAGAAGCATGGGAACCAAACATTCACCTGCACCCACAAGGTCCGCAAGGACGATACTGGCATCATTGAAGAGTGCGGCAGAGTTTTCGAGTCATCGACTAAGCTCAAGCGACATATAGCCGTTCACGAAGAGAAAGAAGAGACAACGTGCACTTGGGAGGGCTGCGGCAAAGTGTTCAGAAAGCAGGACACGCTCCAGAGACACATCAAGAAGGACCACTTGAACGAAGACTCGTACATTTGCAAGCGCGAGACCGCCGACGGCGACGTGTGCGGTCAAGCATTCCCCACACCAGGTCAATTGAGAGGCCATGAAGCGAAGGACCATCAAGCTTCCAAGTACATCTGCCAGATATGCACAACCGCCATGGATCCGCCAACGGGAGAGATGGCCCCGATCGACAACGGACTCGATGCCGCCTTTCTTCCTACTCTTGAAGATCTTCAATATGTGGGCCACGACTTTGACCCGAAGGCTCTTGGCAATCTATCCCTCGAGGACAACGCTCGCGCAGGCTTTCAGCATCCTGGCGGCATCGTGTGCTTTCCCACCTACCACGATCTCCAGCGTCACCTCAAGTTCGTACACCCTCCCGTGTGTGATCAGTGCGGCAAGAAGTGCAAGAGTGGGAAAGACCTCGCGGCTCACATCGACATTCATCATTCTGTCAACGGCCCAAGCACGCGTACTCCTGCGGAGAAGAAGTTTCTCTGCCCAGTCGAGGATTGTCCAAGAGCCGTTGCTGGTAACGGATTCACCAAGAAAGGCAACCTGGACGTGCATGTCAAGAGCGCTCATACTAAAGAGAAGAAGTTTATTTGCGGCGAGTATGATCTGAGTAAGGATAAGAAGGTCGAGGGTTGGGATGGTCAAGGTTGCGGCATGGCGTTGGGCGCAAAGCAGAGTCTCATTGGACATGTTCGAACGCAACACCTCAACCTTCCCCCGACCACGACCGCCAAGGCTACCAAGCGCAAGACCAAATCGAAGGTGAAGCAAGAGGACGAGGATGAAGACTTCATGGAAACCGACGATGCGTCTGGTGCGACGAGCAAAGCTTTGTCGATGCTCACTGGTTTTGGCTACGAGCAACACCGCCCCTATGCCTGCTTAATGGCGGCCGGCCCCACCTTCTGCCAGATGAGATTTGCAAAGGAGTACGAGTTGTGTTCGCATCTAGAGCTGACTCACGGATGGAATGTGGACGACATCAGCGAGGCCATGGGCTTGCAAGCGGACGAGTTTGATGAAGAGATGGCAGATGATTCGCTGAGACGGGAGTTGGAAGAGCACGTCGGTGGCTTCAATGCTGCTGGTCGTGAGGCGCAGATGTTTGAAGGTGAAGTGGGCCGTGTTTAAGATTGAGCGGGTACGTAATGGCGGTTGAAGATGGGGTGTGCAGTAGCTCCTTGTGTTTGCTGTTCTTTTCTGGTGTTCGGCATAAGATACCCATGGTGTTGGCGTTTTCTCAATAGCGTGTGTAGATTGAGATTGTAATGGCTCTGTTTCTCAATCAAAGGCTTCTAGTTGCGCTCATAATTTCTCCTGCATCACTGTAATGGCATGCCGTCTCGTGCGCTTTGTCTGAACCGTGTCTCACGAATCCAGCACTCCTCGAACGACTTCCTTTGACCAAACCCCAACAACCCACTCGCCCCCCATCAACCCCCTCTATAATCCCCCTCCACATGCACAAACTCCTCAAACGACACCCCCCGTCTCCGGACCTCACTCCCATTCCTCAAAACCCCCGGCTCAAAAGATACCTTCCCCCAACCCCCAATCAACCTCCGAAAATAACAACTCGTCGCCGCCGGCGACGTATACTTCTCCCGAAACGTCGCGACAGAATTATTGATGATCCGCTGCGCTTCGTCCGGGTGCGCGAGATAGCGGTGGAGGGTTTTGGGGAGGTCGATGAAGGAGCGTCTTTTTGAGGGTTGGGATGGTTAGTTGGTGTTGAGGTGGGCTTGTGTGGTTGACTGGACTTACTTTACGGGCACGTAGTTTTGGTTTTTGCCGCTGCTGATGAGGAGGTGGTAGAAGTGGGTTGTCCAGTCGAGGTCGTGGATTAGGGGGAGGGAGTTGCAGTTTAGGAGGAAGGGGAGGCGGCCGGAGTAGCTACGTCCTTCGGTGTGGACTGTGAAGGCGTAGCGGCACATCTGAGGAGAGTCAGTATGTAGGTACTTGATTACCTATTGGGTTAGGGATTGAAAGAGAAGGGATAGAAATAACAAACCTCATCCTGCGCCATCATATTCTCCCTCGTCTCCCAATCAACAACCTTAACATCCGCCCAGTCCTCACCCTCGGTCTCATCCAACAACGAGCCCCTGACTCCCTCATTTGTCCACCTCACACCCCTCCAAACCACCCTCGGCAGCTTCTCACTAAACGGCGCATCGAACTCCATCGCCCTCCTCCTCATATCCCTCCACGACCCAGTCCCGCGAGCGCTGTACATACTGAAGTCCGGAATCAGCCAATGCCGCCGATGACTTTCATCATGGATGTTGGACGTGAAGGTCCAGATCGACCGCGTGTCGTCTGGTCCGCCTGAGAGGAGCGACATGTCGTCGACCACGATGGCGGCTTCGATGGTGGGCAGTCGCTCTCCGCCGGCAGAGGCGCTGAGGAGGGCTTCTTGGAGCATGCTCAGTACTGAAAGCGTTCGCATGCGGTAGCCTTGGTTGTCGAAGGTTCCTTTCGTCTCGAGGATGCGGAGCTCGTTTTCGTGGATCAAGATTCGTACGGCTGCATCGTTGCGCCAGGAGATGTCGACGTCTTCGGCTGTGATTGTGTGCTTGCGGTCGTGCCAGTATTTGACCGCTCGGTCGATTTCGTAGTATAGGTCAGGGAAGTTGGCCGTACATTCTGCGGCAAAGAGGACCTCATAGTCCGACTTTCCACTGCTTTCCGCATTCTGCGGCGTCCATGAGCTGGTCTGTGAGCAAAGAGCCGCGGTGGACGTCAACGAAAGGCGTCTAGAAGCAGGATACAGGAAGTTCAACGTCGACTGAAAGCATAAAAGGGCAATGAGGAATAGACATAGGCGTTTCCAGGATATGACACTATCCATGCTATTTTTTTCCCTGCCAAACGCCCTTCATGGCGGGCCAAGCTGCGTTGTTTAAGGTACGACGACCAACAAGACCGTACCTTCCTTCCTTCTCAGAGCTTGCGTCTCTCGCACAAACCTGTTGGTTAGTTTGTCATTAGGCAGCTGCGCGCTTGCCCGCAGGAATCCGCAAAAGTCGGCTTCTAAGGAATAGCTAAAGTGACAAACCGGTGTGCTTTAGGATGCGAATAGAGTACGGCGCTTGGGCGATGATTCGATAGTTCTTCCTACAAGCGCGACTTTCAACTCGTCCTTCGTACTCGCGGGCGGCACGGGTTATCCATCGAGGATGCTTGGCGAGATGATACCCTTTCTAGAGAAATGCGAAGCTTGTGGTCTTGCAGATGGATGGAGGTGCGATCAACGATTGCGAGAGTGTCGGATCGGAGAAGCATCCGAGAACTTTGCCCTAAGAAGTGAGTGAATGAATTCGTTCTAACCCTTCGAGGCTAATGGTCTATCATTCAAGTGAATGAATGCCGTCGAGAGCTCGTCGATTCATTGAAGTTGTTGTTCAACTCCATCCATGCCTTGCGCGTAAAGGCTACGCTGCACGTGGAGCTGGTCTAAGTCAAGGTGCATCTATACAATAGCAGTCAATACATATTCAAGTCATGCCTCATAGCTAAACGCTGTGTACTACGTGTTCAGGCCTTACACTTGCCGGTCGCTGAAGAAGAAGTACCGTATGCGCCATGAGAACGACACTTGCCCGAAGCTCCTCTGAGCGTAAACGTGACGATCCATCCAAGCTGATGAGATTTTCGTGAGCGTGAATTTCAGATCAAACTGCTTTGAAGTATTCTCTCACTTCAACCCAATTGCGTGACGAGTGTAAGTTATGTCGAAGTAGTACAAGATGGAAGTGGTAGCCATAGCGAGATGTCGTGACCAACTGGAATGTGCCGATCGCCCTAGGTCGTTTAGACAGTCCAATGTTCGTATGGAGCACGGGTGTGCCAGGTAAGGTCACCGCAGTCTCAAAAGTTTACGCCTCGTCTTCTAGATTTCTCTTCTCTTCGTTTTCCTCTTCCCCCTCACGATGCTCACGAGAGCAAGGCCATCTGTTGCTCAGCAGCTCGCTGGTGGCCGCGCTTCGCCAGACCGCGTCACTCGACTGAAGATCCGGGAACAGACTCCGACGTCGAACACGAGTCTTGCTCGAAGAGGGCAAATGCGCTTGGCAGAAAGGTGAAGTTGACCAGAGACTTGCGCAGGTGTTGAGACTTGACAGTTGTGCCGCGAAGCCGCCAGCAGAGAGGTAGCAAGCCAAACAAATCCGGAGCTGGCCCCACGAGTCGCCGTCCCAGAACGCCATGCGCTGCACCTCGTAGTCGTCGTCGTCGTCTGCGTGCCAGCCAACATCGTTCCGCAAGCTCGAATCAGATCAAGACAGGGGCAAACAAGTTATCGCAAAGATACAATGCGTCAATCCCTCCAACACGTGCGAGGCCATGGCCAATATCACAGATATTGATCTCCGGCAACCGCCTTGGCGTTCTCGGCCTGGGATAAGGAAATGACGACGACGACGGCATGGCGCGGCAGCGACATTTTTGACTCCTTTTGCCATCAGTAATGGCATCGTCTTGATCTTTGACGGGACCAAACTGCATCACCAACGCGCATTGACAGCCATCACACCGGCAGTGCAGCGCGAAGAGTCGCGTGAAAAGAAGACAAGATGGGCCCCACGCGCAGCGTCATTCTCACCTGGGCAATCCTCCCAGCACTGGTCGTGTTATTACTCGCAACCATCATTGCGCAGCCGCCAGCACCACAAGATCTCAAGCCCAAGGTCTTCGTGCTCGGACTCTCCAAAACCGGCACGACTTCCATTGGCGATGCGCTGGAACGACTGGGCTATCGCCGCCTCGGCTGGCGCGATATCAGGAGTCGACACATGGTTCACACTTGGGCGAACGGAGATCTGGAATCCATCAAGGGACTCACACGATACTACGATGCCTTCGAGGACCTGCCCTGGCCTTTCGTCTACCGAGAGATGGCTGAGATGTACCCGGACGCCAAGTTCATCCTCAGCTTGAGGAAGGACGAAGACAGATGGCTCAGGAGCATGCGGACGCATGTTGGCAGAGGCAAATGGCTGCCGTACACGTACTTCTACGGCGCCGACACGTACGAAGGCAACGAGGACATCATTCGACAATCGTACAGGAACCACACGGAGAACGTTCGAGCATACTTCAGCGACAAGCCGGATCGCTATATGGAGCTCAACATCGACGACGGCGACGCGAACTGGAATATCCTCTGCCAGATGGCACAGTGTCCTGGGAACAAGATCCCGTCGCTGGCCTTTCCCAAGAGCAATACCGTCGCCAACTGGGACATGGGCGTGGTGGGGAACAACTTGCACTGGTTCTGGGGATGGTTGGTCACGAGAGTGGAAGAGCAGGCTTCCGACTACTACTACCGCCATGGGAAAACTCTCTGGCGGCCTTTCTTGCATTTCTGCTGGTCCATCTATGACTTTGTGGAGGCCATCTACTCGGAAATCTACTTCAGGGTCATACCTTTGGCTTTTCCGATCATCAAGGCGTGAGCAAGCACAGGTGTGGATACATTTGTACGGACGAGACATGGGCACGAGTGCGTAGAGTTGGAATGGAACCTGATGGACGTTGGAAGAGGCATTCTGCGATCACAATGATCGATGCTACCAGACGACTGGCTCGATGGGTTGCTATCCGATGAGTTGGTAAAACCCACTTGTTTGGCTGGTGTTTCTGTTGAGGCTCGACTTGGCCCCTTGAGATGGACACTCGATGATGCATGACAAGCGTTGGACCAATACGGCAGTTGCGATTCAGCGGGTTGTTCCCTGCTGCTGGACCCGCAGGGACAGCATGTGTACATAGAGCGATCCCAGCTGTGGCAGACCACGTTAGAGGAGGAAAAAGGGTCTCGCAGCTGACCAAAAAAAATATCTCGCCGGATGCGCAAGGAAATCCATTGTCCTTGTGACCAATGACACGAAGGAGTGGTTCCTGTTGCGTGCTGTACGTAAGACAGTTGTCATTAACTGGCGCAAGCAACATCATCATGCGGTCTTTTGCGAGAGAGAGCATCTGACCAACAAGACGAATCCACTCTTTCGATCCCACAACGGACGGAACGTTTGAAACCCCGCTTTTGACACACGTGAGTGGCTTGCAAAGAGAGTTCGAGACCTGCACGCGTGCTCGCGGGTAGCCCGCATGTGTTGTGCAATCGCACCCGCGGGTAGGTGAGGCCCCTTTCCCAATCTTGCTTTTCAGGGTGCGATAGCATAGCTTTGAAGAAAACCGCAAAAGACGTCGCAACGAGCCGTGAAAGACGAATGGAGAGAGAGAACAGATCACTACGGATAGCTGCAGTGAACATGTGTTTGGGTACATGTCGGTCCAGCCAATCGTTGCGACTTTCTGGGTCTGTCCGCTTTCCGATCAGCAGGACACGGACGTCGATCTCGATGCGCTCTCGACGAGCACGGCCACTTTTTTTTGTGTGTTGCTGTTCCTAAGAAAGATGCAGGCCCAGAAAGGACGGATGTACGGACCATGATTTTTTTTGCTCCAACGACGTGGCCTTTGGCTTGCTGGGACCTCGGGCTTATGTCTGGTGTATGCGGCGTATCCGCTCCAGGAGCGTACGCACGCATTCGGTTTCTCTCCACTCGTATCTCGACATACTCGCCGACGGACTACTGAACGAATGACATGTTGCTGAGTCGAGCAGACCAGGCGTGCCACTCGGGCGAGCAACAACAAAATAATTATTTTGAACCGGGCTCGGGAACGGATGTCTCAGGGTTGCTTTGGGCTTGTTAGCACACTGCACGAGGAACGCGAGCGGCTGCAAGCCATTCCCGCTCGCTAGCACGAATAATAGGCGCCGAGAGGAGAGCAGCGTGAGGGCTGAGGCGTGGAAGGTTCCTGGAGGCTGGCATCCTATTATCCATCCGACACGCGCGTTTATAGAAATAGGCTCAACCAGCGATGGTAAAGTCCGAGTATAAGTAGGGAGTTGTTTGTTGTTTTACGGCGTGAGTTCCTGCAGTAGCAGGCGCGCATAAGGCTCGAGCATAGGTGAATGGTGTTGGGAGGCATTGAGATGTGAGGATTGAATGCCGTGTGACCAGCGCTCCGTCGAGGCTCGTTGGTGGAATGTCGAGCGGAGGCTCAATCGAGGAGCCAAAGCGCTCACTAGTGCACGGGCTCGATGTGGGCTGTGGAGTCCGTGCCGTCTGGGTGTGGTCGAGCGTGATTATTGATGCCATGGGATTCAATCTTCTACGCTGCGGTACTGCTTTGTTTCCTGTCCTTCCTCCATATCATCATCTTCTGCATCCTATCCTTCCCCAACAGTGGGCGGCTCGCGCGTCAGTATCACCATCACCACCAGCAGCACGCAGCGTGCCAGATCCCGGTCGGCTGCCCCTCAGCTGGATCATCACTGCCCTGTCCAGTCCAGGTTCCACACACGCCTGTCCTCGCCGGCTATCGTCCACCTCGCTCCTGCACCTATCTGCACCTCTCTGCCCGCACTTTTTGTCCCACGCACCCGCACCACCTCCTGCTCTCCACCACCACGCGCCCTTTGGCATCGAGGACGGCAGCCTCACCCATCCACCTGTGAGGACATAAGCTGAGTGGCGATCGGGCGACGTTGGTGTCGAGCAGCAGCAGCAGACGCGGCTGTGCAGAGCGACTCAGTGCACTGCAGAGCCCATACCCCGCGACCTGGAACCTTCCCTCCCCGAAACAAAGACGGCCGCTTTTTTTGCTTCTCGCAATTGGCCCTGCCCGTTGGAGAGCAAATAACATCCTCCTCGTCAAAACACACGCGGTAAAGGTGGGCTTCGCATGTCGTCGCCCTCAATTACCTCGTGCTGCTGCTAACGGACCCGGACCAGACAACAACAACCACCCTCCCTCCCAACCATGGCGTCGCGTCCCAGCAGCCAGCACCGCTTGAGCGTCGGTGCCAATGCCTCGAGTCTTCCCTCGCGCAACTCCTACAGTCGCACCCACTCGCATTCCACCTCTCTCGGCACCGTCAACCCCACCAACCGCATCAATCGCCGCAAGAGCTCGACCTTCTCGCCCGCTGGCAAGCCTGCTATTACTGGTGCAGTAGTGGAGAATGCCGTGGCAGATGGCACGGCGGCTATCAATAGGCGGAGTTCCATGTCGAAAGCCGCTCTTGCTGCTTTAAACGACGGCTCGACGCCTAGCAGCCTGCCGCATCGCGTGTCGGTGCCCGATAGCACTACATTGAGCAGCAGCGCGGTGGTGGACGGCGGTCCTTTATCCTCTTTCCAGGGCTCTGAAAAGAACAAGCCAAAGATGCGCAGGGCCAGTGACGGCACTCGCTTGACGAAGAAAGAGAAAGCTGCGACTGGCGATTTGAAATGTGAACACTGCGGCAAAGCGTATAAACACGGCAGCTGCTTGAATAAGCATCTGTAAGTGTTGAACGAGATTGGATTTGCGAGACCCGTAAATTGTACTGACTCGCCGTTCCAGCTGGGAACATACGCCACAATGGCAATATACGTCCAAGCTGCTCATCTCGAAGCACCAGCAGGTTCAACTTTTGGAGGCTGCCTCTGTTTTGGTTGCAATGAACCAGGAGCCCTCTAACGATAGCGACAACTCGTCGTCCCCTGCGGCTTCTGCTTCGTCTGATATGCGGGACGAGGAATTGAGCTCGACTGAGACAACGCCTCCACCACAGGGTGACTCGTCTTACAGGGACAGCAAGCGGTTCAGCAACAACAGCAGCGTCTACTCGCGTTCGTATCAGTCGGTCTTCTCGGAAAGTGTTCCAAACAATGAACACGGCTTTGCCCATCACCGCCAATGGAGCGCCTCGAGCAACAGCCGTCCAGTGACTGCCAACACCTCGTACGCCGACAGCTACCGTGGTGACGAGGACCCGCAAGATTTGGCCGCCGCTGTTGGATTGCTGAGCTGCAGCTATGGTACTCCCAAGACTGGGCCGACTGGTGTCCCTATGGATGTTCCTCCAGTTCCACCACTTCCAGCCAAGTACCAGAACTACCACCGCACTCAGGGCGATGTGCACATGGAAGATGACGAAAGCTCTGATGACGAACCTCACGCCCGCAATGACGATATGGAAGACCACGGCATGTTTGGCAAGATGGACGCTTAGTTCCTACATCCCGTCTTGCCTCTCCCTCCGCCGCTTGTGGATGACCATCTGCCTCATTCTAAAAAACTAACATATCTTACGCGCAAAGTTCTTATTTTGAAACCCAGCATGGCAACACCCGGATCGAAAATCTCGAAAGGAGTTACACAGATTGCATATCGCGGCGACCAAACAGGAGAAATGAAAGGGGAATTGTTATATTTGTGTGTGTGTTTACCAACAACCATGACGGCGAATTCTGCTCCGCAGGCCCTTTCTAAGCACCGATGAGCGGCACTATCGATTTACTTCTTTCGATATTGTGCTGCGAGGTTAAAGTTGGAGAGGGTATCTCGAGCGTTGAGCAAATTCCCGGACGGACGGCGGGAAAGGGGTGGGCAATGAATGGGGAAGGAACAATTGTACTTCTTGGAAGATGGAGCAATGGCGGGTAATTTGTTTTTCTTTGGGTGAATGGAATGGCTTTTTTGTTGTTCTTTGTATCGGAGCTGGGTTGTTGCGTGACGAATGGGATATGATGACTTTCTATGTGTGAAGATTATTATGAAATGGAGAGTGAAGGGAATTTGTTTCTTTTGTTGATTATGAGGAGAGAGAAAGGAGGGGAGGGGAAGGAGAGGAGAGAAAGTGGAATGGTAGTTTTGAGGGTATTGAGACTATTTGAAGACTCTCATCAACGTGCATTGTTGTTCTCCATTTCAAAGGTTTTTGGGGGATTGTCGAGTATATGTGTGAGGAAGTCACGACCACAACCACATGCATAGTTTAGATCTATGTGGAAGGAACGAACGCTATCAAGAAGTAGCAAGTAGTGTCTCGATGAGCGATGGATTACTACTGCTACCACTCGGAAGAATGGCTGATATTACCTGTCCCAAGAGCCAAAAAGTACAGATCCAGATGGCCTGACACAGACAGGTGCAGGCAGACTGACCCACAGACAACGGAGCTGGGGTCTCTCACCACCTTTCCCCCTAAGACGAGGGAAGACCCAGCCAGCTACAGTGCCTGACGTGACCTGACGTGACCAGGAGATATGATCTCGTGTGTGTCCAGGTTCCGTCTTATATTATTGCGTCGAAGATCACTCCATTAATCACACCACCAACCACTCGCAGCACAGCACTCCTCTCGCAGCACAGCACAGCACAGTAGACAGGGATTCATCTATCCATCGATTCCAGGACAAGGAGACAAGACTGAATCACTTGTTTGGTCCTGTTGTCTGTTCCAGTTCTGTCCAACCCAGCCTGAGAGGAGAACCTTTCGAAGCTCAGATCCATGATCAGAATTAGAATTAGACTCGGAATCAGATTCAGATTCAGATTCAGACTCGAGCGTAGCTTCACCGATGTCCTGAGTAGCATGTGTTTTCGATACGCCATTTCGATATAAGGCCAAAAAGGGGTCACGCTCACTTTTCTCCATCTCTGAGATGCGTGTTCTCAATGGAGATACGACATTGCAGCTGGACAATCGACTAGATGGATGGATGGATGGATGTCTGACTTCGAACGCTTGTCTTGTCTTCTTTCTTTGAATACAGGGTATACATGAATAGTGTTGCCACGGACTGCAAATCTATACTGTATTTCATCATCAGCAGCAGTAGCATCAGCACCACCACATGACAAGACGATTGATGATGATGATGAACGATGGACGATGACGATGTAACGCCCATTCGTCCCAAGGTTCGAACAACAACGCCAGCTTCAATGCTGAATGCTTCTCCCCGTCCTTCATGCTCCTCGCGTCCTTTCTTCATCCAAAAGGCGAGAACCCTCCACCACCAGGGAACCCCCTCTGTCCACCCGCCGCACCACCAAACGGCGATCCACCCCCAGCGAATCTGAACCCTCCACCGCCACCACCCATGCCTCCTCCACCGTTCATCATATTGAACAGCATCTCCGGATCGATCTGCACGCCCCCACCGCCACCACCGAAGCCTCCGCCCATACCGCCCGGGAACCCACCACCGAAGCCCTCACCCGCCTCCATGAGATCCACACCGCTATCATACCGCTCCCGCTTCTGCGGATCGATGAGCGTCTCGTGCGCCTCCTGAATCTCCTTGAAGCGGTTCTCGGCCTCCGGGTCGTCGGGGTTCTTGTCCGGGTGGTGCACGACGGCGAGCTTGCGGTAGGCTTTCTTGATCTCATTGTCTCCGGCGTCTTTGCCCACGTTCAGGATCTTGTAGTAGTCTTTTCGCTTGCTCTTCTTGAGCTCGAGTTCGGCGTTGCGGATTTCTCGGTCGATGCCTGCTTCTTCTGGGCTCGTCTCCTGGATATTCTTGTACGCTCGCACGGCTTCCTCCCAGTCACCACTCTCACCCAATGCCTTTGCCCGCGTTCTGCGTGCTTTGGTATAGCTGGGATCCAGCTGAATCGCCCGGTCACAATCTTCAATCGCCTTTTGGTACTGCTTGAGCTTCGAGAAACACATGGCCCGGTTGTTAAGGATCTTGGAGTTGGTGCCCTTGTTCGAGGGGTCAATCTCCAGCGCGGAGTTGTATACATCCACCGCCTGCTGATACCTCCCAGACTTGAAATGGCTGTTACCCTCTTCCTTGGTCTTGTCGAGCTTCTGCACCAATCGAAGATACTTGACGGCGTCCTTGTAATCCGGGTCGCAGGAGATTGCTTGCCGGAAGTGTTGAATCGCCTTGTCGTTCTCGCCTTGCGCGTAGAGTGCTCGACCTCTCAAAACCAAAGCATCAGGGTCTGCGCTGTTCTGCCGTAGTAGTGACATGGCGACGTTCTGTGCATCGCCCAGACTGTTCACAGTGCCCATCTTCAAGTACGCCTCCGCACGCATCAACCTCCACTTCCTCGGAGGCTGCACAGTCGATGCCAGACCCTTCTCCGCCTGATCCAGGGCGAAAAGCACCATCGATCCACTCGTGCCAGTCTCCAGGCTATCCTGCGCAGTATCGACATGCTTCTTCATAGCCAACGCGGCCGCCTTATCCTTGGCAGTCGCGGGTGGCTGTATCCGATCGTAAACGTCCAGTGCTTCATTCGGCCGGCCCAGCGAAGTGTAAATCTTTGCCATTCGATGTAATATCTTGGCATTGTTGGGGTCTAGTTCGTCGGCTTTCTTGCAGTCTTCGAGCGCCTCGAGGAATCTGTTGGCGGCCATGTTGGCTGCTGCTCGGTTCGAGAGGTAGGTCGATGATGTGGGGTTGGCCTCGATTGCTGTGGTGAATCAACATATTGGTCTCAAGATCCAACAAATGGACCATAGAAAAAATGAATAAACCTACCCTTGGTATACTCATCAATCGCACTGCCATACTGTCCCGCCTTGTACAGCTTATTCCCAGCAGCCTTGTACGCCTCGGCCTCCGCTTCCCGAATCTCAGGCTTCTCAGGCTTGCTGTCCGACTTCTCCGGCTGCTGCGGCTGGGGGCTCGCCGGCGTGCGGTGCGGAGGAGGTGTAGGCCGATTCTCTTGATCCTCGTGATCATCACCGCCATTGACGCCATTGGACTGAGGAAAGGCCCCGGGCGTCTCAGGCGCCGGCGTCGTCTCCATGGGGTCCGAATGGAGGGGTACGCCGCCCTCCTCCCGGGAGTCGCGGGGGCTGCTCATGCTGGCGGACAGGGCGCTCAGACGGCGCAGCTCGTCGGGCGGGAGGTTGAGCGGGTGTTCGTAGGGGTTGGTGCGCGAGAAAGATTTGCTGGAGCGCGGGGAGGATTTGGATTTGGACGGGTCTTTGGAGGAGCGCTCGCGCAGGAAGTAGCCTTTGCTCTTTTTTTCCTTCTCCGGCGAGGGCGAGGGCGAGGGCGAGGGCGAGTGCAGTGGCGGCGGCGGGGTGGGCTGCTCGTCGTTGGCGGTGGTGTTGGTGGGGGCGGGAGTGGTCTTCTTCTTGCTGAAGAAGCTGGGCATAGAGAGAGCAGCGGCCGGGTAGTGGCAGCACAGCACAGCACAGCAAATATTACGGCGGGCGCACGACTCACACGACAAGCAGCAGCAGAGACTCACTAACCGCAGCGAGCGAGAGTGGCACCGATCCGGGCGAGGGAAGCTTGGTGGGAGCACCTCTGTGACCTTTTTCCGACCCCGACCCTGAAGTGCGGCTGTCAACCCGCAGGTGGAATCTTCTGGTAGCCTTTGACGACCTGCCCGGCAAAATGTGAAGTGAGGGTCGATTGATGATTACCTTTTGATGCCGAATTGATTCTGATCAACTGAACAGTTTCAATCAACTCAATCAAATGTCCGGCGCTGGAGGTAAATTCGAGGTGTGCGGCGGCGTGGTTGTTCAGTGCGTTCAAGAGACAACACCAGGATCGCCTGCCAAAAGTCCTCCAAACTAGCGGCAACAAATCAATTCTTAAAAAAGCGAGATGACTTCATGCAAAAACTGAACATTGATTCATATTTTTACACTTCTTTACACGTCTACTGCTATACTGCCTTTTTTACACAACAACAACGACTGCAAAGCGATCCATGAGTGGCGATGAACATGTACAAGGAGAGCCCTCTTCCTCTCCCTCCCTCTCGCTTTTAGCCCTCGCTCCCAAAACCAAAATGCTGCTCTCCTCGCGCCATTTGCAAATGCATCAATCGATATCCAATACAATCCGAGTGGAGACTTCTTCTATGCCGCCCGTCTCTTGGGGTTCGAAGGCTTCTTCTTCGGCGTCGTCTGCTTGCTGCTCTCCCCATTGATATACTTTAACAACTCGTCCAAGTTTCGCTGGTCTCTGCCAGTGTTCGACGCCGGTGCCGTTGCTGCTTGACCAGGTTCTGCCGTGGTCTGACCTACCGGTGGCTGCGCTCTCGTGCCCATCGATACTCTTGACGTGCGTCCGTTCCTCGACAACAAGATCTTTCGGCTTTGCAACAAGTTGGCCTGCTTGGCTTGGTTCACGGCATTGTGTGTGAGCGTCTCGAGCCACATCTCAGCTTCCTTGGTGTTCTGGTTCTCCGGTCCCAGCTCCGTCTTGAAGATGCTGTAGCTTTCACGCATCTTGGCAACAGCTGCTTTGGGGTCCTGGTCCAGAGCCAATGCCTGAGCAAGCTGGAAGAGAAGCGTGGCCGTGTTGATGGTCTGTCGGCCCGCAACTTCCTCGCAAATGTCCAGCGATGCCTCAAACCACAGGCGAGACTCGTGGAACTGCTTCAGCGACTGCAGCATGACCGCCGCATTGTTGATCGTCGTAATCGAGTCAGGGTGTCTGATGCCGTACACAACCTTCCAAAGGTCCAGCGCATGTCGAACATACCCTAAAGCTTTCCTCGTGTTGCCCGTGGCGTGCTCAAACAAGCTCAAGTTGAGGTATGCGAGCACAGTCTCCGAGTCATCAACACCAAGCGTCCGCTCTGAGACAATGACAGCCTTTTTTGCCAGCTCTACGGCCGCTGACTTCTCATCGAGTCCATAGTACAGAGTCGAGAGTGCGTAGTAGACGCGAGCAACTTCTGGATGCAGAATGCCATAGATCTGCTCGTGCAAACTCAAGCTCTCAAGCAGGAGCTCCTGCCCAAGCTCCTTCTGATCCTGCTGAATGCTCATACGTCCAGCATCCAATGCCTCCTCGGCGAGCAAACTCTTGGGCGATGCTTCCTTGACCGTGGGGACGATGTTGAGGATGTTGTCAGGGTGGAAAGTGGCCAGAGGCACTGTTGGCGAAGACACAGCACCGCGGTTAGGTGAGTTATCCGCGTTCTTCTTCTTTTTCTTCTTGCCACCCTCGGATGGCTGCGAGGTGCCATTGGGCGCCAGTGAATCCGAAGACTCCTTGTTCTGCAACGTCGACTCTTTCGAAAACTGGTAATCCTTTGCCTCGACCTGGAAACCCAACTTCTTCGACACTTCACGCAGCACCTGGAGCTGCTTGCCGTTCTGCACGAGGTCTCCTTCGAGAGTGTATCGATACCTCAATGCAATCTGTCGTCGGATTTCCTTGTCCAAAGTCGCCGGTGTGTCCTTCTCGTACTCGAAATCGACATCCGGGTACAGAGCCTTAAGCTCCTCCTCAGTCTCCGCTTGAGGCGATGAATTGAGCTCCTTCCCAAGCAAGCAGTTGAGGAGATGTGCCACGCAGCTCTGAGAAAAGCAAGGTGGTAGCGACCGCAATCGCAGGTTGCAGACGTGCTTGAACGCTCGGCTCAGCATCTCCTGGTGGCAGACGTACTTCAAGGCCTGCAATCTCTTGCTCTCAGTCTTTTCAGACGATAGCTGGGCGACCTCGCCAATATACCGTGCGTTGATGCCCCGTCTGTGCATCTCGCGCACCAAGCTCTGGCCATCCATGGGGAATCCTGCATCGCCTTCTTGGAGATCGTGAACAATTCGTGGAATCACCTCAGCTGTCAGGTAGTTGCACACTGCGCGCACCTCAGCTTCATCCTCTTCCCACTCCTTCTTCTCCTCGTCAGACTGAGGTTGCTGTCCGCTGAAAACATCGGGGTTCAGGGCGAATGTGAATCCAGACATATCGACAGCCTCTTGCGGTGGCTTCGCCTCCTCCTCACCCTCGGGCTTCGTTTCCGAATCGCCGTTCGTGAGCGCCTTCTCGTCTCCGCTCGCCTGCTCTGCATCCTTCTCTTCCTTCTCGGCGCCTGCCTCAACCTGCTTGCGCTCGGTACGCTTCTTCTCCAGCTCCTTCGAAATGTATTCCCTCATCTTGGTGATCCTGTAAGAGTCAACAAGCTCAGGCCTGAGCACAGTCATGCGGTGAGGGTAGCGGTTCTCATCAGTTTGGTCCTGGCCACGATGCTTCTCCAACCACGCCACATCCAGAGGAGTGATACGGTACAAGTCGAGAACATACTTCCTGCCGTCAGTGCCTAGGAGACCCTTCGTCTCCACGCTGGCTTCGAGTTCGTGTTTCTTGGTCTCCTTGTCCCATACCGCATGTCTCTTGACACGCATCGCCTTGCTGAGCTCGCTGAAAGGTTGGACAAAAGACTCGTGCGTAGCGATGACATCCTTGCCTTCAACACCGCCGTAGTCGATCTGATGCTCACCAGGCTCCCGCTGCTTGAAGATGCCAGGTACTATACTCTGGCCAACAACGCGCTTACCGAGGTAATCGACAACAACGGTGCCTGGAGTGAAAAGGCCGTTGATGTCCAGTTGGTTGACGGCCTTGACGCCCTGAACGTCCTTGCCAGTAGCAACGCGTGCAGCCTCATCACCACCGTCACTGGCGAAAGTGCCAACACCATCCGCACCAAAGGAGTAGAATACATTGTTGTACACGAAAATCTGCGCATCCCTCGCCTCGGTTGGGTTCAGGGGCTGGATCTCACCTCTCGCGACCAAGCAAGCACCTCGAACAGCGGCCTCGTTGTACTCTGCGAAGAGCTTGCTGGTCAGCCTCTCGCGGAAAACACGATCCTGGACAGTCTCCTTGGGAAGCTCGCGGGTGGATTGAAACTCCTCGTTCCAGTCACGCAGGGTCTCAGCATTGTCTGCACCTGCCAGAAGAAATGCTTCCTGGGTTCTCGTCAAGTCGGACTGATGTTGCTGAACAGAAGATGGCGAGACGAGCCAAGGTGCTGCAGGAAGGCTGTTTGATAGTTGGTAGGATGCCAATGGATCACGCTGGCCATTGTACTCCTGCAACCGCTTGAACGAGGCGTCGAACGACGGCGAGATCTTGCTCAGGAGGGTGATGAGCGAATGCGCCGATGCAGACTTAGGAGAGCTCTTGGGCGCTGGATCGAACTTGTTGTTGGTCGACTTGTTGACGAAGAAGCCGGAGACGTGGGCAGTGATGTAGTGCTGCTCGCCCTCGTTGGTGACCGCTTGAAGGTACAGCAGATGGCCTCGCATTCGCAAGTGGTGAGGCGGAGGGTTCCACGACGACAGAGACAAGCTCTTGATCGTCTTGGGGGCTGGCTCACGCGGTTGGGCCAGGAGCGTAGACACAGAGCCTGGCGCATTGAGATCGTAGTGTGCCACGGGGTTCGTGTCCTCCTTCCCAGCCTGGCTATTCGGTAGCTCCACCCCATCACACAGGCTCACTCCCGCATCGATCCCAGTCACCAGATCAGTGCGATCTCCAGAAGCCCCAACCAGCTCCCTCACGCGCACAACGTGCATCCGTGCTTGCGCCTCCGTGTACGGATCTTCCACCAGATGGCACACTGGATCAGAGACAACATCAGGAACTTCCGAGAGCTCGACAAAGTCATTGATGCGCTTGCCCTGGTGCTCCAGATGGAAGCACGAGTACTGGAACGTGTGTGGGGTGTCCACTATTGACTGCCGTATATCCTGCACCTGCTCTTGACTCGACACCATGATCTGCGTCTGGCCGGGCTCGTGGGGCAGCTTGATGGTGAGCTGGAAGACGCTCTCGGTGGGCTGCGCGCCAGCCGCATCGTCGCCGGACTTGGAGGCATCTTCGGTAGAGCCATTGGTCAGTTCGCCGTTCGTTTTGGATGTCGCGTGATGGTCTGAGGATCCGTTTTCCTGGGCTTTGGTTGCCGCGGAGGCATCTGGAGCTGCAATGCATTAGATCTGAGCATTGTCTTGATGGTTCTGTAGAGCTGTCCAAGTAATTGATGGATTAGCTGGATGGCAAACATACCGTTGGTCAAGCTGTCATTGCTAGCTGCCATGCTTCGTGACCTGAACGATGAAGAAACGCGGCCAACCCAGTATCGATGCGAGTCAATGCCAGACCAAAGCGAGGGAGGGGTCAAGGGAATGCGGTGAATGGAAAGAAGGCGATATCAAAACAACAAACGCCCGCTCTACTGTACAGAGGTGTTGATGGATGAGTAGTCGTAAAATACAACCACAGCAGCCCTGCGAAAAGTGAGGTAAACGATCCTGGAAAATCTGGCCGAGCTTCCGAGCCTCGCCGAACCGCCAAACAGCGGACAACGGACGACCCCCTGTCGAGGGCACATGACAGTCTGCATCTCCTTATTGCCGTTAAGGCTTTGCCATATTTCCTGTTCGCTATCGACAATCGACACTGACTGTTTATTATTATAGTCTATACTCTACAATACAGTCCCTAGTACAAACGTTAGTAACCCCTACTAGTTTAACTATTAATACTAGTCCTATATAGATATATAATTATTACTACTACTTTATATACTCCCTATTATTATTAATAACTACTTAATACTTTTCCTTTATACTTTAATAGACTCTAGCTATATTAGAGATTAATAGCTTTACCTATTTAATCTATATAGCTCTTATAACTTCCTCTTTTATCGTAAAGAAGTACTAGCTAATTTTATACTTTAAAAGACTCTATATATTTTTAATTAGATTAAGATCTAGTAAGTTAGTATTAAGATCGGTTTATTAATCCTAAAATTTTACTTAGTATAAATACTAAGTTTAAGTCTCTAGTTAGAGCTTATTAAAAGAAAAGAGTCGATAGACTACTAAAATAATCTTAAAATAGAGGTTTAGGTATAATTATAAACTAAATAGTAAGATTAAATAGTAAGTTAAACGCTATTATAATAAGTATAATATCGTTCCTATATACTAAGAAGATTCGTCCTAATCTATATACTTAGTATACTTAGTTACTCTAT